CCTGGCACGCGGTAAGGTGCAGAGTGATTTATACGGCGTACGCAGCCATGAGTCTCGTCAACACCCAGCAATTGCCGATTACATATATCAGCCCTCTGACCCACAGCCCGAGGAAGACGTTCTCGCCGAGGAATTCGAGCGTAATCCTGGCACGCGGTAAGGTGCAGAGTGATTTATACGGCGTACGCAGCCATGAGTCTCGTCAACACCCAGCAATTGCCGATTACATATATCAGCCCTCTGACCCACAGCCCGAGGAAGACGTTCTCGCCGAGGAATTCGAGCTTATACGCCTCCGCAAGCCACAGTGCCTGCACACCCGCCCAAACACCCACGCAGAGCAATGCTTGCCATTTAGACATAGACAATCGAGGGATCAGCAGCGGAAGGAAAACCAGGTACCAGAGGAAGTACTGTGTAAGAAGCAAAGACTGTGAGCATCACTAGAACATATAGGAACTATAATGCATACTTGCGACGTGCACACTTTATTGAAAATGACGAATACCGCAGTCTGAACGAACCACGCAAACGGCAGGTCTTCTCTCTGTCTGCCAAAAGCCAGGCCGGTGCCTAGCGCGAGAGTCATTTGTGGTAGGAAGCTAAGCAGAGGAGAGGCCAGGAAACGCTGCAGAGGCGACAGCACCTGCTCATCTCCGTATATCCCGGGATATGTCAGGTAATTGACGTAGAAGTAAGGCGAAAAGTTGTGCCGATGATCGATCCGGTGTATATGGTATAGGTACGATTGGTATATGAACGGGTATCCCCAGCTAGAAAAGGAGAATGAGACCCTGAACAGGTGTTCGTATCATAGAGGGTGCTTACAGGAGATACATGGCACCTCCTAACGCGAAGAAGGTCGTGGCGCTGATGAGTGCGAATACCGTCGTTCTTCGATTGAACAGCGTCCAGACAAAATGACAGCGACCATAACCATAATCTGCACTGATTACACCAAGACAAGCAACCCCATAGATGACGGGATATATCTTCCAGTGGGTGCTTAGTCCAAGCAAGACGGCAGCAACGTTCCAACGTCGCAGGAGCGCGGCGTAAAGCGTCGAAAGAACGAGCAGGAGCAGTATCGCCTCCGACGATCCGCGCGTCGAGATGGTGAATACCATAGGATTGAGTAGGTGGCTTGCGCACAGGAGTGTTGCTTTGTGAAAGACTGGATTGCTTGCGGGTTTCTCGATCCGCGCGTCCGAGCTTGGCTTTACCCTTATGGCTTCGGGTTTGTGATCCGGAAGGATGACGGTCGTGAGCATGCGGAAGAGCAAGAGGCCGGCAAGTATGTCACATAATGAGAATAGGTATTTGCCGAAGGATTGGTGCACCCATTCATTCGGTGACAACAAAAGGGCCAGCAAGGGGGTATAGCGGTATGTTTCTCTCGTATATGGACTGAGAACAATGTTGAGTACGGGGTTTGACGATCATCTCCAGGTGACATTAGTGCGCACTCGCCGATGTTCAGTCCCAGTTGCCTGGCGAGGGGGCCTTGCGCTACGTTTCCTTCCTCCGCCGATGGATTCAGCAGAAAGCGAGTCGCGTCACTGAAGACGCGATAATCCACGTCCGTGTACTTCAATGCAGAACGGGCATCATGCCATTCGCTGTACAACACGAGCGCGACGCGTAATAAAGCAGAGGACAGCAGGATATGTCGAAAGGAGAGTGAGCGCAGGTGGGAGGCAACCGCGGACATCGCCGCGAAAGCTGAGGGATGCACAGTTGTGGCGTCCGCACTTGCAAGCGGCGAACGTTGCACGAGTAGTAACCACGATCTATATAGTGCAATATGTACAACGACTAAAGGGGAGAAGTGTAGAAAATAGCGTAGTAATGCGTGTCACAGCAGTAAAGCCAATCCTACGATGCCGCGCCGCAGCCCATCCAGCCTAGCTACAATTCCGATACTTAGAGGTATTGCGAAAGCCAACGGAAGCCTGCGCGGTCGTGCATGAGATTAATCCCGAGCGGCTGAGCAATCGGAAACCAACCTTCACCGTAGCCCTGGCGCATGACAACAGAGCACATGAAGATCTCAATGGGTCGGATATCGTTCAAAGGGACTTTGCCCTGTGATAGCTCTCAGACATCTTCGAGCGCGATGCGTCATAACAAAGGCGTACCTTTCCAGTGGTCTGGTACAGACCGAGCTGGTGACGAAGCTCGTCCTCGCTCACGGCGCCTGGGGCGTCAATCTTGTTCCCGAGGATCAGGAAGGGCACCTTCGCGAGCTGCTCAATGGAAAGCAGGGAGTCGAGTTCCGCCTTCGATTCCGGGAAACGTTCGAAGTCTGCGCTATCGACGAGGAAGATGATGCCGTCGACCTCAGGGAAGTAGTCGCGCCAGAGGCGGCGGGCTGCAGACATATTTTAACGTTGTTGCACAGGACACGACGCAGACCACATACCCTGTTGATGGCCACCGAGGTCATAGGTGGTGAACTTGACGTTACCGATGGCGAGCTCCTCAGACGCTGCATGAGTCGAATGAGCACGGTTGAAGCAGTGCGTTGCGAACGGACTAACTCGGGTGAAGAGTCGGCTGCAGAGTCGCCAATCGGTCGTTCTTCAGCATGTGAAGAAGAGTCTACACTCTGCAATGAGCACCCAGTGCGGCCCCGGCGATGCTGCGCTCACCGTCTTTCCAGCGTTATCCAAGCCCAAGAAGAGAATCTTGGCATTCTTGTGGGTCAAACCTAGGCTCTCTATCAACGACCCTCTTTCCCCGCGAACGTAGCAGACTGCATACCCAGCTGAGCGAGAACGTCCCAGAACCAGTTGACAATCCACATGGTGAATGAAAAGAGTCGGTGTTGATCGTCGAAGTGGAAGTTGCAAGGAGAGAAGTGAGGACGGCCGGTGACGCACCTTTGCCACGTCCCTCCTTCCACGCCCCCGCGAGCGACTTTGCCGAGGCCTGCTGGTCTTTGGCTACCTGCACGCCATTGACGTGCGTCTCTGTACACGATGGACGATGACTTTGAAGACTACTTTGATGCCCCCGTGCATCCGGAGACGCTCTCTGCTGGGTCTGCTTTTCCGCCAATGACCCTCGGGATCGCGTCCTTCTCGTTCGCTGTCCTGCTTCTCGCGCGTGCGTTCACCTCGAGCACGTCTCGAGCACGTCTACCGGACGGCCTGGCTCATCTTCCGTAGTGTTTGTTTATGCTCGCCGCAGCTCAAGGACACGAGGGAACGCCGTCCTCCTGCTTGGCGCCTCCGACGCAGGAAAGACCGCGATCTTAACAACGGTGAGCATTCATCCAATCACGACGTGCATGCCGTCTTGCTCATTGCTCAAGGAAGCTGGCTTATCACCAAACCATACCCACACATACGTCGATACAAATCAATGCCACCGTGATCGCCCTGCCTGAATCCAAGCGCTCGCTTCGCCTAGTGGATGTTCCTGGACACCCGCGAATACGAGATCAGTTCCGTGAATATCTACCCGAGGCCAAAGCGCTGATGTTTGTCGTCGACGCAAGCACGATCTCCCGGAATGGGACCGCCGTGGCAGAGTAAGTGCATCGTCTGCTCCTGATGCCTAGTTCTTCATTACTCACCATATATACATCCGGTCTAGACATCTGCACCACGTACTGCACGCTCTAAGTTCCCTTCCTCCGACACAAACGCCACCAGCGCTCTTGATCCTGGCGCACAAATACGATGCTTTAAAGACCGGCGCGTCGACCGCGTCGGGTGCGAACACCCCCGACCAACTCGCTATCAACAGAGTGCGCTCCATCTTGGAGCGCGAGCTGGAGAAGAGGAGAGCGACGCATGCTGGCAGCGTCGGCATGGAATCATTAGGCGGCGACGGCGAGGAAGGTGGAGAGCTCGGCGGTTTAGACTGTGCAGGCGGCGGCGGCGTTTTTCGATTCGCCGATTGGGATGGTGGAGAAGTGGAGTTCCTCGGCACATCAGTCGCATACCCTTCGGAGAAGGGCGAAGCAACGGACGAGATGACGCCAAGCGATGCTCGTGGTCTCTCTAGTCTTCGACAATGGCTGGATAGCGTGTCATGATTATGGGAAATTTGTTACGTGTAGATCAGCATTCGCACTGCGATATGACTCACCGTGATATCTTAAAGCTCATGCTTTCGTACCCGCAGTACCCTCCTTTAACGAGAACACGCAGCGGGCTACGGAAATCAGCTTTTTGGGTTATACTATTTGCGACTGGCATGATGAATGCAAAATCATCACAACGCTCGCCCCGTCGCATGATACGAGATTACAGGGAGTGTCTCGACGCAAGAGATGACCACGCAAGGGGCCCGTCTTCGCGGTTCGCGCGTTCCACGAGAAGCACGCTCACGTGTACGCGCAAATGAGACGCGACGCGGCGATCTCGATATCGGTGCAATCCACGACAGCGAGCATTCTAGCCTGAGTATACTTATTCACGCAGATGTTCTCGCAGCAGCTATCCGTTGTGCCTTTGTCCTCTCCTGTCCACAACCACCGCCATGCCTCAGTTTGAAGAACCCACAAGAGACATTCCAATCAGGCAGCAGAACGGGATCATGAATCTCGCGCAGTTCCGTGCTGCCCTAATTGACGCTGAGACCTCCATAAAAGAAAAGGAGTCGCTGCGTCAGGATGACAAGTTCAACGATATGATGGTGCGTGCAGTATCTGATCGCTATAGCATGGAACTGACGCACAGTGGCTACGCCTTGAAGGAAATTATGAATGGGCTTGCGAGGCGTCACTTCGACCCCAGCCTACCGTTCGACGAACAGAAAGACATCGACTATTCGGAACTCCTCCATGAGGTACGTCATTCTGTGCCTTACTGTGAACGTATAATGGCAGCTTCCTGCGCCAACAGGCAGGAGGCCGTATTCCGATCATCAAACGCTACAAGGGATACTGGCCTTTGAGGCGCTACTATAGGGCTTTGCTACCGCCCAAGAAACGGACTACAAGGGGACTGGGACTGGTAGGTACCCGATACTCCGGAGCGAAGCACTACTAACGCTGTTGTGCTCCGATAGAAATGTTATGTGGATCTGAGGTGTACAAGTCGGCCTCGTCCACGGGTAAGATAATAAAACTGGGTGCTGATGTTCCATGCTGAATGGCGTTAGCGAGCTCATAACAACGACACGAAGGCAATTCTCGATCGCATTTGGGCTATGCCAGGCCCTCCGACTCCGCCAGTGGCGGGGCCGTCTCGTCTGCCGCAGACCGAAGATGATGCTTTGGCGACCCTCGTCGATGGCCTCGAGCACTATGATCATCTCTGGTCAGATCCTTCCGACGAGGAGCCGGAAATTGGTGACGCTGCAGCCGTCGAGGAGGAGCCAATCCGCGAGTGTGATGAAGGTGGACGCATCAACGGCGTCCTAGAGGGGCACGTAAGGGTCGATGGAACCGTAGACTGGGCGGTAGCGGACATTGACGACTCGGATCCTTTGGATCTCTTCGCCATCTACACAGACAGCGATGATGAGATCGACACTTTCAGTCCTCGTCATTACCGGCCCCCCCACCAACATTACACGGTTTGTCCCTTCCCATTCCCGTGTCTATGGTCGCTTATAAACACTGACACCTTCTCCCTCCAAGATGCCCGCGGCAGTGCCCTCCGTACCGTCGTTTACACCCACACAGCCTGGAATCGTGTCACCACGGTGGACGACATTCACTCCCTCCCGGTCCATATTAGCCCCTGCGGGCTCATTCCCCTCACGCCAGCACTCAACCGCATCAAGCGTGCCCTCTACTCAGTCGTCGTCTACGACGTTAGTGTACGTATCATCCCCTTCGGGATCGACGACACCGTCGAAGAAGCGCTCTTGAAAGTGAAGTTGTTGGCTATGCATTGTTCTTCCATTCTACCGTGTACAACAAGACGGCTACGATCGTTCTTTTTCATCGCGAAGCGCCTTGTACACATACAGAACGCGTCGATTGCTTTTACAGTGCGTCAAAGTATTACCGTCGTCATATGGACACAGATTGGATTGGATGGTGTAGGGGCGGGAGAGCGTAACGAAAAGCAAGAGATCTAAAGGTCGTCGTCCTCTTCAGGAAGAGGGACGGATTCAGCCTGCACAGCGACGAAGGTGAGCGCGAGCTCGAGTTCAGATGTGTGATCAAGAGAAAACGAACCTCCGCCAACTCGCGGTTGTACTGCTCCATGAGCGCGGCGTCAACCTGCACCTCAGCGGGTGCAAGAGCGGGGGCGGCGACGAACTCCAGCGCCGGGTTGCTGATCGGAGACGATCAGCATCGGGTCAAAGTCAGACAATCATCGAGGGGGAAGAACTAACCCGACGAGCTTCCTGGCGAGCCACAGGAACGGCTTTTCGAAGTTGTAGTTCGACTTGGCGGAAATTTCGAAGTACTGCAGGTTCTTCTTCCTGTGGAATGTCACGGCGCCGGTCTTGACTTTACGCTCCTGAGCCAATCGATGAGCTCACGTTCCGTTTGATGTAGTCTTGATGGAACAAACGAGAACGCACCTTCACGTCGACCTTGTTGCCGCACAGAACGATGGGGATGTTCTCGCAGACACGCTCAAGATCCCTGTGCCAGTTAGGCACATTCTTGTACGTGATGCGGGAGGTGACATCGAACATGATGATACCGCACTGGCCCTGGATGTAATAACCATCGCGAAGACCGCCGAACTTCTCCTGGCCAGCGGTGTCCCAGACGTTGAAGCAGATGGTTCCGAAGTTTGTCGAGAAGGTCAAGGGATGGACCTCGACACCGAGAGTAGCTGTGAGTCGAAACCGCAGCGTGAGTCATGACGCGTCGATGTGTATAGCTTGGATAGCGCCCGCCACTGGGGCGCAGGACGCAGGCAGAGTGCAGGGCGGAGGGTGCTGAGCGTAGGCGGAGTGGCTTACCAATGTACTTCTTCTCGAATTCACCCGTCAAGTGACGCTGAAAGAGATATTGATCAACACGCGATCAACGGCGTCAAACAGTCGCGGATACCTTGACGAAGGTCGTCTTGCCAGTGCCACCATCACCGACTGCGTGCGATCACAGTATACCACCAGGATTACGGATCGGAGAGCCCGGTTGCGTCGCAGAAGACGCGTTTTATGGCCGAGCAAACGAGGATCGATGACGAGAGAAAGAATGGCGGACATCGGTCAGATACGTTGATGAGGATCGGGCGAGGCACTCACCAAGAACAAGCTTGAAAGTGGGAATTGTGGTCTGTCCCGTGGACATGATATCTGGCAATCGTGGAGTGTATGGAGATGGAGGCTGGAGAAAGAGTTGCGGTTGAACAAGTGGGTGGACTCAAAGTAAGTCGGACGCGAAGATTGATCTCACGTGACCTTCCTATTTCGTCACTCGTATTTCTTTGGTGAAGTCGCGAGCAACGAGTCTTTGCAAAGCATACGATGTATCAGGACACTTATTTCTGTTGCATGCCGCAGATTGTAGATATTTCCGCGGAAGTACGGTGACTTTGGAGCGCCAGTAGGGCGGTAGTCGGCAATATGTAATTATCAGTATTCAGTATTCAATAACCAATGCCGGCTGTCTGAAGTGTGCCGACGGAAGCCGTGCGGTTCGTCAGATTTGGTGATCCATCCCCCGCACCTCGCATGAGCACGATCGGTTCCCGCCAGAGTTTGCGTGGGGTGCGGCCACGGCCCTTGCTCTTATACCACCCTCGTCTGCACCGACCGTCACCTCGCTTCTGCCTCTGACCACCTGCGGGACACCATGAGCAGCGACGCCGACGTGAAAAAGCCCCAGCCCGCCCCTCCGACCGCGCCGAACAACCCGCCGGAGAAGAAAGCAGGCAATGGCGCGCACTGGAAGCAGAACGAGGAACACGTCCTTCCGCACAATCGTCTTGGGATCGTCTTCACGGGCTTGATGTTGACGACGTTCCTCGCTGCTCTCGACCAAGTACGAACCCCTATGTTGCTGCTTGCATCTCATGCGAACACTACTTCACTAGACGATCGTAGCCACCGCCCTGCCCACCATTGTTCACGATCTCGGGGGCGGTAAAGACTACAGCTGGGTTGGAAGGTATGGTCTGCGTCGCGTGTTCATCGCCTGGTCTACAATCCTCCCCTCAGTGCTTATCTGCTCGCCGCGGCTACTCTGGCCCCGCTTTACGGAAAGCTGTCCGACATCGTCGGTCGCAAACCGATCCTCTACACTACCATCGTGATATTCTTGGTAGGCTTGCTCATCCTTGCACTTCGAAATATATGAATAACCATGGCTTAGGCATTCTCCGCACTTTGCGGGGCGGCCCAAAGCATGACATGGCTGGTGATTTGCCGTGCGTTCCAAGGCGTCGGAGGCGGTGGGATTATTCAAGTGGTGCAGATTACTATCTCGGACATCGTCTCCCTGCAGGAGTGGGTACTGCCCAGGTAAATATAGCATATGCCGTGCTGACTGTTCATCCGCAGTCGGGCGAAATATGCAGGCGCGATTGGCGCAACTTGGGGTATCGCCAGGTAAATGGTCTTCCTTTTACGTTCCGCTCAATTGACAACTGACAGGCGCCGTCCATAGCGTTGTCGGGCCCCTACTTGGTGGGGTGCGTATATATGGAAGATGCATAGTCACAGTGACCCACTCACGGAGATTATCAGGCTTTCGCCGACCATGTGTCCTGGAGATGGTGGGTCTTCCCTTCTTTTCCAGGTCAACCTCGGTCTGAAACGTAATGAACCAGGTGTTTCTGGATCAACTTGTGTGCACGTTCCTTGAGACTTCGATTCAATGCATGACGAACCGCTCCTTCTAGGCCCACCGGCGGCGTTGCAGCTGCGATGCTATTCTTCTTCCTTAACCTCAATCCCCATGAGCAGAAGAAGACCTTTAGACAGCATGTCGCCGAATTCGATTTCATCGGCCTTGGCTTCATCGTCGCGGGAACCATATGCTTGCTCATTGGTTTCAACAACAGCGAAACCAGCTGTGAGTGCCCTCGGTCGTAGATTGGCGTAACGTTTACTTTAACGTCGCTCAGGGCGGGCTGCAGAGACAATCGCGCTACTTGTAGTTGGTGGTGTGCTGTTGGTTGCCGCCGGCATCAACGAAGGTATCACCAACCGTCTGCCGATCATTCCCCCTCGTCTGTTCAAGACGCGCACAACGGGCCTCATATTGGTCTCGGTGTTCCTTCATGCACTCGCTTTCTTCGCAGGTACGAAGTTATTTCTCCTTCGTGATAGAAGAACCGTCATTCATAGCGCTCCAGCGGCGTTCTATCTGCCTGTTTACTTCCAGGTTTTGGGCAGCTCTGCCACACTGGCCGGCGTGAAGTCAGATATCTCTTCCTATTTCTACTGGATGACACTGACCGGGCCTAATTCCCAAGGATGTTGCCTTTCTCTCTAGCAGCCGCAGCTCTATCCGCTCTATCCGGCCAGGTTATTTCTCGTACTGGACAGTGGCGTGAGTTATCGTGTCGTGCAAAAACGTTCAAGGCTCTGATCTTGTCTTAGGTCCCCTCATGTGGGTTGCGTGGGGAACCATGACCCTCGGCTTCGGTTTAATGACTATGCTTGATGAAGCATCAAACACGTAGGCGATTATCTCGTGCATGGTGTTCATCGTCTCACGTACTTCATCAGTGCGGAGAAGGTACTATACTTGCTCATCGCAGCCATTGGCGTCGGTTGTCTGTTCCAAGTGAGTCCGACCTAATCATTACTTCGGGCAACTGCTTCATACATAGTAGACTCCACTCATCGGGCTACAAGCCGCCATGCCGATCAAGGATATGGCCACTAGCACGGCGACCTTCGGTTTTCTGCGAACCTTGGGTGGTACTGTTGGCATCTCCGTCGGTGAGGCCATCTTGAGTAGCGTACGTAGTTCTGGCATGTGACGCATTCGAAGCTCATCTTTCCGTAGGAGTTGACTAGGCGCATCAGGAAGATTCCGAATGTTCCGATTGATACGTCAGCCGCCGCGCTGAGTTCCAGCGTGAGGCAGATCAAGAACATTCCTGTCAGCAGCCACTAGTACTCTTGCGGCCATTGTTCTCATCCTATGTTACAGGATGCCGCTACTCGTGTTGCGGTCATGCATGCCTACACTAAGTCGATATCAACGATATGGATCGTCATGACCCCGATCGTTGGCGTAGGATTCATCATGGGTATGCGCATGGATCATAAGGGTTTTTCATCTCTATCTGACATTCACCCGCCAGTAATGTTCCTCAAGCACTACACTCTGAAGCGGATGACTCGCCAAGGACCAGCGCCTGTCAATGCAATTGCCAATGGGACCGATCTAGAAGCAGGCAACGCGAATGCTGAGAAAACGGGTTTGGCTCCCGAAGCTGGGGCACCGGTGGCGCCGGCGGGAGCAGCGGACCTTGAAACAGGAGCACCCGACGCTGGGTCGACGACGAAAGACGACGCGAACCTGGCGCGTAACTCTACCGGCCGGGACGATATCACCGAGAAGACCAAGTATAGCGCGGAGGCATAGGCGGTCATAATGACGATTGTTCCGTGTCCGGGGTTTCTTGGCTTTCGAAATGAAGAAGGCTGTTCATATCTAGATGTTTCCTTTGCTACTACCAGGGCTCTCCGTCGATCATGTTCAACAGCATGTTAGACGCGATCATTAATACACACCCGCACTTTTGTATGGGTGGGTTTAGTCTAGGCGGTATATTGCATGCAAAGTGTGCATGCGGCAGTTATGGTGCATCGCACATAAAGGACGTGATAGCCCTACCGTACGCTATACTGCGCGGCATGACGCGGACACGCGGAGTCGAGAATGGATATCGAAAGCTCACTCTACCGGGTTTCATGACGGTAGCCGCAGGTGATGTGTGGTCGGACATCCAGACGTCTGACCTCTCTGCAGCGCACGTTTCATGTTGTCTTTATAGCTCATGCTTTATTGCTACACCTTTACCGCCGATTTCTCGGAAATCTGGGTCCTAGATAAGTGCGTGTTCGCGATATAGCGCGTGACCTGTCGTACCTAGCACCTCCTCATGCACCAACGTGTCATCTGAGGCGGTATCCATACTTCGATCCGTTAAGGGTATGCTTCCGCTGGCGTATGGCAGCCTGGACTGTGGCTGGATATACTTCGGATCGCGGATGTTGAGCATGAGGCGCGATATGAGAGAGACGGCTAGCGCGGTGGTTGGCGCGGCTCCAATACCACGAAGTGCGGGAGACAACAAGAGGAAAGACAGAACGTTAAATAAGTTAGCCAAGGCGATGATGCTGACGTGATGTCTCTTAGCCCCTCTTATCCTTCTTTGAAATTGTCAGACTCACGCGAAGTATATTGTACCTATTGAATACGATTGTGAGTGGGATGTAAAAGTTGTAGAGAAGAATCATACCATCTCGAAGAAACACGATACGACCCAAGTATCTTCTGTGTCGTAACGATCGAACTAATGTGAACACGAAGATGATACAGTCAAAGACGAGCATCCCGGACCAAGCGATGGCAAGGCCTGTGATCAAGGTTCAGGGGATGAACTGTGCCATTAAGGAGGAACTTACGATCCGCCCTGTCAGTGCAGAAGATGGTCAGAACAAACTGCATACAAGCACGTGTGATTTGGACGTACTGCGTCCGAGTTAAGACGGAAATACATCCTACTACCTCTTCCGCACCGGCACTCTTAACTGTCGGACTATGATCGCTCAGAGTCGCCCACTAGGCGGACGTTAATGAAGCGGCAGGCGAGGGAGGAGTTGCGGGGCTCACTAAACCAACTACCACCGCGGTCGCGGCCGATGTCATGAGAACCGCTAGGACGATACGGCTTCGGTTGTACAGCGCATATGTCCGGATGATCTGCAAGACTGGATGTGTCTATCAGCGACCACCTTTGGCTCAGGAAGAATTAGCGGCGTACCTGCAACTAGGAGTTGAGTGGCAATAGCTACTATCTGGTGATACAGCTGCAAGGTTCCGCACACATCCTGCCAATGTCTATCCGTCAGTCCTGATTTGGTGACGTGGGTCTCAGACGCGCACACACCCCAGGCGTATTCCAGAAGTCTTGAATCACGAAGAGGAAGTCGCCGAAGACAGACAGATAGCGATTCAAGAAGAAGAAGAAAGCTGGCCAGGTGACGCTCTTCCGCCAATATCGGTCGACTTCGTCGGTGAACGTTAACGCGTACTCATAGTAAAGAAGGGTAAACGAGACGGTCGTGACGAAGCGATTGATGTTCCTGCGTAGAATGCAATCATCAGCCCCCTGAATACAAGGACACGGCGAGCCCCTCACGCACACGGCATTTTGAGCATCAACAGCAGCAGCAGGAAAAGTCTCCATATCCAGCGGAGGGGGGAAGGCAAAGCGGGTTAACCGAGGAGCGCCATCGTTCGCAGCGGCGTATAAAAGACGGTAGCACGTCGAGCTCGCTGGAGGAAACCATCACAGACACGATCACTGCGCATGTACATGTGAACTTGTAATGAACGCATCGATGGCCCATTCAGACAGGGGGTATCGCCGGTGTACCAGCTGCGGGCTTTGTGTCGCACATCCGCAGATGTGGGCGCACTCGAGAGGGTATACATTTCCTTCGCTGCAGTACTATAAGACACCGGCTCCTCGTCAACCCCGTCGAGTCGTCAGTCACAGATGCGCAACGGCTTCGGCAGTGCTTGCCGCTATCAAATCTCAAACTCCGCGAGGCCGCCTGTTTGTCGTATCATCGCCACTCGTCGTATGGGCTCTGGAGTCCTTGCTCGGCGACTACGATGTCGGTGTAAGATGAGTAAAGTGGCTCTATGGACGATCAATGTACTGTAGAGTTGACGAAGGTTGGAACTATACTACTGAATCAAGTCAATGAGGTATCGTACGACGACGATGTCGGAAAGACGTGAAGATTGGACACCGAAAGTGCATTGGGCGCAACGGAGGAGGACACCGGCGACGGCTCTTGACGTGGCCGCAACGCGACGTGCGTCGCGCTGGGCATTCTCAGCGGATCTCGTTTGCCCTTTCTCTCTCACCTCCCTCTCCTTCTCGGTTGCCGCTTGTTCCTCCTCCTCAAAGTGTGGGCTGAGCTCAGATGCGACAACAATCCGGTTGTTGATCTTCGTAATTCTACGAATGCCCTTCTTGGTGACATTGTCAAGTCGGGTCGGTAGACATGTTGTTGTGTTCGTCGACGTAAGTATGGAAGGCGCGAAGGCAAGTCGGAAGCATCCAGCCGGGCCGGAACGAATTTGCAATTCCTTCTGCAGCGATTTCGGCTTACGCCCCTGGCTTCTTTGTTGATCCAACTACAGTTTGCATACTTATCCTTACTGCCACATCTTCATCTAATCTTCCGATTGCTAGCATGATGGTGGGAGTCATGTCAATGGCTATCCCCGCAAGGACTTGATTCAAATCATCAAGAGTATAAATCGTCCTTCATTTATCTCCTGGCCGCCAAGATATCGACTCAGAACGGCCAGGATGTGGCTTCGGTAGGCAATCGGACGCGTGTACGTGAACTGAGCGCTGAGCAGGCGATGAGGCATATACTGTAAGGTTCCTCGGTCTAATTGCCGCCCACCTTGGCTCCTCCTCTCAAGTCCGCCCACCGCCTGCCCCCCGAGTAGATTGCATGCAATCAGGTCAGCGTGCGAGCGGTGCACGTATTACATGACGTTTAAATCACTGTCTACCCGTTTTTAGGCATGCATCGCGTACTGAGGTTCAGGGCTTCTTTGAGTATGCACTACGTACCTGTGGTCATGGGCTTACAATCGGAAATGCACGAAAGCTGGTCATATGCACTGAATACTAGGCAATTGGTGACGAGTCGTGTCGATTACGGTACTCATTATGCACAAGAGTGACCTTGGAAGGACCTTGTCAATCCCGGGAGTATATAATTTCATCCATCGGCATCCTCTCGCTCTATCTGCTGCTTGTGAACTCGGTCCACGACGTTACCTGACGCGACTGGTCGTCTATTTTTTGCCCCTTGATACTCCTTACAACTTGGTTCCGAAATACTTTATATCGTACAAAGATCCAGCTTCAACATCGATCGTTCGAAATATCTGAACGAAGACGGATTAGTATCACGTATTTAGCTTTGAAATACTTTCGTACCTATCACCTTTCCATACATAGCTCTTTCATCCCAGCTGCCGCTCGAGCTCTGGTCAGTCAAAGGTATGCTCACATTAGCGGCCGACAATTTATATTGAGGCTGTGTGTATTTCGGGTCGCGGATGTTCAGCATGAGACGCGAGATGAGAGTTACGGCCAGCACGGTCGTCGGAGCAGATCCGAGACCTCGTAAGGCGGGCGATAGTAGAAGGAAGGAAAGTATGTTGATGAAATTCGCTAAAGCGATAACGCTGGAGCGCCCAATAAACTTCAGAGACCCAGAACGGAAGTTTCTGACTCACGCGAAGTACACTGTGCCTATCCCGTGCCCCAAGCATGAGTTTCAAGGAACGATCACAAGACAGATTGGACCACGGACCGTCTCGAAGGAATACAATGCGACCCAGATATCGCTGATGTCGTAATGAGCGGATCAGGGTGAAGATGAAGATAATGCAGTCAAATGCGAAGACGCCAGACCAGGCAATAGCAAGGCCTGACCACAGGTTCAATATCAGAGAGTAGGAAAATAGTGAGAACTGCTCACGGTTGGCTCTGTGGATGGAGAATAATGATAAGGAAACCTTATTTGAGGAGCCAATTGGTGAATGGTACGTACTGCCCCCTTGTCAATATAGAGATGCATCCGATCACTTGACCCGCAGCGGCACTCTTCACAGTTGGGCTCTGGTCGCCTAGGGTAGCCCACTATGCCGTCGCGTTCAGCAAGCAGTACACGGACCATGTGCAAAAAGGGCCTCACAAGACCGACAGTAACCGCCGCTCCTGCAGATACAAGTAGGACGGCCAGGACGGTGCGACTGCGATTATACAGAGCGTAGGTGCGGATGATCTGCAATACTAGTAACCGTTCAAACGTCGTCGTCGTGGACGAGAGAAGCACACAGCATACTGGCGACAAGAAACTGAGTGGCTACTGCTACCACTTGGTGGTAGAGCTGTAATGTCCCGCATACGTCCTACACAATCCCGCTCGTTCGGTTCTGCCCACAAAGACCACGCGAGGTACGCACCTCAGGGGTGTTCCAGAAGTCTTGAACGACGAACAAGAAGTCTCCGAAGACTGATAGATAGCGATTAAAGTAAAAGAAGAACGCTGGCCAGGTGACACGCTTTCGCCAATATCGGTCGACTTCGTTGGTGAATGTCAACGAATAATCGTAATAAAGTATAGCGAACGAGACGGTCGTGACGAAGCGGTTGATGTTCCTATACGATATGATGGATCAGTTATCGGGGCCGGATGGCTTCGAATAAAAACGGTTGTACACTGCGTTCTGGGCCGCGACGGCAGCAGAAGAAAAATGATCCATGTCCAGTGGATGGGTGAAGGGGAAGCACACACATGCCAGCGCAGCGCCGTCTCATATAGGACGCTCGGAGACTCATTCAGATCCGCATCGAGGACTTGATCAGAGCGGCATGAAACGCCGGAAGCGGAGAGCGTATTGACATACATAGACTCGAGTGGGAGCAATCAGTCTTCACAAGATTGTGTGATGGGAGCGCCGGCACGGTGGGCGCGCCGCGCCTCCAATCGCATACTAGCTTGTCCCTTGGCGCAGTAAAGTGCATGTTTCGGAGGGAAATAAGCTCAGAACTAGCCCGAGCCGCAGCAATGGTTACGAGCGCATCGCACCGCAGTCACAGTTTTGCACTGAGAATGGTTTAGGGGCGGTTCCGCGGAGGAGGTAAGGAGGAGTCTCCCCAGTCAGACTCTCGATGCGCAGTGAAGACAGCTGTGCACACGGATGAGAGGGAGGTTGGTTCAATACCCGGCGTCAATACGTCAGCCTGCGCGCAACACAGGTCAGCGTGCAGTATGTAGTAGGCCTCGGGGCTGTGCATGATGAAACAGAGTCGTAGGCGAGCCGGGACGAGCTCGGGACGGCCAAGGGCGTCTAATACACGATATGATGGTGACGCAAGCAGGGCGCCTATATCGTTATGGTCCTTACAGTCCGGATGTTGTCTGGCAGTAGTCTGGTAGGCAACACGATTGCGCATGCATCTTGCATTTGGAGTTGAATGCAGACGAGAGAGGGAACTGATATCAATCCGGGTGATGTATGGAGAAACCAAGAAGCAGACGTGAGAGCTGAGCGGACTCGTGTACGAACGACGGCTCCCTCCCAAAGCTTAGCCACCCTTAGCCACCTGTCTCACCCCCTCCCCGCCGACTTCGAGAATGCCCTCGGAACAGTCATACGCTCATAACGTCGCTGCCTACTCATCTCAAGATTTCGTACCGCCCAAGGTCTGCAGGCTATGCTTGGCGCTGTTCGGCGAATCCGGGCAGGATAGCGAGCGTCGGGGGCAAGACGATGGACCTTTGTATGATGACGCCGGCTGCTGTGGACGGTGTCAGGATATCGTTACATCGCCGATAAACGGAGTCTTTACGGACGTGCGGGCGCGAAACATCGACCCGAACGTTCCGGGCGAGGAAGTCGAAGTCGTCTCTCGAGCCCCGAGCGATCCCGGGCGTCGCGCAAGCACCGCCGGACGACCTGCAAGGCGAAGCATCGCTGAACAACCCGTACTAGAGGGCGCCGCTATCCGACCGACTAGTATTCCCCTGCAGAGCGCGCCGCCCATCACGTCGTCGCTATCTCACTCGCCGTCGGTGTCACGAGTACCGCCCCGGCCATTGGAGCGTTCCACGTCCCTCCCGATGACCTCCGTCGCCTCGACCTCGTACGTCGACAAGCTGAGCAACTCATCGCATCCCGCGAAGAGAGAGACTCCGCTCTGCGACTTCCCGCCCGACCCGATGACCGACATCACCCGTCTCCGCGTGCGCGCCAAAGGCTTCCATTCCCTTTACCCCGGTGCCACATTCCAAGGCAAGCAGCACTCTGGCCGGAGCAGCTACGACGTTACTGTGACCATCGTGGTAAGCATATTGGTGCATAGCATTACCGAGCAGTGTTCGCTCATGCGAGGCCTCAGGATGTTGACTTGCAGTCCTCCTTCCTCTGTGGTTACCTACACATTCGGGGTCTGACGGAAGATTGGCCAGAACTGACGACGTACTTCGATGCGGAAATTATTGGAACTCGGCACGGGTTCCTGACCAGGCGCTGGGGCGCTGATGAGCAGGAAGACATGAACCATTGGGACCGCTTTCCTGCCTTCCGCCGCGTGAAGCACTCCCTCCGCAAGCCCAATCTGACCATGTCGGACCCCGATTGCGGCGCCGTCTTCATGCGGTATGTGCTAAAGTCACCGTGTTCGCTTCTTCTGGCGTCAGGCTTGGTTAGCTTAGCGCTCCTTATAGGTGGAAGGAAAGGTTCTTGGTGCCAGACCATCGAGTGCAAGACATAAGCGGGGCGAGCTTTGCGGGTGCGTCTCGACCCTCTGCTTTTCCATAGCTAAGCATAGCTCTGACACCGCCATTCGGTTTACTGCCACCTACTTGTCCGATCCACAGGCTTCTACTATGTCTGCGTCGACTTCAACCCCCCACCTCCCTCCCCGATGCGCTCGACGTCCCGCCGGCGGTCGTCGAGCGCGGCGACTAAGGGCCTGCTGCAGGAGTGGCCAGAGTCGGACGGTCTCGGGCGCTCGACCGGCGGGCATGCTGCGACCATGAGCGGATATTACTTCCACCAAAATTCCGCTCCGTAAGTCTCACGTCAGCGAAGGCTATCAAAGCCATCAACCTGACTCGACCTTCTTCTGCATGCAGGTATCAGCAGCTGTCGCTGTGCCACGTCGCCGAGAACATGAGCCCTTCGTTCGAGTTCCGTTGAGTATACGTTGTGCGAGGGACTTCCTGACTGAGCCTGGTTCGTGATTGATGCTGACGACTATTTCACCTGTTGTACATTGCCCCTCCACTCCTCATGTTGCTGTCTATACCCTGCGACACATGTACCTTGTATCATTCTTCATGGAATATCATTTTTACGACCTCACTCGCGTGTGCAGCGGCAGGTACATGTAGAACCCGGCAGCTGGCCATTCGTCGAAGCTTTGGATCTGGAACGTCGACGCATAGATATACTTACTCATGCGAAGAAAAGGAGGGAAGGTTCAATCTCACTTGGTTGTATGCTACATGAACAATGGTGTTGGGGTATCGGGGAGATTTCGTCGTTACAATCATTAGAGGTTGATGTAATAAAACGGAGTCCAAGGAATGTGAAAGTCTTGTCCAAGAAACCGGGTGCCCAGTAGAGGAAAGGAGGCGCGAAACTCTACACGAGAGGTGGAAGATATCAACGTCTAAGGCTCGCAGTCGAGGCCATCCGTCTCGGCGGTCGATTACGGTAAGCGGACGGGGCCAATGACGCCGCCGTTTGCCGTGCGATCTGCGCGCGACGCAGCTCCTCGTCGATCCGCCACATGCCGGTGACGAACGCGTCGCGGTCGAGCGACCCTTGGGAAGTCAAGTCGCATTCAGCCCTGCAGGTGAGTTGGTAAACATGTGGGCTCTTTGGAAGGAGCACGACGTAGCATACCAGATCTGCTTCAGCTTGGTCCTGTCTAACCTCGACTTGATCCATATCTCCCTCACGATCGCGCCCTCCAGTCTGTCTTCCAGTCTCACGTCCTCTGCAGCCTCAGGACTTGTGACCAAGTCGACAGATAGACCCCTCCAGCCTGCGGCTTGTCGCGGGGCCAACTTTGCATTCCGTTTCTTATTGAGCACGTTGGCAGTAAAGACAGCTTCGTAGCGTTTCCGGGCTGCAGGAGGGACAGGTGTAGGGCGCGATAGCTGCGACGGTCTCGAGGCGAACGACTGGTTGGATGGCTTGGGCGTGGTAGTGGCAGAAGCGCGGGAGCTCACACTCGTCCGTGACGTGGTGGTGATGCTGCTGATGATGGACGAGCGATCTGAGGCAGTAGTGGAGGCGAGGGACGCGCGCGAGCTCGGCGGCTTTGGCGACCGCACGGGCGGGGCAGGCGGTGCGCGTCGGACGGCGTACGAGGTCGGTATCTGCGACATGGTAGGCGAGGCCGCGTTGGACCGCGGTGGGGAGGTGACTGGGGTGCCGCTCGCGGACGACCGAGGGGTAGTGCGCGGAGGAAGTTTGGGCGGGTCGGGCTTGCGCAGCGTCTGCCACGAGTCGGCGAGTCTCGCGCGCGAGGCGGTCGGGCTGCTGGTCGACGTGGTGGATAGGTGGTCGTACGAGTCGATGCTCACGCTGTCATCCTCCATGGGCGGGATGACAAACTCGGTGGGCGTGTCGGGCGTGCGCGGATCGCCACCGTCGGAAGAAAGCGAGACGGAGTGGAAGGAGGAGATGGACGAGGCTTGAGCGTGCCCCCGCCCGGGCGCAGGTCCCTTGAGGGGTAGGTAGGACGCCTCGACGGTGAGCGAGTCGGACCGAGAAACGGAGGGAGGAGCGCCGGAGTGTTCGGACGATACGGAACGGAGAGAGTTGTACGATGGTCGGCGCGGTGGGAGCTGCGGCGGGGCGGCGGGCTTCGACTTGGGCGGAGATTGCAGCATGATGAGGGGCGGCGAGCTCGAACCTGACGGCACCATCCTGGGACTCGACCTGCTGCTCGGTCCAGAGATGTCGATCCGCTTCGCATTTGGGGAGACCGAGAGCGAATGGCCCCAACCGGCATCGACGTCGGACTGCGTGCTGCTCCGGCTCACGCTCAGGCCATCGTCCAGCACCCAGTCCTGCAAATCGATCGAGCTCTTCTTCTCCAGAGACGGTGTCGGCGTCGGTCTAGGAGATGGAGACTGGGCCGCCTGGCGTGGGGTTATGGGCGATACGAGCCTCCTGGCCTCTGCGGACTGCGGTACCTCGTCTATGAGGCTGACAGGTTTCGGCGGGCCTGTCTTCGGCGAATCTTGGGGTGCACTGAGCGCCTCGAATGCGCTGATGCGCGACTGCAGGAGTGCGGAGGCCATCGGTGCGGACATGTACAGAGACGATATGGAGAGTCCGGGGGCGGACCGGACGATGAGTAGCGCCACAAGATGGCGGGAGGGCTGGAGGAGGTGCCACTCCTGTGCTCTTGCGTCCTCCCACCGCAGGGTGACACCGTTCGACGTCTTCTCGCTAGCACAGAATCTTCCGCGCTATTACGGGTGTGACTATTTGCGCACACTGATTCTCATCTTCACGACGTCTATGATTTGCCGTGCGCATCCGGCGTGATCACCTCCATGTTGACTGTTGGCGCCATTCTCCATGGTGCATCTGTACATGGATCCGCATCTTCCAGTGGCGACAGCATCAGAATGTCGATGGCGATGCCCTTTCCCCATGCGAAGGTATCGCAGGGCGTGTGTCTTGGCTGGGTCTGTGTATCGTTTGTCTCCTCGTGCTCCACTGTGGTGTCAAGCGTCCCCGGATCTGAACCAGACCGGAGTCTTAGCTCAGCTCTCGTGGAACGATGGGTATCTATGTCCAAGTCTGTCATACGTTTTCACCTCTAGTCTTTCGGCGGTGCCTGTCGTATGTGATGACTCTAAATCACGCCTTGCGGTTGGCTGTGTGGCTTTACATGTTCCTAAAGAGAGTCTTGGATGCTGCAACCCCCATTCTCACTCCGGCCTCCATGGAAAACCGCGGCGACCGATCCCGAGGGGTACTCCTACCGTTCTACATCTTGGCAGACTCGGAGCTGATCCAGCGGACAGATACTGATACGAAGTAGCACCCAGCATGAGTTCTCGAGCTTCATTCTGAGCACTCTCGTCGCAAAGGCGAGCTTGGACAGCTGTATGCGCATCCCTGGAAAACCACGTATTTGTACCGTGTCAATGCCGCTATGCAGGACTCGACTGATTACATGCATAACCATGTCTCTCTCTATGACCCGCGCTGGCCGAATCCCAATTGAATGCGTTTTCGCAGCCAATCGCGAATTCTGAGCAGCGACTGTCCATGTGTCGGAGTGCAAGACCATGTAGAAGCCAATCCGGCGGGGCTTAGATTTAATGGCGCAGCGGAGTACGAACCCATGTTTCGGTGAGTGAAAGCGGCTGCAGAACTCCGACGGATGCAAAAACATGATGTAGCAACAAGAACGCCCCATGCAACGTATGCGCGTACATTACATAGTATCGCGAACGAAACCCAAGGTTCCGGCGCTGCATTCTATGAGCTCTAGTATTCGCTCACTCTCTCGCCGCTGGACGCTCCTAAGCTCCGCCAACGTGTCCAACAGCTCAGCGTTGGCGATGATGACATCGCCGTGCATACGCAAAAACACGTTTTGCAGTGTCTGCACGGCTTCAAAGTCACGGTGGGACCGTAAGCGGCGGATGAGAGCGTGCAGAAATTGCCGTATGGCGTCCAGCGACGTGAGCTGCCTCAGTTCCAGATCAACCGCAGCAGGGGACAGCGTCTTCGCGTACGTGAAGAGATCCTCATCTGAGAATGCACAAGCGCGTTCGATCAGCTCGAGATAGCATGCTAGGACATGGAATCGCGCACATATGCCCTCAGGATCTTCCGCTTCCAGCTTTTTGTAGAAGATGCTCTCGGACTGTGCGGCTGCCTTCTCCAAGCGTCGGGTAGGCTTCTTTTCTGCTGCCTCCGGTTTCTCGATCGCGAACCGGTGTTCAACGCCAGGCAATGTGGGCAGGAAGAACGGCGCCTTTTCCGGTGCTTTGGGTGGCTCCTTTGGCTTATTGCGTTGCTATTACGATGCTCGGATCAAATTATGCGGTAACCACCACGTGAGACCACGTACTTGAATGACCTCGAGGTTCAGTAGCGTCTGCCACCTTGACCGAGGGAGCAGAGTCAAAGTGACGAGTTCCTCTCCGATTTGGGGCGGCGACATGAACACGTCCGTCGAGTCTTGCGTCACCGTCAGTGCACGAAGGCCATCCAACGCTGGCATCCAGTCAGTTATACCCTTGGAAACGTAGCAAATTTATTCGCGAACCATCGTCCTCTGTGTAATCTTGGACGCTAGGCAGTGCAACGTCCGGAATCTCGTCCTCAACCGCTGAGCGCAGGGACACTTCCGAGAATTGTGCGCGGTTTGCCCTGTAGGCGATAGTCAGAGAAGCGCGAATGGAAACGAGTTCTGCAACCATACCATAGATAAACGCCCACGCTATCGACGTGACTTGTAGCCAAGAACTCCCCAGTAGGAGAGAAAGAGATGCTTGTTGCGATGCTCGAGGTGCGGAAAGCGTCGATGCAACGACCGGTGGGCACGTCGAACGTCCTGACCACGGAGTCCAACGACGTGGTGATGAGCCAACGTGAGTCCGGAGAGAAGGTCTGGAGATCAAGGGTAAAATGAGCCATGAACCGGGCGAACAGATGACATGGTGCTTACGACGTCCAGCACTCTGCCTCTGAAGCCGCCTAGCTCACGGACGACCTTCCGCGTTTCGATGTCAACCACACGTACGACTAGGTCGTCGCAGACCACGGCGATCAGACCGCTGTCCCGCTGTAAGCTGATCGACACGGCGGCGGTGGGAAGAGAAAGGACGGTCTCGAGCTTAGTCGTGTGAAAGTCAAAGAACTAGAAACGACGGCCCAAGGTTAGCATCCCGCTCAAGAGATATCTTACGCATGACCCACGTTTACTGTTCCATCCAAAGTACTCGCAACAACTACTCGGTTGAGGGCATCGCTAGCTAAACCGGTAATGCAGCGTTGGTTGCCTTTGTCCTTCTTCGCGGCAGTTTGCGAATTGCCTACAGGATAGGGCCCTACGTCGAACGTCTTCCGTTTAAGGCCTGACTGCATGTTCCACATGCTGATGGCACCAGTGGACGACCCAATGATGGAAAAGTTTCCGCATCCGGAAACGCACACGGCCTACGCCGATCGAGGGTGAACAAAGATATCGCTTGGGCGAGAATGCTCCCTACCTTAACACTGCCAGTCGGACCTTTGGGTCTGGCCTGGTCGTCAGGCAGCGTGCTGAAGGAGTGCTTGCCTACTCTCTTGTTAAGTACGGACCATGATCTCGCGAACGTCTCATCAGCATGAGAGGTGACGACATCATCCCAGTCCTTCGACCTTGTTGTCGAAAATGATAAAGAGGTTACCGGCGAGAATTTTAGTGAAGATAGGGGTATGGAAAGATTGGTAGCTTTCTTCGAAAGCGAACCTGGACCCGTGCGCGAGTACGTTAGCAACCGCGAAAGAAGGTGTTGAGTGACTGCCTCACCTTGGCTGAATTCAAAGCTACGGGCGTCGCGTACAACACTTGTACAACGCAGTGTCCGATCCCGGCCTGCGGTGAGTAGTTGTTTTCCATCATCTCCGTAGAAACGGATAAGATGCGGAGGTGCGTGGTGACCTGAACGGAACTTGAGAAGCCTGGGAGGAGCTGTCGGCGAGTCAAATAGCCATTGCTGTTGGTCGTCAGAAGGAGACACAGTCGCGGTAGAACATATCGCACCTTCAAACTGTTATCTTCACCAGAGCTGAGCAACACCGGTTGTCCAGGTATCCATTCCAAGGCAGTAACAGCACCATCGTGGGCACCGCGGACGACGTGAAGGAGTCTGCCTCCGGCGTTGAGATCCCACAACGCTATGTGTCCTGAGGATGATGCGCTGGCCAGTATAGGTTCACCGTCAGAGCGGAAGCTCAAAGCGCGCACACCGCCTGGGCCGGCTCCGTCCATGAACATACGCATTAGACGCTCGTCTGAGCGGACGTCATATACAGATATCTCTCCAGACGAGAAACCGACCCCGACAACGTCGATGGCAGGAGACTGGGTAAGAGATGCAATGGCGGCGGGGTTATGCACGACAGAGGCCGGTAGAGTAAGCATGTTTGAAGCGGAAAATGTATGTATGAGAGTTCTGAGCCGAAATTGAGCACAAAATCAACAGGGACCGATACAGTAACTCACTGTGTGCGAATGTTCCATAACTGCATAGAACCTTCACTGCTCGCAACCAACACCTTGTTCAAGTATGTCGCAGGATGAAGTAATGTCGTCGCTGTAAATCCCGGAGAGAACTCGATAGATCCCTGTAGTTCTGGATCACAGTTGAGTGAAATCGACGGCAACAGCGTAGCGTATGGGACTAACCCCCGTCTTCGGTATTCCATACGCACATTCTGTTGCCATCTTCGGAAAGGCCGAGCAGTTGCCCGCCAAAGATCAGCATGTCCGAAATCGTGGACCCCAACGGGTTCGTCATACGAGCCACCTGGCAAGTGTTGAGCGATGACCGTAACTACTGCAGCGAGAAACACATACTTCCCGCCCCCGGATGTACTTGATCACATGCGGCCCTGAGGATGCCCATACGGCATCACCATCGAGTAGGATACTTGTTATCGGTGTCTCCGTCTCAGGCCCTACGAAATGAGCGATGGGAGCACACTTCGGCACAGCTGTTACTCACTTACCGACGAACAGTAGCCCCATCTTTCCACCCTCCCATAATGCCCAGCTACGCCCAAGGCACGTCAATATATGAACTCTTGGTCCGTCCGTGGCACCCTTGAAGCTTCTGGTTTGGAGTGCAAATGGTACATGGTTCGTAACAAGACCGAGAGCGCGGAATGGTGCGAAGATCCCAGGCTGTTGCGATTTTGTGGGTCGGTTTTCTCTGGAGGTTTTGACCCGTTTCCGAGGACGGATATCCGTATTCGCGCCGGTTTCCTTGAGCAACGTTGCGGCCATTTATCGTTGAATTGCACGTCCGGCAAGGTACAAGATCAAGGACTCAAAATTTACGAAAAAGGAAACCCCTCGCGTTGACTGGCGCCCCTCTCCTCTTCATGGCAGACGCGTCCAACGCGTTTATCAAAGGCACTCTAGCAACATGCGAGCCCGTCTCTGATTAACTAGCAGACGACTTCACTCATGCTCATACTCGACATACAGCGCTAGCATGTGCTGCAGGCACTACCTGTTATGCCACATACAAGCGAATACCTCCAACAGCCCTAGCGGTGCAGTCCGGTGTTAATGGTGCCATAGTTGGTGCTACCTTCTTCGGTGTGCTCAAAGGAGACCGCGAACATGTATCCGACAGCTGACTATTTGCAAGGGATACGGGAGTATCTCGTCATTCCGTTGTTGCAATCCGTAGCTTCCAGCGAAACTAGCATGCCATCGTCCGAGCCTAGTACCGTGCCAACGTGGTCCGAAATCCGAACACAGAACGTACGTGGTTATTGTGACTCATTGGCATGGATTGCACTCACATTAGCAAAAGTTGCGAAGTACGTTCCTCAGCGGGGCAGCGACGGGTGGCATATGGAACTCCTGGAAGCGTATGCGTCTCTTTATCAATGATCCTTCATGTTCCTTACATGAACATGCACAGGTGGTCCTCCAGGAATGATTCCGGGCATGGTTACCGGAGCTCTCATCTGCACTCTAGTGCAGCTGAGCTACAACGAGCTTCAAGTGCGCCGGCTGATGTTCCTCTCGAGCCGACTACAGGAATTACCTCCGGCTATTTCCCACACACCTAGCCCGGCTTTTGACGCTGGGCAGGCGGCCCTGCCCTCCGCCTCGTCATCGTTCTCAAGTCCCTCTCCTGGGAAGCGGTCGTTCTGGGAATCTACACTTGACACGCTTGGCAAGACAGGCATGTTCCATCGGATATCCAATGAGGAATACCTTGCTCGGCTGAAGATTGAAAGAGACACCGCGCTACAACGAATAGAAGAGCTTGAAGCTCAGCTTGCCAAAGACCATTCGCAGAGCAAGCCGAGATGAATCAATCCGCCGATGTTTTGGAATAAACTACCCGACTGTCATACCTATAGCTAGTCGCTAATCATTCTCTAATCCTTTTCTGCACTACTCGACACATTTGCCTTCACGTTTGATGGCGCAAGACAAGTGCGAACAACCCCTTTGCCATCTTTATCGAAGCCTCCCACGGCGTAGCATAACGCCGAGTCATCATCCGTGCCTACGCCGCAGACGCAGAAGCAATTGACTTTTTCCATGCCGATGGTGTTCGTCGTCCAGCGCCGATCAACGGAGAAAAGTTCTTCGCCTGTTTGCGGCGCTTTCTCTGTCATGGTATATAGCGACACAGAACCCAACAGTGTGCACGTCAGGAATGAATCCCGACCGGTGAAGGCTCTGTCCCCGCGTTTCTCAGCATGCCATCATCCTTTGGAACGATGATGGACCTACATGCCAACTATCGGTCCTTCTGCCGCTTGCACGCACATGGCTTGATCCTTCAACCCGTCCCATTTGCGGCTGCGTTTCTTCTTTGCATGCTTCGAGAGTCTGTCCGTTCCCCCGATCCAAACACGGCCATCCGCCAAGCCGGCGATGAGCACAGCGTCCTCTGACATCGCCGTACATTGAATGAAAGGCGGCGACAACGATACTCCCGGTGCCGAGGGTGTCGATGCTGCAATGCGTCAGTTAAGATATCGTCAGATGAGATTGATTCCTAAGCTCACAGATGTCAAGTCTGGAAAGTATCGTGCCTTGCGTGAAATCGAAGTGCAAGAGCGCGCAGTCGTAGCCGCCGCTGATTAGCTCACTAGGTCGGTTTGGAATGAATTTGACAGTGCTGCATATCTAGAAGTCCGCGTAAGACATCAGGTTGAAGGGCCGGCATCCAACGAACCCACATTCTGATGCCGGGTCTTCATACGCATGACTTTGTGGGTTGACAGTTCAACAGCTCCAACGGATCCCGCGTCTGTGCTGAACGCTAGGTATTTATTGGTAAGGCTGAGCTAGCTAGCGTGAGCTAGACAAAAGCAAATGTGCGATTGCTGGTACCCACCTCGTTCACATTGTCGTCCTCGTCTTCTCCTAGTTCAAGAATAACCTCTGCCTCGCCACCGTTTAGCACCAGCTTGTCGCTGTCTAAGGACAAAGAATATGCCTGAGGGAGAATCCGTAAGGAGAAAGGGGTTTCTGGTGTTCATCCAACGTGCCTTTCGCCCTGCTGCAATCCACAATTGCAAGCCAGTTACTCCCTCAGCATTGTCGCTCGACCCAGGACGACGGGCGATCTGCACGGAAGAAACATCTGTGCCCAGCCCGCGCACGGCTTTGAGGACCCGCGGGGAGGACACGGAGTAGATGCGCAAAGTTCCGTCATCTGCGATCCAACAGTCGATACAATAGCACAGTGTAGGAGCGCAGGAGGCAACCAACTCACCACCGCCGACAAAGAGGTGATTTAATTGATACGCTAGGTATGACACTGGCGCTGGCGTCGTTCGATGCGTTCCACTGCTAGGGATCTCGTTCATGTCCAATAGATGACACAGCCAGCCTGGGAATCCTCGCGCATCAGGCGACCAAGGCAAGGCGATATGAGTTGAGGTCTAGAGAAGCATATTCGTGTCGAATGCGGATGAGTCCCAATATGGACATCCCTGTCATTTTCCCTGCCACGCAGGCGCGAAGTCGCATAATGTACAGATTAATTTACTACACGATCCGGTTCCGATTGGTGTAATTCGTCTCAATGCCGTGATAATTCCTAGTAAAGGCTGCGCTTGCCGTTGAGGCCACCGGTGGCACCAGTGGTGGAGATGCGTGCCTCAGCATCCGCGATTGTGTCGCAGGTGATGCTGGTTCCGGGGGAGTTGACGAGAGGAAGAGCGACGCAGCTCAGGCCTGCGGCGCACGGGCTGAGCAGGCGCTGGCCACCGACACACTGCGACAACTGTCCGTTGACACACTCCGTCTGGCCGTCGGTGCACGGAGCATCGGCGGTCAGGGAGGCGAACTTAGCGTTCAGGGCCTGAGCGTCCTTGCCGTTTTGCAGGGTGAACTCGGCACGCTTCTTCTCCTTGAGGATAGAGCGCTTTCCGGTAACCCCACCGGTAGCGCCTGTGTTAGCAATGCGCTGTGCCGCATCAGCGTCCGTGGAGCAGGTGATGCTGCAGGATGTTGTCAGTTCTGCAGGGATCGTCTTTTCGATAGAATTTACCTGGTACCGGCCGAGTTGACGAGAGGCAAAGCGACACACTTCAGTGTCGCCGCACATGGGAACGTGACCTACATGCAAACGATGAGCAGCGTTCGGAATACAATATGAGAGACCTGACAAATTTCCCGTTGGCGCATTGGGCGAACTGGCCTTGGACACAAGCGTTCTCGCCGTCCGTGCATGCGGAGCTCGGAGTGAGGGTCGCAAACTTCGCGTTCAGAGCCTGTGCGTCCTTGCCATTCTGAAGGGTGAAGGCAGCGCGCTTCTCCGAGGCAGCCACGAGGAAGGGGAGAACTGCAATGGTAGCAACAGTGAAGCGCATCTTGACGGAATTATAATGGGGCGTTGGATGGAGACGTAGAGATCGTTGGATCGTGAAGTGAAAAGACCAGTTGCGACTTGCGCGAGAAGGAAAAGACGGGTGTTGGGAATGAGCAACCGGGCTGGAGTATTGATGCGCAGGTCCCCCTGCTTTAATACCGCCCGATCGCTGGCCCGGCCATTTTCGCCAGGGCTCTCAGGGTTCCGGTGATGGAGAAATGCAGCGACTCCAAGAGAGGAATGTTTGGATGGGTCATTCGATCATGCGCTGGGCCAGCATGTGGAGGAAGCACCAACAGAATAAGGCTGTTCTAGTATGTGACGCTGATGGATGCAGGCGAGACAGAGAGAACGGTGATGTCGGTCGCCAGGAAAGACCCTTCGACGGGGGCTGTGACATCTATACACTCAGTGCTTCAGCCACTGGAGTGCACGATTGAAAACCAACGCACTCTTCGGATCACATCAGTTGTCTGTAAAGCGTCTTACTGCGTTTTGGATGAGCGCAGACCCTATAAGCTACTCTTGACGAGCGTAGGGACCCTACCTAGCATTATGTCTGGATCTCGCATGAGTAGTATCATCAGCATCGCGCTGGACCATAGTGCAGGGATTGTGTATCTGTTGCGGTATTTAGATGTCGCTGTTTTCGTCGGTGCGTGATGTGGAATGGGCTTCTTCATCTGACGGCAAAGAGGCCCGAAACAGGTTTTGAGATGATTCTATATCTTCCATGAGTGCCACGAGTTTAAGCTTTGCCCCTCCGCCAGGTTTATACTTGCGCATTGCCTCCACCTTGGGAAACACGCGAGGAACAATTCGATCGAAACTCATTCATGGGTGCGCCACTTGCTTGATGAAATGCACGGTCCTCCATATTCAAGCGACCTTGAAAAACGTAGGCACACGTTGACTGTCGCATACGGCAGCTCCCGACGGCATGAGATTATCCATGCATTGAGACCGCGTAGTCAGCCAGTCCGTTGTAGAGTACAGAAAGAGGACGTAACGAGCAGTAAACAACAGCGGGGGGTGGGAGATGTGGGGAAGTTCTGACACTCTCGGCGCCATCAATGAGAGCGAGAGAGCTCTTATGCCGCCCAGCATTCGTGTTCGCTAGCCGAATCGCCTCATCCAGCGTCGAGCGCTCTTGGAGGACGGGCACTGTCTTTGAAAGCTGCGGTGAAGGACAACACGGCGGAAAATTGGAGGTTTATATACGAAGACTTTCACGTGACCGCTGTATCCCATCAGTGTCGGACGATTATTTAGACACGGCGGCTCATTCGGACATCGCCGGGATAGCTCAGCTGGGAGAGCAACAGACTGAAGCCTTGGCGCCTTCTGGAGGTCCCGTGTTCAATCCACGGTCCTGGCATTTTTTGTCTCGTTTGCACCATCATCCATGGGATAATACACCAGCCCGCCGAAGGTCCACTTCAACTGGGTGGACCGCATTACTAGTCGAACGACTTTGTGTTGAAGCACAGATGCAGTCATAGAGGGGCTATGTACAAAGTGGATTTGGCCCTCATGCAATGGTATATTTTCCGTAGTCTTTCTCAGGATCGTATACCTAACGACAGATGACGACTCGGAATGAGGCTAAGCAGACGAGGAAGCACGGGCGAGTTGCTCACCTCCCATCGCGAGGCTGGGAAAATATGTTTGTTCCTCTGATAGTAACTTCGAGTCACGACCTTTCCGGCATGAGACTCGTCCTTCTCAACCGTGGCGTCGGCGAGCATGCGGACATCGTCATGCACGTCGAAATTGAATAGAGGCCCAGATTTTCCGCGAGCTTTGTTGATGATGAAGTCGTAAAATGTGTAGTGCTTTGACAGAATCAGTTGACCGCATGATGGGGTCCCTCCAGCGAAAACGCACATGAGGTATAATGAGATCCTCCTACAAACGAACTCATCAAGATGACGAAGGACCGACTGCATCGTCTATACTCACCTTCACGTACATGAGGTTATCAGCGCTAACAGAGCGAAGCTCCGGAAATTGCTGGCGTGCCTTCTCCAAGAAAGTGCCGATTTCGTCCCCCTTCTTACACTAGTGAAGAGTGAATCACAGCGAGGTACCGGTACAACTAACGATCAACTTGGGTGCGCGACCTGAGCGACGTGGAAAACTCACCATCACGCTCTTTCGGTGGCCGCTTCCATCCCAGAACGAGTACACGATCTCAATGTCCTCGTTCTTGAGTTCTTCCTGTTTGCGTAGCCACTCCTGGCGCAGCCGTTCTCGCTCCCGGCGCTCCGCCTCCTCGCGCTCACGGTCCGGAAGGAAAGACGTGTCAGCCAGGGGGTTCTTCCGGAGCTTAGTGCGCTTCGTAGGTTGAGCACTGTCGGCGTCGCTGTCTTTCGGCAACGGTTCGTCCCCTTCATCGTCGTCCAGGGCGAATGACAACGTTGACTTCCCAGCCTTCTTCCTCTTCTTCACTTTTTTCTGCTCATCTCTAAGCACACACTAACCGTTGTAAGCTTTCCATCTTTTGAACGCAGGGTGATCTTGGGGAGGGGAGGTCGAGGGACAAGTAACTCACTTGAGTTCGTTCGTCTTGGCCGCCTCTCTGGCTTTGGCTTCTTCAATCTCCTTGCGCCGCTGCTGAAAGTCCTCTAGCCGCACAAGACCGACCGTGTGCTTCTTGAGAGAGTCCTCCATGGAATCATTCTGGCCAACGAATCGGCTCGACGACGGTCGAGCCTTCTCGGTCTCGTTGATGAGTTGCTGCTTTTGGCGCTGGAACTCCTCGCGCATCTTGTCGCGTTCTTTCTCCAACGCGTCCTGGCGACGGGCTTCAGCTTTGTTGTCGGACATATTGTGTAGTGGTTTGCGGATGGTGGGGTGAGGGCAAGTCGTAACTTCACTCACACTACCGGCGCGCGTCGCCGAGTCGCGACCTCCTTCCTCCGACCATGGTCCACGTACTGGGTGTGCTGTTGCCGGACCACCAGTTGGCTAGAGTACGTGACGTTGCCATCTATCTGAGCTTCTAGGGAGTCGACTAACATTCTGCAGTATGCCCTCACCCACATTTACGGGATTGGCAGGACAACCGCACACCGCATATGTGCCCGCCTGCAAATACACAACACTGCCAAAATGCGGGACCTTTCAAGAACGCAGATCACAGCGCTACAAGCATTACTCTCTTCTCCATCCACTGCACCAGCCCCTCCTCGTCTACCACTAGCCGGCCCTTCGTTCGTTCCGCCTCCCGCCTCTACGCCTCTGCAAAAGCTCCCGCAGCCGATTCCAGTGGCGGTCAAGGACAATAAGAATGGGAGAAGCCACGACCTCCTTCGGAACCTCAAGATATTGTCCGAGCTCAAGAGAGAGGTCCGGGAGAACATTGCGCACCAGCGCAAGATCGGCAGCTACGTCGGTTTACGGCACTCCATGGGGCTTCCTGTCAGGGGACAGAATACACAGTCCAACGCGAAGACAGCGAGGAAACTCAACAGAATCGAGCGTTACGCCTAGCTCTGATCCGTGTATGTGGTTACCCGGGGTGAGAGTTCTGAGGGTAGGGAGGTGGTTTATCAAGCGTATGAATCGGCAACTTGGCAATGGCGCGTGCCGACTCCAGTTGAAGCAATCTCATTTATCGTACACGTTCTAATCGCTGTGCGTCTAGTCATCACCGACTGGAACCTCCTCCTCCAGATATTTGATCAACTGAACTCGTATCTCCGTTGCCTCATCCCCTCGGAGCACATCGGACAGGAACTCTGCCTTGACCTGCATTTGAACCTGACAATACATGAGCACATGAGTCAAAGCGTATATGCGGGGAACTGCACCATTTCTAGTGATCCCCTCAAAACCCCGCATAGGACATTGCTGAACCACAGCCCGCCCTCCAGCGCTTCTTCTGGGAGCTCCACAAATTCCGCCAGCGGGTTCTCATCGAATGTCAAGACGAAAGATGCCCCCGAAGCCCCTGGCTGCAATGTTGGGGCGCCCGTCCGAGGCGAAGAAGGCGCAGGGAGGGCGGCGTGAGTTACGGTTGGGGTAATGTTGAGGAAAGCTTTGAAACCAATCTGTGATGCGGGTCAACATATATTTTAGAGACGGTTGGAGCAGGGCCCCGACCTTGGCGATGACCTCTCCCACTTCACGGAAGTCCGTGCATCGTCCCAGGTTACTCCTCGCGAGGAAATCCTCGATAAGTCGAGTGCCGATGTTATAGCCCATCTTCTCCAGCTGTTTGTTCACTTCCGCATAGTCTTCATAGTCCTGGATGAGTTGAACGACGAGAGCGCCATACGTGAGGGCAAAGAGTTCGGCATTCTGTGACACAGATCTGGGGGTTAGATGCGGGTCACTGAACTGTGCAGGGAGAGTGATACAACGGACGTGCACGTACGATTTTCTCCGTGCGTCCTCTCCATATATCCTCACCGATCGCCTTGTATTGTTTGCTTGTCGACGCCATGGAAAGGCAACACAGGAGGTTGAGACTATATGCTGTTGTTGGATATCGAGTATAAGTGGCAGAGCCGCATCAGCAGTTACGCGAACGCGCTTGAGACGCGGCACCGAGCCTCTTGAACTCGAACGCGACATTTTCGACCAGCTGGCCGGTTAGACTCGCGTGAATCATCCTTACGAATAGAAGTCCACCTCGTCAGTGATAACACGCGTACGCCTCGCAATGAACGATGGAGTCGCGCCAGCAGGCCAGGCTTCTGCCACAGTAGCAGTGGCGCCTGCTGTCGACGCAACTGCCAATGGTGGAGGGGCCCAGTGGCCCCTGCAGGGATTCGCGACAGACAAGTGCGTAATTTCATTTCAGTGTACGGGATTTGTATATGGATATGATTGCTCACAACTTCCCGAAGCACAGCCCATACTTTCAAGCCGGGTTTGGACTGATGGTAGGTGCGAACATTCTGTGACTGTGCTGAAGACGTGCTCAAGATGGTTACAGGGCGTCGGCGTCGCTCTCGGAGCAGCTCGTCAAGCCGCTATGTTCGGGCTGACAGCCGCTCGTAGACGGCTGCTGGTCTCTCTCGAAATGAACAACAAGGACCGCGCGTATGCGTGGTTCTTAGGATGGATGGCCAACAACTCCAACCTAGCGGCGAAGTCAAGGGCCAGTACCTGGCTGAGAAGCCATGAGCTCAGTGTATCTACCGTCTTTGAGCAAGGCCAGAATCGGGCTTCCTTCTCTGGCTTTGATATTACAGCAGGCCCTGGCATGCACTGGTTCAGGTATCGCGGTGCCTGGATGCAGGTAAGCGATTTTCACCGTAATGGTAAGGAACCCATCCGACTGTTCGTCGCAGGTGAAGCGGGAGCGAGAGACTCGTGCTACGAATATCAGTACCGGCGTGCCTTGGGAGACTGTTACGATTACGACGCTCTCTCGGGACCGCGATCTTTTCCTTCAGCTGCTCTCTGAAGCAAGGGATCTTGCAATGCAAGGGAACGAGGGCAAACTATCTGTTCATATCCCGGACAGCACTCGCTGGCGCCCATTTGGCCAGCCAAAACGGAAAAGACCAATCAAGAGTGTTGTGTTAGACGACGGTGTAGCTGAGAAAGTGGAGCGCGACATACGCGCATTCCTCGACCGCCGGCAATGGTATGCAGACAGAGGTGTGGACGTCGTTCATATCATACGCCCAATGCTTAGAGGCCCTATTAGGCATCCCGTATCGTCGAGGGTATCTTCTTTACGGTCCTCCTGGCTCGGGGAAATCGTCTTTTATACAGGCAATCGCAGGCGAACTCAACTATGACATATGCATCTTGAATCTCTCGGAACGTGGTCTAGGCGACGATAGGTTGTTCCACCTCCTATCGAACATACCGGAACGGAGCATCGTTCTTATCGAAGATATCGACGCTGCGTTCAATAAGCGGGCCCAGAGTAACGAAGACGGGTAGGTTACACCCTCTTCCGGCGGGTCTCCGATTAATTCGCCTCCTGTAGATATCAATCCTCCGTGACATTCTCGGGATTTCTGAACGCTCTTGACGGCGTAGCTTCCAGCGAAGAACGCATAATCTTTATGACCACCAATCACATACAACACCTCGACCCTGCTCTGATACGCCCCGGTCGAGTAGATGTGCCCATTTTGCTAGACGATGCTAGTCCTTCCCAAGCCAGGCGTCTGTTTACTCAATTCTACGAGGACGGAGAAGGTATAAACAGCGTCATATCAGAAAAGGAGGAGCCGCTTGACCAGGAGCAGCTTCGCGCGTTGGCCAGCTCGTTGGAGGCTCAGGTCCGGAAAGCAATGGACAACGGTAAACGGGTCAGTATGGCGGCTTTGCAGGGTCTCTTCATTCTCAATGGCCCCCGTGCGGCGGTATCGAAATGCTCGAGCTTGTTTGCACAACGATAGATGGAGTTAATACAGTAAAATATCCATGCAACAACGTCCCTTGGTGCACTCAGTACACGCGCCCCGCCTCAGAAAATCGCTTTCCGTTTTCGACCAGTATACTTGGAATCGTGAGGTACCGACTCCTTCCCTCGCCTGCGATATAGCTGGATCAAAAGTAAGAACGATATTCCCCAAATGCGCCATGACACTTCACCTCCTTCTTCTTGAGAATCCAGTCTTTATCTTTGACCGATTTCCGTTTTCCGGACCTGTCCCTTCTTTGCTCTCGTGCACGTCTTCTTTCAAACATCGCTTGTGACTGTTCATCCTCCGCCTCTTCGCCTTCCAGGCCTTTGGGTAGTTGGCTCTGACGGCTACCACTCCCAACGTATAACACGAGGAAAACTTTCTTAGCCTTCTTCGAGTTTGGGTAATCGACGACGATTCCACCACCGAACCCGGCTTTTTGAGCGATGGAAGTAATCAGTTGTATCTGATCGTCCGAAGTGGGGTAGAACTGGAGAACAGCGCGGGACGGATTTCGCAAAGCGGAGTATAGGGTGGTGAAGAACCGGGTAAGTCGATGGGGTGGCGACGATGTGGGGTGTGACGTCTCGGCGTTCAATAACCATTGTATGACTGAAATGCTGCAAGCATAGATTATGAGCACCTTGACTGCATTCATTATACGTCACGCACCTGATCGCGCCGTCAAAACTCCCTGGTCGGAAACCAAAGCCTTGGCCTATGTCTTGCAGAAAAAGATCACCCTCAACCTCTCGTTCCAAAGCGACCTCTCCAAGTGAATGGGGTAATAAAATCAATCAGCTCGATGAGCCTCGGCCACAAGGTCTTGACCTACCTAGCATGCTAGGTGATATGTCCACGCCCGTCCATATGTAACCCTCTTCATCAAGGATCTCGCCTGAAAGTCCAGAACCACAGCCAATGTCCAAGAGAAACGCAGGTTCGTCCAGCGGAAGGTTGAGAAGTTCCAAAGCTCGGTACGTCATCTGGGCTTGAATTTGTTGGATGCGGGTACTGTGCATGAACGGTTATCCAAGCTGCCGAGACGCGCTTCAACCCAAAATCACAAACTTCGCTGTATATTTCTTGGCCTCATCGTCTCCGTAATACTGCAATCGGACGACACGGTCAGTCTTTTTATAATATGGAGTGCCGTCGACTTGCAATTTCCGGTGGCGCTTGTAGCTCAGGTCGCGACATCGGTGATTGTGAGAGAGAAAACTAACGCAAGGTGTCGCGCGTCGCACGATCGCTCATACCGCACACTGGCACCATGACAAGCCCCCCAAGCTCGCGCTCATGGGCTAGTCGTATCGAGGCGGTGGCAAGGCAAATATTCCACCTACCGGGGCTTCGCGATGAGCAGGAGCAGTGAGCTATCTGGATCGGATCATATGATAACAAAGGCCGACGATCCATTGATGAAGGGTGATACAGGCGATGTTGGCTGGACAAAATGTTGTCTGCCAGTTTGCAACAGGTGCGTGAAGATCCGGTTATTTGTTCAATATTCCTGTTGATGGTATACAGGGGCAGGAAAATCTATCGTGTACCAGATCCCGGCGCTCTTATCACGAGGCATGACGTTAATCGTCCTCCCTCATATTGCTTTGATCAAGGATCAGCTTATGCATTTGCATGACCTGAATCGTTAGTGTCTTCCAGCAAACAGGATTACGCGCAGCTCACAAGAATTGATCACAGTAAAGAATCAGGTGGAGGCGATCGCCAACGGACTGACCGACAATGTGCAGTATCACCAAATCATTGCCAAACTCTCGCAGGTTGATTACAACGGATGCATCATCAAGATGCTGTATATTTGTGTAAGTATTTCATTGATGCACATATGTATATTATATGTTAACTGATGCAGAGTAGCCCGAGCGATTCGAGTCGCCATCGTTCAGGGACATCGTAAAAAAGCTCATCAATGAGCAGCTCATTGGTGAGGGGTATTCACCATGCATTCATGTTTCCTACGATACTCAACTGCTGTGACAGCTAGGATTCATTTTGATGAAGCCCATTGCATGCTCGACTATGCAACACAAAGGCAGGACTTTTGTGCATGCTGTAACAACATCATGCTGATACTGTACCTTATTGGAAGGCCTGCATACCACAATGCAGAGACATTTAACCTATTTCAGGGTATACCCAAATCATTGACATCCGCCACTATACTACCAAGTTCTCTGGTCAAAGTAGTCAAGCTTTTAGGCATACCACTAGACGCAGGTGTGATCACTCAAATTGACAAGGTGTAGATGCTTAGATGATTGGCCTAGAATCCTTTGTTCATTTTTCAGCACCACTTTACCGCCCAAACCTGCAGTATGCTGTATATCCTAAGACTGCAGATCCCCAGAACCCATGCAAGTCTAAAGAACGTGCATCACTAGAACACATGGCCAGGCTCATCACTGGGGAACTCTCAGATGCCACTGGTATCATTTTCTGTTCAACCACTGAAGTCAGTTCAGATGTTAGTCACTCCGAGAATCACTTTTACTAAAATATAGAACAAGGAGACCAATCAGGTTGTGGAAGCTCTTGAGGATATCACCCATGGTGCTGTAGCGCCAAGAACCTATTATGCAAATCTACCAGGACAGGTAAAGAATATCCGACATGAAATGTGGTCTGAGGGAAAACTCAAATTGCTTGTGGCAACAACTGGTAAATACTCATTTTATATGTTTTGCTATCTGGTCATATGTTGACTTGCCTAGCAATTGCATTAGGGACCAACAACCTTGAAGGTATGTGGAACACCTTGGATAAACTGTCTTTGTTGGTTGACAATATATTCCACTCAGTCCAATATGTGATTCATTGGAAAGTGTGTATGCTAGTTCTTATCTTAGTTTCACTGATATTTATTATCTCACAGATTCCAGTAAGTGCACTCACCACAGGGTTTTGCATGTCTAAGCACCAGAATGATATCACAGAGATCGCTGGAGGCATATTACCAAGAGAGTGGCAGAGCTGGCAGTCAGTACAACTATCATGAGAGATCAGAGGACCTCTGACTTATGAAACTGTCACAGGGGATGGAAAGCCGGCAAGGTGTATCTTATACTTTGCACCAGAAGATGTTCCAACCGTAGCTTTCCTACTCCATGAAGCATCTGAAGAAAATCACAAATCTTGTATGTTCCCATGTTCTATCAATGGTGTTGCTACTTGGGCTCAATAGGTTTTGTAACTCCCTTAGTTTGTGCCATGGTTGAGTATGCAATTGAACACAGGTTTTGCAGAGTGAAACAGCTGGGAAGGTGTGCAATTCTCTTGATATAACACCTAATCTGATCTATGATTTCAGCTACTTCCAGGGTACAAGATCAGGGGTTCAATGGTTTGCACATGAAGTTGGTGAAGATTTCCAATGTGGTCAATGTGACACATGCTGCAGGCGGTTGTCCAGTGCATGTCCTCACGATATCTCGTTGTTGGCATGGCAAATTATCCAAGCCATGACAGAAATAGAGGATAACAGTCATATCCCTAATGGCCTTAGCCTCAAGCAATGGTGTATGTATCCAATTCATATATGATCATTTGCCAATCTCATGTCAGCGGAACACGACTCTAGCTCACCTCCTGCTGAAGGATGAACCCCGCAGTGAATATGGTCCATATCTAGCATTGGACAAGTTACATGCATTCAAGGATAAGTGTTCGCAGTGGGCATACACTGAGACTGTGAGAGACAAGGCATGCACAGTCTTTGGTGCAGGTGAAAAACCTGCCAATATCACACAAGAGGTGTGCTGTTATTCATTCACAGTACTAGCTGATCATTCAACACTCAATTTCATGACACAGGAGTTACAGATGATCCTCTTGAAGTTGATGGTGGCTGGAGAATTGCAGCTACATGTCCATCGACCTGTATCAGGTTCACACCCGACAACCACTTATCTACGATTCAAGGTATCACGTCAACACCGGCAAATTGGAGCCGGTCAAAAGCCATTGTTGTTTGCCCTAAGATGGATCACACCAAAGCAAGTTCCCCGAAGGAACAGAGCTTATGTGCTTTTGGTATCCAGGAAGCCTCATAACCGGAGGAGTGCTTAGCCCCCTGGAGCAAGTCAAAGCTGCGGTCCCTCGCGTATTACTCAGCTCACATTGTTGCCCCATCGTGCGATTGCATTCATGTGTAATCCTATTCCTTGAGTACTCCAGAGGTAATCACAACATGACCAAACCGACCCCGCTTCCAATTTTCTTATCTCCGAGCGCATTGACTCCCGCCAACGGCGAGGTTCTCCAGTTGTACAGATAGTAATTGAGTAGGCCATCGCCTTGGCCGAACTGCAGAGGTTCAGCATTGATGCCTAGCGGAAAGTGAATGCATACGAACCTTTTGCTCTGATAAGAAATCCACATTATCCATAAGTGTTAGTGCGTTGAAGACGTCGAACTTGGCTTGGTCGGCGATGATCAGCGCATCACCAACCAACTCGTTCAAGCGCTTTTTGAGCCGACCACCCGAGTCCCCGTCTGGTAGGAAGGCAACATCAGTTGCGTAATAGAACAGATACGCCACTTCGAGTAGGTTATGCTTCGGGTTGTCGATAATCGTCGATGGAAGAAAGTAGAACGAGAAGAAATCCGTGATTTTGTGCGTCTCCGGGTTCTAACACGCACTCGGTTCAGTGCGTATGTCGCAACTGGGTTTGACTACATACCTCGACCACATACGTCCAGGTGACCTGATCCGCCCTCCTGCCTGCGAACGGCTCCGCTTTGTGTCCAGTTCCCTTCCCGCTCAGGAGATGGTGACGAATGTCGTCAAGCGTCATCAACACCGACAAATCGAACCGTTTCATATACCTGGCGTATAGTTCGGCCACTTCAGGAACGTCGGCTTCCTCCATTTCACGTAAACCATGCCCTGCTAAGTGCGGCGAGGTTGGTAACTTGTTCAACCTGATCATCCGCGCGAGCGTCATATTCCGCGGTACGCCCATGAACTTCACGTCGACAAGCTTCGGTACATTGAGCGATCGGTGAAAGTATCTGGCCCATTATTCAGTGGACGTTACTGTTGGGATGACGTGGTAAATACCTGCAAGTCGTCACTGGAGTGGGTAGAAGGACGCCAGCAGTGTACACAGCTTGGAAGATGCCCTTCAGGTTACATTGGCGGGTCACTTCCTTGATCAATACAGGCGCCAGTCGCTTTGAACGAAGTTTCTTATGAACGCATAGATAGTTAATTTCGCTTGCGTGTATCAGGCTGTTGGTTTACGCTTGTCAGCACAGGCCGACGTGGACAGATATCTGGCATACTTGTCTCGAACGCGCATCGTTACAGGAACCCCCGAGATGAATGCAACGAGCTTCTTGTTGGACGCTACACGTACGCCGATATGCCACTCCTTGTGATATCCAGGCGGCATGAGTGCCCTGCGGTATTTCAGGTAGATCGCAGGCGTACGGAGGTACAGAACTCACCATCGCAGAAACTCAGGGCTATAGAGAAACCGGAACGCCGCGTTGGGATCCTCGACGTAGTGGCCAGAAAGTAGTTCATGCAATTCGTTCAACTGCAACCCACCTTAGACCAGATCAGAGTCGATAGTAGCAGAGTTCTTACCTGCACAGAATCGCTGATATCCATAAGGGACCACGTGAAGTCTTTGGGCAATGGGTACGGTTCTTGCCTCACTTCCTCGCGGGGTTTCGGGGGTTCGATGTATCCATCAGCAAGCGGAGGCTCCTCGCCTGCACGATCATAGTGTGGGGTCAATGACATACATCATGGACAGTAACTCTGACCCCACCGAGTTGGGGAACCGGTTGTGTGCCCCAGAACTGGGGAACTATGAGTTGAGGCTTTTCGCAACAGAAGCCGACTACGTACTTTATGATCGCCCGCATCTTTCCTATTCTTGCCCCCGATACCAGCCTTCCCTTTCAGCACGTCCATAATCTTCATTTGATCTAACGCTTGGCGCACGGTCTCCTCGTTTACATCCGCACTTTCTCCTTGCTCAGCGCGTACTTTCTCGAGCACCTCTTCTACAACGGACTGAGGGATGTTAGACCCGGGCCGCAACGCCTGGAGCGCTTTTGCCGCCTTGGATCTCTTCTTTTTCTTCTTTTTCGACGACGACGATGTGGATGGTTGATTGGTAGCATTGTCGTGGACTTCCTCGGCCTCGGAGCCTGACGAAATCTCGTTCTCCGCTCCTTCGGCGGCGAGTCCCGCGCCTTCCTCAAGTTCAGCCTGGGTGGACTGCAATGAGGACATGTCGAGACGAAGGGAGTAGAAGAAGGATCGCAGTTAGATCTGACATCACGCGGCTGGTGGTTCCGGCTGTGTTCGCCTGTTACTTACACTGTCGCTACCGGCTCTCTGCCTTTGTTATCTGTTGCAGAACGCCGAGATACACGTACTCTTGCAACGATGTCAGGGACTGGCCCAAGAGAAAACATATTCCCAACGCGGATGGCGTTGACGAACACGAAGCTCCGGCTGAAGGGCGCGCAGACCGGTCATTCTCTCTTGGCGAAGAAGCGAGACGCGCTCACAACACGATTCAGGGCAATCCTGAAGAAGGTCGACGAGGTTTGTTCCTCTCAATCAATGTTCATATAGGATATCCCCCCATCAAGTTACAACGTTGTATTCTCCGCATGAGCTGACATACGTTTCTGTTCTTGAAGGCGAAACGGAAGATGGGCAGGGTGATGCAACTAGCATCATTCTCGATGGCGGAAGTCACCTATGCAACCGGAGATATATCATACCTCGTCCAGGAGCAAGCAAAATCAGCGACATTCAAGGTGAAGGCAAGACAGGATAATGTTTCCGGTGTTATCCTGCCCGCCTTTGACGTGGATAGGGTGCCCGGTTCAGGTCCGTCCCACGATTTGTGGCCCCATCCCGTTTCATGCTGATATGAATGTAGACTTCAACTTGACTGGTCTTGGCAGAGGTGGTCAGAAGGTTCTTAAAGCGAAGGAGGTGTACGCGAAAGCGGTTGAAACTCTCGTCGAATTAGCATCGCTCCAAACAGCATTCACCATCCTTGACGAGGTTATTCGCGCTACGAACCGACGAGTGAACGCAATCGAGCACGTCGTCATACCAAAATTAGACAACACGATCAAGTACATCATGAGCGAATTGGACGAAATGGATCGCGAGGAGTTCTTCCGGTATATCATGCATTCCGACTATTACGAGGCACTTTCACTCACGATACATGTAGGTTGAAGAAAGTGCAGGGGAAAAAGAAGCGTGACGCCGAGGCAGAGGCAGCGAGGAAGGCACTCGAGGGCGAGGAGGATGGAGGACGGGGCAACATCGACCCAGGGAGCATCGAACAGCTCAAACTTGGGGAAGATGCGCCGTCAGACTTGCTCAACGCGAAGGACGAAGATGTCATCTTCTAACGCGATCCTGGTCGATGCACGAAATCGTCGCTCTCTTTCACGCATTCTACGACTCATTCGATATCATATGAGAAACAATTCATCAAGCAGAGCTGAGACGCGGACGCGATATCATGGAACATATCCTCATGGTCGGTAGGGGTGCATACATACATGGATGTATTTTGCGTGCAGATGCGAAGAACCAGATGAAAAGAACGATGCTTACTATTGGCATCACTCAATAAGGCTTGACCGACAAAGATAGGATAAAAACTCACGTCGGTCATCTCGACATCACCGCCTGCGTTCTTCTTGCGATCCTTGCGGTCAAGAATTGCTCGCCTGTCCTTGTCGAGCTTGAGGGTGGTGACGACGACCTTCGACGGGTGGATGCCGATCGAAGCGGTAGCGCCGTTCGACTTGTCCCTCTGGACGCGGTCGACGTAGATGACCCACTTTTTGCGGTACACCTGAGTGACCTTGCCCTCACGGCCTTTGTACTTTCCCCGAACTATCCGAACCTCATCGTCCTTGCGAATGGGGATTGATCGGGTCTAATGCAGCGTCAATTGCGATGTTCAAAAACGTCCTTTCGCGCTGACATACGTTGTGCTTGCCGCGGAGCTCCTTGGACAAGGGAGCCGACATGATCTTGCGGCGCACGGACGAGGGCGCACCGAAGTGCGCCTTGTGGCTCTTGCGCCGGGACGAGGAGGTGTCTGAATGAGCATATGCCAGCCAAGAGTCAGCAGTCGGTTCGTAAGTCCAGCAAGCACATCCAAGGATTCGACGAGCCATCCATCACAGTGAGACCACATTTCGACACCGTGTTTTCCGCAAGAGTGCACGGGAAGGCTCCGCATACGACCAGACGAGCAGCACTCAGACTAACCGGGGTTGAACTTCATCTTGAGGGCCGTCGAGCAAGGGGAAGGGCTTTACGCTGGACTTGGCGAACCGTGCTTCTCACGCGGGACCACGGTGGCTGTGTACCCCTCTCTCCGCTCGCCCGGTGGTGACGCCGCAATCACCATGTCCACTGACAAGGTCCGGTCTACTAAGCTCAAGTTCAAGGGAGATAAGGGCAAAAAGAAGCGAAAACGCGACGATGAAGACGATGATGGGAGCAATAGTCGAAGGCGGCGCGAGGTGAATGACGACGACAGGGATCCTGACACCTGGGTAATGCCAGAGGATCCGAACGAAATACGCGGGCCAACGTTCATCTTCCAACCCTCTGATCCGTCACCTGTATGCATCACATACGATGCTACGCGCGCGAGGATTATACTCAACGCCCTCGACAAAGACGCCAAGACCGAGGATGACGCCGGGGGCGGACCCAAGCTGCTAGAGCGTATACCGTCAGAGGTATCTCAAGTATGGGTGACCACCCGGGTAGCAGGCTCACCCACTATCAACCTGCGGACTGGAACGGGCGAGGGAAAGTTTCTTTCCTGCGACAAACACGGCATCGTCAATGCCGATTCAGATGCGCGAGGACCGCAGGAGGAGTGGACGCCTGTGCTGCTTCCTGATGGCATGGTGGCGTTCATGAACGTATATGAGAAGTACCTCAGCGTCGACGAAGTTGCTGGCGGGCAGCTGCAATTACGAGGTGACAGCGAGGAGGTCGGGTTTCGGGAGCGCTTCTGGGTGAAAATACAGAACAAGTATAAGAAGGAGGCTACGGAGGAACAGAAGAAAAAGAAGATGGAAGGACACTCGATGGAGCCCTCTATCGATGAGGCGACTACGAAGTGCGTGTCAGCTCCATCTACATTTCGTGCGCCTAACTGAGCGGATGCGTTCAGCCGGATATACCAGTCCTGGGGTGCCGGGAAGGTGGTAACCTCTGGTAAGGACAAGGCCGAGGTACGTCTTGATCCATCATATCAGAACTGGCGCTCAGGCTACTGTTTACTCATGTAATCCTCAGCTTAAAAAGGCTAAGAAAGAAGGCAGACTTGCAGAGGCTTTACTTGACCGCCGCGCAAAGCTGAAGAGGCGAGGTCGCATCTCATGGAATTGGCAATCCTACTGACTGTTGTGTTAGCGACCGTTTCTGCTGATTCCCGCCCGCATGCCGTCCCATATGTTTTGCGTATCTCCTCACGGACTCGTAATATTAATGTTGCTCAGCATCGCTACGGACGGACCAGTAAGCCAGTTTCGACAGTGCCACGAACGGATGCAAGAAACTGAAAATATGCTACTAGGCGACGATGATTATGCGATGGAGTTGTACGATAGCGAATTCGACGACCAGGATATCAGAATGCAATGACAGGAATCATGTTACAATGGCCAGAATGTCATTGTATGCTATGACTCAGGAAGTACTGTTTTGGAATTCGCCTCGGAATCCGCCTCGACCTCGACCCCGACCTCGGCCGCGGCCACGCCACTGACCTCGACCGCGGGCCCGTCCATTGTGATGGGCGTAACTGCTTGTCGGGGAATCGACGGGAGATTGAGTTGGAGGAGTTGGTTGTTGTTGTGGAATCTTCACTTGAGGTGGTGAACCAGAAGCTTGGCGTCCTTGGTGCGATAGCTGTGACTTCGCGCTAGCATATTGTTTGTGCTTCGGCCGAGGGGGTGGCGAGGTTCGCTGCTCCGACTGTCCCCATGCCGCAGAATCCGGGGTGAGTGGCGGGGTAAAGTGGCAGTAGGACATGAGTAAATCTAAGATTTGCTCATATCGCGCCTCGGCGTTGGAGGAGCCGGACCCCAGCAACGACTGTTTGCCCTCTAGAGATACAGCCCAGGACCACGCGTCTCTAGTCTGATGCTGAGGCGAAAGCTTGCTCTCAAGCGCCAGGGCAATCACATCAGGATTGCCAGATTCAAGTGCGAGACGGATGGCTGATACGCCTTCGGCAGGAGCATATAAACTTTGGGAGTCGGAGTCGGCAGGATCGTAATTGTCGAGGAAGTATCTCATGACCATGATGTTTCCAGACCGCATAGCGACGTCGAAAGCCGAAAGACCCCTGGAATTTCGTTCCTCCACCTCGGCATCTATGGAGAGCTTTCAGGAATGCATTGACTCGATGAATATCACATACTGTGAGAATCGAGCCATTGAACGAGTTCCAGATCCCCGCGTTGCGCGGCTATATGCAGCAATGTCTCCCGCGGATCCTGGGGTGGATGATCGACAAAGGCTCCGCAACCGGGTTTAACTTCGCCACCCGATGCGTCGACGTTGTCCTCCCATATGCCTTTCTTGACCTTCGCGGCATCGCCTTGTCGAGCCGCTGCGAAGATCGCTGATCGAATCGATTGCGTGTGTTGTCGTTGAGCGAGGATGGATGCCTCGTTGAGCTTTTTTACTTCCGCTGCATCCTTCTTCTTCTTCGTAGCTTTGGCTTTCTTACGTTCCTCTGCTCTCTTCCGTTCTGGTCGCACAATGAGGAACGCCTGAAACGACAAAAACACGTGCAAAGGCGCACCCTGCTCGCGCTCAACCCTCTCCCGCTCCTTGCGGGCTTCATTCTCTTGCGCTCTACGTTTTGCGGCGGCTGCCTGTTCCTCTCGCGTTTTGCGCAATCTCGCTTGGAATTCTTCGTGAGTTTCTGGTTCCTGTCGGGAGCGTCGAAAATCTACAGATATGGAGTTTGAATCAATAAGGGTGTAAGCCGATGGAAACTCACCGGCGTGTGCGAAACGGCTCGCTCGGCCCTGCATGAGTTCTTCGAACAGGAACCTTGACGTTAATCAGTACCTCGGGTTCCAAGAATATACAACCACTGACATGAAAAAGTCCTCATCATCAGCATCCTCTGACTCATACTCGTCAGAGTAAAAGTCTTCATCAAATTCATAGCCATCGAAGTCATCGCAGAACGATGCTGCGAAGCCTGCGCCATGCGGAAATGGGACATATTCGGGCATGTAGGAATCCGGACGTCGAGATAGGTCCAGGTGTCGTACGAGGGCATTGTACGCCTCGGATAGTCGCTGAAATTGTTCGGTGGCATCCGGGTTGCCCACATTTTTATCGGGATGCGTCCTCAATGCAAGCTATGTAAGTTGAATATATGTTAATTCATATCGCTAAAACGTGAATTGGATGGCCGCGCGAACGCGCATGTACCTGCTTGTATGCAGACTTAACCTGTTCTAGGTTGGCGCCCTATATATAGCACATATATGCGTCAGCCAATGTGGTGAACTAAGGATATCTAAAACACCGATGTACATCCTGTAGACCCAGTGTGGTATATGCCTCCGAGACACGAGCAAGTCCGCGGACCATCGTCCGTAGAAGAGGTAGCAGTCGCGTTCGATGCACACGAAAAACGAGTTCGCGCGGGACGCGTTCAATGAACGTCCGCGCACGTGATGACACTTCCTTTTGGCACCGAGAGCCGCAGCGGGATTGCGCGGCGTACTTAGCTTCGTCCACTACAGCACTTCTTCATCTTGTCACAGTTTTTACAAGCACCATGGGCAGACTTGCGGAGATGCAGCGTAAGCTGCTGGAGGTGCGCTATACGCTTCTACGGCCTTGCGTGCGCTGCTCATCGACTGTATCGCAGCAAATGATGGGCCCAGAGGCGATGGGCGTTGCCAACGCCAATCTGCATTGGTCGGACGAGAAAGTCTGCAGGAACTTCCTCTGCGGAACATGTCCGCATACCCTCTTCACAAATACCGTACGTTCTCAGCCAGATGCTCAGAGAGGGAATGTTCACACTGGCATGTAGAAAATGGACCTTGGCGCGTGCCCAAAATCCCACACGGAGCGGCTGAAGACGGAGTTCCTCGCTGCGAGGGAGGCCAATCCTAGCGACCCCATCTTCCAACGTTTCCAGATGGAGTATGAGTCGAACATATTCTCGTTCGTAGACGAATGCGACCGCCGCATTCGGGCGGCGCACAGGCGATTGGAGAAGACGCCTGAAGAGAACGCCAAGACGACAAACCTGGTTTGTACCCCACGCGAACATATGGTACCATTGGCACTGACGAGCAGTATCCCCTTGTTGATGCAGATGAGGGAAATTGCCGAAATTGAGCTGGCTATCCAAGGCGGTACGGAGAAGATTGAAACGCTTGGTAAGGCTCTATCTCCACCCAACTAGTCTGGTTGACTAACGTGCCGTATCAGGTGAGCAAGGCAAGGTGGACGAGTCGATGAGGGAAATGGCCGCAATCGAAGCTTTGAAATCGGAGAAGGCAGACAAGGAGGTTGTGCTTCGTACTGGATCGCGAACGCAGCAGTGAACTTACCACTGTTTATAGCGGGAGTTGCAACAGCTGACAGACACGTCCGGCGCATCTGGTCACCAGAAGCTGCGCGTGTGTGAAGTGTGCGGTGCATACCTGTCGGTCCTGGATTCCGATCGGCGTCTTGCAGACCACTTTGGTGGCAAAGTGCGCACCATGCCAAAATCGTCTCGGGACTCGTTCTCATGTGTTACCTTAGATGCACTTGGGTTACCACGAGCTTCGTAACATGCTTGCGAAGTTCAAGGAAGATCGTGAAAACCGCAAGACAGCGCCCCCTGCTGCCTCTGCACCGGCTCCGGGTGGCCCACGGCCCAGCGGTGGCGACTACCGAGCCTCCGGTGCTCGAGACGATTATCGTGATAGAGGTTATGACAGAGACAGGCATTCATCATCGCGCGGATACGAGTGAGTTTCCTGCTCTTCACGCCATAGCTCGGTTTCTTGTTTCAATTTCACCATACCATACGTCTTCCCCGCGACTTACGCCATTCGTGCGCTGTCGATCGTGGTCTGATGTTTTGTCTGATGGCACGTTCCTTCGCACAGTGATCGACGCCGCGATAGAGACAGGTCACGGTCGCCAGGCAGGCGAAGACACTGATCACAATCTGGCTGCTGTCTCGCAGCGTTCAATTTAGCCATGGTATGTCTTGCATGCTGCTGCTTTCATGCCGGATAAACGTTGACAAGCCCGATAGCAATGTGATACGTATCGAGGAAGCTATTCGGTAGCGTGTCCCACGGGGCGGTGATCAGACCAGAACCACATCAATTTATGCTTGGAGCGGCAATGTCCGCTGCGTACGTATACAACTGGGTGGCAGCAGCTGCCCATCATATGGGATGGGACCAAGATTGATGCCCGCAGTTGACCTGTGCTTTGGTCGGCGGCAGCTGCTCGACGTTCGTCATCGCAGATAGCGACCAGTTTGTTCATCACGGATCAATCAGATTAAAGCGACGCGGTTCTTTTTTCCAAGTTTGCATTCCGGGTGACGTCCGGCGCAGTCCCGGATAGAATGCTGTATCGTCCGGAGGCTTTTGATATCGCTGGGTTCTTACATATGTCGCTCCCGCGGAGAGCGCTTTGTGTGTGGAAATTAGGTTGTTGTGAGAAGATGACATCGGATTGCGTGGCTTGGGCGTGGACGAGTCGGAGCCCGGTGACGAGCAGCAGCAATTCTCAGCGAATCTGCGACCGCGCGCCGGCGTTCTTCCTCCTCTATCTTCGCGAGCAGCGTGCAGCGCTTTGTCCCGTTCTTCGCCTGTCCTTCCCCGTCCGCCCCGCTTGTCGTCAGGCGCAGGCGCGCGTATCACTCCTGCCACTGACCGAAGCCGATTTTCAGGCAGTACGTATCGGGGCTGTACGGTACATCCTCGCTTAGAAGATTCACCGCGAGCGCGAGATTTGAGACGGCCGGGCGACGTCCACGGCTCAGCTGCTGCTTTGACTGCCCGCATTTTTTTCGTAATTAGCCTCGCCTGGCAGCCAAGCGTCCGCCTGGGACATCGACTCCTTCCCGGCACAACTCATGGCTGGCTCACCAGCTACACACCAGCCCGGCTCGCCCCACGACGACAAAGCCTTCGCCCCGGCCACCGACCCCCCGCCTCCTCCGACCGGCCCCAGCGGGATCCTCGCCCAACCCGATCTCGCGCTCTCTGCGAACCCACCGACGTCCATCGCGCCGCAGATGACCTCTCTGTTCCCCCACGAATCGGCCCAGGGCCTCCTCCCCATGCACTTCTCACCACCCACCGCAGCCACACCGCTCAACATCACCCCGATGGACATCCTCGCAACCTCAAAACCACCTGCTCTCCCGCAGCAGCACGAGTTCCAGCCGGACCTCGGTTTCCGCACCCAGCACTCGTCCCCGGCGAACAGCCTCAACACCCCTCCTTCCACCTCTCCTCCTCACGTAGCCCATTCTCCGGGCCACATGCAGGATCTCGCGTCGAGTTTCACCGCGAACACATCGTCTTTGTCATCAGCGCTCGATGGCACAGGAGTACCACGGGCAGCCCGTTCGGACGCGTCCTCCTCTCCCATACCTTTGAACAGCTCTGGGTCCGAGCTCGCGTTCTCTTCCATTTCAAGCGGTCCTCCTACCTCAACACCAGGATCAAGCGCATACATCCCGTCACCTGGGTCACAGGTTGGATCTGCGGACACTGCTATGGACCAAGACCCACATCTCCTCGCCGTGGGCGGTATTCTGAAGAAGTCTGTGCTCACATCTATGGTTTAAAAGCATCGCTGACGCGCATATACTCTGACAGCATCGAACACGTCGCGCAATCGGCCCAGAAAGCGTGCGCAGATGGACGAGGCAACCTGGCGCAGGCGCGCATTGCTGAACTGAAGGCCCGGATCGCTCTCGTATCGCAGCTCATTGAAGCCACTCGACTAGACGATGGGCACACGCCCGTGGCCACGACCTCTTCGGCAGGCATGCGGACGCCACCAGGATTGGATGCAAGCGCTACCACTACGACCACCGTGTCCCCGAACAAACTCCAGCAGGGCCACGTGCAGTATGGCAATGGTGCCTCTGGCTTCTCTGGCCTGACTCCGTCGGACTCAATGAGCGCGCACGGAAGTCCGGACACCTCGGAATCTCGCAAACGCTGTGCTTCTTCTCGTGCCGTCGACGGCGATCGAGTGGTGAAGGCCATGAAACTAGAGCCTCAGCAAGTCACAATCCCTTCACCGCCTCCCTCAGCGCAAGCATCAGATTACAAGCAACCATCTTCGTTCCAATTTTCCCCCACCCTTCATGCGGATAATACCGTACCTGTTCCCTCATTTGCGCCTTCATCGTCCGCTAATGCGAACGGCATCAACCTAGTTGACTTGTCGCAGAGGCTGGTCTCTGCCCAGTCGAGTGCTCTTCCAGGAGCAGAATTCCCGCCTGCTTCTCCTGCATCGCTTCACTTCTCTTCACATCCACTACCATCAATGCATCCGGCTGCCGGGTGGCCAGATCGCCCACATGTACTACAACACAGGCATACGCTTTCCGGAAGCTCGTTGAACGGATCGCACGAACATTATGGCATCGCTGGAGCGCCTGCCCCTCTTTCTTTCACATCCCCTGGTTCTTTTGGCCATCCGCCAATACCTCTCCAGTCGCCTTTGGGACCTCTCGTCGGCGATACTTCAAGACCACATCTTAATCGTCAGACGCGATCCATGTCGGTTACCGGCCCGGCTCCGAGTCCCTTTGCGTTTGGCCTTCCCGACGCCACCATGACCGGTAACTCCCGTCCAGAGCGCCCAAGGCCGTCAACGAGTTCAGGGCGCTCCGGCTTAGCGGCCCGTAGCCGATTTTCCTCCGCCGAGACGGACGACTCGGATTCGGACAGCGAGGCATCGCCATCCATGTCCCATCATCAGTCCAAATCGCCATCCAGGGATCGCAGCATGAGCAGGTCACGGCCTCGGGCGGGCCAAACTAGTCGGCCGTCGACCAGTCACGGGTTGCAGTCTAGAGCCTCGGTGGAGAACGTTCCTGGCGCTCATGGGAACGAAGTACCGCAAGAGTACCGTGCGGAAGTGGACCGTATCTTCTTCGAGTTCTTAACTCGGATCTGCTCGGACCGTGCGTATTCTCTCTCGCTGCCATTACGTGTCTCGCTGATCGGACTGGACCCCAGTCGACGCCACCGACTCAAAGGGAGAGCCTATAGTAAGTTTCAAATCGATGAAAGCTTACAGAGGAACGCTATAATGGTATTTCTCACAGCATCAGACACTCATGGCCAAGAAGATGCAGCGATTGGACGAATCGCCCGATTTCAGGCCGTTTAAATTCCGCATCGCGGCCTTCACCAATGCTTTCCTGGAAGAGGTTTGACCGAGGAATATGGTCGTTACGTTGTGCTCACGTCATCTTCTAGCTTGCCCGTCAAGGATACCCCGAAGAGATTATACCAATGAAGAAGGTCAGTTCTTGCGTGATGATTTCGAATGCGGCGCATAGAACCGACCCTCAAGCAGATCCGAAATTATCTCTGGAATCAGTCGTACATATCGCGTTTCAACGAGGAAGGGAAGAAGACCAAGTCAAAGGGCAACCATATCTGGAGCATCGACGCGAAAAAGACTGCCGATGGTGGTTGGACCTTCCGACCTTTCCATCGACGTTTGGCTGGCAATCCTCCCTCCGTGGCATACGTGGGCCTTCGCTGGAGTTGGCATCCGCGCATATGGGATCCGCAAAATTCAAGATTGAATCTCCCTGTGATCTACAGCTCGCCTTCTCTACCTTCTTGGCTATCATGGGAAGACGACGTGCTCAGTGGTATACCACCGCCTGACGCCGAAAGCTGCGATGTCACCGTCGAGGCTCGAGTAAACATCCGGATCCTTGTAACCTGTATCCGTTATCTGACAATAGACCACAGTTTGTACAGGACGGGCAGGAGGAGACGCTGTCGCAGACCGTGCACGTGAACATTGCCCCGATGTCGAACGTGGACGCTTTCCCGGCTATGCGGCGGCCCTCACTATCACAGACGGCAGACGGCGACCCTCGACGCATAGCAAGCGAAGCAAACGCCATCTCCGGACCTTTACGGTCAGTGTCCGCTTGCTGCAACATTCATATCCCAGCTGATGAGACATACCCTGACTAGACCACTGCTCCGGGCGGAGCCTGCTGTGCCTCCGCCTGCGTTAGCAGCGCCGAAACGGGAGACTCAAGTGATGCAGGTCCTTGCCTCCGCGGCGCAACGAGTGGCACAGGAAGCGCAGTCTCAGGTTATCGCGTCGTCGTTCGTGGAACCTGGTCCAGAGCTTCATGCGCTGGCGAAACAGCAGCACGTTTTAACCGTCACCGCGCAAGCTGTGGACAACGAGATGTCTGGTCGCATGGACGGGCCCCAGCAACAATCCACCGTACTCGCCGCCGCCGCCCAACATGTCGTCTTCCAAGCGGCTATGCAGGTTGCTGCTGACCGAGCGGAGGCGGTCGCTAATCAGATATCAGCCGGTATGATACCTGCCCAATCGGAGCCAGCGCAAGTCACGGTCAACGACGTCTCGATGGCCACCCAGACAGCGGTCGCGCAAGCCGTGGAGCTAACCGGACCACTTTCAAGCGAAGTTGACGTTCTCATGACCGCCAGTTCCCTCCTCCAGCAACAGCAAGGTCGCGTCCCCTTGGCTACGGCTCCGGTCCTGGATCGACCGATGGCTCCTGCTGCTCCTCACCTCATCCCATCCACCAGCATACCACCTCCGGTGTTCCCACCCGCGGCTTCATTCTGATGAAACAGGTCTTGCGCCAGGTTTACACGTCGTCTCGACTGTCGGCTTGCAAACAACACTGTATCATATCACTTTGTCGACGGAGCCGGTCCTTTTCCACGCTAGATCTCTTTGCACCCCCACTTCCCCTGACATAATGTATTAACAGATGAGGTTAACTATATATGGATTAGGCCTTGGAATGATTACATTCCAAGCATACGAGATCGCCTGGAGAAATGTAAACCGCCATCAACTTCTCACAGATGGGACATTCGTGCAAGTCTTCATCTGTGCTGGCTGGTTGAATTTCGCTTGCCGTTGGAACATTGCCCATCTCTCGGGCACTCGATTTCTCCTTTGGAGCATCTGGTGACGAGCGACCGACTAGCTTGGTACCGACGAAACCTTCGGTTCTTGACCTCTTGTTGCTAGAGAACTCGTGTTCGATGTCTGAATCAAGGGCATCAAAATCTTCGCTGATTTCCTGCAGTTCCAGCACGTCGTCGGTGGAGATCTCGAGCTCAGCTGCTGTCTTGGTATTATCCTTCAGTTCCTGACCACGAAGGTAAAGTCGTTGGGCGATAGTGGGAATGCCTAGTTGGTCCTGAATCTGGATTGCATCGCTCAATAAAGGACGGACGTCAGAATGAACGCTCTCGTACACTCATTCGAAGATGCTTGACTGTCGTGTCTTTCGTTACTTTCACCTGCGTAGTTCGGACGCCGCCGTCACGGTCCCTCAAACGCTTGGACTTTCTGGGTCCTGCTGTTTGTAGAATCGGGGCTGATTGAGTCGGAGCAAGGTTTTTTTGAACCCCATGCGACGATGCGAGCCGAATCGTCATTTCTATCTGCACCCAATTCAAGCGTCTGGCGATGATAAACTCAGCTTATGCGCCCGGAATAGAGGGCCACTGTAATCGCTCACCGTGATTCTATGCATCTTTCACAAACAGGAATTTTGTGTACGACTCGGTACGCATCGCCCACCTGCTGATTTTCGATCTCAATGAGCGGTGTAGCACCATACCTACAAGGCGATTGAAGATCCGCAAAGGTACCGTTCGGTTAGCACTCACAAGTCATGGAACATGTCCCAGTCGCTCCGTTTGATTACCGAAACTTTGCTAGGATCCAGATCGCGGGGATTATTGGGATCTATAGCCAGCAATCCGTGCTTGCACAAGAACGACGAGTTGTCTAGCGACCACGGTCGAGGTCGGTCCGGGCGACCAAGCCACTGCCTCCATTGGCGAACGAACGAAGCGGGTACAATGGCCAGTGGGACATCTTCCAGCAGCGCAGCGTCTCCATTGAGTGCGTGATTGTAGGTATGGCATAGCTTGTTCTGGAAAACAATGTTCTGATCGTGATCGGTACATGCAGGTAAGCCATGACGAACCTTCTCTTCTTCTGCTTGACGTCGTGTTGCACGCCTGTCTGTGCTCCTTGAATCTAGATTCGATTGACACAGAATGCAAGGCTCCTCGTATGAAGAGAAGGGGTTCCATCGGGGGAACAATCCCTTGAGTACTTGATATTGCTGGACGCTATGAGCAAACAGAACGGCAACAGATGCGATATTCATACTTCTTCGGAAATCAGCTGGCGAAGCTTCGAATCTGATGAGAGACCACCATGCTCGCAGAGAACATCTTCGCGAAAAGCGCCTTCATCAGGCGCTGGGTCGCTTTCGCCAGCTTCATGCATTTTGGGCGTGTCTAGCTTCCAGTCTCAAATCATTCTGCGTGAGGATCGCCTTCTTAAACAAGGTACAAAGGACACTCCTTCTTACCTCTCAGCCACGACTTGGATATCCAATAGCCTTGGTCATTGACCATGCTTGGGGCTGCGTGTAGCCGGGTCACGGCCTATACGCGAAGCTGACGTTAGCCAACAGGTTGCTTCTCAAACTGCAATTGCAAACCTCTCTGTGATCAATGCTATACATGCGTTCTGGGGGGGTATTAATATACAATACACAAAATGACGAGGCGACGCGTACCATCGAACTCTGCAATTACACACTGGCGGCAGATGTCCTTGGGCACTAATCGAGGTTTAAAGCCGCCATCCATGCTGAGAATACTGTCGTATGCGCCCTGCAAAGACACGTCATGTGTGGAATGACATATCACTGGGTATGTAAGCACCTCGGTGATGCACTTGAATAGTACAGACTTCTTAGGTTCGACTTGATTATGGGGACATATCAGCTCCGTCACAGAGATTGGATCCAGTTTCTGGTCGGGTTGCAGCAATTCGATGATGAGCTCGTGAACTGAAACAGGGTCGGTGCCGATGCTCACATCCGTTAAGCCATTCTTAGCTGCAGACGCTACGCTACTGGAAGGCATACCTAATGGCCCCAGTAACCATTGCTTCAGTGCGTTCTGACTCGTGATGACGTATCGCTGGAAAACGTTAGCACGTCTATTCTTGAGGTCTTTATCTTGACCTACCTGATTGGCATCCAGAACCTGCCAGCGTGCGTAGATCTCCATGACCTGTCTGCGTAGGTCTGAGAAGCGACGAGCCGCCTCGATTTCGCTTTGTGCACGGTAAGGGGGATCTGTGAGCAAGTATGGTTCTCTGCTGCTTACCGTGCAATGAATTCTGCGCATGCTACCCGATGCTTCTCATTTGCGAGTCGCACGATAGATAGGGCATCTTCCGGTGGTGAACCAACCGAAGATAGGTCAACGTTACCATGCTCCCGTTCATCGGTGGAGCCTAGGGGTTCCATAGACCTCCGTGCATATACGAGCATGTAAGCATCCCTAGAGGACAGGAAACTACTGAGAAATGATCAGTTTTGCAGCTGGTGGCTGATCACGCATCCTTGCCTTAATCCCTTAAACTTGGTGGCTTTGCGAGATGACGGATCTCTGTTAGGTTTGGTCTGTACAAATGTCGGGATGCGGAAGTCGCACCCTAACTTACTCTGAGCCGTCATCTTTGGCTGTATTCTTCTTCGGTTTCTTCCCGCGTTGCTTGCCTCGTTTCGGAGCGCTACAAGGACATAAGACACTATGGTTGCGGATCTCTTGTACGATAACTGACTGCGCCTCCTGTTCCACGTCGATGCGATCGTCCGCACACGCCAGGCTTTCCTGTCCCGAGCCCTGATCGAGGCTCGCTGTATCCAATCTCGAGACAACCTCGTCGTTAAATTCGTACCAACTCCGGTCACTGTTTAGGGGCCAAATTCGGACGCATAAGAATAACCCAGAGCTCTTGTACTCACGAGTATTGATATACTTGTGCCACATAATGGCCTCGATGAACGCTGGTTCCTCTATGAAGCAGAACGCCTCGCAATTCATATAGATCCTGAGCATCACCTTCGGGAGGGTTACTATCCGAGTTTGCTCCCGCAGTGATGAAAGGGCTCATATCCAAAGTCATCGGGAAAGATATGCGATGTTTGCTTTTCTTCCTCCCAGTCTCCGCGTCGTAGACGAAGCGCATGATCGAGAAATGAAGAACCGGTGGCAGCTTGCTTAATTCGCTACGACGGACAGCTTTTTGAGGTATACCGCACTGAGGACATGCATATCTGGAGGCGCGTCTCTTAGCCAATAGTTCAGCATGTTATCGGCCTATCCTACCTGTTGTCGTCTGTCATGACTTCTGAGGCGAGGAGAATTGCGATTCGATCCTCCAACTTTGAATCAGGCTTGTAGGAAGTGCATGATGAGTGAACAATTCAGTATCAACAACACACGAATCCCACCTCTAGAACGATTGGCAACTCGAGGAAGGCGGAGCCCTGTTCAGAGCGATGTTGGCAAGCTTCACAGGTTATGGAGTCTATCTGGTTCCCTTGAAACTGAAAGGTCTCAGGCGCTTTTGTGAATGCATGTTGGATGTTTGGAAGAACCTGATCCGCAATCAGGGAGCGTATTATCGGTATTCCCTGTTGTTGGTTGAACTCCTGTTCCAAGTGTGTCAGGAACAACTTCGCGAATCTATGGATGCAGGTAAGCCAGCGAGCGATGTTGATAGAAGGTGCTGCACTCTTGAGAGTCCTGCTGCTCTTCTTCGTCCAATCCGAGGACCTTCACCAGCTTCACAGGGTCGAAGACGGCGAGTTTGCTTTCTTGTAGAGCAGCAAATGTCACTTGGAGTTGAAAGAGTGGGGAGCCCTGACAACGAAGTCAAGAAGCTGGTGAATCATGATTGTCAATGTGCATGGGTGTAAAATCCTACCTCCAAGTTGACCTTGCTACACGTGGGTCGGCTGAGGAATACCGCTCGTCGGAATGCTGGGTCCTGGAACCAAACCTTGAAGGACATCAGTTCGCAATACCTTGATTGTCCACGGAAAGACTCGCCTGGAGGTATGCATTGACGTAGCACGTAGCCCCAAGATTCTATCTAGAAATATGAATATGTTCTTTGGCGAAGAGAGTGAGCAGCATACCCTTAAGCCCACAGGTAATGATCCACTCCGGCACTGGAGCCTAGGATCTTCTCCAAGGCGACAGTTCTTCATATACAACTTCCTGGCTGTGGCTACATGCAGCCCGAGCTGCTCAGCTTGACATTCCTGACTGAAGCTAGCTCCCGACCTTCGTTCTCCCACTTCTCCTGTCCCAGATAGTTCAAACAGAAAGGATTGTGCCTGCAGTTTTTCTGCTTGGTCACGCATTCGGATTGCTCCTCATCGCATACGACAACAACATCGTCGACCTCCACTCCTTGTGCTGAAGGAGAATCCTTGTTGTCATTGTCCTCAAGGCTGTTATCGCGCTTCAGCGGTCGGGCATACTTGTTTGGACAGAACCTGGTCCCTCTCTGCGGGGAGAGAGAGCAAGCGGCCATAACATGTTCTTGGGTGATGTCCGCGGCTTCCGTGACCTCGGTGCCCACCCAGCTCCAGGCATGGTATTCATGTCCGGCTTTTGCGTTCCGCTTGAGTCTCTCGCCAGCTTGAAGACCTTGATTCTCAGAGGGATTGTGTCGCTTTCGTTTAGGGGCCATTTCGTAGATATACTCCAGTAACGCGATGGAAGAGATGTTTCGGACGCGACGCGTTGTGGCGTCAACCTCTATACGGGACACGGTGACGAGCGGTGGACCGCTTGACACTGTTGACAGTGTCCCTCTTCAGCTTCATTACTGGTCCTGTCTCTGTTCAAATTGCGACAACTGGTGAACCAGCATGGACCGACATGTCTCTCGACTACGACGGCAAAAGGCGCTTGTTGCTAGGCTTTCGCAGAACCTGCATATTCTCATGTGAGTTTATCTCCCGTCATTGCTGTACACAACTTGATCGAGATTGCCAGTTTCCTCTTGTTGATCGCAGGCTACTCGTGGCTTCTGATTCTTCCCTCGCCAAGGCTTGGTCGAGGTACTTACATCGATGAGAACGCGTTGCAGCCCGGCCAGGTGCGTAGTCCGTGCCAAGTATGCGCCTCTGCTCTGACCAGAGCGCCCAGGTCAACACCCATTGGAACTGGGCAGACGTTCATAGAGCGGACCAGTACCTGTCACAACTGGAAGCGCTGCGCGACCAAAACCGCACAAGTGAGGAGTGAGATGATTTCCTCTGTTCTCGGGACGGTCCCCTCACCCAGTGACAGGCGCGCCGAATACCTGAAGCAGGAGTTCATGAAGCTGGGCCTGCAGGCAGATACCCAAACATACTCCTTCACGACTAATTTTGAGGTACATGCTGGTATTGTTATCCTGTACATGCCACTAATTTCGGCCGGTAGAACCCGCGCGGTGCCAACGCTTACGCCGTGTCACCTTCTCCTCGTGCATCTGGAACTGAGGTGATGCTCATATCGGCGACTTGGTTAAGTACAATGGGCGACGGCGACGGCACTTTGAATCTTCGTGGTGTCGCCACGGTCCTAGCTCTCGCGGGATTCTTGAAGAGTACGCGCCTTTAACTCAGGTCTTGATTATTTCTCATGGCCCTTGTTGCAGAATACTCCATGTGGGCGAAGGATATTGTGTACGTTGTCAGCGACGGGTACATGGACGGCATGCACGCGTGGCTAAGCGCGTACCACAACTCGGTTCAGTCGAGTCAGCCAATCATTCACCCCTTTCACCCGCCCTGCTGACGCACCGTCCAGATCTCATTGCTGAACCTCTTGCTGCGTCTCCCGGAGTCATCTGGACGGCTCTAAATATTGATTACCCAGGACATTCATTCTCACACCTCGGCGTGTTCTTCGGTATGCAACTTTACTATCGTTTGCGCAGATCCACACATTGATACCTTGTGAAGAGGGTTTGAATGGAAGACTTCCCAACCAAGACCTCTTCAACTCATTCCAGCTCATTTCTCGGCATACCGGTGGTGTCCCGGTCGTATTATACGACCAGATAGATGCCCGCGACCAGCCTGGATCAGACCATGGGGCAAACACTGTTCCCGCCTGGCTTCCAGCATTTCTGCGGGAAAATGCGGAAGTTCAAGAGTTTGCGTACAGGGCAAAAAACATTGCTCGGCATGTGAGCTATCAAGCCCGAGGACAGGCAAGCGGTGTTCACGGGCTCATGCATCAGTGAGTATGCACACTGTTTTGCCCGTCCGCCTCTGAACTCGGTGCAGATTCCGTATTGACGCGATCACTGTGTTCGCCGTACCAGCCACGGGCCCTCACGGCTTTCACGCGATAGGCCGGTGAGTGCTGCAGGTATAATATTGACGTCTGCTGATCGAATCGTCATCAGAATCATAGAATCCACCTTGCGAACGACCAATAACCTGCTAGAGAGACTGCACGCTTCATTTTTCTTCTATATATTAACGGGTCCAGGGACGTTCCTCAAAATAGGCAGCTATCTACCAGCCGTCATCATCATCAGCGTAGCGATCATGTTTGCTGGTTTGCGTCGCTGGGTGGACGCTCCTCAGCTCGGCGCGAAATCAAGACCTGTACCCAAGGCATTATTGATCATGGCATGCACACACGCAGCAGGCCTTGCTTTGTTTTACTGTGTAAACACCACGAGCTACATGGAGCACCCACAGGTGAGTCTGTAGTACCACCTGCAATGATCTATGCTAACTTGACCTTGGTATGAGCAGTTGGGCGGTCAATCGTTGTTTTTGACGTTAGCATTATTGGTCACATCTGTATCACTTGCCATGGGCACGGCCCGCGCGCACGACCCAGCGCTGCCTACTGTCCTCAGCTCCTTCAATCTGTGCTTCGCCTCCACCATTATATCGGTGACATGCCTCCTTAACTTTTCCCTCGCCGCCGCATTAGCTATGTCGCTCGGTCTCCCGCTGGTCTATACCCGCCCAACAAAAAGTAACACAATTTTCTCCAAAGTTATCCAGACGGTACTGCTCGTGAGTCTAGGCTTGGGATGGTTGATATTCGTACCCAATCAAGTCCGGCGGGCGGTTTGGCATTGGGAAGTTCTAGGAGCATGGTTCGCCCCATTCATTTGCATAGTATACGTTCCGCTGCTACTCCAAGCTGCCACTGCCCTTGTACTCTCTATATAATTATATTACCGCGACTATTCGCAAGTATCTCGTCCGAGGCGCAAGAGTGGACAGCAGTGACACTGACACTGACACTGATACCAACACTACATTCGCAACTGCCATGCACGACGCACGTGCCTCTCGTGGCTTAAGCTTGCAGCCTCTTTCCCGAAATCTCATACTCACAGATCTCTAAACACTATGGACGAAGACGACCTCATCGTAGTCGACGACGGAGATGACGACTACTCTCCCGCCGGCCCTTCCACCCAACCCGCCCCTCCTCCTCAAACACCTATGACCTCGTTCGGGACAGGAATGTCCACGCGCAGACGAAGCACGGCTGCATCCACGAGCTACAGCCAATACCACGATTCTTCGGACAGAACCACACGCTCATCCGCGAAGATGAGGTCTCAGCCCAAGCTCAAATTGAAACTCAGCGAAAAGGCTGCAGCGCAGGCCCCTGGAATGTCCTTCTTGGGGCCGTATGACCGTGAGCTGGATTCAGACGACGAGGACCTCACTTTTGAGGAGCAATTTATTCTTCGAATGCCTCCGGGCGAAGACTGTGAGCGTCTGAGAAAGATGGTGCAGGCGAGAGAGATCGGCCCTGATGTGTGGTTCAAATTCAAAGGTGACGGTTCAACGATGTTGTGGTGAACGGTGTACTCATGAGTAAATGGGACGTTGGGGTAGATTCTCGGAGAGCAGTCTTTCACATCGGCAATTCGACCTACTCGTCTAAACTTGTCGACCTTCCATGCATCATCGAGTCGCAGAAGACTCTTGACAACAAGCAGATGTTCAAGGTGGCAGATATATGTCAGGTTACACCGTTTATCGCAGACCGCTGCTCGAGCGCTCATGGGCGAACAGATGCTCGTGGTCGAAGACAAGATTGCGAATGAAGACGCGCTTACGAACCAGCGCAACTTCAATGTCGACGAGTTCATATGGCCGCATGGTATCACCCCTCCGCTCCATCACGTACGAAAGCGTCGCTTCCGCAAACGCGCCAACAAACGGGTACGTCGGGCTTGTACTGATGCATTATGTGGGTTGTCATCATGCGTACCGTAGACTATTGAAAGCGTGGAACAGGAAGTCGAGCGTCTCCTCGAAGCAGATGCGATGGCGAATGACGTGCAGTATGGTATGTGTCGTGCTCGTTGTCAGATACTCGCTCACGTTGAGATTCAGACGTATTGGAAAATGTCAATCCCGACCTGTCAGACTCCGAGTACATAGACCCGGACGGCCCTGGCGGAATGGATGCCCCGACTCCGGGACCTATGGGCTCAGATGTCGGGGATGCACCAACTCCAGCAGCCGATCGCGACGCGGATCAAGAAGGGGAGGAAGACGAAGACGGCGTGGGCGGGGATGGCGACATCGATGAAGAGCTGGCAGCTGAGTTAGATTTGGCGCTCGGTGATGAGGGAGATGAGGGAGACGAGGAAGATGACGATGAGGACGACGATGATAGCGATGACGATGATGAAGATGAGGAGGACGAGGAAACGAACCAGTCCCGAAGACTACTCAACGAAGAGATTCGAGACTTGGAAGCTGCAGTTGCGAAGAAGAACCACGAGATTGCGCACTCTGCGAACCCTCTGATACGGGCGAGAAATGTCTACTTGCTAGTGTTAGTACTTCGTACTGATGGTTTCTCTTTGCAGAAACGGTTCGAGGATGCGCTCAAGAAACTGCGTACGGAGCTGGACATGAAGTTGGGTCAAAGGGATGATATGAAAGAGCAGCAACGCCTCAGAGACGAGGGAATAGCATCTCAAAACCAGTCTGAAGGGGTTGACGACGAAGATGACGACGACGACGATCTATTTGGAGATGAAGATGGTATGAATTGATGGGTGGAGACGTTGCTTGCAGTTTCGCTCCGTGCTCTGCACGAACTTTCGGGATGTTTCGGGATGCTTTCCATACCAGTAGTATTGATGTCCAATTAACGCGCAGCGCGAAGTCCATTGCACGAATACCACGCCGATCAAGCAAGCATGTGGTTGTTTGTAAAAGACATCCAATTATTGTGCACCGTATGATCCGTCTCTCACACCAGTGAATTGACGTAGTTCTCGATATCTAGAAAATATAACGTAAGTTATGGCCGTTTCAACGTCGCATGCTTTTGCACTTACTGGCATACCCGTTAGAAGCGATCACCATGGCATCGTTGACGCTTGGATTCAACCCGTGCGCGCTCTCGTATGCATCGGGTATGCCATCCCCGTCCGTATCTTTCGGTGCCTATCAAGATCATCAATGGAAGCCCGCTCTCTCAGTCCCTGAGGTAGACGCACAGTGCCTCCTGTGACTGGTCCAGGGCCATTGATGGGGCTGGCAGTAGGGTCCGTGATGAGCTCCCCGACCTTTCCGAAACTTCCGAGTTCGGTGTTGATCAAGTAGTTGTCGAGATGATCTCGCGACAAGCTGGCCCCAGCGGACGATATCACATGTGACAGCGCGTCTGTCGGTGAGAATAATATTGCGACACCAGGGTATGGGTATGGGTTGGCTTGGAAGGAGACATTGGAATAGTCGGCGATGTTCTCGGAAAGTATGAACCCGTTGCGCGTTCCATCCTGATCAGGATCGTAGTAATTAGTTTGAAAGTTGAGGTTGCCACGGGTGAACGGTTCAATCCCCGTCGACGGCCCACTGGCAAATGCGTGAACCACCAGGCGAAGATGACGTACATCGGGCAATTACCTGATGAAGACATTGTTGATGATGTTCACCTCCGACAGACCGTCCGAGTCCCCGCAGATGTAACCTGGGCTATGTAAGTCAGATATTTCTCTGCAGAGACGGAATTGCATACCTCCTCCAGTTCCCCAGTTATATACCTACGAATGATGAAGCGCAACCTCCATATATCCAACCGGCGTGCTTACCACGTTGTTGATGTACTCCTGTACCCCCTTGGTCTTTGGATTCCGGGTCTGGTTGTCGATATACAAAGTCCGCAAGATGCTCACCCCACCGCTGGTTTGTATCAAACCACCGGCACTGTGAGTCTCGAGACCTTGTGCGATGATGCAATCCGATATAGTAATATTGGAGACATCTCCGTTGATAGAGAACGTCTCGTCTCGACCCCATGAGACGCTGACATGGTCGAATATCATGTTTTGGCCGTTGGCGATCGTAATCGCATCCTTTCCAGCGTCACCTTGCCTCGAACCTTAGCGATAAGAATTTGCAGGGTATGGTACATTCTTACCGGTGGTCCCCATACGATACCGAATGTATCGCGTAATGGTGTTGTCGGCGCCAGAGTAGGATAAACCGTTGCCGTAAACTGTGATACCTTGCCCAGGGGCGGTTTGTCCTGCGATGGTCACATTCGGGGATACGACAATGCGATCACCAATAGTAATCAGACCGCCTAGAAAACATATGCGAACTATGAACTCGAATATAATGAACAGTATGGTGCAACTCGCCCACAGCAAACACGACGATCTGGGAAACGCATTGATTGAACATCAATGCACACTTTTCATGTAAAACGCTGTAGCTCACTCGGTTGGGAGATGATACAGCATCACGAAAGCTACCGGCGCCAGTATCGTTCAAATTAGTGACAACATAGACGCTGCCGTGACGTCCACCGCTTGCGACGGCGCCGAATCCTGAGCGAGATGGTCAGACGTACGATAGCTCATAGGGTCTCATAACGGGGCACCTTCAGCGCCAGGGAACGCAGGAATCGCCGTCGACAAGCGCGTCAATGTACCCATAGTAAGTAGGAATAGAGCTACAAGCATGACGGCGAAGTCGTGTCCGAGTCACTCCCCCTCTCCAGTTCATTCCACGTCTTGTATGCGTGATCGAGGAGATGGGAAAGCTCCCGGACCGTACGCAGAGATGCAAGGAACATGGGCATGTCGAAGAAGCTTGGATGGCAACTGCAGGGAACGTAGCTTCAGGACTGGACTGCCGTAGTCCGAGTTTTTCCCTTGCGATATGATGAGAGCCAACAGCGTCTAGCATGGTGTCTCTTCTCGACTATTCCCGATGACAGGCGGGCACAATGTAGCCGAGGAACACCAAACGGGCCGTAGAGAGTGGTCTCATGATAACGAACCAGAAGCTTCTCGTCGCCAACCTCGCCTCAGACGGTGTCGAACGTTCCGTTATTGATCATACGCTGGCTAGTACACGGATAAGTCGGTAATCTGGCAGTACATCGCAGCCCCCTACAAGGCCAAAGCTCAAGGAGACCAGTTGCAGAAACGCTTCAACGGGGGCTCCCTTAACCTCTAACCACCACCATGGCGAGGGTTCCCACGCCTCCGGGCTGGGGGGGATGGGGAGGACACGTTCCTCCCCTCGGACGACAACCCGGCCATGATAAATATACATGAGATACAAAACATCCTGCTACACTACGTAGCTGCTAATAGGCCATAAGTGCAACCGGCGAGATGGATGCACAACGCATGAACCGGATGACGCCCGGATAGGACACACGCCGGTACACACCGGGGACACTGCCACACCTAGCCAAACCGCCGCAACCAAACGAAACAAAGCCGGAACGAGCGACCGATGCCACTAAAGCCCATAGGGATAAAAAGACCAATACGAAAACAAACCATGAAAATAATCGAGAACCAGGCAGCAGGAGAACATGCCTGGACGGCCTAAACACAATACGCGCGGTCATTTCGCTTAACCTAAGCACGACTACTATACTTCCTAGACGTAATAGAGCCCACTCAAAATACCGACAAGCGATAACGGCAAAAACAAGCGAGCATATAAAGCGAATGTCGGAACACAGTGGCACCCCCACCCCCCACTATGCCTGACGACGATGAGCCACCCATCAGCATGAACATCATACCCTGGAACCTCATCTCACACCTGTCGACCCTCCTAGACAAAGAGCGAGAGGACTGTAAGCACACAACTAACACGAGGAAACCAACTGACCGCACCCAGACACCGCTCAACGAAGCATCGGCTACATTGCAGCCTCAGCCCGCATCCAAAGCGCACGCGTGTGCCGACACGTGGTATGAGGCTCTCCGCGAAATCTCGAGGAGCGTCTCATAAAACCCCCCCCATCAGCTACAGAACTCGGAGAAAATGCCACGACCGGAGGAAGAGACCGGCCCACCTGGAAAACCGGAGAGCCCGAAGGAACCCGAAATGCCCCGAGCACAACGGTCCATGCTAAACCGCTTCAAGAAACGCATGCACACGCGAACGAGGTCGGAACCACAGCCGGGATACGCAGGACCACCAAAGACGCTGGTGCGAAGCAAAGACTGATAGATACCTAATATACCGTGTAACCGCGACGGGCAATCCGAATAGAATCCTATGGCACGGCCGCCCCCTCAACCAACTTAAAACATCCTAAACCGAAAACAAACCGTCGACAATTCTACCTCTGCACTGGAGACCCGCCGACCGCCTAAACCGACACCACACACTACGAGAACGCCGCAGAAATGCCCCCTGAACCAACGAGCAACGTAACGAAAGCCGCGACGCTGGCTAGCATGAATAAAACAGGAAACCCCGCCGGACGCGGTAAGCCTGGATAATACTAAGAAATAAACAAGCCCTAACCCCAGACAGGTCGCGAGAAAGCTGGAAACGGCGAGAGACGTGGACCTGCCTCCGACAACCAACCTAACGTCGTCGACGGCATCCCAGGACACCCCAACACGTTCGCTGTCCTGGACGAGGACGGCCGAAACGACCACCCGCCACCCATACAGACCGAGGGCAAAGCGGGGAAAAAACGTAGAACGATCCAAGAAGTTGGTAAGCGCACCAACTCCTCCAAAACGACCAAAACAAACCCCCCTCCCCACGACAGCGAACGCGATTAGAGAGGCGAAGGTAGCGATCTCGAACGCTGAGGGCGCACCCCAGGGTGCACCCCGAAACCTGGCCGCCCATCCCGCCGACACCCACACCAACCCCGTCGCCGCCCAGACCATCGCAGCTACCGCACAGGAACCCCCCACTGCCGATTGCGCAGACCCGGAAATGACTCAGGGCACCCCAAACGCCACCCAGCTCCCCCCCGCCATACTCCAAGGTCTCCATGCTCCCGTCCGAGCCCACCCCGGCGCCGGCCAGGATGGCCCAGCCGCCCACCACGGTACGGACACCGTTACCCAAGGAACAACGACCACCGCCCACGAAGCCACGTTCCCCCAAAGCGAACCAACGACTGCAACCGGCACACCGACCATCATCCAGAGCGCGCACACCCCACACCGGGCGCCCACCGCCCAACGCGTCGCCGCGCTGACCACCCCCGACACCAGCGCCGCTACCACATCTCCTGCAACCGCGACCGCCCCCGAGACCGACGTGACTACTAGAACTCGCGGCGCCGACGCCTCCACCCCAGCCCAACAGGAGACGCCCGACGTGCAGATGGCGGCACAGGAAGACCTAGGCGATACGGAGCCCGCCTTCATCGTCACCCCAACCGCCCACCTCAGACCCGCAAGCAACACAGAAACACACCTAGGCGGGCAAGACACCCGGAACACCGCCCCCCAGGGAGTTGGACGGAGGCAGCAGGAAATAGCCCTGCTCGTAGCGGCGTCCCTGACGAAAGGCCCAACCGGAACACTGGACTCCGAACGTATCACGGACGTCGACGTCTCACGGGACGACGACCTTCCCCCCCCTCCCCCAGACAGCGCACCCGAAGGGAAACTAGCGATTATCGACGACCAACTCATTGCAAACCGCGCATACGCGGCCGTCGACAAGGACCGCCCCCGCCGGGTGGAGATACCCATCGCCCAGGCTCCGGCCGGCGGGTGGACCATGCCACACATGCGTTTCCGGCTCCAACAGCTGGAAGACATACAGGAGCGCCAGGTACGCGACTGGGCGGAGGAAGACGAAACCCTCAGCAATAACGTCCTCATCACCGTTTTCGATAAGCCAAACCTCTCGGCGGACGATGCCCAGGACGCCTTCGGAGAAGTACGCGCCGTGATTCAGGCATTCCTCGAGGACGGCGCACGAATGAGAATCATTATGCCGGTGGCGGCGGACAGACGCCAACCCCGCACGGGACTACTCACCTACCTGACGGCAGAGAACAAAGCCCGCATCCTCACGCAGGGTGTATTCGCCTCCGCCGACGTCGCCTTCCTCGCTCTCAGCTTCGACGACATCGTCGTTAACCCGTCGTACTACCTCACGCTTAAAGGACCTCTGGACGTGGACGCCGACCTCATGCTCTACGCCGTCCAGGTAGCCCTCGCTGGGAAAGCCTCCGATATCGTTATGGCCCTCGGCATGGACCCCAACGACGACAAAGCTATCGAACAGGTCAACAACTTCATATACAACCTAGAATGCCGGATACTTCCCTTCCTCGCGCCCAAGGGACGCCCGCAACCACGATACAATATATACGGCCCGGTAATCAACACCTCACTCCCTTGCGCATACCGCGACGTCCAGGCGATCATGTCGAAGACCAACTTCGGACACTCGCGGGTTGGACCCGTCGAACAGTGCCACGCCGGCCAATGCACCTTCTGTTACGGAGTCGACCATGTATACGGCCTGTGCCCGATCCGAGAGCAGATCCCGGCGGGCTTCCACGGATCAACCAAGAACTCCTCAACGCGCACCCAAGACCAAGGGCGCAGAGGATACGGGAATGCCCGCGGCGCGTTCAGAGGCAGAAACCGGGGACGCGGAATGTAAACGCGCGTAGACTAGACCAGACAACCGTAACGATACATAGACGATAGACGACGTGTAACCCCCACTCTGAATCTCAAACGAAATGTCATGCTGCTACCAACGATGGCTCGGGACTCAAGGGAGCGTGTCGACCGGTCGCGACACGCATCACCCCAAGTTATGCCGACCTAATATACAGCTCCTTCACCAGGAAGGAGGACTGATGGTCGACATGCTGCAAGACCGGCGCCTTGGCAAAGTGCCAGCGGAGGCCTATTTAGGCCGGACAAGCCGCGCGTGTAAGCTGAAGCTGAGCAAACAACTAAATGCCATCGCCCGAGCGGTGCCTATAGGAGTACCTCAGCATAGTCCTGTCCGTGGAAGACCGGACGACAATAGTCTCCCCCGGCGCCCTCGAAGGCAGAGGGCGCAATACGGGTCATACAGCCTGCTGCCAACACCACAACCACACACCCCCCCCCTTATCCACGGTCTCAAACCCCGGTCTTGGCGCGCGCCCTCCCGCGAACAGAGAGGACGTGCCCCCCACCGCCGGGCACGGCCTCGACGACGTTCGGAGAGGTTTCGGAGGCGGAAATGCTGAACAGGCTCGGGACGACCAAGCCCCGAAAGGCCCGAAGAGGGCAAAACGCGCCCACCTAAAAGTGGCGACCCTGAACATGAACGGACACACCGCGCAGGGCGGAACCCCACTGAACAAGTGGAATGACATACATGCTATGATGCGAGACGACAAGATCGCCATCATTGCGCTCCAGGAAACTCACCTCACAGAACAAAACCTAGAAGCAATAACAAGAATGTACGGGAAACGCCTGTGGATCTACAACTCGGCGGACCCGGAGCGGCCATCCAACTCCGCCGGAGTAGCCTTCGTACTAAATAGAGACGTCGTAAGCACGAAGGACTGTAAAATAATAACGATCGAACAAGGACGTGCCGTAGCCATAACACTATCTTGGCATGACCGCGACACGGTCACACTCCTAAACGTATACGCCCCAAACGAACCAGGGCGCCACGCAACCTTCTGGAGACGCATAGAGCAAATGAGAAAGGACAACAGAATCCCCCAGGTAGACTTCATGCTAGGGGACTTCAACATGGTGGAGGACGAGATAGATAGGGCCCCGCCCAGGGCGGAACTTGACAGTGCAGTAACAGCCCTCCGGGACTGCAGACGAACGCTGAGAGTACACGACGTATGGCGCGCGGAGAATCCCGCAACGAGGAACTACACGTTCATCAGTAAAGCGACGGGTTCCATGTCGAGACTGGACAGGATATACGTAGCAGAAAGGCGGAGCACAAGTGTATTTGAATGGGTGTGCCAAACCCCCGATGTAGTAACCGACCACAGGATAGTGTGGATGAAATACGCCCCGACAACAATGCCCTATATGGGGCCCGGAAGATGGACGTGGCCGGCCGGACTCACAAACGAAACACATTCCATATCCTCGGTAGAGAAGATAGGAATGCGCCTCCAGGAAAACCTGGACAGGATGCGCATCGAAGGGCGCACGGCAGAACGGAACCCACAGACGCTCTGGCAAGAATTCAAGGACAGAGCCGCCGAGATGGCAAGCCTCCTGACAGGGGCAGCCCTTTCGCGAACGAGCAGGAAACTGGCGAGCAAAGAATACGCCCTCGCGACGGAGATGAACAAAGAAGAAGCAGGATTGGAAGATGGCGTCGAACCGAGACGAAACATAGCACTCATGGAAAACGAGATACGGCACCTCAAAGGGAAGCTAAGGAGAGACGCGAAACAAACGAGTCAGGCAAGGTGGCTCGAGAAAGGAGAAACGATGTCCAAATACTGGACGGGAATCAACAAAGACAAAAAGCCACGAGAACTCACAATGAGACTGCGACGTCTGGATACGCCGAACCTGTACGCCACACGCACGGACGCGATGGCGGACATCGCGAGAATACACCACGAGCGGCTACAGCATGACAGAGAAAAAGAGGAGTGGGCCCATGGAACACACCGGCGGAATATAGAGGCGGCACTGGCGATAATCCCGGAGGAGCGCAAGCTGCCGGAGAACGTCAGAGAGACGATGCAAGAACCGCTGACAGAACATCATGTCAGACAAGCGCTTGAAAGATCGAAGAGCGGGAAGGCCACGGGCCTGGACGGAATACCGTATGAAGTATGGAAGGAACTCGACTCACTACATGCGAAACGAGTGAAATTCGAGATGGCGTCCTTCAACGTCATGTCGGTGATGGCGGAAATCTTTAACGACATCCAAACCCAGGGTGTGGACGAGAAGACACAGTTCACGGATGGATGGATGTGCCCGATATATAAAAAGGGGGACAAAGCTGACATCGCAAATTACCGACCGATCACTCTCCTCAACACAGACCACAAACTACTCACCAAGGCTCTAGCCATGCAACTCGCGGATGTGATTGGCGGAATGGTGCACAGCGATCAAGCCGGGTTTATACCGGGCCGGTCAATATTCAGCCAGGTGAAACTGTCACAAATGATGGTCAAATACGCGGAAGCCATGGAAGAAGACGGCATAATTGTGGCACTCGATCAAGAAAAAGCATACGACAAAATCGACCATGAATACCTATGGGCAACCCTGGAAGCATTCAACTTGCCGAAACGTTTCATAGACACGGTGAAAGCCTTGTACTCAAACGCGAACACAACTGTAATGATAAACGGCGTTAAAAGCAAAACCTTCAGAGTAACGAGAGGCGTACGACAGGGAGACCCACTGTCGTGCATTCTCTTCGACCTGGCAATTGAACCGCTAGCATGCAAACTAAGAGGGGACGGAAGACTGAGAGGGTTCCGGATCCCAGGGAAGGCGGAAGCCGTCATCGCGGCACTATTCGCCGACGACACTACCGTGTACCTGTCCGCAGAGGACAAGTATAGTGACCTCCTCGACATCCTAGACGGGTGGTGCAGAGCATCACGAGCAAAGTTCAACAAAGGTAAAACGGAAATCATACCGATAGGCACCGGAGAGTTCCGAGAGAGGGTATGGCAGACGAGGAAGATGGACGCGAGCTCGGCGGAAATGATCCCGCAAGATGTGCGAATATTAAAAGACGGAGAGGCGGCCAAGCTGCTCGGGACATGGATCGGGAACGGGATAGACGAAGCGGGAGTATGGTCGGACACGGCAGACAAGGTGAAACGGAACCTAGACAGATGGAACGCAGCGAAGCCGACACTACAAGGGAAAGCCCTGGTCGTGCAGATGGTGGTCGGAGGACTCACCCAATACAAGACGAGAGTACAGGGAATGCCGAACTCGATACTGGAAGACCTGAACAAAATGATACGCAACTTTATATGGGGAGAAGGCCGAGCCTCACCGATAGCGATGGCCGAGCTCCAGCGACCCAAGGAGGAAGGAGGGATAGGCCTCATCAACCTAGAGGCTAGAAACGAAGCTATCGCGCTGGTATGGCTGCGGGAGTACCTCACCATGAACGATCAACGACCAAGATGGGCCGCCCTGGCGGACTTACTGGTAAACAACGCCGCCCCACGAGGGGTCGACTCGAAGGACAGGCTGAACTCCTTCCTACAAGACTGGGCAGCGCCGACACAAGGCCCGAATGCAGCGAAGATGCCCAGGGATATTGCCCTCTGGCTGAAAATGGCAAAGAAATACGATGTCGTTTTCGACGCGATCAGGATTGCGGACCAGGTGAAGATGCTCCTACCTGCCTGGTGCCACCTAGGGGCACCGCGATGGACATACCACAAGACGAAGGACAAGTGCCTGAAGACCGCACACGGAGTAGTAACGGTCAAAGATATGCTAGACCAAGCGAAAAGAATACGGAAGATCAGTCACTCGCGGCACAATAGATGCCAGTGCGATGAATGCGTTGCTGACCGCGACGCGGGGTGCCAGGACCCGAACATGTGCTGCCAACGGGCGGACACAATACTTCGCCGGATTGAACCGCGATTCTCAATCCATAGTAAGAGGCGAGACGACGGACTGACCCTGACACACACCAGACAAGAAAAGAACAGGCAAGAGAGAAGACGTCGGGGAGTGATCCGTTTTGACCCATCAGTGTCTCTCAAAACCGAACCCGGCGAAGGAATAAGGATTTTCGCGGGCGAACACGAACCGAAGAGAGGACCTGCTACGCGACTCAGTAAACCTGCCAGGGGACGAAACGTGGAAGAAGAACGAATGACCATATATACAGACGGATCCTGTACGAACAACGGGTCCCTGGACGCGGTATGTGGAAGTGGAATATGGGTACCGGACATACCAAGCGCCAGCAGGGCTATCAGAGTACCAGGAGATAAACACTCGAACCAGAGGGGTGAAGTCGCGGCGGTCCTGGTAGCGCTGCAGACGACGGCGCCCTTCGTACCGATACTCTTCAAGACCGATTCGATGTATGTGATTGATGGCCTAACGGCACACCTCCCGAGGTGGGAGGACATAGGGTGGACGGGAATAGCGAACTCCGACCTGCTCAAAGCCACGGCGTTCCACCTGGGGAGACGGTCAGCGACGACGGACTTCCTCTGGGTCAAAGGCCACTCGGGCGAGGAAGGAAACGAAAGGGCTGACGCACTGGCAAAAGAAGGAGCCAACAAAGACGAAGCCGACCCCCTCGACCTCAGCATTCCCCCAGAGTTCAACCTTCGGGGCGCGAAGCTTTCGGCTATGACCCAATCGATGCTGTATGAAAGGGTATTGGCCCACAAAGGACCGAAGACCGTACGCCCGGCAGCACTGGCCCCGCTGGACATGACACGACACGCAATCAAGGAGACGAACGGCGTGATGCTGGACGACGAAGCTCTGTGGAGATCGATAAGATGCAAAGACCTCCGTCAACCGGTGAGACAACTATTATACCGCGCAATGCACGGATCCCACAGGCTAGGGAAGTTCTGGCAGAATGTCCCGGGCCTCGTGGAGAGAGAGGCATGCGCCTACTGCGGGGACGAGGAATCACTGGAACACATAATGACGGGATGTGATAACGGGCCGGGGAAGGTAGTGTGGGACCTGCTGCACGACGCCTGGCCGCAAGGCCGTGGAGCCCCGCCCAACATCACGCTCGGCCTCATCCTTGGATGCGGCGCGATTCAAATCAAAGAAACAAACCACGAAACAGGAGTTGAACAACTCCGGACTAATCGGTCAAGGCTCATGAGGATACTAATCTCGGAGTCTGCGTACCTGATATGGGTGCTCCGATGCGAACGGACGATACAAGACAGGAAGCACAGTGGAGAAACAATACGACGAAGGTGGGCGATGGCCATACAAAGACGACTTGAAAGCGACCACGCTATGGCATGCAGAACGATACGCACGGAGTCGCACGTGAGGAAAGTGCAGGGAACGTGGGATGGACTGCTCTTAAACGAGCAGACACTCCCGGAAGACTGGGCCAAACGCCGTGAGGTTTTAGTGGGTATTAAGCTGCCGAGACTCCGCAGACCGGAGCCACCTAGGTAGTGCACGAGCCCCACTCGCCCTGGAGTCCCCCCAGGGGTCGTGGTATTGAGCATTTTTCCTCGGACCGGGCTACACAAAGCCCGCTATTTAGGAGTAGCTTATTTAGGGCTAGACATGCTTGTCGACTGCTAAATAAGAATATCTGCTCGTCCAAAAAAAAAAAGAAAACGCTTCAACCTCGTGGGTAACAGAAAGAGGAAGCACGTGATCGTGAGACTGGCACGGGTGGCGGTAATTGCCGGCCTCAAGCAGATTCAAAGGCTGCTCCACCCGATCGAATCGCGAGCATGTCGTCTAACGAAGCGCTCATCTTGCATATATGGCCCGGCGCCTGGGGCCTGTCTTCACTCCATCCTACATGTTTGGCCGCGGTGCTTTACCTACAGCTCGCCGTCCCTGGCCGATTCACCGTTGCCGAGTCCACCAATCCCGACGCATCTCCGAGCGGTAGGTGAGTGGTCGTTCATCTCACGAGTATATGACGAATGACGGACATCAACGTGGTGCGCAGGCGTATTTCCATACGTGACTCACGATAAGCGGGTCGTATCCTCTCTGGCGTTGATCGTCAAGTACGTCTCCGCTTTGCCGGAGTCTTCGCTGCGATCCAACGGGGAAGATAAAGACGCAGACGCGTACATACGACCCGACTTGGACAAGTCGCTCGTGAATGGTGAAAAGGCCCGAAAAGTAGCTTGGTGTGCTCATGTGGAATCTCAACTAGGCGATTTGGTGGTGCGTCCAGTGCCATCGAAGCCGACTAGTAACCTTACACCGGAATTTCACAGGCACACATGCTCTTTTCCCTCAATGCCAACTACTGGTCACTGACGCGACCTACGCTTGCGTCTCAGCTCCCCATACCTCAACGGTACTACGTACCGAGTCGCATCCGCGCATCTTACCGACCGCGTCTGGAAGCTTCCGAACTGTGGGGTATACCCGAGCCAGAGGAGAAAGAGTCGGAGACGCACGGGCTCTGGAGGAAGAAGAAAGATTCCGAAGTCGAAGAAGAGGCCAAGGAAGCGAGAAAGCATACTTTCAAGAAAGTATTCGAACGAGAGAAAGTGCTCGAGAAGGCGAGAGCCACGCTGGATATATACGTACGACTACTAGGTGAAAGGTCCTTCTTCTATCATAACCGGTATGTCCCTGTACTTCCCGAAGTAGTTTCCCGTGGCTCATCCGCACTTTAGTCCTACAACGCTCGACATCACACTCGCTGCTCATGTGCTCCTCCTGACCAAGCCGCCGTACCCGGACCCGCTACTCCAGAATCTGCTTAACGACTCCTATCCGACACTCGTCGCGCACGCGGAGCGAGTTCACTCGTATTGCATCCCGGATGCTGCTGCGCTGCGCATTGTGTCTGGCTCATCTACGGGCTTGACGTCGCTCATTCCGTTCTCGCACGGTGTCTTTGGTCAGGATAGCAATCGCGGTACCTGGCCGTGGACGGCGACAGTGGCAGCGGCTGCAGCCGCAGTAGCTTGGTTTATCTTGCTAGGCCCACGACCTGTTCTGGCGGCCCGACCTGATGATGAGGAGATCTATGACGCCTTGGGCAAGGAGATGGATGAGCAGGTTGGAAATGCATGAGCTTGGAGCCTGGAGGTACTTACTCCCGATTCACCGTGCTCTGACCCACGTCTGAATAGTGCTTTTTTTCTTATGCTATGATCAATACTTCAAGCGCATAGGATTATTGGGATACTTAGTGCAAGTACTGTAATTTTACGACCTTAGGTTCGGTCCGCCCCCGGGGGGAGACAGCTACAAGTTCGGGCCCGTGGGAAGTTCGCAAACTGACTGTAGTCAGTGTGCAATATTCTCACAGTAGAAAATATAATTCCCACGGTCAGTTCAAGGCCTGGATATTGGTGGCGGGACAGGGGACAACACGGGAAATTAGGTTCAGTTCAGGTTGCCAGGGGACAGGGGACGAACCTAAGGTCGTAAAATTACAGTAATGCAACATACAGAATAGAGAGCTTCCAAAATCGATATATATCGAGAATTTATTTTCAAATCGTGCGATTTGGCCCGCATTTTTGGCCATAGAATGGGTGACTTCCCGTAAGGATCTGTAAGGCCGAATAGAATAGATTTCGCTTACAAATCCACTAAGCGAGCAATGCCGAAAAATCGGCATCGTCAAGCCAAGTTATCGGTTTGTCGGTCGCTCGTACAGACCTTTTATCTGGAAGGGGGGTCGACCCCCCCTTCCAGACCAGAATGCCCGTTTACAGACTGGAATTAATCATACACGTGACCTTCTCTCTTCCTCATTCGCTGCTCCGCCCTTCTCAACGTTTATGACGTCTGTTTCCGCCCCACACTCGCAGGACCGTACGGGAGCATAGATTTACAGCATAACCCACAGATCGGGGTTTCAACTGTTTATTCTGTATTTCTGTCGCTACAGATCTTACGGGAAGTCATCCAATATCAAAATCTCGATATATATCGAAACTGGAAGCTCTCTAATGTCAGATCTCCTCATCCACGTTCACGATACGCGCACGTGATATGTGTCCGATGAAGAGGCGCCGATCATATCCTGCCAGAACGTCATACATCCGCGTCCTACGTCGTCTGTTGCTGCGATTATGCATATCTTGTTTTACCGTTCCCTCCGTCCAATCTGTCTCTGCGCCTCGCCAAGTTTCGAACTGCCGCAATAACCAGTCGTTGCGTATCTTACGGGACTGTCCACGCTCGCCATTCTTGCGCCCGGAGTGTTCATAGCTGGCGGAGTTCGCCTTCGCCGTTGCGGCCCCTGACGACGATGTCCTTTGCCACCACCAATTGGCCAGCAGAGGCGGGAGCGTTGGTTTCTGCACGCAAATTTCTGCGCGAATGGTATGATCCCGACCCCTCCGCACGAACGTCTGGTAGAATCCGGATTTCACAGCGCAGCACAGTCGAAGCACACTTTACTTGTTCCTGACAAGGACGCAGACGGCCTTAGTGGCACGCTGATCATATACCGCACTCTCCGCGCTCTTGGGCATGCTGCCGAAAACATCAGCGTGCACTTCGTCGAGAAAGGGTCGAATCCACATCGGGATGCGGAACGAGAGCGGCTCGCAGCTCACAGAGCAGAATATGCTGTGGTAGTAGATCAAGGTAGCCGGCCGGGCCCCAGCTTGGTGCCGGGGGCAAAAACCCTCCTCGTAGACCACCACCTCAGCGATGAGTTTCCTGAAGGAACATTGGTAAGTGGCGCATGCCTTGCCTGACTGTAATCAACTCACATCTTCGCCAGGTTCTCTCAGCTTGCAAACATGAACCCGTTGCCACATCTGCGACGCTGGCGTACGTACTCTGCCGGCCGCTTCATCGTACCGTTGTGTCCTCTTGCGACTATCTGTGCGCCATGGGCACCATCGGCGATCTTGGGACAACGTTCAAGTTCGAACCGCCTTTCCCTCAAGAGGAAATGAAGGCCTGCTTCAAGAAGTACACGAAGAAGAGCATAAATGAAGCTGTCGGGCTAGTCAACGCTCCTCGGAGGACTGCTATCTACGACGTCGAATCTGCCTGGCAGGTATATGCTCAATCTGGCTTGTTTCATGTTAGCTTCTGACGATTGCGTGCTCATCGCAGGCTTTACTTCATTCCACCTGTCCAACAGATGTAACTTCACCACCTCGGAGCTCTGCCGACAAGGTCAAATGGTCCCGGCGTCTGCACGACGCACGTCAGGAGATCAACGCAGAGGTGGAACGGTGCAGTCATGTTGCTCCGAAGTTCTCGGGCGATGGACGCGTCGCCCTTTTGCGCATACATAGCGAGGCGCAGGTGCATCCGGTACACGTTCATCCCGTCTATGGTCAGAATACAATTCTTACATGATCCGTTCTCTATTCCCTTTCACCAGGTCGTTGCGACTCGCTGGGCGGGCCACCTCAAGTCTCCCAGACTGCGAGTTGTTATGGTCGCCAATACAGGGTATACTCCTGGGATTACCAACTTCTCGTGCCGCGTCGCGCGCTGCGCCCGGCGCCCGGACGTTCCAGCCGTCGACATCATTGCGATGCTGAAGGCGTACGCCGCGCGCGAGCCTGGGTTGACGGAGTCCATGGGTCAGGATTTTGCGCGGGGGCACAAACAAGCGAGCGGCGGTATTGTGAGCACTGAACAGTTTGAGAAGCTATGGCACGTGATGGAGCAGAGTGATACGGAGGGCGAGGAGAGCCCGAGGAAGAGGCGGAAGGTGGGAACGACGAGCGCTCAGAAGAACACGTTGGAAGGATGGGTGAAAAGAGCTTGATAGCATCCGGCGTTCCTTTGTCACGAGGCAATGATAGATGTAATTGTATTCGCCATAAAATGTGTATTGTACAGATGCATGTATCAATGGCGATATGTATCACGAAAACGGTAATGCGCATTCTATGTTGTGTTGCTCCGCTGCTCCCCTGTACATCACTGAGCCTGCACTTGCTCCGGTGTCGCTATGCCAGGGGAAGCATCATGAAGGGCAGGTACGTGTGCTGGCACGTCAGGCAACGCAGGAGTTGGCTTATCGCGGGCTTTATCCTGTTGTTGTTCTCTGATCAGCGCCTGCAGTTCTGCTTCCAGATCGCTGTCATCGACGCCGGTCGGCGCGGCAATCTCGACGCCATCCGTAATAGCGTCATCAACCTCCTTGGCGTCTGCCGTGGCGCTCGCAAGGGCATCCATCGTGTCGTCGATGTGGTCTCTCTGTAAAGAGGGATGCGCCAAAACGCTGCGCAGGGTAGCCGTAGAAAGTTCGTAGGTTTGCATGATCTGAGGTGTCCACGTAAGCATCAGAACGCCGTCATGACAGTGAGGGCTGGAGGATAGCGTACCTCAACATCGCCAACGGCTCGCTCGACGTCCAAGAGAGTGGAGTGAAGCTTTTCAAGAGACAAAAGACGCTTGGAAAGCAGGTCTTCCAGCTGCTTCTTTGCGCGGAGATGGGTTAGCGCCATGGGCTTCCGTTGAGCCCGCAGTGCAGCCGTCGTTTTCGCTGTCCGACTGAGAGAAAAAGGATCGATGTCCGAGACGCGAAAACAGTGGAACGAGGCTTACTCGTCCATCTGATACTGAATGCTCTCGACTTGGCGTTCGAGGTTAGCGACCGCGGTCTTCAATTCTAGTAAGCCGTGGTCGACAGGGGTGATGCTCGCTTCGGCACCGCTTAATCCTGTGGGTATGAACTTGACGAGCTACGAATCATTGTTAGGTCGAGGATTTCGACGGTTTCGAGGTGTCGTTCACCTCTCGCTCAACTTTCACGGCCCCTTTGTCCCTCGCTAAATACTTGAGCACGACTTTCACGTCGCTGTCAGACAGCCCTCCTTCAACGACACTCCCGAATTCGGTCTTGAACGATTCAAGGCTGAATATCAAATCCTTGGGCGTCCCATAGCTCCGTTCTTGCATTTCCAGTATCTTCTCGGCGGCGTCTTCGAGCAATGCGAGGACGACATAGTCGCCCTTCGCAGTTCTCCATCGTTCGCGCTCCGGCTGTACATCATCCGGAACCAAGCCTGTTTGCTTCAAGGCCCACCACACCGGCTTTCCAACAACATTTGAGGCCACTCTCCAAGCCAGAGAGGTCGGGGTATAGATGGAGGTCGGTGCGGTCAGGAAAGCCTGGAGGGGAATCAATGGAGGAGGTGACGTAGACGAAGGCGCAGTAGAGAGCTCGGCCTGTGCTAGTAATCTATTTGTCAATCGTAGATGCCAAAAAAAAGCAGTAGCGCATTTACCGTAACGGTACCGAGGCTGAGCGGTTTGCCAGCACCTTCGTAGCGAAAGACCTCGGCCATAGTGGGTTCGGCGTGTAGAACCAGTCGTGACCTCCCATTTTCACTCGCTAGCAGACCCTTCTTTACAGCCTCCTCAAAGGTTTGCTGCCACCATCGAATGTTGGCCTGATAGGACTGGGGATTTGAGTGCTTTTGCCGAGAGAAGTCGGAGTAGAGCGCTTGTAGACGCGAAGTAGATATGCCGGAATATGATGAGAACGCAGAGAGTGTCTTAGTGGTGGGGTTGAAGGGTGCTTTCGACATCGGATTTCGCGCAGTTTGTCGGCGCGCTGTGTGGTACCGAGGCGGTAACGAATGCCGCAAGAGGAGACCTTGCGCGGCTACGTATGTCACGCGTCGGTCACCTGACCAAGATGCTCAGTGGTGCTTTTCTAGTCTTTCACAAGACCAAGATCCTCCAAATGGTTTCGCTATATGCAAGCATACTATACACATCGCTTATACTGTGTGGCTCTTCTCTCTCCAATGTTTCTTTCAAGAAACTAAAGCTATCTGTGCGGGAGAAAGCAACTGTTCAAGCGTTGTGGAACGTAGGGACGAACCCAGGACTTAACGGTCCTTTCTCGCGATCGTCGGGAGCGTTGTTTCTGGCCCCCTCATCACCGTGCGACTGAGCCTGGACCCCCCTAGTGTGCTGGTCCTTGTTTTTGCTGTCCTTACTGTCTTCGCTATCCTTCGGGGGCTGCAACCCGGCATAGATGACCAGGATAACCGAGCAAACAGCCACTACGACCATTTGCGGGAAGAGACCGCAAGAGTCTGCGGCACTTGATCAGCGCGAGCGCGGCACAACTTGAGGTTTGCATACCAAGTATCAATCCTTTACAGGTGACAAGTCAATGATGGATCCCAGGACTGACGGACCGGGGGTAGAGGGGGGGGGGCTTACCAAACGCAGGCGCTCCAACCCATAAAGCTCGGAGAGCCGGTATGGTCAAGATAACTGATACAGGCAAGAGCATGATGCCGGAATCTACCTCGGCGCCGATAGCGACCCTCAGCGTAATCCAGACGACCACGGCTGTCAAGAGCCAGTTGACGACGAAGATTATCACTACAAATGCTTTTGTTAAGGCCTCTCGACCAAAGCGCGAGTGCGTCGTGCGCGCAGAGGTTGTCGTCCCGTTCACGTCGTTCATCATCACGGGCAGGTCCCAAACCAGATGAGGAGCGAAATTCTGGGTGGAGTCTACGGCAACGAGGCTGAGGATTGGAAGGGTTTCGTTTGTGTTGTGGTCTTTGGTCATGAAGGTCGTCTCCAGGTCGTAACGATCGAACGGGAATGCGGACTGTTGATCGCCACGCGAAAAGTTTGGTACGAACGAAAAGCCGTCGATACTCAGAAGGTGCGTAGTCTCCACTCTATCCGTAGCTTGAACTCTGTATGCCTGTGAGTGATACTACAGACCACTCCTATATCAATCACTGTACCCAATAACCTGGTTCGTCGATACAGCGATCGGTTTCAGTCCAGGGTCATACGAGAAGACCTGCTGACCGCTGTAAATAGGTGAGTGCGATGTTCATCCGTTCAGTCAATCACTAACCCATCCACGTAGATGTCGATTGCTCGTGACAGATCACCGCAGTTCTTCGCGCCCAAAACACCTGCCGTGCCATCCAATAGGAAACCGGCACCGCAGCCAACGATGAGCCACGATATTTGAACTTGACGAGCATCCACGTCGATGTTGTAGATGTGTCCAAGGAACCTAATCTAGAACAAAATCAGGACCGAAAGATGATTGAACGAGGCTTTTCATAGCTCACTCCTGAGCTTCCTGGATCGTCGCTCTCGAGAATCGCCTTCAGATTAGCACCGCCCACAGACACCGTGACTGCAAACAGGATGATCGCTACGATGGCGATGAAAGATGCGAAGCCTAGGAACAACCATCGCATGCGCGGTCGCTTCCACTGTAGCACGCGTGCAACAGGGAGGTTCATGTCATGAAACGTCGTGCAAAGCGTAAGGGCGGATTAAGGCGAGCGATCTCATCGTATTGGCGGCCGTGCGCCTTTATACAGGCTCGAGCATCCTGAGGAGCAATCTGTAAGTACGTCTTTTGGCATCAACTAACGACGGAAATGTGTGATTGCGTTTTGACATGCGTGGCCTCTCGGGTTTGACGGGTTTCGCATGTCGGCTAAGTAGGCGCTCGTTTTAGGCGGGATCACAACGTGTTGGGCCAGCAAAAGTTAGAAACCGAATTCCATATCAGTAGTCGTCCCCGCACGCTGAATGTGCGAGTAGTACGTAAATATGCCTTGCTGCCGATTGCACCGAAGGTCCGAGACTACTTACATACAGGTTCGGTGGCGGTGCCGCGGAAGCAGAATTGAATCCAACGTAAAACTCGCATTGGCGGCAGGCTACAGCATCGATATCTGTTACAACGTACTCGACTTGATCGACGACCGACAACATGAGCCCATTGCGTCTCCGTCATCCGGGTGGCGTCACCACCATTCAAATCGACATCGGCAATGCAACTGTCCAGGACTTGCAGCAGGAGGTGTACCGAGCTACGAATATACTGCCGTCGCTGCAAGACCGTGCGTCGAGCTTGTTCCTTGAATCCGATTTCGATCCGTTCAGTTGATCGGATGCTTCAGTGAGGACTGGGTATCCGCCGCGCAGCCTGGAGATCATCCCGGAGCTGCCCGCCGATAGCCTCGGATTGAAGGCTGGCGATCAGCTTATCGTGAACACGAAGGCAGGGAGCGTGTCTACCGCAGTCGGGGGCGCAGTAGCGTCTGCGCCTCCTTCTCAGCCCTTTGGAACCCCTGTACCGCCAGCCGCAGCGGCACCGCAGCCAAGGTCCACACCTCTGGGGCGGCCACCCAAAGCAGCTTCTCCGGATTTCGTGGAGACAGAAGGTGGCGCCCTAGTACACCGGGCAAGTAGTACCCCTTTCGGGCTTGCGTTACAGGACCTGACAACTGCCTCAGATTGTGCCGGATGACAACTCGTGTCTTTTCTCGTCCGTCGCGTTGGTTTTCAGGCAGGATATCGGGAAAGCGTCGGAGATGCGGCAGCGTGCGTCATCGTCCCGGCAAGTCGCAGTATTGAAGACAGTAAACGAACACGGGTTGCAGTGGCGGCCGAAGGTATACGTGGAGATCCGGAGACGTTCAATGAAGCCATCCTCGGGTACGTCGCGATCACATGTCCACTTCTCATCCATGCAGACCTCTTCTATTGCAGCCGATCTCAGTCCGAATACATCGCTACCATTTTGAAACCCTCCACATGGGGAGGTGCAATCGAGCTTTCCGTGTTCGCGAAGATGTTCGCAACCGAAATCGATTCCGTGGACGTTGAAACGGGGAGGATTGACCAGTTCACGCCTCCGCCCGAAACGAACACGGGCAACCGATGCATCCTGATCTACTCGGGTATTCACTATGATGCAGCTTCCCTGGCTCCAGCACCAGACGCGCCGGGGGAGTTTCACCAGACTGTGTTTCCCGTGGTGAGTCACCATAACTCCGCCGGGGCTTAAGCATTGATTGGATGTGATATGGTGTAGATTGCATCTGGCGACTCCGATCCGATCTTAGTAGCTGCAAAGAAACTGGCTGACAAGCTACGAGCGAAGAAGGCGTACACGAACACCTCGACCTTCGACTTGAAATGCGAGGTCAGTTCGGTTACAATCTGGTATATGCCCCGCACTGACTTGAACAGATCTGCAAAAAAGGACTCAGGGGAGAGAAGGAAGCCCGCGCACATGCCGCGGAGACCGGCCACACCAGCTTCGGCGAGTATTGAGAGCAATTGCGCGGGCATTGGACACCTCCAGGTTATCGGACGTTCGGAACACTTGTTATGTCTTTCCTGTGTCCCAGAATGCATTGAAATTGCTCGTCTGCTCGAAGAAGATATTATGCGACCATGTTCTGCATCTTCAGAGCTCGCCCTCTATGTCCATAACGATGGGTACATGGTCGCTTGCTCCGTAACACTCGCTGCGTATTTCGCACATCTTGACGCGCCTGAGTATCCGCTCGCTGAGTACAACTGCGGAGTGAAGAGGTCAGATGCGTAGCACCGCGACCTTGGATATACTCTGAGATACGTACACATGTCGAGCCTCCAGCCAAGACCTTTCATACGTGCATTGAAACGATACGAAAAGTAGGTATAGTGACGCAAGCCTGGATGCAAGTGTCTCCATACATCCACGAACTTCTTGGGCTCTGAATCTGTGTTACTGCATAAGGCCAATGGTTCTTGGGTGACCGACGCTAAGCCTTACCTGCGTCGGTGTTTCCAGATGGGTTGAGCACATTCTTGAACCAAGACGTCTCGATTTCTGTATAACCGGGAGTTTTGTTCCAATTGCGCTGTGGATTAGCGAGGTCTGTAATCGACGCATGTCAGATCCGGAATTTAACGCCTAAGATGCACCAGGTTACCTATTGCTTCTGGCGCTACGTTGAGATCACCAACCCAGATAACGGATTTTTTGGCATCCAGGGAGCGCAGGTATGCCTCGAAATGTGTTTGCCATAGCTTCTTGGCGTCCATGGTCTGCAAGCTCGCATAAGTCAGGAACATACAAGGGGGAAATGGCCATAATGACCTTCAGTTTTTCTCCTGCGTTCACCACGTACGTCCCGACAACATATGTTTCCTTGAACTCCAGGGTCACAATTCGTCCTTTTGTTGTCCCTTCTTCTGGATGACCAGGGAGATGCTTTGTCACGGACAATGGTTCGTGCTTGGACAAGATGGACGTGCCCGCTGGTGTGCGCGTCAGGAACCGAAGTACAGTCGAAGTGCAAGGACGGACAATAGGTCTTCTTCTCGGAGATTGACCAGTATCTGTAGGGGTATCGTTTGGTTAATGTCGGGTCGACAGGCTCGTCGTTAATCTATCGAGAGCCGTGAGTATGTGGAATGCGTATGTTGGTTGAACCATACGTGCCTTGGTCTCCGTCAACACGAGAATATCCGGATCCTCTGCCTCTACATAATACTTAAAGCCCTGAATCACCGTTAACAGTAAGTCAAGGGTCAAGTACGCGACTCGTGCTGACCTTCTTTTGAGAAGCCGCCAGTCCACAGATGTTCCAAGAGGCAATCCGAAGCGTTCCTGCGGCTTTTTTCGGGAACCTGATCTGTACGGGCATGACCTTGTTTGTCGGTTGACCATTGGGACCAATGCCGGCGCCAGCAGCGTCGCCCGCCGACCCGTCCCCCTTGGCATTGACATTCCCTCCAATCTTCGCGCGCTTTGTCGCCGTGTCGGGCTGATCTTCCTCTGGCGATGAAGACAGCTTTCGCTTGGACGTGGATGCACTTCTTTTCGGTGGCATGATTCGGGGAGACAGAGGAGAATGAGATGCAGTACGGGGTTGAATATGCTGACCAGTCGAAAGGAGCCAACGCGCCCGTAACATGAGAAGCACTACTGAGGTCACGGTCACGAACGCGCCCTCTCGCGTGTCCTGATTTGGGAACGCGTCCCGGCACTTGCCGTCGGCATGTTCAATGGTTCGGAAATTCTGTGTAGGGCCTAAAGTACTGCGACACCAAGCATATACTATCGCAAGGCTTCATGCCTGCTACATCGACGAAGATAATCCACCGACATATGCCACCCTCGTAACTTACCCGCTTGTGCGTGCCTCTTTGTCTCATCTCCTAGCCGGTGGGCCTGATATTGTGGCCCGCAGATCCACCTTCTCTTTAGCCTTGTCACTTAAAAGTCGTCGAAATCGTATTGCTCTCTCGTCCTGCTATCCTCTCGTCTTGATATATTGCTTTTCTCCGCGCTGTCTATCCTCTCTGCTGCTTTCGATCCGCTTGTTTCCGTCCATAGACTCCCGGTGGCTACGAAGACACCTCGTTTGATCATTCAACGAACATTCAAGAAGACCTCTTACGAACCCTGCCCTTCCTCATGCTCACGCTCAACGGATATTCTGCGTGGATTGTCTGTGACGGGAAGCCCGTTCCAGAATATGAGACTCATGTGGACACGAAGAACAAACGTGTTCGGTGTTGGATTCCGGGTGACGAAGGCAAGGTGCGAGATGTCCCACTAGGACGATGTATGAATTCTCAAGGATTATTCAGATCTTTTCCGTTCACTGGAAAGATCTCGGTACCGGCGTTACTAGTATGGGTTTCATTGCACTCGACGGATCCACCTTTCCCGGTCGTTTCTTGATGGGAAGGGGAGAAACTCAAAGGGACGGTGTTCGTACTGGCCCAACGACGCAGAGGCCGTTCATGTTTGCCCCCGTCAAGGAAGGTGTGTATCACGTTCTATACCGGCCCCGCGACACGCGGTGTTGATTGCTTCGAAAGCCGATAGAAAGACCCATAAAGACCACGGATCCATCGTCCTGAAGATCATGCAAGTCAAAAAGAACGGTCCAGTCAAGAACGACGGTGTCGTGCCTCTCCCCAAACCCTCCAGTCTGCCGCATCAGGATGTCCGCGTAGGGTACGTCTCGATCAACTCACCCTCGTCCCTTTTGATCATGAGTTCGCCTTTAGGTTTGGCCCAGAGTGTCCAACATGGGAGAAGCATCCTACTACCTGGAGCGTCGAACCAGTAAACAAAGCAAACCCGCGTGATCATATCTCTTTCGTATTCCGCTACCGGTCCCGAGGTAGCGTCATTCCTACGTTTGACCGACATAGCGCTAATTTTGTTCTGAAGCATGGCTTCGTGAACAGGGAATCCTTGCCGATTCGCCCTGCTTCAAGCACGAGAAACTGAACTCTGACGCTTCAACTCCGCCTTCAGGCCTCGATATCTCTTCGACCTCCCGTCTCAACGCCTCTGCGACTCCACCATCTGATCACAATATTTCCCCGGCGCTTCGTCCTGGTTTCCTCGCCTCTTCGCCTTCTATTCCGGACGAACATTCTGAATGTGTGCCTGAGAGCCAAGGGGAAATGCCTCCAGATTCCCCGCCGCCCACGACAAGCCGAACTCCGCCGTTGCATGATACTCCACCCCTCCCAATTGTCAAAAGTATGGAGGATTTGCGGGCGCTGGGAGTTGGGAGCGCAGAGGGACAGGGAAATGGAAATGATCAAGAAAGACACCGAGTCCCGTCGTTTCGCAAGCCGCAGCTTAACCTCGCTACAAGGCCGGATCTTGTCAGGTCTTCGTCCGTACCACCCCCAGGCCTTGGCGTCCGCGGGGTCGATCCATATCTAGAAGCACAACCATCACTACAGCGCGCGAACACTGTGCACAACAACGGATCGAGCGCTCGCATTCCGTCCACAGTGAGATTCATACACCCAGCAAGAGGCGTTCAGCAAAGATCTGTCAGCGGCACACTGCCAAGAACTTCCGGGACGATGGCGGCACCTGTCGCGTCCAACCCTGCCGCTTTCCTTCGGTATCAGTTGCTGTGCGCCATGCTTAACGCCGTGACACCCCCGACACAACCTACCATCTCGAAACCACCTTCTGGCACCGTATACACCAAGGACCTCTTCCCTCCTGTTAACCTTCCGGACGAACATCCCCCCCGTCCCATGTCACAGCCGAACATCAAGCCTCTAGCTTCGCTCCACGTTTCCGGCAGCTCGGGTCAGCCACTCACGCCGGCTCCCAGCCCGTCTCCTAGCACATCCTCGCTCGCCTTACCTAAGTTCAAAGTTTACGACGGCGGGATTACGAAGGTCTGTGTCTGATACGTAGACCCATTTTTGACTGCATGCTAACCTGCATTTCATAGCGTAAGCCCTCTAACACAGGCCGTAAGGTGTCTCGCGGCAACACACGCAAGACTTCCGATACGACGCGTAAGCCCTCGGCACCAAAGGCATCGTCGAAGTTGGGAAAATTCAGCCCATCCTCGTCGACGATATCCTTCGAGCTGCCCGTGGATGCTGAGATGGTATTCGAGCAAGGGGTTAATGATGGAGAAGCCGAACAGTCGGAGTGGGGTGTTAGTCTTGGGGAGTCTATCAAGCAATTGCAGGACAGTTGATTGCGTGGACTCTTCATCTTTGTAACCTTGTATTTTGTTCCTGTTCCTGCTTTGTAAATCTTGTCAGCGTTGCTGTATTCCGGATGCGCGTCTGAATGCTGATTCCTGAAGCGCTGAATCTTCACCTGCACGTGCACATCCCAAGCTCACGTCAGACTCAGAAGGCTGTGGTGTGGTGAACGTTGAGCCGCCCTATATACGCTGCATCTACCATTGCGGCATACCGTTCGGTTTTGCTTATCGCTTCCAGCTCGAGGTGCGTCTTCCTGGGCTTTTTTCAACCAGTCATAACCGTGGCTTCAAGTTCAGTTAACACAGTCACTCATCATGGCCTTATCTATGCAAAGTACCCCCGTTGATAACTGCTTCGCCGTCCAGTGCGGCCAGTGCGGCAAGACTACCTGGAAGGGCTGCGGCAGACATGTGGAATCGGTATATAGTTGTCTTCGCATCAGCATTGTACCGTGTCTTAGCTCATTGTAGGTCATGAAGGACGTCAAAGATGAAGACAAGTGCAATTGTCCCCGCGCCGAGGGAGGGTGTGTTATAGCCTGATTGAGCGATCTAGCGCAGGCATTGACAAAAACTATGCATAGCGCGCCCGCCGCGAGTGTCTGAATAGCGACTGCAATAACATCCAGTCCAGGGCTTGCGCGAATTGACTGACATATACGGGGGATGTGTCTTGATATCCGCGGCAGTATCTTTACACACTATGATTTACTGGTCCATCCACTTTTGCTGTAAGAACGTGCATTTGTGAGTAACATGGAGACACGAGAAGGTCAAGCTACGTACGAATACCCGATGGTGCACAGCCGAACCCGTGTCGTCGATGATCTTGATCTCCTCGTCGGTAAGATCAGGAACGTTGATCGTGTCGAGGAATTCCTTGATGCGCTCTGCTTTCGAGGACGTACTGTAACATGCGTGGTAAACACAGGATCACGACGCGAAATCTCATTGCACGTACGTGACTGGCAGTACACCCTTCTGGAGTAACCATTTCGTCAAAACCTGACCGTCGGAGACGGGCTTGCCGTATGCGCTACTCAGACGCTCGCGAATGCCCGGCAAAACTTTGTCGAGGGGGCCACCCTGATGGCGAACGATCGGGGAGAGGCCGCCATAAGAGGTGGTGAGAATGCCGTGTTTCTTGTCGAACTCGTATATAGGCAAGGCGGCTACGGGGCGTAACAGGTTAGCCAACGCGATGCAACAACGTGGGGTCGTCCGCTGACCTTTGTACACATAAGGATGGAATTCAATCTGAAAGCCTTTTCAGTCGTGCTGGCACCCGATATTGAGCGAACGTACTTGGTTGACCGCAGGAACGACCTTAGCGCCGGCGAGAAGTTCCTCCAGGTCCTGAACCCGGTAGTTGGAAACACCGATGGATTTGGTCAAACCGGCCTCCTTCGCGGCTTCCAAGCCCTTCCATATCTCCTGTTGACGACCGAAGAACGAGTCTGCGCTGTGAATAAGAAAGAGGTCCACGTAGTCCAGCTGAATGCCTATGCGTAAGCTCCCCCCGTGCTCAGGACCGGAGATATACCAACCTTCAGCCTCTTCAAGGACCCTTTGAGATTGTCAATGACAGTTTCCCCTTCTTGAAGCTTATATACTTTCGTGACGACGTAGAGCTCTTCTCTTTTCTTCCCGGACTTGGCGATGGCGGAGCCCAATGAGTCCTCATTCCCATAAACCTGAGCGCCATCGAGATGCGTCACCCCGAGCGAGATGGCCTGGACGACGGCGTTCTCAGCGTCACGATTGTAGAGCGCAGTCCCTGTTCCGAAAGCGATCCACGGAATGGATGTTCCATCGTTCAGTTGAAACGTGGTTTTGGCCATAGCTTCGAGGATTAAGGGACGATATGGGGAGATCTGTGAGCGCTGATGTGCGACTATCGAACTATAAACGCTTCGCCTGAGGAAATATGACATCTTTATGGGATTCATCTGAGTGATGATTACATTACAAGGCTTACTCATGATGCAAGGAGCCAGCCATATGATGCGTTGAGGTCCGAACTCCATTCATGTCACAGCAGCGATGACTCACTCAGGGAAAATAATCTCACTCAGATTAGCTCGGAAAGCGAACAGAGCAGAAGATCATATATTGACTGAAGTACGGCTGCTGTAAACATGATGAGAGAAACCTAAGGGAAGTCGAGAGAAGTTGTCGTTACACCAGGTGACCGACTTCATCCATGAAGATCGAATGGCCAGCCAAAGGGTGCACCTTTCTTATAAGCAGCCGGGAGATGAAGGACTGTCAACTAGGATGAACAGTCCAGCATGTGGTAAGGCCGGCCCTAGACTTGAGTTAAAAGATGCTGTCCGACGACTGCCAGCGCGACGTCTTATACGCTGGCAGTCCGCACGTGATCATCATTATGACTGTATAGCAATTCACACGCCTCCCTTGTCTTTGTCCCCTCAAACTTTCCGGCTTTCTCGACCACCAAGAAGACCAATGGCGCCCTCTACGACGTATGTTTCCTCGTTGACGATGTGCTTATGCTAGCTCAAATATACAATACCGAAGCGTCCCCACCGCTTCGGTTAGTATCTCTTTAGCAATGCCCGAGGCAACATGGCGAGATAGCCCACGCTAACTCATGTTCCTGCTGCTCTCGTGGTACGTTATATCTCCATAGGACATTGCAGTCCCGGAGACTCTTCTCAAGAAGCGCAAGCAAAACGAGAAAGCTCGGGAGGAGCGTCTTGCTAAGGCCGCTGAGGCTCGCAAGGTACGTACAGTGCTTATCCATACTTTTTCTTCTGTTTTCTTGTGATGCATACATTTTATTGTGGCTAGTACGCTTGCGTGCGAAGCTGCCTCAATCAACCATCTTTCGGGACTGATTTATATAGTTGCCCATATTATGCTTCGCGGGCAGAGACTTACGCATAGTTGACAGGCTTCCAAGGCGAAGCGTAAGGTCGTCTTCAAGCGCGCCGAGTCCTATGTCAAGGAGTACCTTTCCAAGGAGAAGGAGGAGGTTCGCCTGAAGCGCACGGCGCGGGCTGCTGGCGACTTCTACGTCCCAGCTCAGCCCAAGGTGTACTTCGTCGTCCGTATTCGGGGGTGAGTTGTCCGGTGCACGGTTGAGCGTCGGTATAAATCAATGACTTCCCTATTACAGTATCAACGAAATCGCGCCGAAGCCTCGCAAGATCTTGCAGTTGCTCCGTCTCCTGCAGATCAACAATGGCGTCTTCGTCAAGGTGACTAAGGCTACCCAGCAGATGCTCCGTCTGGTCGAGCCCTACGTTACTTATGGGTATGTCGCAACAAAAATGTGTGCGCTCCTTTTCTTAACGATGTCTGAAATTCTCAGCGAGCCCAACCTGAAGTCGGTCCGCGAGCTGATCTACAAGCGCGGATATGGCAAGGTCAACAAACAGCGCATCCCCCTCTCCAGTAACACTGTCATCGAAAATGCTCTCAAAGAGTACGACATCCTCTCCGTCGAAGACCTCGTTCACGAGATCTACACCGCTGGCCCCAACTTCAAGCAGGCGTCCAACTTCCTCTGGCCCTTCAAGCTCTCCAACCCCACTGGCGGCTGGCGCACGCGGAAGTTCAAGCACTATGTCCAAGGCGGTGACTTCGGTGACCGCGAGCAAAACATAAACAAGCTCATCCGCCAGATGAACTGACCTCGTGTTTATCGGGGATTAGGGTGAGGCGGTGTCAGGTTTATGTGACGATATGCTTTGTACATGCTACGCGCGATATGCATGGTTGCATTCTTATGATATATGATTAGCGCGCGAACACAACTATCGCCGGGACCGGATTCGTATTGTGAATGTTAGCATACGAGCGTTTCGGTGCAGGCAACTGGATGATCGTGCGCGAGGGCGAGTGGGTCACAGAGTTATCGACCTGTCAGCATCCGCCCACGATGTGATTACATACATCGGCGTCGCCACCTTTCAGCGATCTCTACCTCGCCCACTGAAATGTCCACCTTACCATGATCTTTACGCACACGACTGGACAAATTATTCATCAGTCTGTCGCTAGGAGGCTGACTGAGTCGATACCCCATTGATCCGGCGATTGACGTTGACTCGTAATCCTGCGCTGCGCAATCCCAAATTCACAACCATGTCTAGGACGTATCGTCCTCCGCACGCTCAACCTCGGGACTCTGGTCTATCAGATGCAGCGACATCGCGACAAGTGAATCAACTCCTTCACACTCTGAGGTATGTGTACACTCCCTTTTCACACGAATTAGCAGCTCAACAGACCCGCAGAGGAGAGCATTTCCGACATTCCCAGAACATACGTCGCTCCAGGGCTCATCTGGCATCTGGAAGTTCCCGTATGAGTACGACGTTGCCCGTATCTCTTATATACGGCGGCGATGTGGATGCCGAGCCTGCGAACGCCGTTAGGCCCGCCGCGGCTCAAGAGGAGGTGAAGCGAGTCGCTGGTCCCATTCCGAGGAGCTGGGTTAAATCACGATCACAGCACACGGATGTCCGATATACGCCGGAATGGCGCTCCAATGCCCTATCCTTGGTGTTCTCGCACCTCCCTTCCGCCGACACGGCACGATCCTGCTTGATACAGTGCCCGAGCAAAAACGGATACACGACATCATCACAGAAACCTGCAGTACTTCCTCTTACCATCCAGTGCCTCCGTCTTGTCTTAGCGGAGTATTTCGATGATCTCGAGTTTCCCGAGGACCTTATACCATGGATCTCCCCTCATATGAAGCGCGATCTCATCCGGTTCGCAGCTGTGCATTTGCCACTCGGCAACTCAAAACTGTACCAGCTTTGGGGTCATGAAGGTCACGCCGCGGGCGAGATGATCATTATCGGTCCATATGCTTCGGTTCGACTGGGCGCTTTCCGGCGGGGTCAGCCCTCAGAAGCCGTGGTCAACAAAGTAGAAGATGACTGGGATGCGCCAGCCAGAGATGCGGAGACACCTCTCCAATCACTTGTGATCGTTTCGACTCCCCTGCCTGTGTCCTTGATATCGTCCCTTCCCCCAACGCTGACTCATGTGGCCTTACTCGACCTACCGCCGTCAATACAACCTCACATTCATCGCCTGCCCGGCATTTGCCCCTTGCTAGAAGTCCTTGATTTCTCGTATAATACGTGGCTAGCCGGAGCTGGGAATGAGAAGACGCTGGACCGGGTCGAGTGGGGTCGATGGACCAGGCTGCGTGTTCTAGGTATGCGAGGCTGTTACGTGGACGACCAGTTTTCGCATAGAGTTCAGAAGTGTCGCTGGCAAGATGTAGAAATCGTTTTGCAATGAGGTCATTGTACCAGCCACAGCCCGTGGAAACACCGAAAGGACAGAAGTACACAGGAAATGAAGGGTAAATGCGAATGTATGCTACAGATGAGGATCGTGTCCGTCAAGAAGTATCCGGAATTGTGTCGTCTCCTTCATGTGCTGGAGTCTAAGAACTGCCTGAGATCGAAGCCCAGTGTGGGCTGGGGCCTCTGCATTGCCGTTAGCGACTGGCAGTGAATCTGGAATGTTGACGCACCTCTGGATTCCTTACACCGGTCATGCGCATCTTGGGGGCGGATGAATCCGCCAGGCTTAACTGGGGTGGAGTGCCAATGCCAGGAGGCTTGTTGGCGCTGGTTGGTGGAATATGTATATCTTGTATGAAAGACCACAGCACCGTCGTGTAACGAGCGTACAGCTCGACGTTGGAAACAGAGCCCCGCCCTGTACGATCTATCACAGCCACGTGAAGTCAGGATCAGCTTCACGGATGCTCGGTAAAGCGGCATGACATACACAGGATGGCGCTGTTGATTTGGTCCGCAACGGCCTCACGCCGTTCTTGGCTGAGATACTTGACCATGGGGCTGCTCTCGGGAACAGTGTAGGCAAGTAATCCGCTGACATGATTGAGTTCCTCAAGGAACCGGGCACGATCCGTCGGCTTGTCCAGCGCGTTCGCCTGCGCATATAATTTCCTCGCTCGCTGGAGCAGATCCCTCTGCTTGTCGTCCGGATGATCACATGAAGACAGTGACCTTACTTTGCTGTGAGATGAGGGAGATAGACTGGAGGCGCTGTCGGTCGAAGGGTTGTATTCGAGAGGCACGGTGCGGCACGCTTCGATGAAAGCTTGGATGCGCAGATTTAGGGCGAGGTGCCCGGGATCGACAGTGCGTGCGATGAAGCATCTGGACGGGGAAGTCGCCTCGACGGCCAATTCGTCTGAGCTTAAAGAGAGCACAGAAGGAAAGTGTATGTTCAGTGCAGCGGTTGCATCGTCAATACGACCGGATAACAGGTGTATCTTGATCTCTATAGCAGACGACGGAATGAATACAACTCATAGCCTTCAGCCAGCGAGGGTGCAATCAGAGCTCACCTCGTCTTCTGTCCATATCCTGCAGTGCATCGTCCGTTAAACGGCTGCTGTCGTCGGTGAGCTCGCTATGCCCGTGCATGATTTCGTCTCCATCTGCGTCGAGTTGTCGCACAGAACTATCCCTGGCAAATACCCGGGCAGTGTTGGAGTACGAGTTATGCGCAAGGTAGTCAAGGACGAGTGAACGCTGAATGTCAGCGTTAATGTTGGGCTCCATGCGGAGACTCAGAACTGATGTGCGCACCAATATGCGGGGATCAGGGTTGCTGAACTTGCGGCCCGGTAACACCGATTTGGCGGATGTCGTCCGCGACGTGGAGGGCTTGTTGCTCATCGTCGGCCGTGCACAGAACGAGTGGGAAGACGAACAGCGGGAGCATCGCGAATTCGGTTCTTCCTGCTTGTCCGGCGCGCGTCAGCGACGGCGACATTGATCGCGAGAGCTCCTCACGTGACATCATCTCCCTTGCAGCAAACCGTCGGCATCTGGCATCTCGAACTTGGCTTCACCTCCGTGGAATATTACCGTGCAGTTCTGAGACCCTAGCAATGGCAAACATGTGTCCGGTCTCGGCGAGGCTATGGCGTACTCGCGATTCTGCAAGTATACCACGGGAACGCAACGGGACCTCTTCGAACCTGTCCCAGGTTCGTAACGTAGGAAGCGCGCCCGAACGCCTATTCGTCGTCCAACGTCGGACTCGCAATTCAAGCTTGCATGCGGTCGTGGGACTCGCAACCTCCGCTGGGGCATCTGGCTTTCTATGATTCTTGAAGCATCAAATGGCTGGCGCTTCTGATTGATACATTCACTTGGGAGGCGATGTTGCGAGCTTCGTTATCTACCAGTGTGAGTGGAGAGTGCAATCGGGACTTGTCTTGGTTGAAGCAGAGAGGACTTACATTTTGACATATATTGTACAAGTGTCTACCACCGATCGAAAATTGAACGTTTACCTACTCGGGCTCTAGCGCTGCTTCAAAGTCTGCCTTCCCGATACGAGACCGTGCGAGCGGAATATGAGGTCGTATATGATCGGCCTGGTTCTGAAAATGCATGGGAAGTGGCCTTGCGAAGTGTAGCCAGCAAGTGCACAGTACCTACGGCACCATTGACTAGTGGAGGTTCTGTAGATTCGGAGACGAAATCTCACTCAGGCGTGATATGACAGCGCAGTACTACTTTCACTTGCGTAGTCGACGTCCCCTCCACTTGCCGTCATATGCCTTCAACCGACTTGATATACACATTACTGCAGTATATTACAGCTACAGTATGCCAAAGACGTCCCAAGATTGCGGAACATACAGATGTTTTACGAGCAAATCAATTGCATATGTAAGACTTTGCTATCCGGCGGCTCTTGTGCCCGCACTCGAGGTCGTTCTGCGCGGCCTCGAAAGACTCTCGACGGACTCCGCGAGCGCATCTCCGCTCAAGAGCCCCGCCTCTTCTTCGCTGGCGGTCGCAGCATGAGGCTTCGTGGAGACGGATGCCCGGCGTGGGCGACGCGGTCGATAGATGATGGTTTGAGTGACAATTGTCACGTCGAACATGAGCGTACCACCGCTTCCTAAGAGGTACCTATATCCAAATCATGAGCGAGGTACTCGAAAGATGGGAGGGCGATGACTCACGGAATACTTTCCTTCAGGAAAGCTGCTGCCTCCGGTGCTGGCTTACCCAGGTTCGGCGACGTAAGGATCGACGCAACGTAGAAGAAGTTGCCGAGAAAGGCGAAGATGAAAAGGTAGACGGAGAGACCCTATTTGCTAAAGCGTCAACCGAGTCCGATTATCTGAAGGCAGAGGCTGCATACTTCAGCGGATTTCCGAACCCACTGAAATGGAGGTATCAGCAACGGACTTGTGAGCAGGTCCGTGAAACAATTCTTACGTTTTTCCAAATTTGAGGTAGTCGTGACGTGAGGTATAACCTGAGACACACCCATAAAAACCGTCATTATTATTGAGCAAGGACAGCAAACGAGAGACCTACGTGGTACAGACCCAAGCAAAAATGCGGCCAATAACACGTTCCGTAGATGGCGGAACTTCATCGTGAGCCTCGCCATGCCAACGGGGCATCGACTCGTCATAGGGGTTCGCGAAGGAAACAAGGATCGGCGTAGTTATATCCACGGCATCGGGTGGTTGTGCTAGAATAGGAGGGCTGGCGACAGGCACTTCTGATGCAGCCACAACATGTCCGGTCCTTGTTGCACTTGGGGAGATGGCAGGATCCCGCTTCATGCCAGACCAATGACTGATCCCAAACAGAGCCCAAACACCGAGGAATACTAAACTAGCGCCTTGTCTGCCCGCCCTTGAATTGCGACGGTTGGTGAGCACATCTGCCTCTTCTTCTTCTGCACGTTGCGTAGATCGACCACGATTTACGAGGGTCTCGGGCAACTCCTCTGGCGGGATGTTAGGGGACAAGGGTGAGACGAGATGCCGAGTTCGGCCAAGGCTCCCTCCCCGTCCTCCCCGGCGTTCCCTGCTCCAAGATACGTGCTTTCGAGCCCTCGTTCCCCGTTCCGAGTGGAAGCTGTCGGCAAGCGTCGCCAAGGCCTGTTCGTCAACTTCGTCGGCTTCCTCCGAGACTCGCGAGTTGGAGCGTCCTCGATTTAGGTAGTCGCCAGTGGTTCGACTTCGGGTCCTACGGTGATGTGGTGATGTTGCCCGAGACTCTTGTTGTGCTGCAAGTGCTGCGGCGGCAGCAACGTTGGCCGCAACATGTGAGAGGGTACGGTATCGGGATGCTTCGCGTTCATGAGAAACGCGACGGCTGCCCGTAAACGAGTCACTCCGATCATGGACGTAGCTTGCGTACGGCTTTGACGGAGGATTGAGGCGAGTGTAATATAAGTACTGCGACAGCAGGCTGAAGTCGACGAAGACGAAGTAACCGGCAAGGTACGTCTGCATCACGCGGATGATTGCATATGAGATTCAGTATAGGCATGGTGAGGGGTACTCCTGACCTGGAAAGGCAACTGCTTGGTCAAGATGCATCCGAGGAGGTTCGTTATATCCCCTGCCAATTGCGGAGTATAAGCGGACCCAGGTAAACCAGGGAGGCCAGTCGAACGTGCGCGTACCGAATAACCAGTTTGCCAGGAATGGAAGGGCGAGCCCGTCCGCGGATTGTCTTTGGTAGTTCTCAACGACTTGTCTAGCAGGTCACGTACAAATGTCGTTCGTGAACGCGATCATAGCGCCATAGGAAGCCAGGCATACGCACGGGAATTGGGCGCCTAACCAGCAGCCTATCGACACCCATCCCAAAGTATCGCTCAAGTCCAGCATGTTGATCGTTAAGAGGATGTTTGAGCTTCTTGTACCACACCTTCCGGACCGTCGGGTGAATGGTATGCGGTTGACTCCTAAGACGGAATGACTCGGAACTTGGGAGAGAAAGCTGGCTGTGGGCAATTGCAGTGTTCGTGCTAAGCCGGGGTCTATATGAAGGATCTGGTCTATATCGCGCGGAGAGCCACGACGACAATCATGAGTAGCACGATACAAAGGACCAAAACGGTCGACCTTCCACGCGGACCGGCGGGAGTGTGGGGAGACGCGCCAACCGCGTACAAGGGGTTGGCACACCACTCCAACTCAGCATCTGCAATCACGGACAGCCATCGGCTGGCCCTCAAGAAATCTGCCTTGTTGTGCTTCATCATTGCAATTGTGATAGAAAATGCCACCTCGTCTGGCCCAAAAGCGTGCTGCACGCTCCGAGTCGCGTGGAGAGGGATCATCGTCTCATGCGCCCAAGAAAACGCGCTTTTTGGACCCGTCAGAAGATCCTGTCAACTTCGCCGAAGAGGTCGATGCACAATTGGATAGCGCGAAAGCGCGGGGAAACAGGAGAGTAAAGACAGACGGCTACGATTCGGACTCGAGCGGGGAGGAGGGAGAGAGCGTGGTATGGAGCCGAAAGAAGCCAGCAAAGGAGGAGGAGGACGATGACATGTTCGCGATGGGGGAAGCACAGGACAAGAAAGAGGACGAACCGGATGCAAAGAAGGAGGAATACCTGAAGCTCGGCGATATCGAGGGCCAGGAATTCGGGAATGAGAAAGGCTCTGATGAGGAGTCGGAAATATCAGATGAACCTGAGGACGAGGACGACGCTGAGCGCCGCAGAAAGGCAGGTATGGGCTATGAACTGTCGTCTTTCAATATGCGAGAGGAGATGGAAGAAGGGAAGTTTACCGAGGACGGGATGTACGTCCGGACTTTCGATCAACATGCGATACACGACAAATGGCTCGATGGCATGGACGAGCGGGAAGTGAAGCAGGCACGGAGGAGGAAGAAGGCTCGGGAGAGGCTTGAGAAGGAGCGCATCCGGGCAGAGGAGGAGGAAATGAAGCGATTAGGAGGGAAGGATGCTGTCGAGCAAGAATTAATTGGAATGTTGAAGAAGGGCGAAACTGTGCTGGAGGCCCTGCAACGACTGGGTGCACAAGCCAAGAAGGCCAAGAAACCACCTAAAGGGTGAGTGGCACGGTCTGCCTCACCGTGATTAATGCTCACCCGTGTTTACTCAGGAAAGCCCATGATGGCGGCATGGATGTGGACAAACCATCCGCAGCGCCCTCCAACATCGACCATATAACACATCTTGCGTCCACACTGATGTCGTTGGGGGATACTGATATATACTCGAGGACGTACGAAGAACTTGTGCGCTCGATCCGGTCATCCGGCAAAGTCGGTAACGATTGGGTACCTCCCTCTGCCGACGTCAAATACGAGTACAAGTGGGACGTGCCGGATACGACTGCCCAAGAAGGCCAGGTCTTCGGTCCTTACAGCGAAGAAGAGATGAAGGCATGGCATAGTGCTGCGTATTTTGGCGTTGCCGGAGAGAAAGTTAAGGTTCGGAAGGTTGGCGGGGAATGGGGGAGCTGGGAGGATGTTGTAGTTTGACCGATTGTCAGCCCAGTCGTTCGTGTATCATTATATCTGCTGTATCGATAGTATTTGCTCTGGTCAGTGCGTAGAGGATCGAGCAAAGATTGATTCATTTGTACATCGGTGAATATGATACATAAAGGTATGTAGGGAATGCCATTATCTTACAGAGAAGGTGCAAGGGAGAAAACGTAGACATAAAAGCAGGGTAATGCATAACAGTCGACGAGACACGGATAAGTCAATATACTGTAGAGTTCATGCTCCGGGAGATTATTAATGAGAGTTGATGAATGAGCGATTATCTAAGTGCTTGTAGAAGGATAAGGATGGAGCCGATTTGTGATCAGGCAATCTTTGATCCAAGGGAGGTGCACGACGTGTCCGTTGGCGGGCTGAACATCCTCCATATCATCCGGCGATTTCACCATGATGAGGTCGAAGGCAGATAGGTCGGGGCTTGAAGACAACGCTGGCTCGGCTGCTGCCTCGACCAGATCTGCGCCCATGGCAAGCACAATGCGAGGTACGACTGCCACGCCTTCGTTAACTGAGTTCTTGCTGGCCTATCATATGCAGTCAACAAACACTCCTTCGTGTCGGATACGATGGTCTGCGCACCCTCGAACCGGCTCTGGGATTTGGAACGAAGTCCAATCCTAGGCACAGCACAGTCTTACCGCGAAGAACCTTCATGGGACACTGGAGGTTGATGAGTTGAGAGACATGATCCGCCTGGCCCCAGTCCCAGTTGATCAACTGGCTGACGGAATGCGTGAACTGGTCTGAGCGTCCCGCTGGGAGGAGGTACGGATGCCAATCAGGCGCGAAGGACTGACGAACCATGTCAGTTCCTGTCATCAACCTGAGCTGGCAGATCCACGTACTTCGTCACATTCGTGCAGCCATCGAGTAGACACACAAGGAATCCCGAGAGCAAGAGCCATTAGATAACGGGGTTTCTGCGTGGCTTCGTCCGACAGGAGAAAGACGCGCTTTATGGTGGGAACGGCGGCGACCTTGACGTCCTTGTTGCGAATGGTCCACCTTCTATTGGCATTGCTAAAGCTGCCGTCCATGTTCAAAATAGAAGTCCAGTCGTCGAGAACCCTGCCGCCTAGACGCTTAATTTGGTCTATCACCGCGTCGCGTTCCGTATCATCGTTTCCGACGCTCATAGAGACCACGAAAGCGCTGCCTTGGAGTGGCTTCGAGGAGGACGCAGAGCTGGCGATGGAAAGCTTCGAAGGAGAGTCCATGTTCTTGAGGGAGTCCGGATGCTGTGAGATGACGATGCCTGGAGTATAAACCATCCTATCTTTCCATTGCGCAAGGATGATGTCCTCGGGAATCCGGATTTCTGACATCTTCCGTTCAAAATGGTCCAGCTCCTCCCCATTGTCCACCTCTACGCGAACCCGGCGTGAAGTCTGGAAAACCTTGGTGATCATTGCGACCTCCCCCCGGTCAATCAGCACCTGATCTCCCTCGCGGAACTCGCATTTGCGCAAGTCATTGGTGGCGATAGCTGACGCCCTCGACCCGTCGTCGAAGTAGACACTCCACGCCCCACTGCTTGGGCGATCGACGATCGTCCCGGAGTAGTAGCAACCATCCTTGTCCCATTTCGCCACGACGCGAGTAGGTGGTTTCGGAGGATCACTGTTGGCGCCTTTATAACGTTTGGAAAGCCGCGATGCAGTGGAGACGTCGGACATCTTGCTCGTAGCCCTGGTGGATGCTCGCGAGAATCGACCAATCGCCGTGTTCCCAGACACAACGCGTTTGCGTTTCCGAGATCCCTCGACATCTTGGGGCGGATCATCGACCCGCATCTCGTCCGGGTCAGCTAATTCCGTCTGTTGGTCATCTTCGGGTTCTGGGATCACGACAGTCTCCGCAGAGTCGGATTCCTGTGCATCAAGCTCCATGGTTTCGTCCGCTGGTTTGACTTTGGGCTTGGCGGGGGTCACCTTCTTACCGCGTCCCTTTCGAGCGGATGGCTTCTTGGCTAAAGTGGAAGGCGGTTGGTTGCGACCCTTCGCAGACTTCGCACCGGTCTCGGGCGTCTTGGCTGCCTTGCGGGAGGAACCACGGACAGGCGTGCGTTCTTGGTCTTCGCCAGGCTGTAGCTCAGCTTTCTGCTTGCCTTTCGCTTTAGCCGACGTGGCAGGCTACGGATGTCATTAGAAGTGATTACAAAAGAAGTAGGAACCTCATGTTCGTACCTTTTTCAATGACGACTTCGCGGCGGTGACTGCTAGGGGTAGTTCTTCGTCGCTGTCGTCCGAAGTCGCAGGGTCCGGTACTCCTTCGCCATCCCACGAATCCGGAACGACATCCACCTCCTCGGCCTCCTCCTGTGGTTGTCTGCCCCGGCTCTTTGCGCTTGCTGACACAGTTCGTTTCGCTACCGCTGAAGACTTCGGAGGGGGCAGTGGTGTGGCATCGCGAGCATCAGCCTGTGTCGGTTCCGAGTCTGGGACAGTCTCGTCCGCTTCCTCTCGTAAAAACTGGCGTGCCCGAGGCGGAGGGAGGGTTCGACGAACGGGTGGTTCGGATTCCGCGACGATCTGCGCATTTCCTGGAATTGGCGAGGGAGGGCGAGGGGACACCCGCTTGGTCGCAGCAGTCGAGGACGGCACAGTGTTGTAAGTAACTTGGGCGAGAGCGATGTGACCTTGGACAGGTCGAGGGTGGTCCTCATCCGGCTGGGTGGATTCGTCGACTATCAGCGTCTCTTGCCCTGTCGATAGCGCCGTTTGTCTGGCAGGAGACGACGTCAAGCCTCTGGCAGCGAGGTTCCTCGCACGCAAGCTTTCCAACCCTTGACGGAAACCTGGCTGAGCAAGTCGGCTCCGGTTGCTTGCCGGGGGAAGCGATCGGGGAGCAAACGCGTTGGAGGTCTGGGGCCGGTCGGTTTCTCGCACCTGATCCGACTGTACTGCAGATCGCATTGATTGATCGACGATTAGAGGAGCAAAATCCCCGACAGCAGCGGTTGTAGAGAGTGGTCGGGCTTGATGAACGTCCGGTTGCTGTGGCTGGACGGGTGGAGCGACAGCAGGCGGACTCGACACCCTCGCGCGGCGAGCATTCAACGCCCGAAGCCTTTCCAGGTTCGCCTTGCGATCTGCCGTCGGTAAGTGGTGAGCGTACCGTTCCTGCTTACGCGGATCACCGGCTGCGAATAGGGAGACGACACTGCGAGGGTCATGCGTCGCCGTGGTTGCGGCCGTGGCGCCTGCAGTCGACAGGCCCGGAATGTCCGAGGACTTAGCAGCGGTGGAAGTCCCAACTATTGACGGCCCAGGTAGGTTTATGTTGCTGGTTGCGATTGGAGATCTAGCACGACCTGCATGGAATAGGCCAGGAATGTCCGTATTGCTGGCGACAGTTGGAGACGCAGCGTTCCCTGCGTTGAAAAGTCCAGGAATGTTCGTGTTGTTGGACATGATCGGCGTCCTAGAGGTCTGGAGACCAGGAATGTTCGTATTGTTTGTCACGATCGGCGTCCTGGAGTTTTGGAGGCCAGGGATGTTCGTATTGTCGGGCACAATTGGCGTCCTGAAGTTCAAGAGGCCGGGGATGTTCATGCTGGTTTCGGTGACATTAGTCCCTACAAGAGGAGGACTTGCGCGGTTAGGAGGAGGGCCAGCCTCTGCGACTCCTTGGTTATAGTTGCCACCGTAGATACTCGACTCCGTGCGTTCGGCCTGAAGACCAGGAGGCACGGCCTCGCTAGCTCGACCGCCAGTCGTGATCGGTCCGATCGGTTGCGTTTCGATGATCTGCGTCGGTTGAGACAACGGTTGGGTGGGGCCATCCATATTCTGCGATGACGACTCGCTGCCGAAGAACTGCGACGGGCGTGGTTGGCTAGAAGAGTTGGACCGGTGACTGCGCGAGGCAGGAGTGGGCGGAAGACTGATGACGTCTACAGCGCTCTCGATGCGCGAGAACTCAGCCTCGTCCAGAGGAGCGTCGTCGATCTGCCTAGCTTGGAACATCTCGAGGTCATCCGGAAGGGACTGGTGGCCGCCCCACGGTGACTGAGATTGAGACTGGGACGACGACCTCTTGGAGGTATCGGCCGCCGTGGTCGTTTGGTCGGGATGCAACATACTGGCTTTGACGGCGGCGATCTGTTGCAATAAACTATCGGAGGGAGTGGCGTCCTGTGAGTCGGTGATCGTCTGGTTGAATACCTTGGATTCAGCCATAAAGCGGCGGACCTCGTCCTGCGGGGCCTGAATAGCGAACGAGTCTTCGGATGGAAGAGGAGAGGGTGAGCGACGAGATGAAGGAGCGGCTTGACGGATGGGATGCGTCTTGCTCCGGGGGAGACTCGTATTTACGCATGCAGGCGAGGCTGTGCTTGGCTGCACAAAGGCAACGCTTTTTGCAGCTGCCTTTGCGTGAGCTGTCAAAGGGGGCCGAGACAAAGACGGGGGAGGTCCGTCAAAGGACGGTGGTAGCGTTTCTTGTTGTACATCGGAGTTGGAACGCGTCTCATGCGAGCCGTTATACGCGTGTTGGAGACGGGGAGATCGCGATGGGCTTTTGGGAGGAGACGGGAGACTCAAAGAGCCGTGGACAATGGCACGCTGGGACGTTGCGTCGTTGGGGAGTGGCGCGTTTTCTTTCTGCGAGTTTTCGTTGATCTCACTGTCGTCAATCTGAGTTTGGGTCTGGGTGATCGCAAGACCGTGATAATGATAACGAGGGGTCGAGCCGTTGACGGAAGACTCGTTGGATCGATCTCTGGGTAGGACTGCGTCTCCCGACGTACGAGTCGACGACGCCGCGGTCGCACCTTCCGCTGGCATCCTCCGTGCTGGTTCCTTGGGACCTCCCAGAAGATCAGATATAAGTTGCGTGGCTTGCGAGTCCTCCCTTGCGGAATCGCTCGGGCTACAACGAAAGCAGGTCAACAATGGCGAGCTATTTTTAGCCTTTGCGCACTCACCTGTTATCGCCCAGCATGCTCCGCAAACACGCGTTGGCTCGTACAAAGAGCCTTCAGCAGTTGGCTTGGCGTCGTGACGGTCCCCAGGATTCCGCTCTTTGCAGTGGCAGAAGGGGTAGCGCGTCGTTGTTGATTTCGAGATTAGTTTTATGGGTTCCCGTTGCGCTGTTGCGCGTCCTCCGAGTATCGCCAATGTTGGGTGGGTATATGAGCTCGATATCGTTGGAATGACGACGTCGAGAGATTGAGGAAAAAGCAACTGAAGCACGACCAACTCTGACGGAAATGTGCTGGTAATTGAGTTTCAGAAAGTGGTGGCGGTACGGTCAAGTTATGACAGGGCACGTGCGACGGGCTTAGCCGGTCGGTTCGTTCCCGCGTTCGCGTCTGGATCTGTCTGGATCTCCTTCGCGCCTATACGTTTCTACTCCCTTCGTGCCCGCCCACTGCTGCGCTGGTCGCCCGCCCCGCAACATCCGCTCGTTACGTTACTGCTACTCCTACCCACCTATTGCAAGCTAGTCAGCACCTGTTACAAGCTAGTCAGCCACCTGCTATGTTCTCCAACCTAGAAGACGCGTCCAAGACGCGTAAAACCATCCGCGCCTCACGACCATCAGGCCGCGTTAGGGAACCGCACTCGCGGGTGCCTGCGGCCCAGACCACGACGGCGAGGAAAAACGTGAAATTGGAGGCTCAGACGGTCCTCAGAACTTCCGCTACCTCCGTTGTCCGTACGACCTACACGGCGACTCCAATCGCTACTACGCAGGCGAGCACTGCCAAGGCGAAGACACCGGACGTGACCGCCACCTCCACTCCTAACGCATCGGCCACTGCTGTGAAGGACAACTCGGAAGGGATCGTTCAGAATGTACCTGTGCCTGTACCTGATACTGGTCTGCCTCCCGTGTCCGACGTGATGTCTCAAGTGACCGCTCTGCTGACTTCGGCGTCCTCTTCGACAACCCAACCATCAAGTGCATATAGCTCGACGTCCTCGACCATGGCTGTTCCGACTTCTTTACTGTCTGCTCTCGGCGCTGGTTTCACGCTTCAAAGTGTCTCTCCGTCCGCGACGTTCGGCCTGCATGAATCTACGTCTTTCGCCTCGAGCCTCTCTGCCTCTGCGAGTCAGGCTACAAGCCAGCGGGCGAATCCTTCTTCTGCATCTCACGGTATCGGAACGGTGATCATCGTGTTAGTGGCCGTGGGCGCGTGCATGTGTATCGCTGGCATCTGTATCATACGCAAGGTGTGCACACGGCCTGTTCGAGGCAAGAAGATGAGGGGCTTCCCGAAACCGTCGAAGCCGACTCTGCACCAGGACCTCTCGACCGGGCTCGCTGGCGATGTGGAAGAGTCTCCTCTGTTCGGCGGCAAGGAACACTTCAACTCTACCAGTGGCAGCCAAGACGGCTTTCTCCAACCCTGGACGCAATACTCTGCCCCTGGTGGGGAGAAGGCCCATCCCAACTGGACGAGCTCCCCCTTGGCAACACCACCGAGGGTGGATTTCGTGACTGCGCCGGTGTTTGATGGAGCGACTCCAAGTATGGTGCAAGCTCCCACTGCCGCGTCGAAGGCGTATCAAATGCAAGGCATACTCAAGAGCACCGCATCACGTCTCTCGACTATGTCGTCGAGATCTCTGACCGCGGGTGGTGCCGCTGATGTTCAGGTTGGCCTGGCGGTCACGAATTCTCCTCTCACCGGCGATGGCCATGCTACTATGGGGCGCGCAGCAGCCGATCGGCGCAGATCGAGGTCGAAGAGCCAGGCCAGCTTGCAGAGGGCGTCCGTGTACGACGGAGTGGATGTGGCCTCGCCCGAGCCGCCCGTAGCACCGATGCCTCGCCGACCCCCTATTGCCCGATCGGCGACCTCTGGCGCCGGCAGCCGCGAGCGGGTCAAGAGCCCGGAGGCGCACAAGGCCTCGATATCGTCGCCCTCGCTGTATCGGATGAGTCGAGCGTCGAACCCGTTCGAGGACGGGTACGATCTGCCCGCGAAGCCGCAAACGGCGAGGAAGGGGACGCGGGCGCAGCAGGACGTCAAGGCTCTCTCGGCGCTGACCTCGGCGCTGGGCTTGGACGGGCCGACTTCTCCGGGGCTCGGGCCCGACGACTCGCTGAGCATGGTGGGCGGGTACGATCGTGCGCCGGCCGGGAGTAAGAGGAGGTTGCAGGAGGCGCTCGCTGCGGTGGAGGCCGACCTGGCGAGCCCGAGCGAGTCGTTAGGGGGGCTCATGCTCCTGGATTTCGATAAGCCGTCGCAGTCGTCGTCGCGGTCTGTGGAGGCGCTGGTGAAGGAGAGGAAGCGGATGTCGAAGGCGACGAGCGTATATTCTGTGAGCACGGCTGCGGATGGGCCTCCGCGGGTGCCGTCTCCGCCGCCGTTGCCGTCGCTGGCGCAGATGGGGTTGGAGCACTCGGATCCGGGGTACGACGACTATCGGAGCCCCACGTACAGCCTGTACGCGATGTACGGAGAACGCAAGAGCTGATTCGCAGGCGACGTCATGATGGAGGTTCGAAGAGGGTGATGGTGATCAGCGCCGGGGGGACGAACTGATACACGCTGGTCCCGCCTTGATTTGTATATGTACCGCTACTGTACGCCTGCCCGCTATCCACAAACTGCTCTCCGCTCCGCCTCCCCCTCGTGCACGGTGTCCTGAGCAGGAACTCGGTGCCCGTGCTGCGCGTACAAGTATTCACTGCACCCTCGTCGCCAGACCACGGGCTGCGCTTCGCCCCAAATTCCCACGGTGAAGGCTCAACCTTCGCGCTGAGGTGATCCGAATAAAGGCCTCGCCCTGTGCTCGTCGTTGGCCGTCGCCCCCGCCCCCCGCCCCGCCTCTCCCCCGACCACGGCTGGACACCGTAGAGCCCACATAATCTAATACCCCCCATAGACGCATCCGGTCCAGCCCTGGTGCTCGCCCTACCCAGCGTATTTCCCCCAATGCCTCATACCCAGTCCGCCGACGGTGCACGCGATGTCGAAAAGCTGCCCTTTATCAAATTCGAGGAGAACGATGAGCCCCAGCCTCAGCGGAATGCCCCGCTCGACGACGCGCAGCCGCCTACCTTCCTCGGCATGCCGCTCAAATACGTTTCGTGAGTGCACAACGGCGTGGTGTTCTGCCTCTTCTCCCCCGCGCGCGTTGCACGACTTCTGACGCACGCTCGATCCCCGCAGGCTGGTGACCCTCGCGGTGCAGAACGCGCTCCTGACGATCATCATGCACTACTCGCGCGTGTCGACGCCCCCGTCGCGAGCGTACTCGGCCGCCGCCGCGGTGCTCATGAACGAGCTCCTCAAGGGCGGCATCTCGATGGCCATCGCGTTCGTCCGTCTGGACTACTACGCCAGCGCGTCCAACGCCTCGTTCGCCGTCTCCACGTCGCTCTGGCGCCCGCAAACGCTCCTGTTGCGCTTCCGGCGGTTAGGGAGGGAGGTCTTCAGCCCCGACTGTTGGAAATTGTCCATACCGGCTATCCTATACGGTCCGTCCTCTGCACGCGCGGAACTGGCCCACATTCACGTTTCTCACTCGGCTTCCTCCCACAGTCATCCAAAATAATTTGCAATACGTGGCCGCTTCCAACCTCGACGCGGCGACGTTCCAGGTCACCTATCAAATGAAGATCCTCACCACCGCCTTCTTTTCCGTCCTCATGTTGCGCAAACGCCTCAGCCCCGTCAAGTGGGCCGCGCTCATCTTCCTCGCACTGGGAGTCGGCGTGGTCCAAATCCAGTCGGGCGCGGGACACGCTCCCTCATCCGCGCCGGATGTTCACACTATGTTCCCCTTCAAGGGCTTCCTCGCCGTCACCGCCGCCTGCTTCACCTCCGGGCTCGCGGGCGTGTATTTTGAGATGGTGCTGAAGAACTCGCAGGCGGACCTGTGGGTGCGGAACGTGCAGCTCTCCTTGTTCTCGCTCCTTCCCGCGCTCGTGCCCATTATATGGAACGGCGCGCCGAGGGAAGCCGGAGCGTGGTTCGGCGTGCACCTTTTCCGCAACTTCGGCCCCTGGGCGTGGGCGACGGTCGCGATCCAAGTCTTTGGTGGGCTCATCACCGCGCTCGTGATCAAGTTTGCGGACAACATCCTCAAGGGCTTCGCAACGAGCTTGAGCATCGTTATCAGCTTCTTGGCCAGCGTCGCGCTGTTCGACATGCAGCTGACGTTCAGCTTCATCCTCGGTTCGAGCATCGTGCTCGTGGCGACTTGGCTGTATAACCAGCCGGAGAATCAGAGGAGGGCAAGCGGCGACTGGAGCTTCATGGGACGCCGGCCTGCGCTGTCGCGCTCGGCTTCGGCACTCGGACAAGCGGGTCTCGTCATGTCGCAGGCGGCGAGGAAATTGTCGGCGTCTTCGCTATCGTTGTCCTCCTTGACCACCCTCTCGACCCCGCCTAGCCCGACGGAAGACACGCTGCCGATGTACCAGCCGTCGTCATTGTTCGATTCGGACAAGATGGACGATAAGCTCGACAAGCCGGTACCACAGAGCTTCAAGACGGTCGCCGCCGCGTTCGGTCTCTCGAGCCCACCACCACCGCAAGAAATCCTCGTCGACATCGACCTCAGCTCCTCCGTCACCATCGACGACTTCCGCAGCCAGTACCCCGCTGGTCAACACTGCTTCCTCGCGCCATCGCTATCGCGCGGCTCGTCATCACAAAGGTTGCCCTCGCGGGCGCACTCCCCCGACCTCATACCTACAAAACCCTACCACCAGCTATCGTCGCTCTCCGGCACCCGCCCACCCTCACGACTCGCGCAATCGACGTCCGCGCCGGGGGCGTTCAGCAACCTTTCGTCATGACCCCGCCTCTCAGTCGGATAACTTATCCTTGCTATTCGTCTTCACGAACTCTCCGCGCACGAACATTCATCTGTTTATAACGTCCGCTACCAGCACAGCACTGACTACCCAATCCACACTATTCGTTTCACGCTGTCCTTCACGTTGAACTATGACTTTCTCATATTATACGCAGCCCCCCTCCCCCCCGCGAGCTCTCCTTCTATCTATCCCTTTCGTACAACTAGACGAGCGCTCAGCTGCCATTTTCCGTGTGTGTGTCTACGCTGATATCGTTTGGGACTTGCATAGCCGACGCCATCACCGCCACTACCCTCGCGTTTTACCCCATCTTTGGCTCGGAACAATGTATACAGTAGAGACTTCGACTTCTAATTGCACCAGGAAACAAGAAACAGAAACGGCATTTTTTCTCGCATACCGTGTGCAGCTTTGCGTAGTTCGCTAGCCGATGGGCGCCCATAATATGATGGGGTGCGCGACCCCTTGCCTTTCTGGGAAAGCGCCCGTCCAGGCTGGAGCGACCGCCTACATAGCCGTTCGGTCGTGTGCCTGCAGCCCGTCTCCCGTAAACCTTCCCGTCCACGCCGTCCACCGCAGCGAGCGCACCCCGTCCATCCGTCCGTCCGTGACGCCGCCCGCCCGCCCACCGTCTACCGCCGCTACCCCGCATCCCCCCGTTGCATGCACAGACGCGCGTACAGCCCTCCCAGGCTAATAACAATAACACCCCTCGTATAGCATACGCTCCCTTGCCCCGGTCGCGCCATGATCGACTCCTCCTCGCCGCCCGCACCCGCGAGCCCGTACCTCCTCTCGATGGCCGAGCCCCTAACCGACCCCGCACCCGCCGACGTGGTAGCTGAGCGGCCGCCCACCGCCGCCCGATCGTTGCCCGTCGCCGCACCGACCTCGGCGGTGCCGCCACCGGGTGCGGACCTATCCATCCAGGACCTGCTGCGTGCCGTATTGTGGAAGCTGGACCGAGAGCGCCGCGGGTGAGTGACAGAAAAAGGATTCACGACCGCCACGCGCGCAGCTCGGTACTCACGCATCCCCGCATCCCACCTCGACAGGACCGTCGAGGAAGCACCGATCAAGAACCTCCAGGAGGTGCGCGCCCCTCTGTAACCGTGCTCTCACCGCTCATCTCTGACGCTGGGAAACATGACACAGCTCGAAGTGGCCGAGGCCCAGCTCTCCCGTGCCCTCTCCCTCCTACGCTGTCACTACAACTTCGGCCTCGCCGTCGACCGTCTGCTACCGGAGCTGCTCGTCCAAGTATTCGAGTTCGTCATCCAGGACCCCGAGCTCCCCGATGCGAGCTACAGCGGACGGATGAAGGCGCTGAACAAGCTCGCGTCCGTCTCGCGTGCATGGCGCGCCGCCGCGCTCGGCTGCGCCTCCTTCTGGACCACCATCGACTCGGCGTACCCGGAGACGTCGCAGCTGTGTCTGGAGAGGAGCAAGGAGACGCTGCTCGAGATTCATGTGGACGGGGATACGGCCCACGGGCTGCAGGTGGCGGAAGCGTTGATCGACGCCGTGCCGAGGTTTAGGCGGTTGAGGGTGAGGGACCTCGAGCTGCAGCCGGAGGGCGAGGACGATGCTTTGCGGAAGCTACTGACGAACCCCGGGCCCGTGCCGCACCTCGAGAGCTTGGTCGTTCGGACTTCCGAAGTGCCTGTCCTGCCCGCCAAGCTCTTCGGAGGCCACACACCGAATCTCAGCGTGGTCTGCCTGAGCGGGTGCTATTTCCCGATAGACAGCATCTCCACCACGGCGCTGCGAAATCTGCATATACTCAGCATCAACCTGAAGTTGGACTGGGTGCTCGACGTCCTGCGCTCATCGCCTGTGCTCGAAGAGTTCCTCTTCCAGTCTGCCAAGATCGAGGAGCCGCGCCATCCCATTCCCGACGGCACGCTCGTTCACATGCCCAACTGCCGGGTATTCAACATCGAGGATAAGGCCATGTACTCGATGATCCCCGACCTCCTCACGTACATATCCCTCCCCAAAACGTCGTGCTTGTACGTGCACCTCGGCGTCACGCAGCCCCGTCGGTTCGCGAACATCCTCCCGCCTAAGAGGACGCGCTGCTTCGAGAGCCTGACCGGGATCACCCACCTCCGCGTGCGCGACTCGGGCAGCGGCGACATGATCCGCTTCTCCGGACAGTCTCACGATGTTCCCTTCGAGGTCCAAGTGGACCTCGGTGACCAGGACGACATCGATTTCGTCGAGGCGGGCGAGGACGTGTTCCGCTTCCTCGCCACGCTGGATCTGGACCTGGTCGAGGAGCTCGAGATCGACCTGGACCTCAAAGGCGCCCACACCTTCGTCGACGACTGGCGCAAGCTGCTCAGACAGATGCCCGCACTACACACGCTATACCTGGGCGAGGCCGGACACAGTCATTCCATCCTCACCGTGCTCTCCGAGCTGGACGAAACTTCGCGCGCGTTCCTCTGCCCGAACCTGCAGACGCTGTACATGGGCAAAGACACCTCCTGGTCGCCTCTGGACATCTACCTGTTCGTGCAGGAACGTGCCCGGAACGGGCTCACGATCCGCAGGATATGTCTCCGGGTGCGGCAGTATCGGGCGGACAACGACAGCGACACGGAGGACGACCTGGAGGAGGTCCCAACCTTCATACGGAAGCGGGACCTGACCGTGCTCCGGGGCGTGGTGGAGAGCGTGGAGATGGTGCCGTGGGTGACGCCCCGGAGGAGGGACTGCGATCGCATCGACAGGGTCATGTTGGAGTTGCCGGAGATACCCGCACCGGATCGCACGTTTTGTTTCTGAATACGCCGCAGACGCTTTTTTGAGCCATCGCAGCGGCAGACTAACGACATACTGACTAACGCCTTCCTCATATTAGATTTGTGTACATCGTGTTTTCGTGCTTCACGTTTTCGCATCGTTCGATGACAACCACCCTCTGATTAGGTTACTCTGCATTTGTACAATATCATGCTTGCACTATGGATACACATCTTGTCTAACAGATTCCATTTGATTATCGAACGTGATGATAGTCCACTAGAAGAGAGAGAAAATGCGAGAGCAATGCGCGACGAAAGAGATCAATGGCTGATATATTGGAACACGAAAGACACCTCTGGCAAGCTGACTTCCTGACGCAAGAGGTCGTCGTGATTGTTCCTTAATTCGGGATTGGTATAATGATTCCATCTGGTTTTGAAGTGAGCAATGATGTGTCGATATGTAGACCGGAATACATACGTGCTAGCGTCGCCGTACAACATCGCAGGTACCTTGATGAGCTGCTTGCCGTTCTTGCACCGCTTGCACTTGAACGTCTCGTGCGTTTCCGAGAGCGTGTTCTCGTTGAACAGGAACAGCTCTCTGAGCTGCGAGAGGGAAAAGTGGCGTTCCGCGTCTTCCTTCTCGTCGACGACGGCTGAGGACAAGGCTTGCTTGGACGCCTGCCGTTGGAATATCTTCTCTTCGATGGTACCCGTACTGATGAAACGATAGACAAAGCCTATACGCGACGTCAGCAATCGCCTCCCGCGTTGCGCGTGCGAACTCACAAGCTTTCTTCTGGCCATCACGCCAGACTCGGGCAAGCGCTTGCTGGTCAGCGGCAGGATTCCAGTCTGGTCCAAAGCCCGGTCAAAAGAGGGGCCAGCTGAGCAAGACATGGGACGTACCAGGATCGAACAATATCAATCGGTTTGCCCCAATAAGGTTGATACCGCATCCGCCGGCTTTACTGCTGAGTAAGAAGATGAACTCCTTGCTGGTCGGGTTGTTAAAGTCGTCCACGAGCTTCTGACGCTTCGGAATGGTCATGGTACCATCCAGGCGGTAGTAATGGTACCTGTTAGAGTAACCACTGAGTGCGTCGGTAGCGAATGAAGCGGAAAATATCGTACTTTCTGGCGCGAAGGAGGCGCTCGAATAAATCCAAGGTTTGCGTGTAGTTGCTGATCAACACAATCTTGTCCTTATTCTCCTTGTCCGCATTCCCCGCGTTTATTTGCGCAAGGAACCTGCACGTTCGTGAGTGTCACAGATCACGCCCAACCCAACGAGACCAGCGCACCTATCAAGCACGACGAATTTCCCGCTCCACTCGGGGTGCACGATCTGTGCGCCGCCGCCACCGCGGCTTCGGGAACTGGAGCCTCCGCTCCTGGTTGCGCTCTCTCCCATCCCGCAAAAGTCGTCGGGGATTAATGAGCCTGATCCATGCAAGTCTTTCGGCAGATCTAACAACTCTGGATGATTGCATAGCTTCTTGAGAACGTTGATGGCCTTCAGAGGCTGTGACTCTTTGCCGCGCAAGAGGGCTTTGATCTCGGGGGAGGCAATGAAGAGGCGATACAACGACAACTGAAGCGGCGATGGCTTGCAGAACACGACCTGTTCGTACTTGACGGGCACTGAGGCAGATAGAAGAGGGTCAGGAGCGTGATCTACGAGATGCAGGTGCGCGAGAACTGACGATATTTGGACAGCAGGTCATTCGTGCGCCGGATGATGAATTTGGTGACCAGTCCACTGAGCTCTTTGAGCTTCTTCTCGCAGTCTTCCTTCGCCTTGTCCGTGGCGTCGGCATCTCGTCCGCGGATGATGATGTTCTCAAAGTTCTTTCGGAATTCGTTCCGAGTGCCGAGATAATTAGGGTTTGCGAAGTCGAGCAGTGAAAAATATTCGGTGAGATCGTTCTAGAGCGAGCGGCGAACGCAGGGAAAGGCGAGTATGTCAAATAGATACAGATGAGGATGAACGCAAGAGACGCACCTGGATCGGTGTGCCAGTCAGGATCACACGACGCTTCACGTCAAGGCCGGTGAGCGCCTGATACGTCTGTGATTCTGTTTGACTGCATTACAGACTAAACGAGTACGTAAAAGAAGGCAACTTACCAGCGTTCTTCAATCTATGGCCTTCATCGCAGAGCAAGAGTCCGATTTTGCAGCCGTTGAGATAAACTGTGAGCGTTCGCAGGGTTTCGTACGACACGATCATCACTTTCGACATGTTCGGCGATTTAGTGACGCGATCTACGAGAGAAGCAGGTCATACCTGGTTGGGTGACATTGCGCCCGCTGGCCGCAGTCCAGCGGGCCACTCTTTCGAGAAGTTCGCCTTTGCTACCTTTGCCATCAACTGCAAGAGCCGAGATTGCGTCCTTGCCGAGCCATTTGACTGCGCATGGCGTGAGTCTAACCACTCGCGTACGTAAATGTGGATACCGGACCTACCCAATTCGTTGGCCCAGTTCTTAACCAGACTGGAGGGACAGGCGATGATGCACTTCTCGATGGTCGGCTTGCCCGCGTGGGGTGACTGCTTGACGAGGGTCCACAGAAGGGCAATGCATTGCAAGGTTTTGCCGAGCCCCATCTCGTCCGCCATGATGCAGCCGTATTGATTCTCGACGACCATGCCGGAGGTACATCTGAACAGGAACTGGCATGGCATAAACTGAGCAGGAAGCGATTGGGGGTTGGTATAGACCATACCTTGACTCCCTCGACCTGATGTGGCCGGAGAACCTTGGTAAGGCGCGGGTCGATGACGACGGCAACCTTATGGGCCGTCTTCTTCTTCTCCTTCCCTCCTCCGAGGAGCTCCCTCAGGCTCTTGTGCGGGTTGAACATGCCGACGGTTTTGTCTCTTGCAGCCTTCTCCGCCTGTTCGCGAGCCTCCTCCTTCTCCCTTTCCTTCCGTTCCTCGTCGGTCTCTCGATCGTCGATAGTAGGGTCGTACAGGACGATCGCTTGATCCTCCATCGGATCGTGCAGTGGTCTCGGTATCAGGTTGGCTTGTGGTCGTAGGCCGAGAGACACGTTGGTAAGGACGACGGGCACGATATTGCCATCCTTGTTTCGCATCTCTGGCATCGAATACCTGCGATTGTGGAGCTGATCGAAAGGCTTCGGCTTAAAGACGGGATACTTGTGCGTATTGTCGACGGGCTCGCATTCGTCCGGATCACCTCTCTTCTTCTTCTTCTTGCGCCCGCCGTCGTCCGAGTCGTCGTCGTTCTCATTCTGAGCGCCCTTGTACGAAACGGCGCGCTTGCGCTTCCGGAGGGAATCGGTTCGCTCCTGCACAGCAGCAATGGTGGGCGGTTTAAAGGGCTTGAATACGCGAGTGCTCTCCTGCAGTCTGTCGACCACCTTCCCGTCCATCGTCGTGGGCATTCGTCGCAGCATGGTGCAGGAGTCACAGCGAGGGAAACGATGACCAACGCGGCGCGTACGCCTTTATGAGTATCACGTTATCGCGAGGCAGCCGCACGTGATCTTACTTGACAGCTGCGTCGGCACGTCGGCATGGAGGACAGAATACCTTCTTGCGTCTTCCTTCTGTCGGCGTCGGGCTCAGCCAACAGGGATCCGTGTCTTCCCGTCTTCTAGTCCGATCGGCGTCGGGGATGATAACAGTCGAGATGACAGCACAGGCTTCTGCTCTTCGGTCTCTGCCCGCAATAAAAAGGCAACCTCACATGAGGCCGGCACGTTTCAGCTCTAACACGCACAGCCCGGGCATAAAGACTCGGCGGCGCATCTCGCAACGAGAACGATGTCCCACTCTTTGTCCACCACCGTGCACCCCCAGCTGGCTTGCCTGCCCGAGCTTCGGAGGGATGCCCCTCGTCACGCACCCGTGGTGACACCGCGGAAATCCGCTGCACCCACCTCTAGCTCGATATCCCCGCCACCGCCAGCGCCCAACGAACCGCCGCCTTCATACGACTACGCGGTCTCCACGTCACATCTCGGGTCGAAACCCTCAAGCTCGGACTGCCGTTATGTCGCCTCTGTGACCAGCTTGTCCGCATCGCTCTCGAAAGCGTCGCTCTCGAAGAAGACCCATTGGCATCCAAGCCGTACGTTCGATGCCCCGCGTCCATGGAACGATTCGCTCATATTCTGTCGGTCCCGACAGATGACAACTGTGATATGTCAGCCATCTCCGAGCGCCGCGGCTGGTTCATCGCCATTTTACGGCGTAGCTCGTCCAAAAAGCGCCTGCGATCTCGTAAGTACTATATGCCATGACTTATCATCTGCTACGGCTAGCTGACTCTGTCGTCCCATCTCCTAGCTTCACGGGAAGGCGACACGAGCCCGGCTTCGTAGAATTCCTCAAGTATTGAAAAAGGGTCTGGATCACGTCACTCATGCTAATATGGAAGGATCACCACTCGCTATATATTCCTCATCGACGCCATGCATTTGCATTCACATGTTCTGTATAATTATTCATAGCATTAACATATAGGTTGCGAAAATATGCGGGATAGCGCAAAAAAGCAATACGACATAGAGAAGATACAGATTTGGATATATAATCGACTTCACCACTTGACGTTGGCGGCTTGCACGGCGGCGTTCGCGTATGCCATCCCGTCGACGATGTCGACCGGTGTGATCAGGATTGCCTCAGTAGACTTAAGCAGAGACGGGTGCACGTTGAATCGTTGCGTCGCGAGTCCGTTCCCGGAGGAGTATACTGCGAATGTACGGCCTTCAATCAACTCGACGAACTACGCATAGCGCGGTGCGTGAGCGGGAAGGCAAGTCATGACACGGAACGCGGGGTTGAAGTGCACGCACCACGCCGTTGTTCTCCAGTCTTTCTCTGAACCGCTGCCACAAGTCAATCTGCTTCTCGTCGTCGCTGTTTCGATCTCTCTCGACCCTGGCACTGGAGACGACGCCGACCTTGCCACTGATCTTTGCCAATGCACCGACCATGACTTGCATCGCCGGAGGCTCATATAGCTTGCCTGGCACTCCGGGATTCGCTTTGCCCAATGCTTCCAGCACAGAGTAGTCGTCGTGCAGATCGTGCAAAGCCACGTGAAGGTAAGCGACGGTATCGAGGCGGAGCGAAAACGCAGGCGCCCGCATTGGACGGCTTGAGCTAGCATGGTATGATCGGGTCAGTGGCAAGCGTAGCGAACCTTGCTGGCGAAGACTTACCCGGTGATCGGCGAAACTGGGAAAACGGGTGCTGGCTGAACTGACAATCGGTTACCGCTGTGACGAGTTAGTGCATGTTCAGTCACAACATAATGGAGCAAAACGTACAACAGGGAATTGACAACATCATGGGACGGCGGTTGAGGGGCGGGGATGGTCGTAGCAACGCTGAAAAATCATGTTCAGTCCCGGGCATGAAGACGTCCATGAGCATCACTACTTACTTTTCCTGAGATATTGGAACTTCAGGAGCGGGTGCATCGTCCTCGTTGAAATCTGGGAGATCCGCAGTATCATTCACTCCGAGGCCGTGTGCCTTCAGTATATCTTCTCCAGTTGGGACAACTTGCCCGACATCAGCGTCGGCCTCGGTTTCATCGGGCTCGCTGAATAGCGACGCCATATCTGCGTTGTCCTTGTCAGGAGAATTCTCGAAAGGACCTGTGTTCTGCTGCTCGGCCAACGACGACTGCACGATAGGCTTCCCCGTCGAACGCGGCATGACAACGCCTCTGCCCACGCCCGCCTTGCTGCCTTTGTTAAAGGTAAGAAGACTACCACCTCGCCTCGGGAGCGTGGTCTTCGTCACTTTCGCATTCGAAGAACCAGAACCGAGCGGCCCAGGTCTCGACATCTGAGCGATCGCGCGTTGTTTTGCCCCAATCGATCTTCCCGCTGGCTCGTTCTTGCCTACAGAGGTGGTCGGAAGGGTCCGTACCCGAGGATTTGTTTGATGTTGTCTGTGCGCCGGCTGAGCGGACTCAGAAGCTGCGTTGCGCACGGGGGGATATCGACGACCATCCTCAAGCTCAGGATGAACGTCCGATCCTCCCGGACCAGCGCCCACGCTACTGGTAGCATGTAGCTGAACATCAGCTGTGCCGTCATTCGAGTCTGTGGGCCCACCAAACGGAAGAGAATTCGGCGGTGGCGGCGTGAGTGTGCGAAGGGACTCATCGCGGTTGCCAGAGGCTAAATCAGGTCCAGGGGACGGAGAAACGGATGCAGGGATGACCTCGTTCTCTGTGTTTGCCCTCGAGAGCACGCCGGAGCTCAAGGGAGGCGTTGGCTGTGGCACTCCTTGGGATGTTGATGGATTGCGACGCGGCTGGGTGGCTCGAGCTTTAGCAGGTATAGAGTTGTTTCTCGGAACGGTGTCGAATGTTTTGACACGGGGCACCTTGTTCCTATGCGCAGGAATCCTGGGCTGATCCACCTTTGGTGGTCCTGGCAATCGCAGAGCGGTTGAGCCTGTGGCATCTTCGGCTGGCCTCGAGGCCGTCAATGGCGACGGCAGCATCTCCTCGCGGCGCTCGGCCGGGGCAACATTGTCATTGCCAGCCTGCGGGGAGGTGGGTTCGGGGCTGTCCAGAAATAAGGGCTCCGAGGATTCATCGTGTCGCTGATCTGCACCTGAGGCAGAATGATGGGACTCATTTTCCACAGCGAGGCCGCGATGCTTCGTCGCTTCTGGGGAAGGGACGGTCGGGGATGGGGCATCAGTGTCCAGTAGGCCGGTGGGCACCAAGTCCAATGTGGAATCGTCATCGAGCTGAAGGGAAGGGGATTTCTGAGATTTGGATGACTTGTTGTGACTGTTGTGCCCTCGTTTACTACCGGTAGGATTGTGTAGCCCCTTGTCATCGGCGTTGCGGGAGAGTGTCGCTTTCATTACTCGTTGTTGATGTAGTTTCTCCCTTTCCCTTATTATCGCCCGTTTAGCCAGTTCCTTCTCGTGTAGATTATCCTTAGTATCGTCGATGTCCATGCGTGACGACGCCTTCGGTGACCGAACCTTTCGTTTGCCTTCGTTCCGTATGCTGTCTCCTGTTGCATGCCCCTCAGACCCTTCGTCAGTCTCGACAACAGCCCTTCGCTTCCCTTTGCTCTTCCGCGTCGACGGGGTTGGCTCCGAGTCCATCTCGGGCCGAATGTCGGATAGAAGCGCTGAGTTGCGGCCGGGCCCGGCCCTGCTCTTCTTGACCATATTCTTGCCGGGAGACGATCGGTGATCGCTGACAGAGGCAGCTTGAGAACTGGGTCCTTCCTGAAGGAAGCGTTGAGCAAGTGCAGGTTTCTTCGGCAATTTCCGCGGCCTGCCGCGTACTATGGTCGATTCCACGATTTCGACAGAGACACTTCGTGAAGAACCGCTCCCTGCAGAACCATCGTTGGACTTGGTGACCCAATGGTTGGCACCAACGGATGGAGACCGTCGTGCCACGGACCGAGGACGCCGGCTAGGCCGGGGCTTCACCTTGCTCGTCCGAGCAACCTCGGCATTGTCTGGACCGTCAGAATCATCCACCTCAACAAGATCATTGTGCACAGTGTTGAACACATTTTGGAATTGGTGCGCAAACTCAACATGACTCGCGTCAAGCGGTTCATCTTCGTCCTCAAAGCGAGGCCTCGCAATCTGCTTTCCCCTCTGCTTTCGAGACTGCGCACTGTAGGTCTTAAGATTCGCAGATGAGCGACGTCGTTTCCGCAGCGCGAACACGTCTTCGGCTTCCTGTGTATCCGGAGCAACCTGTGCTTGGCGTTCGTATCCTCCGTTCCGGATGCCCTGAGAGATACTTTGTCGCGGCTTCTTGGGCGGTGGGGATATGGGTTCCTCTGATTCGGGATCCGAAACATGGGCCGCATAGCGCCGCTTTTGCCGGGGAGTAGATGCGGAGGCGCGGCTACCAGTCGAAAGAGAAAATTCGCTCGGTTTCTTTCCTATTATATACGAGTCAGAACAGCGCGTCTAGGATCTGCCTAATACTGGGCTGGTGTCGGGGACGCAAAGGACGTACGCGTGGTAGACTTCCGTATTTCCTCGCCGGGATCAAACTGACTCAAGTTGCTCCAATCCCGTTCGCGGGTATCTGCGGATAGCCAAAACTCGTTGATGAGGTCGTCATCCGCAAAGGAGCTGACCGGCTCCCATCTGCGTTAACCGTTGATTAGTCATTGAGGTGGCCACATAAAGCGTGGACAACGAACGTGTTTTCATTGGTATCGTAGCCCTTCCACTGCGAGCCGTCAGGACGCAAGGGTCAAGTATTGAGTATGGACCTACTTTGACGAAATATTTCTAGATACACGTCGTTCATCAATTGTCGGGATGGAAAGGCAAATGGGACGATGGCTTCAGCTCACCCAGATCCTCCCGCCACCTTCCTTGAACACCTTGGCTTTCTCGATTCTCTCTGTATTGCGTTCACGTTGAGTCCCGCATCCAACGCAGTGCTATTTTCCAGACGCACCAACTTCGTATGTCTCGTTGTCCGACTCCGACATGGCGGCCAAGCTCGAACGCACCGCGTGCATGCAACCTGGTCCTCAAGGACCTTCAAGAACGATCACATGATCGACTTGAATTTGCAGCAGCACAAGTCGTCGTCGGTCGACTGTCAGACCATATGTATCCTCTGCGGTTGGCGACCTCGGCTTCTCCTTTGTTTGGTCGCCGATCCCGCAGCAGAGGCGACACCAATCCTTCCGGCGGTGACTGCTACTTCCGTCACGGACGCGCCAGAGTTGTCCGACCAAAAGCGATACTTAGGCGAAACAGTGTCTGTCCAACTTATAAACTTTCGCTGGCCTGGGTCTGGTCTATCAAATCATGACCACATACTACGTGAAGATATCGTCCTCAGGTTACCATTCAGCGTTGTGCGAACCCTGCGCGCGCAATCTTGACTACATCATATTCATGATATACCAGACTGATTACGGTACACTGGGCAATCCTGAATGCTTATCAATGCCCAAACTGATCACTGGTGCTGTATCCGTTGTTGCCATCGCTCGCTCGAAATAGCCTTGGGTGTAGGATGATTGGGGTAGCCGTAGTGAAGAGCATTTCGTAAACGCGGGTGCCATGGAACTCCATGCACCACCTTTATGCGTGCAATCAGCGCTAACAATCTTCGAGCAGTGATTTGGTCACACAAGCACTACTGCGAACGCTCAGCTACGATGCTCCATCAATTTGCGCCAAGCGCTGTCGCCTTCGGGATGGGTGCCGTTTTCGAAGGCTCTGCTCGGTGGTATCAAAGTCCGAACATGCTATGACTGCCTGGCAATCCGTGTCGTCCCTCGCAGTGGGTCTTGTGGGATTTCAGGTATCTCATATCGCGATACATGAGAAGTGCAAGCCTGCTGGTGCATCAGTATAACTTGATGAGACCTATTTTCAGACCACGCACGCAAAGCACCCAAACTTCTTGAATGGCCTACATTTCAAACGAACTTCCCGCTTCCGGCGTAGTAGATGTCCATTGTCCAAAAGACCAAGACTGGATGAACAAACAACTTGCTACAAGAAATAATATGAAATATCCCGACACTATTTGTCGAGCTCGTAAAAGACCTATCATCCGGCTTTGTATGAGGCAACTTCCTGTAAGTACGGTCAATTGCCACTGCAGCGATCATACAGCGAGCGCTAGGGGTTGATATGCCGGGGCGATTCTCAATGCCAACGGTTCAAATTCCTCGGCGCTGGCATCGCTTTACTGATCGTGATGGTCAGTCAAGGCATGCATCCATGAGTTGTGCACATAAAAAGCTGAAAGGTGCAGCTTGGCATACCTCCAACGGCCTTTTCGCTCTCGTTTGCGCTCTCTCTTTCTTTCTTCCCCAGTTCATCATTCAAGAATGTCCGCACCCAAGATGGTTCGCACGCAGATCGATATCAATACCTTGCTCGACTTACCTTGCCTACGTAGTCGTATGCCCCAGATGGCACACAACCTATGCCCATGCAATCCATGACGCCTGCGGCGAACGTTGGAGAGCAGTACAGAAACAACAGTTAGCGTCCATTTTGTCAAACATCGCCCAGTTTTTGACAGCGACTGCGAACCTACCAGTGATGGCGCAGTGCGCCCAAGGACATCACGATCCTAAGACGAAGTACGGAGTGCCCGGGATCATCGGTGCCATCGTCTGCTTCCCGTGCGGATTGCTATTCTTGCTGTTCGTATAATCCCTGCGATTACTTATCTATGCATTTGCTGACCATTTATCGTTGCCAGATTTGACAAGGAGAGACGATGCGCTCGTTGCGGCGAGAGGCTTGCTTAAGCATCCATCCTCAACACCTCAGTGGCAGATTGTAGATTCTGTGCATATACATATCATTCTAATTTTGCCGGGTCAGTTTTTATGTAAGAGGATGGTATGGTATATATATAAGCTTCTCACCATCTCGTAACTTTCGCTTGTACGTGCATTGCCAAACCGGGGCGCGCTCACGAGTGCATCGCCGTGGCTCTTCACCATCAGTCGGTGATCGCAGTCAGCCGCAAGGCCTGCTGCTGGATACTGGATACTTGAAAGAGTCAACCGCGTAGGACAAGGGGCAGGAGTGTAGTGAGTAGATATAAAAGCACCCTGTCGTGCTGGCTGTGGCAGCCTATCCCAGCCCCCCATGCTCGACGACAAGTTCGCATATATGCAAAACATCTTATAAAGGCTACTCACGAAGTGAACAATGCACCACCGCCACAATATTCCTCCGGCACTGGACCTGGAAGCACTCAAGCGCCTCATCAACATCATGGTGCATCGTGACGGCGCATCTTCCATGCTGCTACCTCTTACATGCAAATCATACCCAGGTTCTCCCCAGGCGGTTAGTCCAGGCAGCCAGATCTCAATGCCACCTCCGGTAGCCTACTACCCGCCCTCAACTGCACTGAGTATTGCAAACGCGCCTGGACAGAACCATCCAGGCTTCCCTGTCACATAACGCAGCAATCCACCACTGGGTATCAGGGAAGGAGACCTTCAAATGGACCCGACAATGAATGCTCAACTGAATATGGTCTGTCTCCGATACAAGCAGCCACGTAAGTTGTTCGTCAGCTTTCATCTGTGCGATCTGTAAGTTGGTTATTGTAGCTGCCCTGCGATGCGGAAACAGTCACAGCCCCAAAACGAAGTTTGGCATCGTCGGCATTATATTTGCTGTTGCATGTTCCCCGTGTGGTTTACCTGCCCTTCTGTGAGTAATTCCTGCCCAAAGTCTGTCAAGAAGCCTGGAATAACATTTCGGTGCCCCCACCCCACCCAAGTTTCGACCGAGAACGGCGATGCAGACGTTGCGGCGTACTCTTGCCTAGCTGAGATCCAATCATTCTGAGCATGCGCGCGAGACAAACACCGTCTGCTGCGGAGGGCGACAATTTCGAGAGCGGTTACATACTCTCACACAACGCATATAAATATACGTGCTTCTTGACTTGCAGCCAGTTTGGTTATTCTCATCCGCGTCTTTCCTCAGTTTGCCGTCAGAGCCTGATTTCTGGTCCTCGAGACGGGGCCAGTACGGTTTATGATCGACGCCGGTCAAGGACCCGGGATGCACCTCAGTACAAATGTACAAGGAATCAGAAGACAAGGAGGAGCTTCAGAAGGCAACATGCATATGATCGCCACCGAACCTGTCTGCCTGCTGCGCCCGCGGTTGCCCCTCCGAAAGCTGTGTAAACGTTGACGCATATGAGCGGACGCGATTGTTGCCTTAGCCTGTTCATCGAGTCGTTTTCTATCTCAATCAGCTGGGATTTGCCTTGCCTTGCCCCACCGATGATCACGGAAGTGAAACCAGACACTACAACCACCCATATTGCTCGCCAGCCTGAAGCGGCCCCTCCCCCTTTATACACCCCACCCACCGACCTCACAGACTCGAGCACATTACCACAAACGCCCGCGCGAGCTTATCCTGCGCAAGGAGCACCGGGATACGTCGCACCTGGCCCCGGGCCAGCGACTCAAACGTATTCGTCTTGGGATCTGCAGACGTCTGCCGTTCAGCATCCGGAGGCCGTCCAGCTACAGCCTATGACTGAAGCAGAGAAGCAGGCACAGATCGGACTGCAGTATCAACAACGACGTATGTTCCTTCCATGACATGATTGAGCTCACGCGAGACTTATATATACGAAAGTCTTTGCGCAGTGTGCCGCTGGCAACCACGCCCCTAGAACACACTATGGCGTGCCAGGAATCATCGGGTCTATCATATGCTTCCCTTTCGGACTGCTTTTTCTCTTGTCAGTCATCAACAATCTTCTATTCATGTGCCATGCTGACAGGGTCTCTCGACGTTCGCAGGTGCGACCAGGAGAAACAGTGTGAACGGTGCGGGGAAATCTGTCCGTAAGAAGTCCATCGACACTTGGTTGATAACTCTGCAACAGTTGCTTCGTCGGCCTTCCTGCTCATCGAATACATAATATATTAGATCTATCTGTTTTCCGTCCCTTTACACGCGCTTGCTCATAATGTACCATGCCATTTTTTGTATCGAAGTTTCGAGGACTGTAGCGCGGATATATACTTTACCGGGGAGAGCGAAAACGCGCACCCGAGTATATTTTTACCTCCCGCCACAGCGCCGCTGCCAACTTCAAGGATTGACGGATGGGTTCGTGGGTTCTTGAGTCGGGAACTGAGCTGCCCAACCGCTCCTACTCTCGCGAGCTGGGCCAGACAGAGCTTGGCTTCTACTGGGACGCAGCCTTCAATCGCACTGCGGACACGACTCAGCACGTTCACCTCAAGCTATCCCCTGAGGCGATCAAGCGCAACATCTGTGGACCCGACCACATCCGGCGTACTTGGGTTGCACTGAAGCAACGATACCCCTTGCTGGCTGCGCGATTCGACGACCGGGATGTGCACGTCAACGGACGCGTGTGGTTTGTGGTTGAAGAGCAACGTCTGCGCGATGTCGGTACCGACGAGCTTGTCTTCAAGACCGTGAACACCCTCGACGATTGCGATGTCGTTATCGACGCGATCCTCAACGATGACCCACCACTCACGAACGATATGCTGGCTCAGGTCGTCGTGATGCATCGCACGGACGACCCGGACTCTATTCATGTCGTGTTCAACGTCGCCCACGCCATCACAGATGGGATGGCTAACGCGACCGTAAGCCGGACATTCTTCGAGCTCCTCTGTTCGGCGGACGACGTGCTGTCGGAGGCACAAAGTCTGCCGGAACGTCTGGCTATGGCCGTGTGTTCGGAGAGCCTGGACCCCGGTTTGAGAATGACCAAGGCCAGAAGGCGGTGGAGGCTTGCTATCTCCCGAGTGATCTGGGAGAAACGGCAGGATAAAATGAAGGTACGCTCGAAAGGAGTGCGATCGTGAGCTATACAATGTTCTGATCATCTCCTTAGGGTGGACACTCGCTGCCCAATCGCCTCTCCCCCTCTTCATGGCTCACGCCGGCTCAATCACGTCTGATTGGCACTTCGTTCGATCCTGCCACCTCGAAGTCGATCATACATGGATGTCGCCAAAAGGGCATCACCTTCGGTCATGCTTTCCCTGTTCTAGGTCAGGTCGCTGCAGCCCGCGTGTTGCATCGACGCTACCTACGTGGTGAGATCACGGACGAGGAGATGCAGTATCGCCTACGACAACCAATGCACACCGGCGGGCCTCTCAATCTCCGTCCGTACCTTGATCCCGCCTGGTTTGAGCATGGAGGAGCCACGGAAGTTTGCTTATGCATCAGCTTCTTCTGGACTACGTTACCCTTCTTACCGCGTCCTCCTGGAACGCGATCAAGAAAAGATGCTAGCGTGGTCCTTCATGACGGCGCGCCGACAGTATTTGAATTGCTTCCTTCAGACCGTTTCCTTCTCAGGGCCCGCTCCATAAAACGGCAGGTGACCATGCAGATGAAACATCCTTCCTTCCTGGAGATAATTCTGGCACGTCTACCATCGCGAATTGACCGTATGCGAAGTGCGGTTACCGAATGGAGGACCTTGAAGGCTGCTGGAACAGACCCACGAACACTCTACACAGACCGACCCATTGATGTGAGCACTCTGCAGGATGGCCTCGTCTTGACGCACGGCGGTTCCAGTATGGGCAACGTAAGCGTCTTTGATTTTTTTATACATTCTCTCCTGCTCACGACCTTGTGATTGCACAGGTCGATGTGATCCAACCACTCAGTTATCCGCTCTCGAAGTCGCATCCTCTGTCAATTTTCGGCTCTCGCGGCAGGGAGAAACAGGTTCCCGCCTTTACGCAAACCGTCGCACCGCACAAGGCGGCTCAGTCTGATAACGGCGTGACTGTCGAGCGGCCTTTGCTGGAAGTCCTGCTGCATCGAACGCATCTACATTGTCGCCCTGGAGAGCTTTACCTCGGATCGACTACCTCCCGAGGCCAGCTTCATATGCATATTTTTTGGGACGAGAACGTATATGATGAATCGGTTGTGACGGAATGGTTGCACGAAGTGAAGCAAGCGGCCGAACACTATCTTCCGGACTCGCCCAGGGGTCCCGACATACCTCGCTCAAAATTGTAACCGGCCCCTTGCGGCGCATGTTCCACGAAAGGAACCTCTTACTATCGCGGTCGCCGCAACGCGAATTTCGACGTCGACGTCTCGTTATTGTAGCCCTATTGCTTCCATTGGTTTTTGTAGCGTGCGTCCGCCGCTGCGCCTTTCCGCCGACTCCTACTTCAGAAACCAGGTTGTATCACATGCGATGAAGAAGATGTTTTGATACTCCCGTGATGATGGTGGCTCATGTCAACGCTGTATTTGGTGCCGGCGGGAGGCACAACCTTGCAGATGACCCGATCCCGAGAATAGGAACTTCCGAAGGCGTATTTGTGGAGTATGTTGAAGTCTTTCGGATAGCATCAGTTACCCGCCATCAACGTCCGCGCCGAGCTCCGGCGACGACTTCCATCTCGTGTTTTGTATAGGTGATGCTTCGATCAGCCCTTTTACGTGACATTGTGCATGCAATCTTGAGCTTGACACCTCTATCGGTAGATGAAGCCCTGATATGGAACCTACTGCCAGACGACCTGAATTCGCAGATAGATGTGACTGCCCGACCAGCCACGCGTCCATATATGTGAATCATAATAGCACAATAATACACAGGGCAACGTTTCTAACCATGAGTGCAGGCCAAATGCCCCCGATTCTTCGTGTATGTCATCGCAGTGACGCCTATCAACCGAACAGGCGCAGCCTATTGGAGCGCAGCCGCATGCCGAGCATGGCCAGGCCAGTCGCCGTGATCAACAATGACACCCACGCCCGCCCGCTCCAACGAAGCCCAAAGCGACCCCAAAACCTGACCCGAACGGCGGCGGGTAAGAGACACAGTGTCGACCCTAGGCCTCCTCGGCGCTGGCACTCACTTGCTGCCAGCTTTGCCGCTCAGCTGCCGCTCGAGCTGGACGAGATCCTGTACGTCCGGGTGTACCCAGAGCTCCTCTCCGGCAGCAGACGAGATCGGGGGCAGGGGCTTGCGAGGGGCTCCGCCGTAGCCGTAGAGCTTCTCCAGGAGGTACTTCGTGCCGGCTATGGACGCCTTCGCGATGGTGTAGTCGCCACGAGCGACGATGCCTTGCAGACGCTGAGCCTCGGCAAGGGCAGCCGTATCGGAAGGATTCGTGTAGGCACGGACAGAAAGCTCCTGGAGGTGAGCAGTGGCATACTGACTCCGTATTAGCATGGTCGGTCAGCGCTGTTGTATGACTGATAGAACTCACCGGTGCTACATTGGCTAATCCGATGATAGCCCCATGACCCTTACTGTAAGTTGAGGGCAGGATGAAGTCGGCAAAACCGCCGAGGACGAGGAAGGGTGCATCCGGGTTTTTACGGGGGCTTGTCTTGTCAAAAGACGGAGAAGAGACCGTAGCGCAGACCCTCGTCAATTTCCCGACATCACCACATCTGTGAGTAACGAATCAGTCAGAGATTCTCAAGGTGGCTTCAGTCGGAAGATATAACAAAGAGATGGAGATTGAACGAAGCAGGCATGCCCCGACGGCGGTATGGTGCCGAAGTTGTCAGACCCAAAGAGAGCCCGAACTTGGGGGTCCATGTACCATCGAGATCGGAGCGAGGTCCGAAAATGAATGCCGAAGGCTTCGTCGTTTCGCATAGCAAAAACGGCAATGAAAGTTTAGGTGCTAGGTAACGCAAATATCGCAGATAAGGCAGGCAGGGCACCCACGTTAGCTTGACACCCGCGAGGTTGGGGCATTCAGTCGCGAGTTCGACGAGAATGTCCGAGTCGAGGTTGATCCCTCCACTCGCCCCAGGATCTGGGTAATCCCGAAGAATGAGCGAGGGTGCCACACATAATAAGGACAAGCAGCGTACAATTGTATGCAATGACTGGTATCGGGCTCTTCTCGGAGACCTCGGTGAAGAACGCTTTCAGGGCGTTCTTGTTCCCTGCCAGCACGCCAGCATAATACCCGCTGGTGATGACGATGGAGTAGTCAGCACCTGCAGCGGCGGCTTCGTTGGTGAGCTCGAGCGTTTCGCGGGTGCTTCCCGCTCCGGTCCCAGCGATGACGGGCACGTGCGGAAGATCCGCAGCATCGAGTGCGCTGCGAGCAGCCTTGATGAGGGTCACCCGCTCCGAATGGGATAGATGGTGCGCTTCGCCCATGGACCCAGCAAGAAGAGGGCCAACTCCCGCCTTTGCGAGACGGACAACATGAGTCTCGAATGAAGGGATGTCTGCAATGCGGTTCAGGACATGCGCCCCAGTCAATCAGTAGGGATCGTGCTCACCAAGGTCCTCCGTGTCCGGGAGGAAGAAGGTGGGGATGGGGGCGAAAATGCCGGGACGAAGAGGACGAGAGACCTTGTGCCCGTTAACGCCGTTCGAGACCATGACTGTAGCGGCGGAGGGAAATATCGCGACATGGATGCGGAGGTCATGTACTTATACAGGTTCAAGTCCAAATCGGGGACTCGGACCGCGCCCGTCGCGGGCGCGCTCCCCGCCGGGCCGGGCTCGGTTACTCCCACTCTCCGACCCGCCGCACCGTTCGCGTCAACTCTCCTGCCTCATCCACGGCCTGCGCATCGGAGCGGCTCGCGCCACACGTTGGCGAAGGAACGGTCGGCCTCTTGTCATCTGCTTGCCTTCAGTGATCACATGCAGTGCCTTCCGGACTTTGCAAACGGAGTTCGCGGTGGTTGCTTACCTGGGAACCGCAACGCGTGTCGATGCCAAATTTACCGATATTTGCAACTTCTCTCAGGAAACGACGGGACGGAGTAGTGATAACGAGACCGCGATGATTGGAGTTGTTTACTTTCTGGTGCATCGATGAACGCGCTGCACTACAAACTCTTCGCTGAACCCACGTGCACATGCGGCCGCGCTACCTGAAAGTATCTTGAAGGCTACGCAGCATTGCGATCAATCGTGCCCAGATCGTGCCCGTATTCGTAACGTTCATCGAAGCGTTTGCCCCTGTCAGATTCCATCTAACCTTGAGCCATGCAAGTGCAGCCGGTTTTGCGGTCAGGTCTAGCCATTACTCATGCACCTCGCGATCGGGGCCTAGATACTGCGCGGAGATACACGAAATGCTCCGCGACCCATGACTATGATTCTATCGTAAGCATCGGCCTTGTATTCCGTTTTTTGCAAGTTCTGATGGCAATTCGTATTGCAGACAATCTCTGCAAAGGATGCATGAGTTTGTGTCATTCATGGCATACATGAACCGAAATATAGTGCACGAGATCCGAAGACGATAGATCCTGATTATCAAATGAAGTTCGTTGCTCGTGTGTTCATTGGCGCGAAGCTCCAGTATACCAGCGATGTTCGTTGCGGGGTAATCGACAGGCACCGAAGCGTGGAACACGGGCGCGGGGTCATAATTGAAAGCATCCGTGAACGTGCGGACGGTCTATGATACCATTCGATGCAGCTCTTTCTGGGCGCTTGATGTGTTAAAGAACATGTATAGTACATCATCACGAAAGCCATGGTCCATGGCTCTTCATTTCTGTGCCTCGATGTCTATGGTTAGCGTAGAAGTCCCACAAATTCGAGAGATAGTCGAGCAATCATTGCATCGTAGCGAGTGCAATCGTAATGGGCGTATGGCGAGAGGTAGGCTTCACCTCGCAAAGAGCAGGGTCGGAGGCAAACCTACAGCAGATAAGGCTACCCATCATCAAGGAGTGTCGGAAGAACGCGGGCCGGGTGCAGAAGTCGGGTGTTCCGGGACTGAATGTAGAACGTGCATGTTGTAAGTTAGGAGTGACGAGAGGAAGCAATTTCGTTGTAGGCGTGAGTCCGGCCGAGTTGAAGCCGAAATTGGAGCGTCAACGTGGAATATCAGAACGATGGGCCGGTTTGTGGACCACGACCACAATGAGATTAATATTCGATATTCTGTATGGATATTGTGCAACCTTGGACGTGCCGTAGGTCAGCTGGGGAACCAGAAAATCGTCAGCTGGACCGATCGTAGATATCCAGACCCATACCTGGTATCAACAGCATGCTCAGAAGGTCACCCACAGATAGCGAGGGTGCGAAGCCCTCTTCTCGTCATGAGCTCAGATAGCTATCCTCCTACGAATCCACAACTTGCAGATGGTTCATGACCTCCCGTTCCCAATCTTTGAGACCATCTTCACCAGGTTCTGCGGCGATGCCCTCATCTATCGCCTTCTCGAATACATCCCAGGACACGCATCCGAGCTCTTCTCCAGATGGTTCCAGTGCGAAACGACCCTGTTTTGAACGCGTGAGGGTGACTACATGGCCAGCAGAGCCAACGGCATGTGCCAACTCGTGCACTATGCTCCGGACGTAGGTTCCTCCCGATACCGTCATCCTCAAGACGAACGCGGGGGGGACTTCGTCGGACTCTGACTCCGACGCTCCGGGGTCATCTGCCACCGTCGCGGCCGCGTCAATGCCGCGTAGCGATTTTTGTAGTGCAATCTTTTGTTCGTCCGTCAGAGCCTTCGCAGGCTGACGCCATGAATGGTCACGGCCAAGCCATTCAACAAGTTCAAGCGCGTGCACGGTCACTTTTCGCTTCTCAATGGGCCGGGGAAGTGGTATTCCCTCTCGGGCATACTCGTGAAGGGGTTTCCCGTCCATCTTGAGGGCAGAAAATCTATTATGGATGCCCCATAAGCAAGTATCGACCAAGTAGTGTAGTTTACTGACATTGGTGGCGTTTGCTCGATGTCTCCTCGGAATTGAGCAAGAGCATCTTCGATTCTCTCCTTCGTAATATGACGCCATGGTGCAGATCGTACTCTTGCACCTTCGCTATCGTACGAGTCGGTCTCGCAGCCTAGCAAGCAAGTCGTGCGGTATTCCTAGACATTCTTAATCTCCATGCGTCTTGCGAATAGGCAGTTCGCACCTTTACGCAATCCAAGAACCCTGATAACTCCTTCGTTCCTTTACCCACACCCATGACTGTAGATGACGCGTGATTCGTGTACACATCTGCATGATGTGCGGAGCATACCAAGGACGCCATCAGCCAGTGGATCCAGAGTACCGCCTTGACCAATCTTCACCGCCTGTCGCCCAAACCTACCTTTCTTCTTCTGCTTCGCGTCGACTTTTCCAAGCTTGCTCTTTTCAACGAAGAGCGCCGAATTGTTGATCAAGGGTTTCATGTCATTGATCAACTTCATGGAAGTTGGCCCTGAGGGTTTGGCGACAGCAAACAGACCAGATATAGGTAAAGACGACGGTGTAACTTTGGGCATGTTTCAAACGTAGGGTCGGAGGGAATAGTTCAAGAGAGAAGATACCGTGCAGTCCCTGCACGTTTGGTAGCAGCTGGCTTGCAGGACCGGGTTAGTATTCGGACCTTCGGTGGCGGTGGCGGTACAGTCATGGCTGCATTAGGCAGTATTACCCGCAGAATTTTCACGCGAGCACATCGGCGCCTCCGATTGGAAAGTGGCTTCTGCCTCGAGCTCACCTTCAGACTGCCAGCATCACCTGGAGACTGATCGTATATCCTTGTATGACCGCTGATACGAATGGACTGTCGATGGCCGGATTCAAATATGTCTGTCGCCGGTGCTCTGTCAAAGCGCGATGTATTGCTCATTCACGTCCCGGACGAGGTTAGTCATGTTGCTCGCTTTCCTTGACATGCGCATTTGTTGGACTGCGCGCGGGCAAGTCGGTGGACTCGGTACACTAGTACTCCGCCCCATGGACGGATCGTACCTTTCGAAAATGGCGCACGCTTACGCTGGGCTCCGGAGAACCGCTTTGCACCGCATCCGTATCTCGTGGCGCCAGCGCTCACCTGCGCTCACTCGTGGATGTCTCTGGTCGTTCCGCATGTCTCCAGACAGCCAGACAACAAGGAAGGTCTACCGTCCCTTTGGGTCTCCCAACGCGATCACTGCGGAGTCTAGGTCAACTGAGACTTGCAAGCTTCCGAGACAGCATCCACACCTTACTGCAGCCATATGGCTGTCCTTGCTCTCGTCGAATTTGCTCTCCTGTGCCGTAGGCTCTGTTCCATTGCGTTACGGATAGGAGTCCGCATATCTGTTGATCCTCAGGACTGCTTCGTGACTCGCACGTCTTGCCTCAATGGGACATGTGTGGGGTATCGTTCTCAGAGTCTCATCGTCGTGACGCCGACCCGCCCGACACGGTCATGAGCGCAATTTGCGCATCAATCAGATGCAGGGCAGTCCGCCGCCCAATAAAAGCCCAAAAGCTCGGCGGTTGCTCTTCACCTCTCGTCCGGTTTAGTTCCCTTCTCCTTCTAACGCACCAGACGATAATGAGCCTTTTCATGATCTATTCTTTTGTCCTCGCCGCTGTGACCCTTCCGTCTGCTCTCGCGGCGACGGTGGATGTCTCTGTCGGCGACGGAGCTCTTCGCTTTAATCCTGAGTTTATCACCGCTTCTCCAGGGGACGTCGTCAACTTCGTATTGTGCGTACATTGCCATTGTACCATTCGCACCCTCGATGCTGCAGAACTCACTCTCGTAATTCTAGCCATCCGAAAGCGCATTCTGTTACGCAGTCGTCCTTCGCTTCGCCCTGCTCTCCCCTTTCAGGCGGCTTCGACTCTGGACTGTCAGTTTTAGGCGCTTCGACACCGAGAAATAACATCTAATGAAGTCGGGGTTACAGGATGCCTGTGGCCGCTGGAACTACTGATCTACCCAGCTACCAGGTCAAGGTCAACGACACGAATCGTAAGCTACTAATGCCATGGCCTTGTCGGAATTGGCGAAGGCCGACTGAATGGCTTCTCAGCGGTCTGGGTGTACTGCAAGCAGCCCGGTCCTCCTGCGCACTGTGGTCAAGGTTTGTTATTCGCTCGTGCTCGACTGGGTGCGGCTGCTAACGCGGCTCTAGGAATGGTCTTCGCTATCAATGCCCCGGCGGATCCGAACCCGCACTCCTTCTCCGCCTTCCAGGCACTTGCTAATGCTACAGCCTCAAACACCACGTCGAACTCTATCACCAGCGCTGCTACCTCGACATCGACATCCGCATATGTTACGCCTCCTCCACCATCGTTTGTGACGGTCACCGCGACTGTGACTCTTGGTGCATCTACGTGGACAACCACATACGCCTCGTGAGTGCCCCATCGCTTCATAAATATGACGTACTGACCTGCTTGCAGGTACGACGGCACGCCGCGTAAGATCCACGAAAGTTATGCTCAATGATTGAAGACTCATTATAATCACCTCAGCCCCCACTCCCGCGGCTCAGCCGGTTGAACACGAGATTCTGGTCGGTGCGAACAACCAGCTTGCATTCAGCCCTCCCAACATCACCGCTTCCATCGGAGATACCGTTAAGTTTTTCTTCAACCCCAAGAACCACAGTGGTAAGTCAATATTCGCTCATGATATGACCTCCCAATATAAATTCTCGGACACTACAGTCACCCAATCCAGCTTCCTCAAGCCTTGCAACAAGCTGGCGGATGCGACTACTGGAGACCTCGTCGGCTTCGACTCTGGATTGTAAGCCCCAATTAAGCGTTCTTCATCCACTAGCGCTGACTGGCGGGACGTTAGCATGTTCATCGATCCCTCGGCCCCTGTCAACCAGACGACCTTCACCATCACAGTCAACACCACTGGTGAGAGTCTTGCGTTGCTTTCGCACTGACCCAGAGAGAGACTCATCGTGATTTCATAGCGCCCATCTGGGGCTACTGCCGTCAAACTAATCCCGTTGATCACTGCGGATCTGGCATGGTTTTCAGCATCAACGCAGTCGAGTCCGGCCCCAACAACTTCGCCGCCTTCCAAGCTTTGGCCAAGCAGATCAACGGGACTAGTACCGCTTCGGGATCCGGATCTTCCACTGGCTCCGGCACTGCTTCGTCGTCCACCTCCACCAGTACCAAGAGCGGAGGTGCTCGCATCGCCAGTATTAACACGATCCCGATGGTCATCGCTCTTGTCCTGTGCGCGGGTGTGTTTGGGGTAGTCCTATAGGAGACGTTGAACGGCTAGATTTGCACCTCGGTGTTTGGACTTATACTATATATGTTTCCTGCTAGTTATCTCTGTGTATCTGTTACAGTTGGTAACATCGGTTAATTTGTGTGGAGCGACTTGGCCCGGAAGAATATACCGCGCTGCTTGAGGTATGTAACTCAGATAATAACCTACGACATAGCATTCGAGCCATCGTGCCAAAGCAGCTTTTTCTACCATACTTAGCGGGAGCATGCGCCGATGCATGAAATGTCGTAGTTCTGTAGTGGATCACTGGAATGGGTGGCGAAACCTACTAGAGACAACCGGAGCGAGGATGGCAACGAAGACGCTGCATACAGTAAGCGTGTCCTAACAACAAGAACAGTATCGCTATACAGAGCTATGTATCCAAGAACCGCCACATATGCATCGCGTAGCCCAGTTCCTTTCCCAGCTCGCCCACTTCCTCGAAATGTGGGGCAGCAAGCCGATTTGTGACCGACCATCGCAGCGCAGGCACGCGTATGCAAAGTTAGGGCGGACTAGTGGCATCTTCGTCACAATATCCAAGGTCTTCTCCTTCTCCGACGTCCCGCGTACCATGGGGTCAAACGTCGAGAGCTGCGATATACCGTCGAGAAGATCGTTTGGCTTGATGAACAGACGAGGCTTGTCCACGAGCTCAGGGGAGGCAATCTTTTGACTGGCTTGCAGCAAGAAGAGTCCTAATCCCGGGCCCGGGCGACCCATAGCTAGAGCCTTCCGCACAATGGGAGCTACAACGGTCTTAGGCGAAGAGACTAACATGAAATGAGTATATTCACCTGGGAGTTGGCCCACATCCTTCTCCATGTCATTGAAAGCAGACTTGAATGCGGTCAAGTTCAAGCCAGAGCACTCAATGAGATCAAGCAGGATATCCTTGGCGATTTGAGCTGTCTCTCCACTGGGACTACACGCCTGGAGATGCTCTCTCAGACCAATAACGTGACCCAGCAGGCCATGAATATGATTTAGTGCGAAGGGGTGTGAGATAAGCAGGAAGATAGCCGAATGACTTGTTTTCGCGGATGCTGCTTTGACTCCAGAAGAAGGGGTGCCTATGGCCTGCTTAGTTGCATGAATGTGTAAGATACGAACACCGGTACCTGGCGCAGATCCGAAGAGGTCATCCTCCACGTCGTCTTGCTGTTCATTGTCCTTAGACCCCGACGAGATGTCATCACTGCCATTAGCTTGAAGAACACATTCTCTGGCGAGCTTTTCGAGTAAGTCCAGAAACCAGGTTGTTACGCCAATCAACTGCCACACAGCATCTGAACATCGCATTAACCAGGTGATTGGGGTGCTCGTAGCTTCGAGGCACACACCCACGTCATACACATTGCCCTCTTGGCATTGTTCAAAGGCGCTTTGACAGGCTACCAAGGAACAGATGTTCCGCAGAGTGGAAAAGCGAGCATCTAGATCCCGCCTAATATCCTCTGCTTTAGCGACTTGGGACCTTGCACTGTGAATGGTCATGCGGGACGTGAGATCGTGAGATATGTATGTACGTATCGACGTGATGGACTGACCCGTAAACTTGACACGCTATGCCGGAAGCATCAGTTATCCATTGGTTGAGGTGCCCCAAGTGCCGGTTCTCAAGTATACGCAGGACATCGTCGAAAAAATCTTCAAGAAGTGGCAACGACAGGCTTGGCTGGGCAAGGGCATGAACGACATCAGATGCGGTCCGACGCGAGTAGATAGCGGCCAGCAGCTCGATAGTATATCGCTGGCTTTCGCTCGGGCCGCTTTGAAGACGGTAAGATGGTATAGGATGTATGGCGGTCCGAACGGACGAAGCAGACGCCAATGTTGCTGCACTGAGAAAAACCTTGCCCGGCGACATGACAGCCTGAAAAGGAACTGAAGGAACCTTGTCAGCAGATAAGAAGCTGAATTAGCGAGCTTTAACTACCGTCTCTGCCGATGTCATCAGCCGAGCATAAGAGGGGAGTCGCATCGCAGTCATCCTCAACAAGATCTGGTCTATCGTTCATTATATGTTAGATAGATCAAGTGATCAAACAACTCCGGAAGTACGCACAAGCGAAGTACCGTGATCTTTCCCACTTCCATCGTCCGGGCCTCGCCCTTACGACGAGGCGGGGGAGCGGAGGTCATATCTATGTGCGTGTTGACTAGGCCTGCAATAAGGTTTGGCTTCGATACTGCTGTAGACGGTAGGTACGGTGCAATGAAGGCGAAAGTCCCTTCATCAAGTATACGATTAAGATGACCGCGCTGGGAAAGAATATGCTGTCTATATTTCAGCAACACGCAAGCGACCACAATATCTTCGAGTACTAACCCAAGGAGATCGTACATTAGGCAACCTCGCGAAATAGTTTGAAGGGGAGTGCCGCGTTATTGACCAGGTCATTAGTTGGGACTTAGGAGTGGATGTATCTGAGAAAGCGGATGCGTGAGGAGTATTCTCAAGCTCTTGAGCATCGAACAAGGTAATACCTACAGTCTCCAAGGTTAAGGACATTCGCCACCATAAATAGCCCTGGTGATGTCGTTGGTTCCTCGTTTGTCTTCGCGCCCGGCAGCTTCGGCACAGAAACAAATTCCAATTGAGCGACGTGACCATTGGCAGAGACGGGTGGGCAAGGAAGCGTTGTCATACCTGGTTCGCGAGGTCAGAGCCAATGTGTCATCGTTCAAATGAGACGAACCGTGGACACACTTATAGCATTGCCATCGAACCCGATGCGCACTTCACACATGTCTATCATGTCTCTTTCGCCGTATATCTCCCATTCCGAGCCGTCTTCGAGGGGACCACTGTGATCGTCGAGTGATATAGTCAAATCTATCGGTAAAGTCTCAGAATCGCCGGTCTGCGGAGGGCAGACCAGAGGCGGCGGGGGATGCAGGTGCGACCTGAGGGCAACCAAAAGAGAGGAATCTAACCGACACGGCATTATGCTCCGGTTCACACACTGTACGGTATGTAGCTCACCGTCGTAAGGCATGCCAATTGCAGCAGCAACACAGACATCAGTTCCACCGGAGTCATCAAGGGACAGCTGATCCCTGTGCGAGTTCGGATCCGTTTCTTGTGAGGTATGCGGCATGGTTAGAGGGCATGCGACATGCTTGAGTACGATCATTGTGGGATCGGCGCGGGTAGGTCCGTGAGTATGGCGGAGAATGCATGCTTCTATGTGTTGGTTCTGCGTGACCATCATCAAGATTGGATAGGTTGAAGGGACGAAGGGACCCCGTGGAGGGAGGCGAGTCGGTACGCCCTCTGGAGTCATGCACCACTGCACATGGCCAACCGTTAGTTGAATATGCCGGTCGCCAACGCCCGACACTTGCCTCCCTCGGAGGCGCTAGCCATGTTGCGGTGACAACGCCGCTCCCTCTCGGTATGTCCCAAGACGGGCCTGGTTCCCACCAATCCGCCGATTGCAATCTCGGTCTTCGGTACCACAAGCAGCCCAGCCCGTCTCCCGAGCGGCCGGGAAAGTATGCAAAGAGGACGTCAGCCGTAGGCTTGACGACGATGACAGAAGGCGGTTCGTAGGCTGCTGGCGAGGAGAGGATGGGCCCGTGTGACGGAAGCAATGGTGATTGTGTCGAGGAGGCGGATGTCGGCGGGAAGAACCGTCGTACGACTGCAGGTTGATGAGGGTGGGCAGCGAATATAGTATCAATGGACGACCATGCAAGCGCCCTAGAAGTAGCTCCAACAGTGTCTTGCAACGGTATATAGAACGACAAACCTTTGAGCGCGTTCCGCCAAGGGATGGAGGTCCCACCAGCCTATATCGACTGCTTCGTGTTGTCTCTCCTTGCCCTTCCTCGGGGACGACGCATGCATAGGAGGTGGGTCCGCTGGTACATCAGCGAACATATCTTCCCAATAGTAGGACTAATGGTGGCTGGATGGTCGAGGTCGTATCTCGTGAAACAGACGCGTTTGCAGAGGTTTGCATGTGGCGCGACGACCATCTTACACTAACCCTCTCTCAGAACAACTACTCGGCGACGGCCAAACATCCATAATGATCACATCGACTTCAAAATCTCGGGAGATCGCTGGTGTACCAACAGATGTCATCCTGCAACCATTCGCTGATCGCATTCTCGTGCTTATCACGCAATTGGGGAAAGTTGGCAATCTCGTCCGTGCATCGCCTTAGTCTACCGCGTCGCAGTGAATTCATCATGCGTACAGATACAAGCTACGATACCGGCCACAACCGCACTCCAGCCCGCTCCGTCGTCGGACGATACTCTTTCGGCCAGCGCTGCGTTACCTCCACCGCCGCCTACCATCCAGCTTACTCCGTTGCTGGGGGCTGCACCGTCGGAACACATCCGCACACTTCACTCTCTGTATGCATCACAAGCTGCTACGATCATCTGGTTTTCCGAGAATAAAGAAGTGCTCGGCGAAGTGCCTCGGAGGGGCGTGATTGTTGGTGTCGCCCTCAAGAAGCTTGGCGGGGATGAGATCTTGGGGACATCCATATCTGATACCGAAAGGGAAACGTTCATGGGTGTAATGACCTTGCTCGGCGAAATGACGCAAGGACGCGAATGAATCAAGGACGCAAGCTTATACCCTCGCATGTGTGGGCCCTTCACGCTGAGTGCTTATACTTTTGATGACTAGCTGCATGCCATCATCCCCGACTCCCAATGCTCTCGACAGCCTTGCGAAACGCGTGGACTAGGCTGAGTGTATCGTAAATGGGGCCGACAAGCTCGGAGGCTGCGGCCCTATCGCTTGTGGGCCGGAAATACGGATGTTTTACTGACCCACGCCGAGAGTAGCGATGCTGTTTGAACTCCGGAACTCATATTACTACGGTAGCGCGGTGTATCCGGAATAGTAGTAGGTTCAAAGTAGGTCAAATCCTTCGATATCAGTTCGATATCTGGATACTATTTGTTGGCCCTGGTAAGACCGCATTAGGGCAGCGACAACCGGGTTTCTGACATGTCAGTCGTGCCAGCATCATGTCATAGCCGTGAAAGCCGCCGTTTCAGTGTCAGCGTCGGGAGTGGCCATGGCATGAGATCTTGGCGCGCCGGTTCGCGTCGGGGCTCGGGCGACGCCGAACCGATCAAGTCTCTTCTTCGAATCTGACCAGATCTGACTCGCCGTGCGCCGTTCCACCCGCTTAGGAGACCGCAAGATGCCCACCTCGTGCTCGTCGCGACTCATTGCTGTTCAGAAGGTCACTCAAGGAATCCGGATGGGCTTCCGCATGGCAAGCTAGAACGTCACCTGCTCGCGCTCATCGTCCATGGTCGTTCTGTGTAGACCGGTCCTGCGACGAGAACGCTGGTATACGCGTTGCCCTGACATACACGCCAGCCGTCTCAGATCAGGCTAATCCAGAAAAGGACACAAATAATCGCGCGGGTGGCGGGCACGCGGCGTCGGCGCGAACCCGAATATGGCAGTAACCCAATGAAATTCATTCTTCGCGGATCCCGATGTCATGGGCACGGCGTTTGCTGCCGTCGAGGACGGGCCCCATATATGTAGCTCCTGGAGCGTCGGTGGGGCAACCTCCCTCCCTCCCTTCGTTCCTTCCCCCCTCTCTTTGGCGTGGAGGCGAGCTCTCCTCGGTCCGGCCGTTCCCTGTCGTTGTCGTCGTGTGCCCTTGTCGCGTCTGGAATGTCTGGTGGAGACGATTTGATACCTTCCTTCAATATCTCGCTGTCGCAAGCCCGACATCAGCCGCTCCCTCTCTCTTCCGTCCAGAAGTCGACCATCAAAGAACGCAAACAGTTGTATGCATACACAATTTCTCCTTTGGCACTCCATTATACGATATTTGTGAGCCGGATTTTTCCGTAAATTGTTTGCGTAACCGACCAATAATATTTAGGAGGCAGACGAGCATGAAGCCGAAGACTCTTCCCTGAGATCCATACCGCCCACGCAGGTACGTCCCGCTTGGTGTGCCACTGCCTCGCATACCCACCCCGCCGTCCCGCCGTAGGAGCGATGTGGCAGCGAAAATACTGCGGAGAGCTCGCCCTCTGAGAATGGAAGTCAGGAAACACCCCGATCCAAGGTTTCCGCTAAAGTCAGTGCAAGATTCTTGCGATGCTACAAGCCCTGGCTGACGATGTCTTACAGAAAGTCCTCCGTAACATCACGGCTAGATGCCGCAATGGTATCCGCTGGCCCCCGAGTCGAAGAAACCCAGGTTCCGCTACGCATGCTGCGAATTGACTTCAACACTACACTCCCTACAGTAATTAATCCCATTTTTAATATTTGACGCTGCTTTATTGTACCACATAAGTATAATACACTTTCCGCAAAATGATGCACAAGCTGGTTGTCGCGTATGTGGCGTGTGTTTGTACATGTGGATGTTTCCCCGCGCGTCGGCACACAACGCGTCTCGATCGAAAGTCCCCACTGAATCATCCCTCTCCTCTCCTTTCCACGTACTTGTCAGTGTCCCAACCACGGAAAGATCATCATGAGTCAATGTGAGGTAGTAAGTTCATGATGATTAGTCAATACTAAGGTGCACTAGTCGAAAACCCATACTACGGGAACTCTGGTGGGGGCGGTTACCTCGCCGGTGGCTCGCCTTTCGGTAGCCAAAACGGCAGCCCGGGCGGCTCAGGCGGAAAGGCGAGCTAACTATCCACTTGTTGGCTGTGTATGAGGCTCTCATCATTTGTTTCAGCGAGTAGCTCAGCACACCCTGCGGCCAGTCACCGTCAAGCAGCTCAACGACGCGACGCAGGCACACTCAGATGCAGAGTGGTTCGTGGACAAAGCCGAGATTGGCCAAGTGAGTCTTGGATGCGACATTCCCGCTGTTTATGGCCTCAGACGGCCGAAAAGATCATGGTCGTTGCGATGGTCGCGTCGATCAACGCTCAAACGACCAACAACGTTTACTGGCTGGATGACGGGTACGGCCGCATTGAAGCAAGACTTTGGACCGACAACTCGAGCGAGGAAGATGCGGGAAAGTGGGGAGGGATCGAGTGAGTTCGTTCCCATATGGCCGAAACGTCCACAGGCTGAACGTGGTGACGAATAAGGGACTGGGACTGCGTATGCGTGACCGGTAGCTTGAAGACGTTCGGGAATCGGAGATACATCAATACGACACACATACGCAAGATCCCCGCCGACGAGGTCTGCGCCCAACTCTGCCATCACTTATACCATGTGGCGTATGTGACGCTCTGTATCGAACGTGGTCCTGTGAGTTCGAGCGTATGTTATCCTTCCTTTCGCCTCTAACGCGAGTCAACAACGAAGCCTAACGCGAACGGTCAAGCCCAAGCCACTTCCGTGTCAAACGGAGTGGGCGGCTCCTCGGCGTACACCATGCAATCGCACGGCGCGACGGACCAGTTCGGCCACTTGCCCCCGCTGCAGCGGCAAATCATCAACTTCATCAGCCGTCAACCACCCAACAACGATGGCATACACGTTGCGGCCATCACGCGGGCTTTGGCCAACGAGAGTGGCGTCGACGCTCACAAGATCAGGTGGGAAGCATGTCGCATGTACGTCAAATACGTGTTCTGATGTTCCTGCCTTTGTATAGCGACGCGCTGGATTTGCTCATGGACGACGGCTTGGTGTTCACCACCATCGACGAATCGCACTTCAAGATCTCAGAGTAAAATACGAATCAACACGGTATATTAAAGGTCTTGAGCTCATTTGTCCTGACTTCACGGTACTTCTCCGGTGCATGTAGCCGGGACGTGTAAGCCGTCACAAAACATTTATGCTGCATCCATGGAATCCATCACGCACGTTGACTTCAATGGGCGCATATAGTGGTGAGTGCGTGGAGTGGTGGTCTCGTCATTAGTAGAACTGCATGCGAATAGTATACATAATGCGAATATATGCGTATGTGTCCAGTCTATGATGAATGCATGGTAGCAACCTTCTGCGCTCCCTTGGCCACGCCTTCCAGAAGCTTTTTGCGGGAGTCGGTCACCTTCTTCGCCACCCCCAGGACGAAGTCGTGATCGATCTACGGAGAGGGAGAATGTCAGCGAACGTCTTGTCTACATAGAATGAACTCACGCCAGCATCGATCACTGGCTTGCAAGCATCGACGAACTTCCTGCGGTCGTCTGATGTACCCTCTACTTCACTCAGCTTCAGCAGACGCGCTGACATGTCCTTGAAAACAGCCAAAAACTTAGGTCGGAGGTCCTTGAAGCTGGCAACAAGCTGCAGGAGAAACATAAGCATGCCGAACACCTATGCACTCGTCCGATGTGGACCTACATTTCCGAGTTTATGCATCCGAACGACTGACGGAGATTTGAAGCGGTTCGTCTCGACGGTGAAGAATATAAGAGCCTAAACAACCAGGGTCAGATCAGCTCCAGTCTGAGGCTCGATGGAATAGGCATTGACCTCTTGCGTTAGTGTGAAAACATTGAGGATCTCATAAGGCAACGCCTTGCGTTCAACCAACTCGGTAAACTTCTGCTGCATATCTAGCAGGCGTTGTCAATTCGGGAACGGTTTCATACGCGGGCTATTGCATACCGTTGAAGTACTTGAGCAAGATTTCCGGGGGTTCTTCAATCGAAGGGGGCTCATGATCTTTCGAGTGCCCATTGGACGTTCCGTTCTTTGGTACTGGGGGTATCTCGACGCCCTGCAGTGGCTTGCCTGTCCTCGCTTCGGACTGCTTCGCAGCTTCGGCGAGGACTTGCGCCGGCGGAGGGCGGGTGTGGTCATGCCATGGGCGGAGCCAGTCTCCGAGAGCGTTGCAGTATTGCATAAACGCAAGTTCATCGGGAGTTAGCTGCAGAATGATTAGATCAGACGCCACACGTCTGGCGAGTAATTCACCTCATCAGTTTCTTCCTGGTTCTTCTTGTGCAGGCGCTCGGCGAAAGAAAGTTTGCCTTCAGGATGGTTACCCGGCTTCGGCCGGTCACCGACCAGGAGTTTCTCTTCTACTGTCTCGTCCAAGTCGCTCGCATCCGAAAATGCTGCGACGTAGAGCTTTAGCATGACACGCAACCATCCGGGCTAGAGCGGACAGTCAGCTAGCGGTCCAAGACTGACGGTGCTTGGCACGCTTACCCCAGGTCGTCGTCCAAAGAGAATAGTTCGTTCTTCGACAGATTTCCGGCATCTCGGATGATACTCTGGGAAAACGGTGAAGTCACGATTGTCGTGAGAGAAGGGAGTGGTGAATACTGTAAATGCGCGAGCATGAGCTATGCCACCGCTTTCGTTCGGTGAACTCACGGCGATCGAAATTGAGCTTAAGCTCGATTAGTTCCATATCAACGAGATCATTGGTAATCGGCTCATGCGTAACGCGCATGCGGACATGCTCGATCTTCATCAAGTCGCGTTGAAGTGAGTTCTCCAGCCTCTCCTCGAACTCGATGAAGTCCGGGACCTGCACAAAAGCACATCTATGGAGGAACGTCAACCGAAATAGATACCGACTCACCATGCTATACTTCTCCGCTGTGAATGCCCGCACGATGAACTCGGAAGTCTGACAGGGTCATCATGAGCTTCCCTAATATCCTACAAATAGATGAGCTCTCACCTCCTGCGAATTGCTGACATAAATCTGGTTCGCCTCTAGGCACTCGGAGGATAGTGTGAGGTCGCCTATGGAGGTCAACGAGAAGATGGATGCTCGGGTGAGGACAAGATGCGACAGAGTGTCGTTCTGCATCTGCTTAATGTTGAGAGCACGATAGTGCTCCAGAGCAAGCTGGGGAGCACCTAGCGAGGAGGACGTCAATATAGCGACGAGAGGTGCCGAGGACCGTAAACTTACCGAGCAAGCGGTAGATCCTAATCAACAATAATCTGATCAGGTACGACTGCTTGCTTTTTGAGGACGCAAACTCCAAGAACGAGGCAGCATTCTGCAGGTGAACATCATCCTGAGTGGTCGCCCATAGCCCGATGTATGCATCACCCGCGAGTACTGCAAGATCGTCCGCTGGTTGCAGCTCGGTATCAGGCAGATCTTTCCCGAGGCGAAGACCAATCGAATAGTATTGAATATATTGCGCTGCACGAGCAATTTCCTGCTCCGTCGACAACTCCGCCTCCGTCAGGTTGTGCCGTATGAACTTGAAGATGTTGATCGTTCTAACAAGATCTTTGGTCGTCTCCTGTGCTCACAAGTTCAGACCGTGCCGACGGAGAGAGCAGGGGACTCACGGACGAAAGTTGCTTGGACTGCAGGAAAGACGACCAGCGACTCAGACGATCACCTTCTAGCCCAAGATATGGTCGCAAATCCTCGAAACAGCAGGCTTTGTCGCCGTAGACGTCGAAATACTTCTCCATGGCTGCAACGACATCCTCGGGGTCTTGGCAGAAACATTAGAATACGAATAGAGACATTGCTCGATGGATTCCACAAACCTGTAGACAATCCGTGTGATGAAGTCCTGTTTGCGAGGTCCACAAGGGCAAGACTCGCCGACCGATCCTTAAGCCCATCTTCTGCAGCGATGTGGGCCAAGAATTCTCGCGTTTCGGCGACGTGTCTTGCACATTTCTCCCTCGCGTCTGCATCTGCGGCGGATCGCAAATACGAAAACGTCGCATCAAGTATGGACAGGAATTCCAACCAGTTCCTGTCGCTGCACAGCTATGAGCGGTCCGCAATTCAGGATATATGGTTTTGACTGTACTGCTGGTCCGCTATCCGCTGTTTCGCGAGCTCGCCCTCTTCAATCCACGAGCCACGCTCTTGCGCGATTTCGCGCCGCAATGCATCGCAATGCAAGCTGGTGTTGCAGATGTTCTTGCCCAGCTCTGTATCTAACATTGATTGCGCTTCATCCCACGCCTTCAACTCCCGAAGCACTGTCAGATGAAGGTAAAAACGGTCTGCCAGCAAACATGAAAGGGCTGTATTAGGCGCCAGGACGCGACGCGCGAGCTCGTACAGTAGCCCTCGCATAGTCTCCGGCGTCGCGGAATCCTTCGCCTAAACACATCTAAGCCTAACTCACTAGAAATCAAGGGGTATGAACGAACCTGCAAGACCGCGCAAATGGCGTTCCAGTATAAATACCGGTCTTCCTGAAAGTTCTTGTGCATCTTCATGGCGATCTATGATACGCGTATGCGCAGTCGCAGTTAGTGTACTGTATGTATGCTGGACTTTGGCACTCAGTCACCTGCTGGCATGCTTTCCAATTTCCGGTCCGCGCATTGGCGAAGAACGTCTGGGCAGCTAGTTCTTCGTTCCCGGGCTGAGTTTTGTACGCCTCCTCAAACATCTTGATGGTATCGGAGTCTAGATGTAAAGATACAACGATTATGGTACATGCATTCGCGCGACGAACAGACATACTTCTTCCCAAACCCTTCAGGACATGGGTCATGGCACTCAAAGTCCCATCATCCATGGGTTTGGTGGCCAGTACTTCGTCACAGAGGGCCAGAGCTTCCTCTACCTTCTGAGAGCGTACCAACGCTAATGCCTTCAGGGCCTACGGGGGAGTTCAATACCGTGCCAAGGTACGGAGTACCGCGAGCACGTACTTTTATCTGCCCGCTCGTCGGGTGCTTCTTGAGAACTTTGTTGCACGCCAAGATTGCTGTCTTATTGGAGCCGGTGTCCAAAGCATCTACAGCCTGTGTTCATTGCACGCCTCATATGAGATGTAACCCGCGCAGACCGTAGATGGGGCGCAATTGGCGTTCAAAAGCAGCGGCCGACATTGTGACAGATCCAACCACTCAAGAAAATGATAACCCGAGCAGGAGGCAGGCAGTGACGAACTAACAAGGGTCGTAGGAGTCAAGTACGCGTGAGCTGTCTTCCGCACACGCCGCGGCCAGAAGTAACTTTTTGACGCCTCACGTGGCCGAACCCGACCTCTACCGACTACGGTGACCGCGAGGAGGACCGTCGGACTGCCTCGGTGATTACTCTGGGGCCTTTACGTCGTCTATCCCCCCGCCATCTCACATGGCACCCGTTCTGCTATCGCGGTTAGCAAGGCATGAGTTCCTCTCAGTTCATGATTGCTCACGCGTGCGTAGCGGTCTGGATCCTCTCCTGGGGGTCTTCACCGGCGTTCTGGCGTACTATCTATACGAGACGAACCCGCGGACTGCGCTCCCTGAAGAACAACGCCTCACGTCCCTGGTGCGATGGAAGTACTCTCAATGGAGATACATGCGTGAAGCCAAGCTGAAGGAACTGGAAAACAGTCAGGAGGCTGTGGATTGGCGCGTCCTGGTGGCGCACGATGAACGATCCAAATAATTCGATAAGCTGCTGGCTTCACGCGTCCCGTCCTCCCATTCGCGGAAACTATCCCGTTGTCTTACACATTTCTCCCCCGCACTTCAAAGCTATACTTCGTTCACGGTGCATCACGTGATATGAGTTATCCTTGACAGAGACACGCTGATGCGCCCGTATGCCGTTATGGTATTCCAGGGCTGCTATCGCTCCATTCACGATTGTTGCTGCACTGTGTCATGGCGAATCGGTCCATCGATGACGATGCACTCGATGGAGGCCAAGACGAACGTCGCGGAGCGCTGATGCGTAAACCTGTGTGTGCCTTCGACATCAATGAAATATTGAGTTGTCGTTGATCGATCACAGAACTTCAACGAGTGGAGAGGAGTTCGACCTGTGACAATATACCAGCTCAAGCGGGCTGAAAAACGCTCTGAAGACGCCAAATTCACCATCGAAAACCATGAGATCCATCATGTATGCGTTGTAGCGCACGTGGTGAGCATCGACACCGAAACGGGTGAAAACGTCTACATGCTTGAAGACGGGACTGGACGAATCAAAGGCCGTCAATATGAAGAAGATATCGAAGGAACAGTCGATGACCCCGATGGCTTGTGCGGCGTAGCGTTGGTTACAGCCTTGTATAACCCTGCATCCCTCTGATGTTCTCCCATACCAGGAGAGGAACATTTGCCAGGGTCATAGGCATACTCAAGCTTTGGAAGATTTTCAAGACGCTCCAGGTACTCCACGTTCGGCCAGCGTTCCCCGCAGAACTCGAATATCATTGCTTCAATGTCATCGCCTGCACATTGATGCTTGAACGCGGTCTTCCGGTCAATCCAATGTCACCACAAGCATTAACATGCACTCACGCTTGAAGTATAGCCGGCGGAGCAGCTTCCTCGACAGTATTTCGTCGGTACGGAGTCCTCAAACACAACGTCATCCACCAACAGAGAGAACTCGTCTTACATAGCCGCGGATTTCGACGATGCTAGCACCGAAGTCGACGCGGAATTGTCTTCCCTTTCCCTTCAGGATAATCTCCCTGATCCTGGCTCTATATCATGTGTCTTAAACGGCGATCGATTTCGTAGCGAACATCGCCACCCGCAGGACCCTATGCCACTCACATCTTCTCTTCGAAATGAGGACACTTGGGCCTCGTTCAGCGCTACCGTACCATCAGGTTCGGTAGTGCTCGACGGCGATCCTTACGGGCGTATGCCGTTCATATTCCGAAAGGTGTTGTTGGCCATATATGAAGCGGCAGACCCCAGTAGAGAACCGGGTTGGACAGATATTCCTCATGTCGCCCGGCTAGTCAATGTCACCTCCAACCCCGGACAACCTGCATGGGAGAATTTTTTGTGCGTTTCCGGTGTTTCGCGTGGTGGCCCATGCTCATTGGCTATCGTAGGGCTTGCCTTCGCAAGCTCAAGAAGAAACGATTTATCGATATGAAGGATGACATGTCGCAATGCAGGATTCCGCAAAGCATGTATGAAGACCTGCTTCGGGATGAAATGTAATAGCGCGCAATGGCGGCGCGCTCCCCGTAACGGTTGGCAGATCCATCGATCCGCACTAAACTCCATTTCACCCTAATCCAACTCTCCCCAGTGTTGATACAACCCAGGCTGGCGACGTCGAGGCTGTGTTCGTGGCTAAGGACGGAACCAGTGGTCTCTTTGCTTGGTTGGGGATTCGAGAAGCGATTACGTATTATTGCTCTGCCAGTGCGATATAAGGATCAGCTCTAGATCTGGCACTTCTGTCGTCGGAGTGTCATGTATCAGTATGCTCAAGGCCAGACTCGAGAGCCAACTTATCATGCCGGAGGTGATTGAGCAATGAATCTGATTCAGAGCTGCGTGAGACGATGCGCATGTGAGCCGGCAGCACGTGGACTGACGCGCCTGCTTTAGCGACTCTCGCCAGTGAGCTCGAGGCCAAGTGCAGCCCGGAGTTGTTCGACGCGCCTTACTTCCATCTCTAACACCTCTGGGGCGTAACATGTCCTCCTGGTTCACGTCATGGATCCCCCAGATGCCATCTATATCTCTGCCTGCCAGCATTCAGTCGCGCTTCGTCTCCTTCGCCCTGAAGCGGACACTGGGACACTTAGTGAAGCCGGGCCAATTAGATGCGCAGCAGATAGACTCTCAACTCGGTTCGGGCTTCATTCAGATTTCAAACTTGGAACTAGATCATGATGTTTGTGTGCAGTTCGATACAACGTGGGTTGCCTGGCTGATTGTGCTTAGGCCATAAACTCAATGATCGCCGGTGTACCCCTGCGATTACACGAGGGCTCCATATCATCCATTACGGCACGATTATCAACATTGAACCCATTGTCGGCCAATATGCATGCCAGCGTCAAAGCTATCCACCTCACATTCCATCTGCTGCCAACGTCGGCCGGCCCCTCGAACATGCCTACGAACCTGGCGGACTCCATGACCTCCGTCGCACAAAGCTTCCTTCACGAAGAGTTGACACCTAACGAGGAGGCTACCCTCGCGAGCTCTATACTTGCCAGCGGTCCGGGCTCTTCACAAAGGCACATTCCCGGTGGCATGGAGCCTCTACCACCTGACGATCAGACCCACGAGGCTTTGGACGCCGAGAGTGTACCGATGTTATCAAACCTCATCGAATCGTTGCTTTCCCGTTTCCAGTTCGAAGCTGTCGAAACGAAGCTTATTATTGTGCACCCTGAACACGCGCGATTTGTGATTGACATACCAGACATTCGGTACCATACCGAATTCCGCGATTCATCGTCGTCGGCGGGGAGCGAAGGAGCCACAGGAGATGCTCGGACCATCACCGTGACCGGTCTTACCGTCAGGACTCGGTCCCTCCGTCCGTTATCATCACCCGTGGCACCATCCCTTGGCACTCTTTCCCCGGCATCACCTCGATCTCCGCTCTCGCAACGCTATTCAGAGCCGGTGACGCGCAGCCCGAGCTCCCAATACGCCTCCGATTCTTCGGATATAGATGACGATGCTGCCATGGCAATGTCACAATCCATTGTCGGGTTACCTCCTCGACCACCTTCCCCTTCAATTTCCGCAAGCAGTATGTATCTGAGCGCTATCGCGGAGTCTGCTACGGAGGAATGCCCGGAAGTCTCCAGCCCATCCAGTGACAGCCCTGTGGTTGATCTATCCCTTGAAGACCGCAGAGCGGAAGCCGCCTCGATGAGAGGTTCGGCAGATGATCCACAACCTCGGAGCCCAGAGGCTGTGCATGAATCTTCAAACGACGAACCGATCCTCTCGTTTGCCCTGGAACCTATAGTCATGCAACTGACCCGTCTATTCGCAATCACCCCCGCTCAACAGACCACTGTGCCACTGAGGGAACACCCATCTCCTGCTAGTATTCGCCCTCTTCGTGGAGTCTCGGAAGGCACTGCAAACCCGAGCACGTCGGACCGGTTGTCAGGAGCCAAGCTCCGCTTATCCCTCGGGATGGGGGTCATTACAAGTGCTCTGCGAGCAAGGCATGTAAGTGATATCATGAATGCTCTTGAATTGGTCTCGTCGCAAACGAAAGCGACAACTGAGACGGGGGCATCCAATGCTCCTGGAGCATCGACCGTACCAAGTGGATTGGACGCATCACTCCGTATTCGTGGCGTCGTTCTACTTTTCTTGCCCCCTCCGCAAGATCCGGGCTCCGAAGACGTCGACAGTATCGAAGGGTTTTTCAGTAAACCTCTACTCCCCCCGCGTTGCCGCCAAGGTTACGTGCGCGCGCATGTTGACACTGTCTCAGCTACACTCAGTACCACTACACCCCTACCACGGCGCAAGGGATATACGGACAAGCTTGCAGGCGGCTTCAAATCTACGATGACTGTGAAGGATATGTCCGTCTTTGCCTTCTGGAACGAAACGTCTGGTGGCTCAGATGGACCATACGCGTCCCCCGTCTTCATCTCTGACCCCCATTTACCTCACCAACTTACATCCGAGCATCAATTTCCTGATCGACCCCAGTATTCTTCCCGTTTCACCGATCTACCCTTTGCTAAGCGCCCGTACCCCGTTCATCCCGGGTTACCGTCCTTCGCCATTTCGGACTGGACATCAATGCGTACACGGTCCATCAGGCTGTCGCAATGGAGAATGAAGCCACCACAACCATCCCAGAAACTCCGGACCGGGATATCAGGGATGGCAAACTCAACCCGAAACATATCTTTGTCGCCCGCGGACAACATAGGTTCTCCGGATGACTCGAGTGATGTCGATCACCCACCCATTATCACGATGAAAGTGGTTCCAAGTGCACAGGATGAGAACGAACACAGCGAGATTCGAGCAGACCTCAAATTTGCGTCGGTGCATGCCTTCATTGACATGGATCTCATCCTGGGTTCCAAGAGCGGACTTCTTTCTTTCATAGACGAAATCCAGGACGCTCGCGAGATTATAAGTTCTGCGAAATATTCCCGGGACAACATCGACGAGGACAACGAGGGCGATGAGGATATCGAAGCTACAGATATTAATCTGATGGAGAACGCCCCCGTGACCCCTAGGCTGCGTCCTGTGGGGATGCCGACTCAGGAATGGGAGAGGCAAGAGGAGCGCAGGAGACTGGAACAACTGGTCATCGACGATCTCGATCTTGCCTACGATTACAGGCAACCAACGCGGGCGTCAACATCATCTACCCCCCCAGGTGGAGCGAAGGGTCCTCATAACGTGAGTAATTGACCGGGCATCGATTCGGTCGAATACACCTCACCTCTGGATGAACAGATGAGCAGACCTATCGCAGGCAAGTCCTCGATCTGCGTTTCTCTGTCCTTGCCGGCTATCCGAGTTGAAACACGATGCCCACCACCTCTCGGACGCCCCTCCCGGTCTGGCGTTCTTTTGCTGGACTTGCAGAACTTGCGAGTCCAAGTGGGTGGCTTTCCAGACAATCCACGTCGCCGATCAGTGGCTAGGTTTGCAGAAACATTGGAGAGTGCCGATCGCTCCGCCGCTTTGGAGCAGGATCTCGGAGAACGACAGGCGACTATTCAGGTGCAACGCGTGGTTATAAGTGCGGGGGGCTGGGGAGAGCGAACGGCGACTTCTGTGTTGTCCGTAGGGTGTCGTCCGAGTGCTAGCCCTGCGCAAGGAGGAGGGACGCCGACAGCAAAAACTGATGCTCTTGGAGAGTTGGGACACCAGGGGCTTCAGTGTATTATAGGTCAACCTCGGCCGTCATCATCGAGCCTCGCTGGCCAAGGCGCATATGTGGTTGCCATTGACTTGCCCTCGGCTTATGCATCTCTGGATAAGTGCGCGATAGATGGGCTGCAAATATGGGCAGATGACTTTGCGCAACTTGTAACTCGCGCATTTGTCCCGCGTGGGGTTTCAGAACCGACCAGGAGTCAGGACACCAGTCTCATAGGCAGCCGATTCTTTGCGCGGACCAGGAATCAGGGAAGCCGGAGCGCTAGTACAACCACAAGCCTTGACACAGAAGTACCCTCGAAGTCGCGCAATGAGATCATCGTGAAAGTGAACCTCACAGAAGGTACAGGTGATTGTTCGTGTTCGACCTATACTTATGCTGATACAATCTATGACAGCCGCTCTTCGCCTCCTTGTTCACCGCGACGACCGCCACCTCGATCCTCGACCATTTGATATCTTTGCATGGGATATTGACGCGCTGGTCGAGATCCAGTCTGAGGGTAATGTGAGTTGCAGGTACGAACACAGACGGCAAGCGAATTGACTAAGTTGCAGGATCGAACAGTCGTGACCGTTGGTGCTGAAGAGATGGGCATCTACGACTGCCCCACCGACAGTTCGATCGTGAACCTCCTCAGTATCGTGCCTCATGACACATTGGTCAGAATTCCTGCGAATCGATCTGGATCGGAACCTAACGCTTGCCCCAGAGTGGCACGACGAAACCTTTCTTGAAGCTTCGATTCTCATCTTTCACGGTCCCAAACACAACTGCCAAGGAATCCACGCTCAAGGTCACATTGTTCGGACCCCTACTCAACGTCTTCCCGGATTTCCACTGGGCTGAAGACTTAGGGAAATTCTTCAAAGCACCTCCTGGAGTTAGCAAAACCGTGCTAGCTTGGTTCACTTCGCTGACAAGCCCCCGTTAGACCTTCGAATCCGTAGTTCCAAGCGAGAAAACAAGGATTTCGGTCAAGACATGCAATACTCACGTTAGAGCTTTCGCGCGTACGAAACCCAGTTCCATGGTCTTCCATGTCGGCGAAGTGGACCTGCTGACCGACATCATCGGCGACTCACCTGAGACTTCGTTCAAGATCACCCTTCCAAACCTCACTGTCCTCCTTGTTGACGACCATGACTCCGGTACTGAGACCGCTCAGGCACCCTCCGCCGTGAATGTGGGTCTGGCTGCATGGAAGGTGATGTGGATAACAGCAGAATCCAAACCTGGTTGTATTTACCACTGTCATAGGCCATAGGCTACGCCACCCTTGCCGAGCTGAAAGACATTGATTTTCAATTTAGTCAAGAGAGAAGATCCGCATCTTCTAATATACAGGTACTTCTCCGCTTACCCGGGTTTGCGGGTTTTGACCTCAAGCACGCTGCAGGTTTGGTTGGAGAACATGAACCTACGGATGTACCTTTGCGCGGACACCGCTACTGCACTTAGCTCATTCATAGGGGATCTCTCTCCATCTGACGAATTTGCCGAAAAGTGCGATCCTCGAATCTGTGCTGACGGGCTTCTGACCTTTACTTCCAGATTACCACGCCCCAAAACCAGGGAAGCGCCTGCTATACTTTCCGAGAATGCTCAAGCCAACGCCAGCTTAATCGGTGGGTCCATTCGGTATCTGCATGGAGCTTGTGAAGTTGATTTGGATGAAACGCAGTTGATTTCGACGAAGATGCGTTCAAGAGACGGGTCCCGGATGCATGGTCCGCTCCAGATATGATCGAGGACGACCTCCCACGTAACCAAGACTATCTTGATGACTCCTTCAGCGCAACCGCAGGCTTGAAAGACTGGAGTGACGATGAACTCGGCGCCTCTGATACCGATCGTTCGACTACTCAACACGGCCTGGTTGCAGATGTTGGTGGCGAAACGATAAGATTAATTGGTGGGACAGGGATGCACATTATCGAGCACTATTTCGATTGCCTGCCATCGGAATCGGCGCGGGTTGGACCGTGAATACAAATTTCTCCATTATACGATTGCATCACTAATATTCTGATCAGGGCTGACGAGACATTGCTGAGAGTGCGAGTTAAAGGCTGCAGCGCTGTTGTTTTCCTTCACGATGGATACGATTGGGCTAGAACACGCAAAACAATCGAGGAGGAAATCAAAGCCATGAAACGTAGGCTGGCCAAGATTCGCCAGCTCCTGGCTTCAGGTCAAACATACGACCCTAATATGGAGGGCGTCAGCACTTTGCTATTCAACTCAGTATATGTTGGCTTGGAGCAGGACGCCGAGGAGTTGGAACCTGGAGCACTCATCGCTGCCATCGACGAGAAGTTGAACGACGACTTCGATACGGCAAGCCAAGACTCGTGGCAGTCATTGAAGCCGCATATCCCTACGAAGCCCGGGACGTCCGACCTCAAACCTCATTCACGAAGGCTTAAACGTTCGAAGGGCCCTAGCATCGAGTTTCGCTTACTTGGCGTCGACGCAGAGTTCGATCGCTACCTACCCGACAGGGAACAGGTTTCTCGTACCTTGGTCACCATTCGAGACGCGGAAATCTTGGATCATATCAAGTCTTCGACATGGAGGAAGTTCTTGACCGAATTGCATACGGATGCTCGGGGCAATGTGCGGGAAACGGGCTCGAACATGGTCCGGGTGGAGCTGCGCACAGTTCATCCCACCAGCGGGCACCATGCACAGGAAGCCAGGTTACGGGTAGGTTTCCTTCCTTCAGTATTTTCATTCCCCAAGATTGACATGCGGTATAGGCGAAAGTACTTCCACTTCGACTTCACGTGGACCAAGACGCGCTTGACTTCTTGAAGACCTTCTTCAGCTTCAAAGATCCATACGCTAGCCCGGGGACCGATGAACCAGGGGAAGAGACATTTTTCCGTTAGTATCCTACATGCTTACATGTGTCGTTGACTATTCGCCTGACTGATGGCCCAGAACACGTTGAGGTATTTCCGGTGGATATCAAGCTAGATTACAAACCTCGCAGAGTGGACTACAGGGCGCTTCGAGAGGGGAGGACGATCGAGTTGATGAATTTCTTCCACTTCGACGGTGCGGAGATGACTCTTCGGCACATTACTTTATCGGGAGTAAGTTCGTTACATATTGAGTATCCATCAAAGACCTGAACGTTGCACAGGTCAGCGGATGGGCCCGACTGGGCGACTTGTTGAACGATCTCTGGACACCGGATGTCAAGGCCACGCAACTCGTGGATGTGATCTCCGGCGTCGCGCCCATCCGCTCCGTCGTGAACGTTGGCTCCGGCGTTGCGGACCTCGTTCTTCTGCCTATAGCGCAGTACAGAAAAGATGGTAGGATTCTTCGAGGCATGCAAAAGGGCACGACTGCGTTCATGAAATCTGCTGGGATGGAGGCTCTCAGGCTTGGTGCGCGACTGGCAACGGGGACGCAAGTCATCCTTGAACAGGCGGAGACTGTACTTGGAGGAGGCAGTAATACTGTTACTGCCGAGACGTTGCACGTAGCTCCAGTGTCCGGCAACGACTTTATGGAGATCGGGCAGGACCCAAGCGTCGATATCGACGAGAGTCAGGAGTTGATCAGTAGATATGCCGAGCAACCTATGGACGTCAAGGAAGGCATTCAGTCCGCATACAGGAGCCTGAAGAGAAACGTTAACTCCGCTGCCCAAACCATCCTTGCAGTTCCCATGGAAGTCTACGAACGCTCGGGAAGCGAGGTAGGTCACCGATGCGTAATCGAGATCTCGATGTTGACGCCTCTTCCTAGGGCCCAGTACGATCCGTGGTTCGTGCGGTGCCTATCGCCGTATTGAAACCTATGATTGGGGCGAGCGAAGCTGTCAGCAAGACATTGTTGGGTTTGCACAACACCTTCGACCCTAATGTCAAGCAAGAAAACCAGGCGAAGTACAAACAGCGATGAAGACCTTGGTTATGAACCTGTGCGTGACTCGAACACATGCATATGCGGATAATGTAGGGATACACCTCAACACCTGTATTGATAAATAGCTGTACAATATTTCGCAGAAATCATATCAGAAGTGGGACTGTAAAAGCAGAAGTGATACACCGGTGGATGGTTCCATAACACAAGCACATGAGACTCAATCCATATCCATGCCCATGGATCGTCCATCCCCGGGAACCAACGCAGACCTCGACTTCGTCTGCACCCGAATTTTCTCGACCACCATGCTTGTCTCCTCCGTCTCCATGGCGGTAGGTTCGAGCAGTGAGACATCCGCTGCACGCTTGTTCGCTGTTTTCCGGCGGTGGGTCTTGAGCTTCTCCCGTGCTGCGGCCATCCTACCACGATCACGCCGTCAGCAACAGAATGCATCACTACAGCATACTACGCACCTGTGTTTCCAGAAAGCATGTTCTCTCCTCTGCTTTATTTCCGCCACACGCTTCATCGCCTTGATGGTGGTCTGCACAAGCTCCCGATCGTAGCGTACCGGGATGTTACGGCGCTTCTCGAATTCAATCGTAGAGTCCTGGGTCAACCGTGATAAGTAGCTGGATGTATATCTACGATGAAGTAACTCACGATAGTCATCTCCTTGCCAGCTGCCTTCCTGAATGCTTTCGTCCATCGCACTTTGCGAGGGTTGCGCTTCATTCTGTAACGGAGCTGAGTCATTGCGAAACATAGATCATCGCACGATGCTTACTTGAAGTTCTTGTGGCACCTGTTGTGACTCGTTGGATACTTCTTCAGAATGTTACAAAAGTTTTGCTTACTTGGATGTGCAGAAACGAAACACTTTCGCATCGTTCCTGACAAATGCACTACCTGTGTCCTATTCAACAGGATGCATTGAGCATATCAAAAGCGGCTGACCATGACCAGGATATACGCTCTTGGAGCAGAAGTAGCACTTTTCGATACGCATGGCTTGAAGTGGTTCAGCGAGGAAAAGTGGAGGGCGTGCGAAACCGTGATCCCCCTTACACAGTCAAGCGAGGCACTGCTCGCTGCGTTCCGCACGACCATAACCCGTACGTCAACTTCAAAGGACGTTATGAGCGCAGGTCAGTGACTATGTCCAAGGACCACTTGAAATTGGACATCATCATATTTACCGACAGGGGGCGAAGAAGAACGGCTACGCTTCATTCGTCTCGCCTTGAAAGAAGCCCGGAAATGCACACCGACGAAGACCGCCTTTTGCGTTGGATGCATCATCACAATTCGCTACCCTCCAGAAGCTGATGCTTCTACCATACTATCGACGGGCTACTCTAGGGAGCTACCAGGAAATACACACGCTGAGGCGAATGCGTTAGCGAAAGCGCGTGCAATGACGTCCGACGCAATCCAGTCCTTGTTTCCGACGCATCCGTCCCTAACTGTGGACGAACTTCTGGCCGGCGCTGACGTGTATACCACGCTGGAACCATGCTCTGTCCGGACGTCAGGTCTGGCTCCCTGTGCTGACGCTCTTATCGCGGCGAACATTCGACGCTGCATCATTGGGGTTGGCGAGCCAGAGGATTTCGTCGTTTGTGAGGGCGCGAGGAAGCTCAGAGACGCTGGTATCGAGGTTGTCTGGCTGAAAGGCCTGGAAGAAGAGTGCTTGAAGGAGGCTCGACGAGGACACTGAGGCACTGCCCCCATGCGCAACATTATTGGCACGTGATCAATTACGTAAATAGGCTGTAACAGAGCTTGGCAATGGAACTGAAGTGGCACTGGCCCGTCGAGAGTCAGTGGGTGCGACTAGTTCTCCATCCACCATGTCTTCTCCTCCTCATGATCCGGTTCGACTTGACGAAGACGACCCCATGAAGGGCTCCGCCGAAGAAGAGGAAGGCGAAGGAGACGCGACTATGAACGACGGAGCTGCGATTAGTGACGACAGCTCAGAAGAGCCGGAGGAGGATGAGGAAGAGGAGAAGAAAATCAGAGAGGGCTTCATTGTAGACGAAGACGAGGAAGAAGACGATGACGATGACGAAGAGGAGCGCCGTAGGAGGAAGAGGCGCAAACGGAAGCATCGGAGGCACAGAGGTTCGCATTCAATCCGAGCGACTGGTTCTAAGCTAATATCTTGCTTCAGAGGAGGAAGAAGACCTAGATGATGAAGATTTGGAACTGCTAGACGAAAACACTGGTGGCAATCTCTCAAAAAAGCGCCTCACACGCCTGCGCCGTGGAGGAGACTCCGATTCTTCACCACCCCGCAGGCGGAAACCTCTTGTCGAATCTTCAGATGACGATTTAGACAATGATGACCTCGAACTTCCCCAAGTTCAAGACATCCAGAGAATCTGGGATGACGGCGGGGGTCAAGACGACGACGAGGATCTCAATGACATGGACGACTTTATCGAGTACGAGGACGAAGAGGGTCAAGGTGCTATGGACGAACGTGAGAGAGAGGCCCTACGCAAGGAACGCCGTCGAGAGCGACGCAAGGCAATGCTTGGTTCCAGGGAGCTCGTCGGCATTGACGCGAAGTGAGTAAAGGCGATATCTGTGCAATTTCTTACGCTTACCATCTGTCAGTGCTTGGGACGAGATTCACGAAGTGTTCGGCGATGGGCATGAATACGACTGGGCATTAGTAGAGGACGAGGAAGTCGAATACGATGCTGAGACCCTGAAACCCGATATGAAGTACCAGGACGTGCGTGTATGCATTCGTCCACGGTTACTCCCACTAATATACTTCCCCAGGTTTTTGAGCCCTCCGAAATTCGCGATCGTCTGTTGACAGAAGACGACGATCTCATTCGAGCGCAAGATATCCCTGAGCGCATGCAACTGGCGTCTTCATCATTATCTCAGTCTTCCACGCTATCCTTGAATAGAAGATTGCCCGCCAACGACCTCGACGAGGCCGCTGAGTGGGTCGTGAAGCACCTCTCGGCGTTGAAAGAACGCGATTTCTTCCGACCCGACGGACGTCATCACCACCTGCTCTCAGACTTGATCCAAGCTGTTACGCAAACTTTGAAGTTCCTCTTCATGGACCTCCACGAGGTACCCTACATCTGGACGCACCGCCGAGACTACATCTCCTACTTCAATCCGCGCGATATGAGGACTCGCGTATCCTTGCTATCTCTCGACGAACTCTGGCGCGTGCAAAGCCTTGGCCAGAAATACTGTTCGTTGCTCGAGCGCCGTGCCGCTATGGAGTCCTTATATCACAGGCTGGAGGCTTCTGATGAATATTTCGAGAAGGAAATCCGACCACGGATCAATAGCGTGGAAGTTGTAATGGACACGACGGAATGGTTAAGCATGAAGTATAAGGAGAAGAAGAAGGACAACTTTGAGCTCACATTCCATGATGACGACGAGAAAGCCGATGCCCCGAAACGGAAGCTTCCCAGTCGGCTCTCCAATTACGAGGTTCTTAAGCGAAGCATCGTGTCGAAGCTGGCGGAGGTACGCACATGTTTTCAGCACAGGCGATGTATTCGTTTACCTGAGGTTCCATAGGGCTTTGGACTGATGCCACATGAGGTTGTCCTGAACTTCTTGAAACCGCACGACCGGCCCCATCTCGTTGAGGATCAGGAGCTCAACCCTACCGCCTTCGCCGAGCAATTCGCGGATCCAGACCCCTCGAAGGCTCTTCCCGCTGAGAAATTGCTAGAACGAGCGCGGATGATCCTTGCTACGGAGCTTGGCAAGGACCCCCTCCTCAGAGAAGAGATCCGCCAAGTCTTCGTGACTTCAGCTCAAATATCCGTCCTGCCTACTGAACGGGGTATCAGCAAGATCGATGAACACCATCCTTACTTCGTGCGCTCTGCCATTTGTGCTTTGTTCAAATATATCTGTTAACAACCTGCCGCAGAACTTCAAATATCTGTACCAGAAGCCGGTAGGAGATATGTTACAGGATCCTCAGTTCCTGCACATACTCGCTGCTGAAACGGAGCACCTGGTCACGGTGTCGGTTTCACTGCCTGGCGATGTCAAGGCTGACTTTGAACGGAGGTTGCGTGAGGCCTTCGAGTCCAGCGGATACAGTGATTCTGCGACAGCCTGGAACGCAGAACGATTCCGGGTCGTACAAGATGTGGTCGACAAGCATCTTGTTCCGGCTGGGGTTAAGCACGTTCGCGAATGGTTGCGAGAGGAAATAGAGGATACCCTTGCTGCACATTGTGCGGATGTGCTTAGAGACGTAAGCTTTCCCACCGTCCAGCGAACGAGCATTCAAACATCATTGCCAGCGGTTGGACGTCGCGCCATACGTAACGCCAACGACGCAACATGACGAAACCCCCTCGGTTCTAGCTATCTCGTGGGGCAAGGGTGTTCCACATCGCGACGACATCACCGCGGTGTTTCTGGACGAAGCTGGCCGACTTCGTGAACATACGAGATTCGCTTCCTTGGACACGGAGAACCAATCTGAGTTCAAGGACCTGGTTGAACGCAGGAAGCCTGATGTTATTGTCATCGGCGGTTTCAGCATGGCGACGGCGAGGCTTTCGAAGACCGTCAAGGAGGTCTTGAGGCCAGATCTAGATCCAGATTCAACATGGAGTGCTCCTGCGGATAGAGGGCCACCCATACCCGTCATCTACGTATTTGACGAAGTCGCTCGCATCTATCAACACAGCAAGCGCGCGGAAGGGGAGTTCGGGTCCTTATCTTCCATTGCCAAGTACTGTGTGGGTCTCGCGCGTTATACGCAAAGTCCCCTCAACGAGTATGCGGCGTTGGGTCGAGACCTCACGGCGATTTCTCTTGACGAACAGATGCAATATCAACATCTGGTAAAAGGCTTGCAGTCTCGCAGATTAACTGCTACTGATTGTTATCTTAGATCCCTAAAGAGAAACTGCTCACTGCGCTGGAGCATGCTTTGGTTGATATCGTGAACAAAGTGGGGGTAGACATCAATCGAGCGGTCATCGACTCCTACTATCAACACTTATTGCCGTACGTCTGTGGTCTTGGACCACGTAAAGCGCAGGTCCTTGTCAAGAAGATTGCTGCTTTGGTAAGGAAGATGCGCGTTGCAGTGGCCGCATCATTGATGTATATTCCTAGGGCGGCAATGTTGTCAACCGCGAACAGTTCGTGAAAGCCGGTCTCTTGACAAGGAATGTATTCGTCAATGCTGTTGCCTTCCTTCGTATCACAGCCGACACGGACTCGAAACCCTCAAAGAACCGCCACAATGAGGACGCTGACGTTGCCGATCCTCTCGACAACACTCGCATCCATCCCGAAGATTATGATCTCGCTCGGAAGATGGCTATAGATGCTCTCGAGCTTGACGAAGAGGATATCGAGGGTGAACATGCATCTCACACAGTCTCGCTCATTATGCAAGATCCGGATAATGTGAGGAAGTTGGATGAGCTCAATCTCGACGACTTCGCCCTCAGCATGTTCGAGAACAACGAGGATCGTAAGCGATACACGCTGGATCTCGTCAAGGCAGAGTTGGTGAAGCCATTCGGCGAGAAGCGAGGCCCATTCCAGCTTCCAACTGCCTGGGATGTTTTGACTATGCTGAGTGGAGAAACTCGTCGGACCCTCCATATAGGCTTTATCGTCTCGGTCCTCGTCACCCGTATCAAGCCGACCTTCGTTTCCGTTCGCTTGGACTCCGGTGTCGAGGGCATGATCAACACCAACTACCTCGCCGACCAGCCGGGGGTGGTTCCAGACGACGTAGTGAAGAAGGGGCAGACGATCCCGGGTGTCGTCATTGACATCAAAATGGATCTCAACCACGACTCGTTCTTTGTCGAACTGTCGTCCCGACCAGCAGACGTTCAAGGTGGCGATAGCCAGTTCCGTCGCGTCAAGCATGACGACTGTTGGAATCACGACCAACACGCCCGAGACACCGAGATGCAAGCTCGGAAGAAGAGGGCGGAGATAGGGCGCACTCGCCGTATTATCAAGCATCCGAATTTCCACAACTTCAACGCCACTCAAGCGGAACTCCACCTCGAGAACCAACAAAGGGGAGACGTGGTCATTCGTCCTTCGTCAAAGGGTACGGACCACATCGCTGTTACGTGGAAGGTGGACGAGCATCTCTTCCAGCACATCGGTACGACCTTTCATACCATGCGCCAATTCCATCTCACATTGCTCTGCAGACGTCGTCGAGTTGAATGCCGAGCAGACCGGTGGAGCCGGTAGTCGCTTCGTTATCGAGAATGGCAAATATGAGTTTTCCGACCTTGATGAACTCATCGTGAACCACGTACAAGCTATGGCACGACGAGTGGAAGAATTGATGGCACACGAGAAGTTCAAGGCTGGGGCGGAGGAAGAACTCCGTTAGTCAACTGATAATTCCGCCAAGATCCCTCGACTGATTCGCTTCTGAGCAGACCTTTTCCTTCGCAATTTTGTCGCTGCCAATCCTTCCAAGAGTGCTTATGGCTTCACCCTTAACCGCAAGCGACCTGGTCACTTCAACCTCTGTTTCCTCGCTAACAAGATCTCGTCGGTGCAAACATGGGTGGGTTGAATATCGCCTATTATCGTTTTCAATTGTTCACATATATTCGCAGCCCGTTCGAGTGGCACCGGAAGCCTACTATCTATACGAGACTGCGGCTCCAGGTGTAGCAGAGTTATGTGATGCCTTCAAAGTCCGACACGCGCATGAGTCCCAAAATTTGGGAGGTGCAGGAACTGGAGGGAAAACGCCATATGCAGCGCGTACGCCAGGGCGGGTTCCTGGGCATGCGACGCCGGGGCACCGTTCCACTCGTCAAGTTGGAAGGACGCCGAATCCGTATTCAGGTGCGACCCCAGCAGCGCCGACCCCAGCATGGGGCACGAGCGCCCCTCCCTCTGCCCCTCCTGCCAATGGCTGGGGAGCTCCGCCTCCTCAAAGTGCCTTTGGCTACTCGACGCCCTCACATTTCGGTGGTGCTCCTCCTCCACCACCACCATCCACCGTTGGCCCCGCCATGAATCCCGAGAGAGCTCGTTTGATTGAGAGCGGTGGTGGTAATGCATGGGCACAGACTCCCTCTCGATGGTAACTCGCTAGTATTGTTGTTGATTGTAGCTCTACTGTACCTGGGTAATTCTAGTTTGCTATTGTTTTCTGTGCAAGCACGCGCGACGACCGTCAAGTGCCGCGTTAAAGATAAGACTCTGGATCTGATTCCTCATCAACGCGATGACGTCTTCCAGACTCTCAGTAGCAGCCGTCTCCACCTGGCTTGCCTTCGGCTCATCGCTACTTCTAGCGCTGTGGTCCGTTATGGCCAACGTCAACGAGATTGAGCTCAATGAACTGTCCTCACGTCGAGTTGTTGCTCCTGCATCGGTCACTGTCGAAGACCCGGTTGAGGAACGGGTCATAGCAGCGAGGGACAGTGCTATATCAGTCTGGGCATTGGCCGGTGCAGTCGCGTACGCGTCCTCTACGCGGTGTGAACTCGATCATGCTCACAAGTCCCTTTAGGTTCGCCTCAGCGGCCGCGACTCTCATCCTTTTTCCTCGGTTTCTACTGTTCGCTGCGGAAACGTCCGCGGATGTTCGGAATGTCCTTACACCTCTCGAAGCTTTCCTAGCTTTACACTCGGGGATTTTTCTACTAGCTCTGAGCTTAGCACTGATACTCAACGTATACTCTGCACATGGTCCACCTCCATCAGTTGACTGACGCCTTTTAGATCCCGTCTTCGTCACCGATCCTCCCGAGACAAGACCCGACAGAGCCGCAGCACCCTTTGCTTGTCCCCCTGACCGTCGGGTGCGCCTTGAGCTCATGGTGATTGGACCTCGTGTATTTTACGTGCATCAGCTAACGGTGGCTCAGGGCTTCATACTACGCGAAGGACGTCGGTCCTTTGGCCCTTGTCGTATGCATTACGACTTCTACATTGTGTCTATGGGGTCTGTGGGTGGTAAGTGCAGTAGCTCTTCTAGTGAATTACTACGATAACGCGTGCTGCTCAGATGGCCTTCGCTGGAACGTCGCGCTTCTCTCGCAAAACAGGGGCAGACAAACATACATCGCGTTTCCTCTTTGGCAACAAGGTGCGGACAAGTGATTTAAGCCGTTCTCCCTCATGCAGACTATTTCTCAGGCAGCTGCATCAACCCAGAAAAAAGAATGGAAGAGAGAACAACGGAAGCTGCACTAGTCCCGGGACGTCCCTTCCCTGTAAATTAGCATCCAATGTATAGTCCATGTAGTTCGTGTAATGCATATATTACAATGTAGTCATACACGCGATCATATGTGCGCCACATCGATACCATATTACGAACCCATGCCCATCATCTTCATCATTTCAGCCATGTTGCCCATATTCGGCATACCACCGAGTCCCCCTAGGCCGCCCAATCCGCCGCCCATTTGCGACATCATGCCTATGGTTATGCTCAATGATGAGGTCACTGTCATTTGACAAGACGTAGTAACGCACGCTGCATTTCCTCCATGTCAAACTGGTCGCCTCCCTGACCCTGCATCATAGCTTTCATCATCTCCGCCATTCCGCCACTCCGCATTTGCCGTTGCATTTGCTGCAGCATGCCAGGAGGCATGGAACGCTGTCCCCGAAGTCAGCGATCATGTGCACGTTGCAAGATATGCTCGGACGACCACGAACCTGCATGGCCTGTATTTGCGCCGGCGTAGGCATACCATTAGGCCCACGACCCTTTCCACCTGCCGCTTGCTGCATCTTCTGCATTGTCTGCAACCAGCCGTTCTTTCCTCCCGCCTGCTTCGCCATGTTTGCCATCATCCGGTACTGGCACAGCAGCTCTTCTACCTCGCGCACGCTCGTACCGCTGCCACGGGCGACTCGCGTGACCCGCCAGGTGATACCGACGGGCTTGCCGTCTTTGCCGAATTCCATGAAGGGCGAACCGTCCGAGTCAAGCTCGGAGGCGGTCATGGAGTCCGTGATGAAGATCATGCGTTTCATGCGGTTCGTACCTTCCTCGTCTCCGCCGGCGAGCATTTCTTGAGGGATGCCAGGGATCATGGAAGCAATTTTGCTTATGGGACCCCTGTATGCGAAGGTAAAGCTTTACAGCGGGGTACGTAAATGAGGTATATGCGTACATGTTCATGATGTTCGATATTTGCTCTCGCCAATCCCGGATGCTGAGCTTGCCTTCCTCGAGCTTCTTCGCAATTTCTTTCTGTTTGTCCGGATTTGCCTGAGCGAGATCTTGCATGTGCTCCATGAGTCCCTGCATATCGCCGAGACCGAGAAGCTTGGAGATGAATGGTTGTGGGGAGAACCTGTCCAGGTCTGCCAGATGTTCACCCACACCGAGGAAGATGATGGGCGTTTTAGTTGCGGCCACACTACGATGACGATAAGAATTAAAGCAGCTCGTATTAAGAGTGAATTGTGGGTGCGTACGCTGAGATAGCGCCTCCACCCTTAGCGTGACCGTCCATTTTCGTGACGATGATGGCACCGAAATCTGCGCTGTCCTTAAACGCACGAGCTTGGGCTTCCGCAGCCTGACCTATATGCGTTATTGAGTATGTTCAGACGTATTTAAGGAGAGATATCGAGCTTACCGATGCTCGCATCCAAGACTAGAATCGTCATATTGGGCTTGACGGCTTCACCGATCTGCACCATCTCTTGGAATAGCTCGCTCTCCTGTTTATGCCGACCGGACGTGTCCACGATGATGACCTCAAACCGCTCTTTCTTGAACTTGGTCACGCCCTGCGCGGCTATCGCAACGGGGTCCGTTTCGGTATACGAGCCGAAGTACGCGACCTTCGCTTTGGTGGCGGATTGTCGGGTCTGGTCGAAGGCGCCGGCACGGAAGGTGTCGGCACAGACGATGCAGGATTTGAAGCCGCGCTTTTGGTAGTGCACAGCGAGCTTGGTGCAGGTGGTGGTCTTTCCATTGCCCTGGACGGCGTATGAGCTGAGCGAAAGCATGAGGTCTTCGGGGGCCACGAACCTGAAGGCCGACGGCCATGATCACGTTGGACTGACCCTTCTTTGGTTTGTAGGGTTCTACCCCTGGGTCGACAAGATTCACCAGCTCATCGAAGACAGCCTACAGGTAGCGTGGTAAGCAGGGGGTAATGTTGGACGCAGCGAGCAAACGGACCTTCTGTAGCACTGTCCTCCGATTCTGGTCCTTAACCTTGTCTCCGCTCTCCAACGACGCTTTGACCTTGGCCCGAACCTTTGATCGCAACTGAGAGACAAGCTTGACGTTGACATCGGACTCCAATAGGGCAGCACATATATCCTTCAGTGTAGCATCAAGTACCTGTGGAACATGTTAGATTTGCTGTATAAATCAATCTTATCATATCCAAGTACTTTCTCGTCGACTACAGGCGCCCTGCTCAGGGACGAGAGGGCGGCATTGAGCTTTCTGCCTAGGTCGGCGAGAACCATCGTGGTGCACGGCAGTAAGCAATGCACAGCCACCTTCGGTGAGCGTCTAGTCCTCCGCGTTCACGTGAGGCGATCGCCTCTTGCCAGAACCATGTCTCACCGCGACTCGGACGACGAGGGAGATGTCCTAGAAGATGCCGAATACGACGGAAGCGATGACGGAGACAATATTATAGACGAAGACCTCCTTGATGCCGTGGAAGCTGCGACTTCGCAAGGGGCATCGGATCGCGATGTGTGTGTAGACAGCTAGTTAACCTGGGATCTAACTGTGGCTTATGTCTGCGCGCCTCTGCTGCAATTCGGAAAGGAAGACTTTGGAGATGATGATGAGGACGCGTCTGAAGATGAAGACGCTGAGACGCCCTCGGTGACAGCTACGGGGGACGAGACACCCGCTGCGACGCCCGCGTCTGAAGCAATGTTCGATACCTCACCTCGGATACCAAGTGAGCTCTCCCGCAGCGAGCGTCCGGAGAATTACTCAGTATTGGACTGTGTGCAGCAATGCCGGTGCTACCGATCATAAACCGAAAGCGTTCCATGTCACCTGCCGCCATTCGGAAGCAAAACATACTTAAAGCCGTGCAGCACCCGAGATCCTACACCGTCGAGGCGATCTGCGCTATACCACATCCAGTGCCCACGCATGCACTTGCTTCCTCCCTATGCATGACCCACCTCCTGACGGGATCGGACGACGGTTATATACGCGACTACGATATCTTCGCCGCGGTCAACGGCAAAAACTTCCTCACGGCTCAGCAGAGGCACCACTGCGGTGTGATTGAGGGCACTATGAAAGCGGGGCAGCTGCGGTGTTGGTGGGAAAACCCAGCGAAACCGCCCGGCTTCGGGGTGCCGGGGCAGAGAGAGTCCCATTTGGCGCCGGTATACAGTCTGCTCATGCATTCGGATGCCCTGTGGGCTCTTTCAGGAAGCGATGTGAGTTATTCCTATCCTCAAGATAGTCTCAAAAAGGACGGCTGACGATGCGCCTAGGAGGGTCATATCAACCTCTTTACGGTGCGACACGACCCAGGCAGGCTGTGTGAGGTCCTTGGAGGACATCGCGGTCACGTCTCCTCCATGTCTATGCAACATGACGAGAAGGGATTCTTCAGCGCCGGATGGGATGGCCTTGCATTCGTGAGTATCGAAGGACATATACGAATCGATGCTCATGGGAACATTCCTTAGCACTGGGATCTCAACACCGGACAAATTGTGCGCAGCTTTACGACCCACGGCTCCCAGCTCGCTGTGGTCGCGGTGCGACCCGAGTACACGCCCGTTGCTTACATTCCTCCCTCTACCTCTCTCGCTGCATCCAATCAACAATCCGCTGACATCAAACCTAATATTAACCAATCATCCAACAACCAAGCTACTAAAAGCAATGACATGCAGACTGGGTCAGATGCCGCATCCGATTACGATCCGCTCTTCGACGAACCGGACGCGGATGGCGAGATGGATATCGACCAGGCTGCCGGCTCTTTCCCTACACAACAGGCAGATTCTCTTGAGACATCGTTTCCTAGCCAATCCAATCTTGCCATGCCTAGCGCAGAGCTACCTGCTCCGAACTCGTGGCAGCAAACCACGCCCGCGAATCCTCCTGCGGCGCCGCGCTCGAACCTCCCCACCAAGAACATGCCTGCGATTTTAGACCCCGACACGTATGCAAGTTACTCTCCCGATCTGCTGATGACGGCAAGCATAGACGGGCAGGTGGTTCTCTGGGACAGGAGAGTGAATACCACAGGCCGCGGCGTCGGCCGGCTTTGGCTGAGCGAAAAGACTCCGCCATGGTGCATGTCCGTACGTCTTCCGTAACTCGACTCCCTTCCTCGGCAGATCTCGCCATGCGCAGATCTATCCTGACGACATGCCACATCCTCGGCGTGCGAGCGTCTTCCGTATGTGAACGCTGACGCAACTTTGGATAGGCATGCTGGTCCGCGGATGGCTCGCAGATCTACGCGGGACGTAGGAATGGCACCGTGGACGTGTGGGACTTACGGCAACTGGGTGTCTCCGGGCCTGCGGTGACGCCGCGACTGCTGAAAGTGCTGCGAAATCCGCTAAGCTCGGGCGTGGTTTCATGCGTGGTGGGATTTCCGGACAGCAAGCACATCGCATGGTGAGATCGCAGCGTAATCGCGTGCCCTTGATTATGGACACGGCGCTAACTATCCGTTCCACCGCAGCGCGTCCATGGATAATATCCGGTTGTGGAACGTAGCGGAAGCGAACGAACCCGATGCATCTGGCAGGATGCGCAGCGGCGTTCAGTTCAAGATCATCCCTGGACACCACGGCGGTTTCGTGTCCCAAATGCGTAAGTCCCCGAAGTCGCCACACCCTTCCCTCGGTTTATTGATCACGTCACGTCGCCGCCCCCCTTCTGACGTTCTCCTGCGCTTCACAGTCGTGGACCCGGCCGCGAGGTTCTTGGTGAGCGCGAGCAGCAACCGCGGATGGCATGGAGAGTCCAGTCGGACCGTGTTCGTCCACGAGATCAAGCATAACTCATGATGGGGTTTCCCAAGAGAGTGACGTGATGGGATGTATTCACGGCAGCCATGGTCTCGTACCTGGGAGGTTGGTTGATTCGGAGCTTGCGGATTTTATGTTTTGCCATTTGTAATGATTCCATCGACTGAGTTGTAAGGTTCGGGTTCCGGTCAGAACATCGAGAACCAGATCTCACAGAGTTGCGCCATCTCCGGAAGCAAAAGGGGAGAACACGCCTTCGCGTGCGCGCTCAGCTGGCCGTCTTTTTGTCTTGTGTGAACCTTATCCCGTCCAGCCAGCCCGCATCGCTCCGGGGAGTAGGTTATATCAGCTGGCCCACCGGGCGCGTCCACCGGGGGTTATGCCTTGCCCCGGACTTCCACGGCCGGCACAGCGCTAGCGAGTCTGCTCCCTTAGATGCCCGAGCGGCGTCGCTCAGACTCGCCGGAATGGACGGACGCGGACGCGTACGTCGGCGACGATGACGACGAGTTCTTCCGCGAGCTCGACGGGCGACGCTTCAACGCGATGGTGCCCCGATACCTGCTCCCGGCGGACGAGGACGAGATCCGAGTGAGCTACCACTCTTCGCCGTCCTCCCGGATCCTAGGGTCCATGGGCCGTATGCTTGGCTTCTGTGCTGATTGTCTGCCGCCGCCGGCCCATGTTATACATATAGCGTTATGAGCTTTTTCATCGGATGTTCCAATTCGTGGCGGACGCGAACTATGTCGGGCCAGTGAGGGAGGTGCTTGTCGACTCGACTGCGAGTCGACGCAAGCGCGTGCTGGACGTTGGAACCGGGAGCGGCCAATGGTACGATCTACTGCTGTGATTCTATTATGCGGATGGCTCAGGTCATGATAGGGCAATCGAAATGGCGGATGAGTTCCCGAAGGTCGATGTGGTAGGATGCGACTGTGCACCTATCCAGCCAAGGTGAGGGTTGCACTGATGTCTTCCATCAGATCTTCAGCTCATGTTTCCTTTGCGTAGAGAGGTCCCCCCAAATTGCACGTACGTATCGGGCGCATCGCGCACATATAACCCCGTCCGACTGACCTGCTGCTGCCCCCAGATTCGAGCTCTGCGACGTCTCGGAAGGGCTGCCCTACCCAGATGCGTGCTTCGACCTCGTCCACGCGCGTTCCATACACATCGGTGTAAGTGCACAACGCCCAATTCGTTACGCTCGCCATCGTCAACGTTCGTCACCCCACCCACCCAGATCTCCGATTACCCCCGCTTCATCCGCGAAGCAGCGCGCGTCCTCCGCCCGGGCGGCCTGCTCATCCTCATCGAGCCTGACGTGCGGCCCGACACGATCCTCGGCAAACGCCCGCCGTCCTCGATCGCCTTCCCGACGCCGTCGCACGGCGCGAGCGGCACGCCGGGCTGGACCGCGCTCGTGAACGCGCAACGGCGCGCGCTCGAACGGCTCGGCGTCGACCCGGACGTGCCGCACAAACTGGGACAGATCGTCGTGCGCACCGGCGCGTTCGACAGGCCGCGCACGATCGCGCTCGAGGCCGACTGTCCCGTCGGGTTTCACCCCAAAGGTACGTATATATGTCATCGTCTTCCGTCATGTTCTTTGATATAATAGCACGTCGCTCACCCCGGGCCCAGATCCCACGCTGCTGTCTATAGGCCAGCTGGCGTGGATGAACTACGATCTGCTGCTGCCGGCGCTCAGGACCTACCTCGCTTCGTCCGACCTGCCCGACTGGCAGATTGACGTCCTCATAGAGGTGAGCGACGCTTCTCGAGCGGCCGGCGTTGACTGTTGCATTAACCAGGCGTTTCTGTTGCCAGGATGCTCAGCGGGATCTGTATTATCCCGTCGTTCGACTCTCGTGTCGATTACATATCGTACATGCAATAAGATCGGGTCATCCGTAAAAAGATGTGTTTACTCACACAGGGCTGCGTCGCCTTCTCGACTTCTGTTACTATACAACTCCCCCCTCATTAGGGGCTAATCCAATTTGCAATCTACACTATCGTTGTCTGATCATGCGGGACGTAGATTTCATTGCACACGACCGGGCCCTTAGCTAGCTACAGGGGAAGAGCGCGCGATGGGATGATAGAGGGGGAAAAAACAGGCAACGAGGACAGCAAATAAGTACACATAAAGAGGAAGATGGTAATTGCGAGAGGAATATGTGCGTTGCGTTACGTGCTATAGGGTTGGGCATGAAAGACGATGGACGGGCCGGGATGGAAGAGGTTGCCTCGTCGGGCCGCCGGGGATCGTTAAAAAAACAAGCTCGTGATCTTGTGCCGTTCATCGTCAAATATTTCCTGCATGCCGCCCCACGCCAAGAGGTATGTGACTTGCGGGGCTCGCCCCGATACCCTGAAATCTGTAAAAACCGGAGAGGAAAAAGATGGGAGGAAGGGAGGAATGCCGTTCAAGAAGTGTCATGTACAGTGTTGGCATGTACAGTTTAGACAAACTCCCAGTCGATGGCGACCATGCCCTCGGCCTCGGTGGCGATCTGAGTGAAGGCACCAACGGAGAGGTCGATCGAGTTGCTGTTCTCGCAGGTCGGGCAAGCGTCAGCAATGGTGACGGTGACCGACTTCTTGTTCTTGGTGTTGGTGATCTTCACCTGCTTGCCGCAGAGGGAGGATGCGACGCCGGTGTTGCCGTAGCGGTCGACGTCGATGGCCGCGATCAGATCGCTCTCAGCGTGGACCTTGCCGCAGGCACCAGCAACGCTATGGGAGAAAGGGTGGTGATTAGAGGGCGAGGCGGTGCGATGAAGATGGGAGCAACATACCCGTTCTGGTAGAAGAACGTGGCGAAGCCGCCGGTCTGAACGGAGCTGGAAGTGGTGGCGGCAGGGGCAGAAGACGAGTGCTTGGTCGACGTCGCCTTGAAGGTCGTGGTGGGAGCGGCGGTGGTGGTCGGCGCGGGCGTGGAGGACGTCTTGGGCTTGGCGGAGGACGTCTCAGGCTTGGCCGACGAGGTGGCCGGGGCGGCGACCGAAGTCGAAGCAACTACCGAAGAGCTCGCAACGGTGGTGTGAGCGACGGAGGAGGTGGCGACGTGAACGGTGGAGGAAACGGCAGAGCTCGTGTCCTCATCGTCGCAGTCCTCATCGTCATCATCACCGTCATCCTCATCGTCGCAGTCCTCGTCGTCGTCATCGTTGTCAGAGGGGACGACAGTGGAGGTCGGCTCCGCGGCGCTGGCAGAGGCGGATGCGGATGCCGAGGGAGTGCACTGCGAGGGGCGCGAGGAAAGGCTCTCGTGTGCCAGGAGCGGGTGGCAGCACTGGTCGAAGAACGTGGTGCTGTGCTTGGTCTGGCACGAGAGGGCGAGGTAGCGAGTGTGGTAGGTCTGGTACGGCTCGAGGTAGTCGGTCGCCCAGCCGGCGGGGGGCGTCGCGCGGGGCACGACGAGGGCCGATGCCGAGATGGCAAGGGCAGAGATGGAGAGGGCAGAGATCTTGGAGAACATTGTGCTTGGTATGTTGGCTGGTTAAATTCTACTGGTAGAGACTGGGGGTGACTGGAGTCGTGAGTGAGCGGGTTAAGAAGTGAACGACGGGGCCGGAGCGGCGTGTGTGGAACTGGAGATGGACAAGTGGTTAGCGCCGAACGGGACAAGGCGATGGACGGTTTGACTGACCGGAGAAAGGGAGGCGGAGGGAGATGGAAGCCGCGAGGGCAGGGATGAATGAAGGGAATGGGGACAGCAGCGGGCGCGAAGGCCTTGCCCTTATAATAGTAGCCCGCTCCTCAACTTCCCACGTTTGCAGATTCGCCGGCGGTCTGCGCTCGCCGGGGCAGGCAGGCGCGTTGCTCAGTACGTGTTTTTTCTTCCCTCGACATTTTTTGGGGTGGGCGCGTCTGCACCGATCGGTGTGACCAACGACGACCGACGCCCCTTTCTCGTCGCCGAGTCTGACTCTGAGCGAGGTCAATACAATAGGCGCCGATGGAGCGCCGAGTTCGCGTAAGGCCGAGACCGAGCGCTCCGCCCCGACAGGGCAGCGCTGCGGCAGGGGCTGTGTCCGTCTCAGGAACGTGTCGCTTTGACCTCACCAGAACAACCGTGCTGGCACGCAGCACCTCTCCAGATACATACCCCGATACTGTTGACGACCAATCATGAGTGCGCAACCTACGCTTCCCCTGTCGTACGAGAGATGAAAGTGAATTGATGTATGAACTGGACCAGGCGAACTCACCCAAAACCCGTTCGCATCCACGCACTCGCTCGACGCCAACCCGTTTGAGGACCCGCCGGACGCGCAGTCCGCGCGCGCGGCTGAGCTGGAGCGAAGAGAACGAGAACTTGAACGCAGAGAGCAAGAGCTTACCCAGAAGGCGGACCACATACGGAGACACGGGAGAAACAACTTTCCGCCTTGTCCGTGCCCAATACGCCATTCTTTTGCGATCGTAGCGCGCTGACTTGAGGAGCGCAGTCTTTCCGCTGGTATACCACGATATCAACGAAGAGATCCCGGAGGCGTCCAGGCCGCTCATCACCCGGCTCTTCCAGCTATGGCTGGTCCTAGCTGCGACCCTTATCATCAACATGGTTGGTCTCAACGCTTTTGACGCAACGCAATCCTCCTGATATATGCGTTCAGATTGCGTGTATATTCGTTCTCGTCGGTGGTGGCAGCGATGGTGTGCGGGATCTCATCTCTGGAATTATGTACGCCAGCCTTCCTTAGCTGATGATCGAGAGAGCGAAGCTGACGCTACTAATGCAGCTATGTTCCTGTCATCGGGCTCCTCTCGTTCCTGTTGTGGTATAGGCCTATCTATAACGGATATATGAAGGTTCGTCGACAGAAGAATAATTGCACCGGTGGATGTATGCGCTGACTCACCAGCATAGGAGCAATCGCTCTATTACTGCAAGTCGTTCTCTGGGCTCAACGGTGCTATACTGACGTTTCGGCAGACCTGTATTTCTTCTTTGGAGGATGGCACCTGCTGTTCTCGCTGTACATGTATGTCATCATCTTCGTTCGTCCAGGAGTGCCGTTCTGAACTGCTCGAAGGGCCATTGGCATTCCGAGGTATATATACGCCGCCATGTTGCGAACGATAGTCTCACAGCATAAACGTGCAGCACGGGCTCGGCCGGCCTGATCAACACCATCCAGATGTTCATCAAGCACTCATGGGTTGCAGCCATCCTAGGTTTAATAGCCTCAATAGGTTGGATTGTGCAAGGATTAGGAAACGCGTTCTATTATCGCCAGGTGCGATATCCCCTTCTTGCTCGGTCCCGGCAGCTCACAGCTATCCGATCACTCGATGTAGATTTGGGCACATCACAACGCTGCGGGACATTCCATGGAAAAAGTACGTCTGCGTTTTCCCCTTCAGGATGAAACCATGCTCACGACTGTGTTTCAGGCCAAGTCGGAGTTGGCCATGCACGGCGCGAAATCGTACTTTACTCGGGGTTAGAGCACTGTGGCAGACTGACTGTCATCGGGTTCCACTTCTTGTTAGCGAGGTGCGCCACGTCCTCGTCTTCTCCGGACATACCGTGGTTGACGTTGGACATCAATCGCAGGCGGTGTAGTGGGCTGTGGTATGCTCAATGATGGTGGTGATGGCGAGAGTTCTTTGCTTGCTGCGAGGACTTTGATTTATCTTATTCGCCCTGGTCTTGCACTCGTCGTGAACGTGACGTACGATACATGCATGCTTGAATTTCAACTCGCGAGGTGGCCGACTCCTGAGTGTGGGCCAACTCCGCGGGCCTCAAACCCCAACACCCTTTTTATGGTGAATAGAGATCCGATGGCGACGGTGCTCCGGGCTGTAGCGCTGTACGCGTCCACCGCGTCTCTTTACCGGGTCTACGTATACAGCATTGCGGCGCAGAGGAGCTTAGAGAAACTCCGCTGTCGTTGACCTTGTTGTTCGATGTGGCCGGCATTGAGACCGCACGCATTGTGCCATAAGACGTATAGCGCCTTGTGAGACCGCATATTGACGTGTTTTGGCCTGCACGAGCCCTTTGTTCGCAAGCGTTGGCCCCCATCGCATGGTGGCAGACCATCTGCCGACGGGGCCGGTTGAGTAAGATTCAGAACCACGATGGCCTTGCAACATGTGGCGAAGAAATAGGGTTAGGGCGATTTACCACGCTCAGGGTTCAAAAGGCGGCGGCTGATTTTCAGCAACTGCCCACCGCCATCACCACCAACAAAAGGTACTATCCCCTCCCCCTCCCCTATGTGCTCGTCCTCATCGTCGTCCACGTCGTCCGCCGCCGCTAACATCGCGTTCGCAGACAAAAACTTCCCAAAAAACCCATAAAATCCTCTTTACATAGCGGCCTGTCGTCACCTCTGTGTGAGTCTCGCCCAACCAACGGTTCAACACATCGCTGGCGCACCAACTGACATCCACCCCTCATCCGGATCGATACAGTCTCGAAAAAGTTCATAAAGCAGTAACGACTACACCACTCTTCAAACACCCAGAAAAACCAACCCGTCTCGACTCAAGCCCAGCAGCCATGTCCGCCGCCGCTCCTCCCGTCGCACCCGCGCAGGACGCGCCCGCCGCCTCGCCCGAGGTCGCCCCTGCGCCTGCTCAGGCCCCAGCTCCTGCTCCGGCCCCGGCGCCGTACATCGCGCCTGGCCCGCAGAACCACGTTCCAGCCCCGTCGGCCTCGCTTTACGTGGGCGAGCTCGACCCGACCGTGTCGGAGGCCATGCTGTTCGAGATCTTCAATATGATTGGCCCTGTTGCAAGGTACGCCGAGATAGGGCACATCCGATGACAGGATGGCTGACTCTGGCGTAGCATTCGTGTGTGTCGTGACGCGGTCACTCGTCGCTCGCTCGGCTACGCCTACGTCAACTACTTCAATGCTGCTGATGGTGCGTTGTGTGCGCGGTAGATCGCGTGGATTATATGCTGACTTTGTGCTCGTAGGCGAGCGTGCCCTTGAGCAGCTCAACTACTCGCTCATTAAAGGTCGTGCGTGCCGCATCATGTGGTCCCAGCGCGACCCCGCCTTGCGCAAGACCGGCCAGGGCAACATCTTCATCAAGAACCTTGATGATGCTATCGACAACAAGGCCCTGCACGATACCTTCGCTGCGTTCGGCAATGTGCTCTCGTGCAAGGTCGCGACGGATGAAATGGGCCGCTCCAAGGGTTACGGCTTCGTCCATTACGAGACCAACGAGGCGGCTGAGAGCGCTATCAAGGCCGTCAACGGCATGTTGCTCAACGACAAGAAGGTTTACGTCGGTCACCACGTTTCTAAGAAGGTAAAGTTCATGTTTCCTCACATCTTACGCGAATGTGCTGATGCATGGGCTCTCCTTAGGACCGTCAAGCCAAGCTTGATGAGCAGAAGAAGCAGTTTACCAACGTCTACGTCAAGAACATTGACCCCGAGGCCAACGATGACGAGTTCCGCGAGCTCTTCACCCCGTTCGGCAACGTCACCTCTGCCGTTCTCCAGAGGGATGAGGAGGGCAGGAGCCGCGGCTTTGGCTTCGTGAACTTCGAGACCCATGAGGAGGCTCAGAAGGCTGTGGACACTCTCCACGACTCCGACTTCAAGGGAAGGAAGCTCTTCGTCTCCCGCGCTCAGAAGAAGTCTGAGCGCGAGGAGGAACTTCGCCGCTCGTACGAGCAGGCGAAGATGGAGAAGATGAGCAAATACCAGGGCGTCAACCTTTACATCAAGAACCTCGAGGACGACGTGGATGACGAGAAGCTCCGTGACGCCTTCGAGCCCTTCGGCGCGATCACCAGCGCCAAGGTTATGCGCACCGAGGGCGGTACCTCCAAGGGCTTCGGTTTCGTGTGCTTCTCTTCCCCCGACGAGGCGACCAAGGCCGTCGCCGAGATGAACAACAAGATGATGGGCTCCAAGCCGCTCTACGTGTCGCTCGCCCAGCGTCGCGAGGTGCGCAGGCAGCAGCTCGAGAGCCAGATCGCCCAGCGCAACCAGATCAGGATGCAGCAGGCCGCTGCCGCTGGCATGCCCGCCGGCTACATGAACCCCCCGATGTACTACCCCGGCCCCGGCTTCCCTCCTCCAGCTGGCCGTGGCTTTGGCTACGGTCAACCGGGCATGATGCCCCCTCGTCCCCGCTACGCACCTGGTCAGCAGGTGCCCGGCATGCCTGTCCCTGCTCCTTACGGCTACGGCGTGCCTGGCTACCCCCGTGGTGCTCCCCGCGGGCCCCCGCCTGCTCGCGGCCCTGGCGGTCCGGGTGGCTCCCCCACGCAGACCAACGCTCCGCCGATGCCCCGTGCCCAGCCGAGTGCACCCCCTGCTAACGGTGCCCCCCGCGCCCCCGCGCCCAACGGCGCTGCTCCTCCCCGCGCACCCGCTGCTCAGCGCCCGCCTCAAGGCCGGGCCCCTGCTCAGCCCGCCGCTGGCGCCGCTGCTCCCGCGCCTCAGGACAACGGAATCTCGTCTGTGCTCGCGAACGCTTCGCCCATGGAGCAGAAGCAGATGATCGGTGAGATGCTCTACATGAGGATCGCGCCCGCCCAGCCGGACCTTGCCGGCAAGATCACGGGCATGTTGCTCGAGATGGAGAACGCCGAGCTCATCCACTTGCTCGACAACGACGATGCTCTCCAGAGCAAGGTCGGCGAGGCCATCGCCGTCCTGCACGAATACACCCAGAAGGAGGGTGATGCGCCCGCGGCCGCTTGAGTTTCAGCTCGCTTTTGCTCGGTGGTGATGGCGACGTGGGGTGGTGGTGGCGGGGAAGGCGTAGCTGCGACGATGTTATTTCTCTCTCCGACTCTTTTGTGTGCTGCTGTAGATCATCTTCGTGCTTCCGCCCTTCCCCCCTCGGAGCCTGGGCACTTGCGTGCGTTTGTGCTCCTCTTGCCCCTCGACTCGGTGGTTGTAGTTTCTTTATGTGTACTTTTGAAGGAACAGAGGTGACGTTGCAGCCGCGTACTTCTCACAAACATCTGCGATTCCGTCAGGATTGCGTCTGAACCTCAACGCCGTTCAAGCTTTCGGCTGATCTGAACAGCGACAGACCGGCAAATCGTACCGGCAACAGATACCTCACACATACCGAAGCACGTACATACAGGAATACATGAGGCCTAATCACTTGGGCTCGGAGGTCCCGACAAGTGCGTACGCAAGTTCCTCCGCCCCTGCCAACATCACCGGGATTTCCTTCTCCAACGGCGTGCTCAGCCACTCCTTCTGTACTTTCCTGATATCCGTAAACTGCCAATCGTGCGTCTTGTTCTCCGCGCAAGAGTACTGCAGGTCTGCACCCGCGTCCCGCATTGCGTGCACCATCTTATCGATGTCGCCAACGAACACCTCTAGGCTACCCGAGCTGACATACACCCTCTTCGGGAGTATGTCCGCCCACGTGGGCACCGGATCGACGAACTCGCGATACGGTTTCGCCGCCTCGCTGGCAGCTTCTTTAGACGCGGTCAGCCATAGCTGCGCGAATCCGTCGATAATGGGCTTGTTGATGATGTCGAGGCCGTCGTTACTCTTGTAGGTCGGACTGGATGAGTTGAAGGAGACCCATGGGCTTATGAGGAATATGCCTCCACCGGGTCTAGGGAGACCCTCTGATGAGTTGGGCGACAAGAGAGATATCGGCTTGTGCAGGTGCGTAAGGAAGGACAAGATGAGATGACCGCCGGCGGAATCGCCCATGAGCGCGACCTTCTGGTAGTCCACCCCCATCTCTTCGCCGAGGTACTTGTACATGCCCGCCATCTGTCCGACTTGGGTTGGATAACCAGCTTCCGGCGTTAAGGAGTAGTCCAGCGCGAAGAGGCTGATGGTGTATCCGCGCTTGATGACCGCTTCGACGATGGCCATCAGCAGAGGCATGTACGTTCCTGGTTGCCATACGGCATATCCGCCTCCGTGAACGTAGCAGAGGACGACATCGGACGAGGAGGGCGGCTGAGGCTCGGTGAAGGAGTGGCGGAAAATCCAGTAGCCCGCGAAGGACGGCTTCTCGACGCGCTGGTAGAGAGTCTTCCTGACGGCAGCATACCGCGGCTGACTCAAGATCTGGTTCGCGCTGGCATCCCCGGCAAAGGCAACGCGGCACACTGAGCGCGGCAATCGTGTAAAGAGTATCCTACGGTCATGGCCCTCGTTGATGAGAAATGGTTCGCTCAACCAAGAAGAAAAAACGCACGTCCTGAACTTCGTAAAGAAGAGTTCGTCTTCTAGTGTGAGCTTGCCACGCCCCTTCCTCCGTAGGGTCGTGTGGAGGGCGGTAAAGGGCCAACTCAGTACGGCTGCATGGGACTTGACTTTATCCGCGAGGCTGACACGGTGGTAATGAGGGTTCGGGTCCATCGGAAGTCGAGCATCCTAATCGCAAGACACCTACGCTTTATAGGGGACGGACATCGTGGAATAGAACGCAGGACATTCGGTTACACGTCATATAATTGGATGGCTGGGATTGCTCCTTCAGGCCTGAGAACGAGACGGATCTTCGACGTCGCGGTCTTTCTCGGATCCATAGACAGGATGCGGATAAGCCTGGATAGCCGCGTCTTGAATATATTTGAGAACTCCAGAACGCGAATCGCGTGAAGTTCAAGGCCCTGTTCGCCGCAAAGTTGTGTCGCAATCGACGCTAGAACCGGTACTACTGTCAAGTCACCTTACGAGCACAAGGATCCTGAACAAGCTTTAGTTCACTGAAGCCATTGCAGTCGAATTCGCTTCCTGTCGTTGTTCAAGCGTGGAAGAGACGAAGCGTTTCAATGACGTAACCGTCGAAAGTGTATACCGCCACCTCCCACTGTGTCTTCCTCGCCCTTTCAGGATCGCATCGGTTTTCACAATGGTACTCGAGGCTGTCGCACAGAAAGTTCTTGTTGTCGGCGGCAACGGATTTATTGGTATGGCCAGGCCTCGTGGACAACCGCAACTCTGGCTGAACACCCTAGTGCAGGTTCCGCAGTGTGCAAGGCCGCGCTCGCGCGGGGAATGCAAGTTACTAGCATCAGGCACGTTCATTAGGTTTTGTTGCAGAGCGCATTGGTGCTTATATGAATGGACGCGCAGCTCTTCTGGAAAGCCGTATACGACACCAAAGGGACATTCACCCGCATGGACTAGCAAAGTGTGCGACCTATAATAACTCTGTCAACATCTACTAACTCTCTTTGCAGGTCGATTGGCGACGAGGAGACGCATTAAACCCCGAGTCGTATGCCCATATTCTCCCCGAAGTGACGGGCGTCGTGCACACGCTCGGAACGCTCCTGGAGGACGCAGAGTACAAAAAGGCCATACGTGAAGGCAACGTGTTTGGGCTCGCGGGAAGCGTGATAGGAGGGCTAACAGGCGCGAGCTTTGGTGGGGGTAATCCACTCGAGCGCAAAAACGAGGAGCATAGCCGAGGAAGTTACGCCCTGTTGAATCGCGATGCCGGTGAGCGTGTTCTTCCTATCTTGGTGGTAGAAGATGGAGGCACCACGACTGATGGGTTTTCTTGACTTTCAGCCTTAAGGGTGTGCGAGGCATTCATCAGTTCGAAACCAAACACTCCGCTAAGCCTTCCGCGATCCTTTGTGTTCATCTCAGCGGAGGACATCTTCCGCCCACTGGTTCCTGCAGGCTACATCGAGACGAAGCGCGAAGCCGAGCGACAAATTGAAAGCATGATGCTCGGACGGCAAGACTACCGGGGGGTTTTCATTCGACCAAGTACGAGGAGGCTTCGAGCGCGTTCTTTGGTTGTTGACGCTTAACCTTATTCCAGGCCTCGTGTACCACGCGCATTACAGGCCGTTAACCTCTCCCGTCGCGGCGCTCCTGGATCTTTCCGCATCTCTGCATTCTCGCGCGCCCGTTCAAGTACCAACACCTTCCAGCGTACTGCGCACGCTAGCGTCGCTGTCGGGCTCATCGGCCGCGGTGCCCGAAGAACGGCGTTCACCGCTGGAATCTATGGCCAATGCCCTTATCGTCCCCCCCATACACGTCGATCACGTCGGAGAGGCGTGCAGCATTGCTGTGGATGTATCGCGATTTGATGTCGCTGGTCCGGTCGGTGTACGGGAGATGAGACATCTCATCGGGTGGGAGCAGAAGGGACAGCCCGCCGCGCCTCCTCATCCTAGTCACACCGCAGTTCCCGGCCGCGAAGCGGTATAGTTTGTTAGTTGCAAGATGGTATAGCAATCACGACTCGTGATCGAATCCGTTGTCCATGGACGTGAGCGATTGCAGCCTCGGCTTGTGGGAGCCGAACGGTCATCACGTGAATCGGGAGTGTGTAATTGGGATAAATCTCGACCCATGATATAGCCCCAAGGAAAGTGTCTCCTCCTCAGCTGCAAGCACTAGCCATCGTACCCCGTACGACCACGCTCAGGCTCCAGGAGGACAGGCGTTGAAGTTAAGCCAGGATCTGCTCGGGACTCCTATCCTCGTCCCGTCTACGATCCGCGACCCCTATATACCGACGGCCGTCCGGAATATTGATTGGCTCATATCCCTTCGCTTTCCGCTCGTGCCGCTTTCGCTTCATGTTTGTTGCGCGCCCTCCCTGTCTCCGGGCTCAAGCGCAGTCCGCCTTGCGGGGTTCGGCCTCAAGCTGCCGGACGTTCGCGACCACTCCGCCGACCGGGTCTCCCGCGCCTCCGTTCAGCGTCAAGAGCAAGGATGCCTCCAAGTCGGACGCGAACGCGAAGCCGGACTCTGGGAAAGTGCTTCGGATGGTGATGTTCGGGAAGCCGGGGGCTGGGAAGGGGACGTTGTCGGCGAGGCTGGTGAAGAAGTATGACATCCTGTCCTTGTCCACGGGGGACATACTTCGGCAGCACATTGCGGAGGGGTATGTCACATATGAATTCCGGTTCATACGTTTGTGTTGATTAAGGATCCCAGCACGGAGGTTGGAAAACTGGCGGAAGAAATTGTCGCGCGGGGCGCGTTCCTCCCGGACGAGCTCATGCTGCAAGTCCTGACCACTAAGCTAGATCTCCTGCATAACAAAGTATGTATTAGATCAATACATCCAGTGATCTTGAATCCAATCCTGTCCAGCACTGGATCCTTGACGGCTTCCCCCGTACACTGCGCCAAGGCGAATTGCTTGATGCTCACTTACAGTTCGTTATATTGGCTTGGTCTATGGTGATCGGTTGCTCATCATCTTGCAGGAACCAAAAGACTCCTCTCAGCCTCGTAGTCAACATCGACGTGCCCGACTCTGTCATCCTGAGTCGTATCTCAGAACGTTGGGTTCACTTGCCGTCGGGACGAGTGTACAATATGTCCTATAACCGGCCCAAGGTGGATGGCCATGACGACATCACGGGAGAGCCTTTGACGAAACGGCCAGACGATAACCCGGTACGTATGCATGGCGCGCGGCTGAACTCCATTCATTGATGCATATTGATCTTTCTCAGGAGGTCTTTGCCCGCCGACTGGAGACGTTCTATGCCTCAACGTCGCCTTTGCTACAATACTACGAGATGAATAGCCGGGCAAAGATGGTGACACTGCAGGGGACGACATCGGATGAGATTTGGCCTCAGCTCGAAGGGGTTGTGCGGTCGTTATTCCCCACTTTGAAGGAGCGCGTGGAGTCCAGGGAGGAGCGGCGGAAGCATAGTCTCAGCGACGCCGTTGCGGGAGAAGAGAGCAAACGATCGGCGAGTAGTACGAGTAGGAGTACGAACATCGAATAGATGAAAACAATCTCACTTTGCTTGATGCTCTGCGGCCCGAATCTGCGAAGGTGTTGAATCGTCCCGCATGCAATGGCTGTGCACGCAGCACACCCTCACATGCTTGGTTGCTTCATCCGACAGCGTTCGCCAGCCATCTTTGTACTACTTATCGGTTCCTGCTGCACACATGTCTGATCGTTGAGCAAAGTTTATCTTATCAGGAAGGTCTTCGCGTTGGCGGGGCTCCGCTAGGGCCGCAGAGATGTATACATACCTTGCGACGCTCGCCACGTATACAGTCCCGACCAGGTCTCTCCGGAACACCCGCCGGACTTTCTCGGCGAACTATGACACAGCTCCAGACAGCGATGCCTGCTGAGCAAGACCTTGAATCATACACTCTCAAGGGTACTGATATGCGCGCGCCCAGTGTCTCGCTGCACATCTTCACTCACACGGCGTACAGGCGGTATCAAGATCGTAGAGCGGTTCTTCGATCTGCCATTGGACTATGGCAACCCAAATGGACAAACCATACGCGTGTTTGCGAGGAACTGTATACCGTTAGCAAAAGCGAAAACACCGGAAGAAGAAGCGAAACTTCCGTACCGTGAATACCGATGCATTCATTCGCCGTGCCGTTCGTGCTAACGAGTCGAACTCAGTGGTATATCTTCAGGGTAGGTTTCTGTCAATCCGAGCCTTGCGACCGAAATCTCAATTCGTGTTTACAGGAGGTCCGGGGTTCGAGGTTCCGCTGAACGATGGCTCTGGCTTTGCTGCTGAGGTGAGTACCTCATAGCGACTGAGCGTGCCCCTTTCGATGCTGACAAGGCAGTAGATTTATGAAAAAGGATACCAGGTACTGACGTCCTTTTTCGCGCTGGGATTTGGAATGGCTCAGACCCTACGTTAGATCCTCTGGTTGGACCAACGCGGTACAGGACTGAGCACGCCGATCTCACCGGAAACATTGACCTCGTTCGAGACGGACTCGCAAATCGCGAACTACCTCAAGCATTTCCGCGCCGATTCCATTGGTCGGTGTTTCAGATGACGGCATATGCGATTCCATGGATATTGACGCATCGAAAAAGTAAAGGATTGCGAAGCTATCCGAAATTTTTTGCTAGGAAACAGGGAAGACCCCGAAGATCGCAAATGGACAATCATGGGTCAGAGCTTCGGTGGATTCTGTTCCATCACCTATCTCTCATTCCATAGCGAGGGTCTCAAGGAGGTTTTCGTCACTGGTGGTTTGGCGCCTTTGATCGAGAATCCCACTCCCAATTATGAAGCAACTGTTAGTGAGTTATGCGTGATAAGTGCGCTTGTCGCGGGAACTGATGCAAATGGTCGGACAAGATCGGGTGATCCACCGAAACAAGATCTATTACGCGAAATATCCTCGCGATGTCAAAAGAGTAAGCAGCCGTGGAAGCCGGCTTGGCCGTTGATTCATGGGTCACAATACTAGGTTCGAAATATCCTAGATCATTTGTCATCGAATAAGATTACACTACCGAATGGTGGACGGTTAACGCCGAGTCGCTGGCAACAGCTAGGCATCGACTTCGGCATGAGCGGTCGGTGTGTTCGCGTTACGGCCGACATTGATGTACTCATAAATTGCAGGTGGTATTGATCGAGTGCACCGTGAGTTGCGTGTTCACATTGTACACAGCAAAGCGACCTGACTTGCGTTCAGAGTTGGTCTTCCGCGCGGATAATGACTTATCGATGTTCGGCAAGCTCTCGTACAAGACCCTGCAACTTGTGCAAGAGAAGCAGTCATACGACGGTAATCCCATCTACGCTATCTTGCACGAGCCGATCTATTGCCAGGGGTAAGGTGTATTCCGGACTCGCCTGCTCAGTCACGTTAACTCAGTTTTAAGTCATGCATCCAACTGGGCCGCAGCCAGGGTGATAGCAAAGCACCCCGAATTTTCCTGGGTTCACGTACAACAACAAGATGGCACTACGCCAGTCTACTACTTCGGGGAGATGGTATGCGTACCCCCCTCCTGTGGATTCCTCATTTTCTGACACGCGGAATTCAGATCTTCCCCGACATGTTTGATGATTACGCCAACCTGCGCCCTCTTAAGGCAGCGGCTGAGATCCTAGCCAGAGATACGAGCTGGGGCAGATTGTACGACCTCGACCAGCTCGGCCGCAATACTGTCAAAGTCAGCGCCGTTACGTGAGTTGGCAGTTGTTTGTTATCTGGTCACTGTAAGTATCGCTCATTGTGAACCAGGTATTACGACGATATGTATGGATTAAGTACTTATCATGGTGGTATACTGACATCGCATTCCTTGTAGGTATGTCGACTTCAATCTAGCCCAAGAGACGGCTAGAAAAATAAAGAACACGGAACAGTATATCACCAACCAGCTAGTCCATGATGGCATCCGCGCAGATGCTAAGGATGTTATGAAGCGGCTATTCGAACTTTCCAATCGCGAGTTCAACTGAAGAGGTGACACGTGCGGATCAAGCTGATCAAGCTTGGCGGGAGGTCGGAGGTGTTGATGTGGGGATCGACTATATCTTACCCGCTCGCAAATACTCTGCCGTATGGAAAGTATATGATCGTAGGTCGTAGGTCGAAGCGTGTAGCTGTAGAGCGGAACGTTCGTGTTTTGCTAAGCAATGAATGCATATGTCAGGGTGAGCGCGGTGAGCAAGCAATATGATCTCCGCAGACAAGGAACGAAAACCAGCCGCCCGCGCTTTGCCTCGGCGTCTTCGCGGACTGGTGGATCGGAAAAGTGATTCGAACGCGTGACGTCACGCGAGAATGGCTGTCTCAGTGGCCACGCGAGCACAACGCGCTCTAAGCCTCTACCTCGCAAGCTGTAGCATAAGTACGCGCCAAAGATGTCTCTCGAGGAGATCTTCGATACGCCTGTGGACGAGTCATTTCCAGCAGCTTCCTCTCGTACCAGAAGTGCTTCGACAAAGGACGACGACGACGAACCGGCTCGACCTTCGAAACGATCACGCCCTTCGCTCTTCTTGGCCGGCTCCGACGACGAAGAGGAGAGCTTTGCTTTGCCAAACTCTCGGAGAGATGCTGCCCCTCGGACGCCTGGACGCGATGTACCTGATGTGGATATCGACGAGATGTTCGCGGACCTGGACGAGGCGTCGCTGTCACTCGCGGCCCCATTGGACATGAATGCCTTGCAGCGGGAGGCGCGTGAACAACGAGAGAGGGAGCTTGCATTGACCCCTCATGCCATTTTGCCGAGCTCATCTCCTCCGAGAGTTACGGGCGATACTTCCAACAAAGGTCAGATCCCCACCTCTTTGTGCAATGAGCGCGGTGGATCATTACAAGACTAACGGTGGACAATAGATAAGGGCAAGGATGCCAACGGAGAGAAGAAGGAGAGGAAGAAGATCGCCAGACTGGATGAAGCGAGGTTACTGGGTTCTGACGGCTTTCCTGCCCTGATTAGACAAACAAAGCACTGGAAACCGAAGGGGAAAGGGCATGAAGTATGTACCGTCAATATACAACCGTTAGTTGAGAATTTCCGTTGATTCATCTTGTTGCAGCACTCGGATCTCAACTCCCTTTTACAAATCTATCAATTTTGGGCGCACAAGATGTATCCCAAGACACATTTCCGTGACACGGTCAAGACGGTAGAAAAATTATGTCATAGCAAGCGGATGCATGTGGGAGATCAATACTTCTCCGAGCATGCACTCCAAGTCTGACGCTCATTCAACCAACCAGGTCGCGCTATCGGTCTGGAAAGACGAAGCGAAGGGGCTGGTCAACGGCCAAAAGCCTGAGCAGATAAACCTCGATTCCGATGATGACGAGTCAGGTGGCGATTCTGGCCAGCGCGTCCTGCCACAGGCTTCGTCTTCCCGGGGCTCATCACCCGGGCAGCCACCGCCTTCCTCGCCTTCCGAAGCGGTCTCTCGTCGGGCTTCGAGCTCAGGTTCCACCGGGGTATTGGTCGAAGATGACGACTTCGACGTGGACGCAATGATAGCCGAGGAGGAGGCCCGGAGAGCTGACATGGAAAAGGCACCCTTGACGTCTGCCAAACCTCCAGCAGCAAATATCGCTTCGACGTCGGCCAACACCGAGGATTTCGACGAGGAAATGTGGGATGAGTTGATGAACGACTTCGGTGCCGATGTACCTGCAAAACCGGCTGCACCCGCAAGTCACACGACGCAACGGCAAGCGGCGACTTCTGTCCCGGATGACGAAGATATGTGGGACATAGTACACGAGATTGAAGCGGAGAATGCAGCGAAGAAATCTGCGGAGAACGCTGGCACGACTGCAGGCAATACTCAACATAGCAAAGAAAATGGTACCCAGTACCACAACAACTCGACTGGACTCTCCTCGATGTTTGACGATGACGACGACGATCTATATATGGACCCTTAGCATATCGTCAGATATCTATGGGGTATTGTCGTATGCAGGGAGTATATATGTTACACGCTGGTTCATCTAAGCCAGCACGAGATACGCCCGAAGAACGGAGTATCCGCGGCCTTGTATCAGTGTATGCAATCGAGTGAAGATTCGCGATTCCGGTCAACATGGACGTCGAGAGCACTCGACGACGAGAGTCGACGCGCTTACTTATTAGTCGCGCACGTGCACATGGCCGTTGATAACTTTCCCTTGACACTGACAGTTTCGCTCGCAGCGGTCTCTGGTGAAAAGTCTGTCAGCGGCGAGTCTACTGGCCTCAAGCCCTGATTCGTGAAGTTGCCGGTATCTGGCTTCCCAATGGCTGTACCTTCCAGTACACTACCAGACCCTGATGTCAAATCTGGCTTGAATTATTGGGCGAACCAGCCCGCGAACTACGACGGCGTTCTCGGTTAGCTTCCAACGTGTGCTCGGCCAATTCTGTTGTATCTGAACATGCATTCAAAGGCGGTTTTGGCACTGGTGTACGCCTTCTTGACCATGTCCCCTGGTGCATACCTGATCATTGACGTACCATTGATACCCCATTACAGTCTCTACCTCGCATCGATGCCCTGACATCAAGACAGTTACTCCTATATCTTTTCCCAGAGCTCTGCACCGTAGCATCGACTAGCAAGCCCTTGAACAGACCTCAACGTGTTGGTGACGCCGAGCCTCAGCGTCGTCGAACTCGTGCATTGGACGTCGGGGCAGGGGTTGGCAGAGTGACAGCTGATGTGCTACTGCACGTCTTCGACGATGTACTCTTGGTAGAACCTGTCGATCAGTTCATCCAAGAGGCATACCGCCGAGGAAATGCCTCGGCGGCGCCCTCCGGAGATCTTGCCGACGCCAATGAAGCGGAAGGATATAGCACGCGATGGAAAGCGATCAAAGAGGAAACGAAGAGCGTAACCTTTGTCCGGTCCACACTTCAATCCTTCGAACCTGGTCGTGCGGATGCATCTGCAATCATTGGTCGGGTGGGATACCAACCTGGCCCTCCCAAATCGGCTGTGGAGGGCGCTTCATACGAAGACATCAACTCCGGTTTCGACGTTATATGGTGCCAATGGTGCCTTGGTCATCTATCCGACCCAGAGTTGATCCAATTTCTCGGGCGTGCCGTTGGCGCGCTGCGTGACCGCAATCAAGCTGCTGGAGAGAATCCAAGCTGCATCGTTGTGAAAGAGAACCTGTGCAGGGACTTCGGCGAGGATGGCGTGGAAGCGGAGAGCGGGAAAAGGGGCCCCCGAACGGTGTTCGACGAAGAAGACTCAAGTCTGACAAGGTGAGATCCGCCGCTCTGAGTGCGCCTCATGTTTTCCTCACGCTCCTCGCTGCAGGTCCGATTTGGCATGGAAAGCTGTATTTTCTGCAGCAGGCCTTACCGTAGTGCGCGAACAACTGCAGCTTGGTTTCCCCGAGGGTCTGTATGATGTGAAGATGTGAGTGGCAGGTCGTAGTCTCTAAGACGGCGTATTGATATCCCATGCTTGTAGATACGTACTACGACCGCGAAAGTAGCTACTTCGCAACCAGCTCATACTGTCGGTCTAGACAATCCTTCACACAAACTCAATAATAACGCCTTACTTCAAGGCGTTCTCAACCAGGAGGCTTCACAGCCCTTGCGAAGTTTGGGTTCTCACCCAGGGAAGTATGCACGCCGGCCTTGGGGTCCAGGCCGCTTCTTCGCCGAGGGATCTTTCTAGGCTGTCTGCCTCGTGGTATGCAACGAGCGGCGCGCTCAAGATAGAAGTCCCGGCAGATGCTAAACTTAGCTTGGGCCGTGTTTTATAGCAATGCTATCATGATCAAGATAGCTTTAGGATGCCCTATATACTACTACCAACCCGCTTGCGCGGCATCCCGTGCCCCATCTCCTCAACCGCGACCAGTTCCTGCCAACATGGACAGTAGCCAAGCCTTACGTCTGGACCGCCTTTCCAAACTATTCGAGAATATTCTTCGCGGTAGAGACAAGGTTGGCAAGCAAAACTATACGACCTTTCTCGAAGCCATGTGCACGCAACCGGATCCGCCGACATGCATCAATAAAATTTGCAGCTCCTCCTGTGGCTTATCCAGTCTCCAGAGCGCAATGCGCGTCGAGCTTTCGCCCACCTTCTGTAACGGCCGCGGAGCGGAAGTCATCCAGTATTTGACCTGCCAGGAGCTCACCGTCATCGGCGGCGGAGAGCTCCTGAAGCAGGTCCTGCTGGCCATCGTCGAGCCATCTTTCTTCTGGTCGGCCTATGTTACAGCATTCCGTCAAGGCAAGCTGAGCGAGAATTCCCAGCACGCTTTCGCGTGGCTTCTCCTGCAGCTCGTCTCCCTCCCAGATGAACAATCCGTTCCATACCGCGAGCTTGCCGAGGACGGCAGCCTGGTACAGGCATTACTAGGTGCCCCCGTGCACGATGTGCGCGTGCTTGGCGAACGTATCAAACACGTCCTAGAGCTCTATGCCTCCGGAACCGTGCTCGATGAGCAAGGCCCTGGAGGTCGCCACGACAACGATAAGGTGAACTTCCGGGAGATATCTATCCTACCCACTGCAGATGAGATCACCTCGAGAGAGGCCCCTTTCCTTCGCACAAGCTCTGCCCTGGACCATCCCGACGGCGAGGGCAATCAGGTCGCGGATTACCTCGATAACCAATTTCGATTACTGAGGGAAGATATGTTGTATGAGATGAGGGAGGAGTTGGACATCGCGATGGGACGCAAGCGCAAGAATCATCGCAACTTTCCCGTAGACGGTCTACGATTGCAGGACGTATTTCATGCTCCTGCCGACCCTAGCAACATGTCGAAGCGCGACAAATGGTCCATATCCCTTCAGCGGATGTATGGTTTCCCCCAATTCAAGAGCATTGCCGCGGACGGAGTTAAGAAGCGTATATCATGGTTGAAGGACAACCGCTGGTTTCTCAAGCATGGCTCGATGGTATGCATTCTCATTGATGACGAACTCGTTGGATTTGCGACCCTCCGTCGCGATGAGGATCTGCTGGCCCAGAAGCTCCCGATCATTGTTCTTCAGCTTGAAGGCCAGGCCACCACGGTCAAGGCGTTGATCAGGCTGAAGTCAGCCAAGACGATAAAACTGCTCCAAATCGACACTGCGCTTTTCGCATTTGAACCCATTTTGAAGGCTTTGCAGCACACGACCACCTTCCCCCTCAATCGCCATTTGATTTTCTGGGATCAAGGCGAATCATCGCCTCTGCAACCGCAGAGCGGACTGGTCAAATCTATTCTGCGTTCCCCTGGGCAAGATCTCGGACCTCTTCTAGGTGTTTCCAAACCCATAGTCCTCGACAAGTCGCAGAGTTCAAGCCTGGTTATGGGTCTCACTCATTCCGTGTCTCTTATTCAGGGTCCTCCAGGTATGGTTCGGCTATATCCGGCTACCAAGGATAGCTAATCATTATACAAGGCACGGGCAAGTCCTTCATAGGAGCCTTACTGGCAAAAGCCCTTCATGATAACTCAGAAACCATCCTTGTCGTCTGCTACACGAATCACGCCCTCGATCAGTTTCTGGAGGACCTCTTGGATATTGGCATTCCCGAAGCAAGCTTGGTTAGATTGGGCAGTAATTCGACGCCAAGGACCGATCCTATCTCGCTGTTCAACCTCACGAAGTCATCTAATTTCAGATTTGGTCGCGGTGATTGGACGACGATCGACAATCACAGGAAGCGTCTTGGCACATACGAACAGGCGCTCAAAGGCGCTGCTGATCGATTCCAGCGGACGGCTGTGAGGAACGCGAACATCTTGGAATATCTGGAATTCGAGGCGCCTGATTTCTACCGGGCTTTTTTGGTCCCTAAGGCCGCAGATGGCATGCGTCAAGTGACGAGGAAAGGTAAAGAGATCCAAGACGACTTCCTCTTCTACCAATGGTCAAAAGGATACGATGCTGGTCTCTTCAAGAACCATGATCATGTCAAGGAGGCTACGGATATCTGGCAGATGCCCCTTGAGTCTCGACTCGCAAGGATCGCGTCGTGGAAGCATGAGCTGCTCAAGGAGCAGGCCCTCCGTATTCACACACACGCCACAGACTACAACTCTCACGTAGATCGTCTTGATCACAAGTTTGACCAGAGGAATCGCGAAATCATTGCGTCCAAACGCATCATCGGCTGTACTACTACTGCCGCGGCCAAATATCGAGAAGCAATCAAGGCAGCCGCCCCGACTGTTCTGCTTGTGGAAGAGGCGGGCGAAATTTTGGAGAGTCATATCATTACCGCACTCGGTTCCAAGACCCAAAAGCTCGTCTTGATTGGGGATCATAAGTAGGTTTTCAGACCGCTTCGATGGTGATGGCACTTAGTATAAGTGCTCAGGCAATTGCGTCCGAAGGTCAACAACTATAAGCTCACTGTAGAAAAGGGCGAAGGTTACGACTTGAACCGCTCCTTGTTTGAACGACTCGTTATCAAAGGCTTACCTCACGAGACGCTCCAGCGACAGCATCGCATGCGACCCGAGATTTCTGCTTTGGTTCGACATCTAACGTATGCGGACCTTTCTGACGCTCCTTCCACGTTGAAACACCCCGACCTGCTCGGCGTTCAGGATAACGTTGTGTTCATACATCACGAGAAACCAGAGGATGACCTCAGAGAGGCATCCGTGCTGGGAGGGGAAGACGAGGTGATGGGTAGCAAGTCGAGCAAGAGGAACGCTCATGAAGTCTCCATGGTCCTCAAGATCCTTCGTTACCTCGGCCAGCAAGGATACGGAACGGACAAAGTAGTGATACTGACACCATATCTCGGGCAATTGCGAGCGCTCCAGCAGGCCCTGAAAGAAGACAACGACCCGGTCCTGAATGATCTGGATTCCGCCGATTTGGTCCGCGCGGGGCTCGTGACTGAGGCAGCGGCCAAACTCACCAGAAAGCCCATTCGCCTCGCGACTATCGGTGGGTGACATCAATTCAGAGTGATGTAAGATCATTGACATCCTGCCAGATAATTACCAGGGAGAAGAAAGTGACATCGTGATCGTTTCGCTCACTAGGAGCAACCCCGAGCATAACATCGGCTTTATGTCGTCGGGGGAGCGCGTCAATGTCATGCTATCTCGTGCCAGGAATGCTCTCATAGTTATCGGCAACGCGGACACCTTCCAGCACGCTCGGAAGGGTAGTGAAGTCTGGCAGAAGCTGATTCTGAAGCTTCGAGCCGATGGACACATATACAACGGCCTGCCTGTCAAATGCGAACGTCACCCGACGCGGCGCATCGTTCTTGCCAGCCCGGACGATTTCGATACTCACGCTCCTGAGGGCGGCTGTACAAGGCCTTGGTGCGTCCTGGTCATCGCAGGCTATACGCATTACAACCTACTGATGCGATGATTGACAGTGGTGCGAAGCTACGCTGTGGTCACATTTGTGTCTCCAGATGTCATCAAATATATGATCATTCCAAGATGGCATGCTCGCAGATTCTGTACTCCAAATGCTCGAAGGGGCATGACCAACAATGGCAATGTCCGACCGGCACTCCGGACTCTTGCGTCAAATGCGACAAAGACCACAAAGATGCAGAGATTAGGAAGAATGAGGAGTTTGCCCGCAAGGAGAAGCGAGAGCGGGAGGAACGGGCACACGCTCGCAAGTTGCTTGAATTGGAGAGTCGCATGAAGGAGCAACAGGAAAAGTTGAGAGATGCTCAACTTGCGCAGGAGCGAAACCACGCGATAGAACGAAAGCGTCGCGATCTAGAGGATATCACCAAACTCGCTCAGCAGAACACTCATGGTCATGGTATCGACACGAAACTGTCTGTAGCATCCGAGTCGCCAGTTTGTCCACCACGCATTGATGACCAGTCGACCGCGGCATCTTCATCTCAAACGAGCGTCGTATTGGCTCCCACTCAACCCTCGACGGCGGTTCAGACTCCCGTATCGAATGCGTCCTCCGGAACAGCGACGGGAAAAAGGACCTCGTCCGCGGAAGAGGAATGGCAGAGGCAAAAAACAATAGACGGAGAGAGCAACGAAGCCATTGATGCCATCATGGAAATGACCGGCCTGGCAGCGGTGAAGTCGCAGATTCTTAGCATCAAGGCAAAGGTAGATATCGCTAGACGCCAGGGCGTGCCGCTGAAGGACCGTTGTAACTTCGCTCTAGTCGGTAATCCTGGAACGGGTAAGTTTGATCATACTATGTGTCCTGCTAGACTTTGATCCGCTTTCTATTCTCTGTAGGCAAGACCACCGTTGCACGCCATTTCGCTCGATTTCTAGCATCTGCTCAAGTAATCACGGGCAACCAATTCGTCGAAGTAACAGGCTCAGGCCTCGCCAACGAAGGAGTCCCAGGAATAAAGAAGCGCATTGAAGGTATCCTGGAAGCGGGTGGAGGAACTCTGTTCTGCGACGAAGCGTATCAGTTGACCGCTCGACCGAATGCTGCGGGCTCGCAGGTGATGGATTATCTCCTTGCTGAAATGGAGAATCACCTTGGCAAGATCTCGTTCATCTTCGCCGGATACAACAAAGAAATGGAAACTTTTTTCGACCATAACCCAGGTCTCACTAGTCGTGTACCTTACAAGCTGCGGTTTGAGGACTACAGCAACGAGGAGCTCATGGACATGATGGTAAAGAAGATCGACAAGGATTTCTCCGGGCGTATGAAGGTGGAAGGGGACCACGGCATCCGGGGACTTTACGGGCGCATTGCAATCCGTCGTTTGGGCAGGGGGAGAGGGCACGATGGCTTCGGTAACGCTCGCGCCCTTGAAAACTTACTCTCAGCGATACGCGAGCGCCAAGCACGTAGGGTGCAAGAAGGACGTCGCGCTGGACGTCGCGCCGACGATTTACTGCTGGTCAAAGAAGATCTTATAGGACCAGATCCGTCCACGGTCATGTCTGAGAGCGCTGAGTTGAAGAAGCTCGACTCCATGATCGGCCTGAGTGCGGTCAAGAAATCGGTGCAGAACCTCTTCAGCATGGTGAAGACGAATTACGAACGCGAATTGGACGAGAAAGCGCCGATACAACTTAGCCTCAATCGATGTTTCGTAGGCAAGTTTATTCTTTCATAGCGTCGTATATAGCACGCCACTCATATTCCCTATCCCAGGTCCTCCAGGAACTGGTAAAACGACGGTGAGCAAGTTATATGGCGCTATTCTCGCAAATCTCGGTATGATAAGCAACGGCGAAGGTTTGCGCCATACATTTGACGGTTGACATCCAGAGATTGATTCATAAATCCCAGTTGTCGTGAAAAATCCCGCGGATTTCATTGGCAGTGCTCTAGGGCAGTCCGAAAGCCAGACCAAAGCGATTCTTGCAAACACTGTGGGGAAGGTTCTCGTCATCGACGAAGTCAGTACGGCTTAGTTGCTTGTGCTCCATGCTGACCGAAAATTTAGGCATATATGCTTTACGGCGGTTCGAACGGGGGTGTCAGCGACCCCTACAAAACAGCTGTTATCGACACCATAGTCGCTGAGGTACAAAGTGTCCCCGGGGAAGATCGTTGTGTATTGCTGCTGGTACAGTCCTGTCTCTCTGCTTGTGACCGAGCTTTGATACGTGATGCAACAGGGTTACAAGGATCAGATGGAGGAGATGTTCCAGGTATGAACAGTAAGTACATGGTGGGAGAGCGGGGGGCTAAACGACTTCTAGAATGTTAATCCAGGCCTGTCAAGACGTTTTGCAATCGAAGATGCCTTCGTGTTTGAAGATTATACCGATGCCGAGCTCCGGAAAGCGCTGGTGAGCTGATTTATTTCCTGGTACACTTGTTCTCATCGCCGCACTCTACAAGGATTGGAAACTGAAGGATCAAGACCTTCTGGCAACGGACGCTGCAAAGGACGTCGCTACTGACGTCCTAAGTCGCGCTCGTAATCGCCCCAATTTTGGAAACATTGGCGAGGTCGAGAACCTTCTTACGGCTGCTAAAGTTCGTTATCAAGAACGCCAGGCGGCGATGGCTGTCGGACATCGGCGTGGCATCAACGTTCCCTTAGAGCCCCAGGATTTCGACCCCGATTACCAGCGTGCCGAGCATGCTGCCACACATCTTGCCAAGCTATTTGAAGACGTGGTGGGCTGCGATGCTATCGTTGCACAGCTCAGCAAATACCAGCAGATTGCTCGGAATGCGAAATCGAGGGGCCGGGAACCACGGGACCTCGTGCCAACGAACTTCGTCTTCAAAGGGCCTCCAGGTTTGTTTCTGTGTCCAACGACATGATTACTGTGAACTGACATGCACGTATATAGGTACAGGAAAGACAACAACAGCGAGAAAGATATCACAAGTCTACTTTGATATGGGGTTTCTATCGTCAACGGAGGTCATCGAATCCTCGGCCAGCGATTTGGTCGGTCAATATGTCGGGCAGGTATGCGATGGTTCTCGGCGACGGAGAATTCCGCGTACTGACTTTCGTCAAGACAGGCCCAAAGACGAAGAAACTACTCGAGAAGGCGCTGGGTCGCGTGTTGTTCATCGACGAAGCTTATCGTCTAAGCGAGGGCCATTTCGCCAAGGAGGCCGTGGATGAACTCGTCGGCCTTCTGACGCAGGACGCGTACCGTGGAAGACTGATCGTTGTGCTGGCGGGTTACGACAACGAGATGAACGAGTTGCTCGCCGTCAATCCCGGCCTCTCAAGTCGCTTCCCGCACGAAATCCAGTTCTACAATTTGAACCCTGCTCAATGCCTTGAGATCCTTCGCAAGGAACTGGCAAAAAACCTAATTAGCGTCGATGCTTTGGACGACGTTACTATACCCGAGTACGGCACGATGGAGGTCCTCCTAGCGGATTTATCAGCATTGCCGTCTTGGGGCAATGCTCGAGACGTCAAGACGCTGTCGAGAGATCTTGTCGGACTGGCATTCGAAACTTGCGAAGATGCCTCTGCGCACGACGGTCGTATCTTGCTATCATCTCTACACGTCATTGACCGCATCAAGGCGATGCTCGATACCCAGCGAAGGCGGCATATTCCTGCACATTCTGCAAGGACGGACACAGGGTTGCTGGAACAGATTCTGGCGCCAGACCGACCCACCGCTAGGCGAACCTCGACTCGAACAGTTCAGTCGACTTGCAATGCTCCCCCGCCACCGTCTCAAGAACTTCAAGGGAAACCCGATGGTCCTCGCGATCCCGGCGTCAGCGATGCGGTCTGGGCGCAGCTGCAGGCGGACAAAGCAGCGGAGGAGGAGACTCGCGCCCGCGCTCTGAGAGAGTTGGACATGCTGGAACAAGAATGTGAAAGACGTCAACAACGCGAGGAAGAGTCCAGACGGGAGCTGGAAGAGCTTGAGCAAAGCCCATCTGCAGACGATCTCGAGGATTCTGAGCGGAAACGTCGACATGAAGCAGCCAGACTTCGAGAGCTCGAAGCGAAGACGGCGCGAGCAAGAATCGCGAAGGAGCTCGAAGAGAAACGGAAAGAAGAAGAGCGCCAACGAAAGGAGGAGGCGAAGGTCCAGGCGAAGTTGAGAGAAATGGGCGTCTGCGTCGCTGGGTTCCGCTGGATCAAGCAGCAGGCGGGATATAGGTGTGCTGGAGGGGCTCACTTCATCGATAACGCATCGTTGGGCCTTTCAGGTTGATACTGTCGGGTCTATCAGTTGTCTCGTATCATATCGTATCTCTTTGCTGATACATCGTGACATAATATACGCGCGTGCATCGTTGTAGTGTTCACGGTCATCGTTGTGCCCCGCGGCCGGGTTTCGTCCCTTTGACTGTTGAACAATTTCACTGGCCTGCGAGATGTCCCGAAGATATACTTCAACTCTGAAAAAGGTTCGCCCAAGTCTGCACACAAACAACCGCACAAACGCGTAAAAGCGGCTTCTTCCGTTCGGAGTCTCCCGAAGGGTTCCCCTGCTCAGCGCTCAGGCTCTTTCAGGCTCCGACGGTGACTTCCGGGTGACTACTCCACGCTCAGGCTATACGGGACAACCAGCATTTTCCGTGAATTGAGTACAATCCCACATCACCACAATCTGTTTCAAGCATGAACCGCTGGCAAACCACTTGGAGCCACCATGTTCATACCTCGGACGTGTGTTTGGCACTATGGCACGCGTACGTCCCGCGGCAGGACAGACGTCGAAGTTGAATGTGCAGCAACAAAACCGGTGTCCGCCCGCTGATATATGTCTTCGCGTGCCTTCTCTGACCTGACTGGGACCGCGCGCTTTCATCTAAGGCTATGGCGGACTATAAGACCGTATTTCCAACCGCTGCTTGGTGCAAGCACCATAACGTTCGGCTGGAGGGACCCGAGGCATATGGATCCTCTAGCAAAGATGAAATTGAGCGAGAACGAACCACGGGTATCCGGCGCCATCAACCGCTCTCCCGATTGTTCAGTGGCGAGAACCGTGCTGCTGGTACGTACGGTGAGTATGATGCGGCAGCATCCCATACGGACGATCTTCCTGTACCGGATATCGTGAACCTGGAGCATGCCAAGCAGCAGCATGAAGAATACCAACACACTATAGGTGACCGCGGTGGCATAGACGCGATGTTCCAGGTCTGTGACTTCGCAAATCAATATAATTTCACGATCCACCGCCACTCAAATTACACTCTGAAGGATGTAAACACGGTGATCACCATCCGGGATCTAATGTGTTTGCCCGACTTCAAGCGCCTTGATCCCAAGCATCACGCTTTTGCTCGATTCGGGCTTCCTTTCACAGAAAAACAGATCAAGGAGCAAGAGTGGAGGGGCAAACACGACAAAGAGAAGAAGGGCAAGCACGAGGAAAAGGTTGAGGAGAAGGGCGAAGAGAAAGACAAGGAGAGGGACGGAAAGGAAGATGGCACCGAGGGAGAGGAACCCCAGAAGGAGCAGGAATCCGAGCCTTCTCCTAAGGAACGAGCATTCGCCGATGCTCTCATTGCGGAGATTAACACGATATCATCGTTCAAGAACGCGTTGGGGTTACCGGACGGTGATTTGCAGCCCATTACTCGCGATTCTTGGCAGCAGCTCGAATCACGGCTTAGCATTGAGGATCAGGTTTGTGCTCTTGTTGCTGCTGCGTCGAGCACGCCCGTAACCCAATCGCTCATAGAATACCCCGGACAACTGGGTTCCGAGGAGCGAGCGTCTCATGCGATTGACCGGCAAGCATCCGTACGTGGACAAACGATCTTTCATGTAGCGACTCTGTTGACCACGGAACGCAGGTTGAATGCTGAAGCCGACCTGAGCGAGCTGTATAATGCAGGCATGATAACTCCAACCAAGTATGTGACTCTCTCTTCCAAATTGAAATAGGATGTTGATCTCCACCGGCAGACTGCATTACGTTCGCAGTCACGGCCCAGTCCCTATGCTGGATTGGAATACGCACAAGCTGTCCGTCTCCGCTGAGCCAAAGGATCTTCTCCCCGGAGCGCGTGATTTCTCCATGAAAGAGCTTGCGGAGGACGGTCTCTTCGACGTGATCGAACTACCTGTAACCCTCGCTTGTGATGGTAATAGGCGCTCCGAGCTGAACACAATCCGAAAGAGGTAAATAACTCCAGGGGCACTTCGTTTCATGGGCTTATTGCTATTTTCTCGTCATGTAGTCAGGGAGTTCCATGGACCGCAGCAGGTGAGCGTTATACCCGCGCATCCTGCCCCGATGCCTCATCAGCATCTGCTCATAGGCGTGAGCACCTGCTTATGGCGAGGTGTGATGGTGCGAGACGTGCTCTTGTTCTGCGGTTTTAATCAAGATTGCCAAGCCGACGGCCGGTGGGTGAACTTCGTTCCGATAATGCATATGGCTACTGAGAATGGACGTCCATGGGATCCCTATAGAAGACTCTTCCTACACTACGAGGGTGCAGATGACTGCAGCGAGGATGTATACGCGACTTCCATACCATTCTTACATGCGTTCAACACGGAAAACGACTGCATGCTTGCTTTCGGTCGTAGGTGTTTCAGATCTCATTAGCCTATTTCAGAAATGCTTCATCGTTCGCATACAGAAAATGGACGTGTCCTTCATCCGGATCATGGGGCACCGCTCAGAGCCATTATTCCAGGATATGTGGGCGGGAGGAACGTCAAGGTATGCTTTGATCAGAAGTTTCGCTGGACCTCATTAATCGATCTATGTAGTGGTTACGAAAGGTGCACCTTATCTACTCGACGGGATCGTCTCAATGTCTAATGCCTTTGCAGATTTGGGTATCAACTAGCCCCTCAACAAACCATTATCATATCTGGTCCGTGTACTACCTCGTTTATCAGGCAGCTGGTCTCATCGTTAATTCAGGGATAATCGCGTTCTTCCCCCATTCATTACGTCGAAAGACACGCTCGAGGCCAAGGCCCTCTTCCATCACCCAGACACCGCATGCAATCAACAGCAAATACAGAGTGTTATCTGTTTTCCTGCTCACGGAGAACAGATCGTGCCCCCCACGGGCAAGGGTGCAATGAACAGGACATATAGGATCAAAGGCTTCGCCTATAATGGCTCGGGTGACATTGTACAGAGGATCGAATTGAGTCTGGATGGCGGCAAGAGTTGGAAGTAGTGAGTCGCCTCACGGTGGCGCTTGTGAGAGAAACGAGGCTCACGAGATGCCTAAGTTGTTTCCGGCAGTTCATAGACCAGCCCTTGCGACACGGTCAGAAGCATTGGGCTTGGATCTTCTGGCAAGTTTTCTCTCCATGCTGTTATTGATGCGGCACTTGCTGAAAAGAGTTTCCACAGGCACTGCGACGTTGAATATGACGAGCTTCTGAATGCACGAGAGCTCATCGTGCGCGCCTTCGACGCGCATTTCAATGGTCAGCCTGAGAATATCGTTTGGGTGGGTCCCTACCGACGATCTATGCAAATGCCGTTGCTCATGGAAGTATAAACCTAGAACATCCTTGGCATGGTATGCTCTTTCCCACTACTTCATGGTAAGATTTCATATTCAAAGCTTATCCCGTAGATGAACAACGCCTGGTATCGCGTCAAGCTGGGTGTAATGTCTGCCGACTCTGGCATTGTGGTGCAAGCTCAGCACCCTATCGCACCGGGTAATAGGGAAGGCGGATGGATGCTCCCTCCGCAGGAGGAGCGCGGGAACACAGAAAAGAGGCCGAGCTCAAGTGAGAAGACCTTCACGCTAGAGGAAGTTGCGAAACACAATACCGAGAAGGATTGCTGGATCATTCTTGACGAGAAAGTGTACGTGTTGACGACGCGACGCCTGAGACTCCTACTGACGTGTCATTGGCATCGCAGGTACGAGTGAGTAAATGGTTGCTCTCTGACGCAGAAGTATGATTTGACTGTGGACGACCAGCGTAACATCGGTTCTTGACTGGTAATCGCTTTGCTGCTGAGGTGAATATGCATTGACGTTCGCTCACAGGCATCCCGGTGGTGCGAAAGCCATCTTAGGATTTGCAGGGGAGGCATCTGTGGATGCCACGACCCAGGTACATGTATTTCCCCCAAGTCCCAAGTCCCAATAGCCGCTAACCACCATCGCAGTATGCCAGTATCCACGACAGTGTAAGCCTTGTTCTGTCTTCGCTCTGCTTCACAGGCAGCTCATCAACCAACAGTACGCCGATTCAAAGAGAGACGAGTGCTACATCGGTATGTTATTACCGTGTCGAATTCTCGTCTGCGAACTTACCAAGGGGACCAGGCGTTCTCACCGAGGCGGGCGCCAAAGCTATGAAAGAGGATGCAAAACGAGCTGCGAAGGAACTGAAGGAGCTCAAAGAGGGCCGCAAGGGTCTTGCGCTGATGCCCGATACATTCTGTCCGGTAATATTGAAGAACCGGCAGGTATTGAATGCAGATACTCGGTGAGACAGAGATGGTTCACATCGCCAGTCTAGGACACGGGGCTGACGCGCACGCAGTAAATACACCTTTGAGCTTCCCAAGACGCGTGAAGGCAAACCGGGTAGACTGGGGCTTCCAATCGGAAAGCATGTTGTTATTGTGAGATGAGCGGTGTTTGGATCGATGCCAATCCACTGACTGTTCCTTGCAGGCGTTCCACTTTAAGGATCAGGCGTGCACGCGCTCTTACACGCCAATCCGTCCTATCCTACCAGAGGAAGAAGACGGGACGTTCGATCTGTTGGTTAAGACGTATCTGCCCACCGAGAACGGCAGTGCATTCCCGCCTGGTGGGTTCGTTCGGAGATTGGTCTTGCACACGCTGAAATGGCGAGAGCAGGTGGGACTATGGGGAACTTCCTCGATGTTCTACAAGAAGGCCAGGAGATCGATGTTCGTGGGCCCACGGGCGAAATAGAGTATCGAGGTCAAGGCAAGTTTAAGATCGAGGGCAAGGAGAAGCAATTCGCGAAGGCAAGCGCTTGTTTCGTTGCTGCGCTTGCACTGAGTTGCCTGACGAACCGCCTCCGCGTGCGCAGATCAACCTCGTCGCCGGAGGTTCTGGCCTCACGCCGCACTGGCAGCTCATCCACGCCATCCTGAAATCGGGCGACTCGGACAAGACGCGGATCTCGCTCATCGACTGCAACAAGTCGGTCGACGACATCCTCATGCGGGACGAGCTGCAGAAGTACGCGGACGACCGTCCGGACCAGTTCAAGCTCTGGCATGTGGTCGCGAAGGTCCCCGATGATTGGAAGTACGACACCGGGCGGCTGAACGAGGATATCATGCGCGAGCATTTCTTCCCGGCCGGAGACGACGTCGTGACGCTGGTACGTGTTGAACTTGCGCGGTGAATGCTATGCGATAAACGCTCTTCGTAGTTGTGCGGTCCTCCTGGGTTGATCGAGCACGCCGCCGTGCCTGGGCTGAAGAAATTGGGATTCAAGGACGGAGAGACCCTCTTCGGTTTCTGAAACTGACCGTGCCCGCACTTGTACGCTGATGGTGGTAAAAATAACATTATTTGAATCATTGCGGATTATCCTAGAATGTGTGGTAACGGTCTAAGGTGGCCGTAAAGGGCGCGATGATCGATGATGTCTAACTACTGAAAACGGCAAAACCAGTCCGATGAAGGAACGAAATATGTGTCGTTGATGGTGGATGGTGGATGATGCCCGAAATCGGTCTATGGTGCTCTACAGGACGAGACGGCGGAGGAAGCTTTTACGCGGTTGCACGCTTCGAGCGCGCCCGGATGGACTTGCCGAACCGGTAGAACAGGAAAGGGATGGGGATCATGGCGAGGGAGACGAAGGCGAGAAGAGAGGCTGCCCAGCCATTGCCGAGGCCGTGGTACATCTGGGTGATGAAGAGCGGCATGGCCGCGCCAGCACCGGAACGGATGACGGTCTTGGCGGCGAGCGCGCTGGCGACGTAACCCGGGAAGGCGTCGATTAGGTAGGCGTTGGCGGAGAAGTAGATGATGACCACTGCGAAGAGATGAGAGTTAGCATCGAAGAGGAGTAATGTAGGGAAGGAGGGACGCTTACTGCCAAAGCCGAAGGGGATACCGGAACTGACGGGACCGACCCAGTTGCCACCGCCGGGCTGCACGTACGGCGGACTCGTCCAGCCGAAGATGAAGAGCGAGATGGGCACGAACGGGCCGCCGATCATCATGCCGATTAATCTGTCCTCTGGGTCGGCGCGCCCGCCCTTGGCCGCGGCGCGCTTCGCGTAGTTCTTCTCGAGCTGGGGCGTGACGAGGAGGGCGATGGCGAGGCCGATGAGGACGGAGCAGAAGGTGAGGCCGACGTGGCCGTCGTCCCAGGCGTAGTCCTCGCCGAAGACGACGGGGAAGGAGAAGAAGAAGGCGTATAGCAGGCCGTAGATGAGCGCGATGAAGAGCGACATGAGGAGCAAGATCGGCTCGGTGACCGTCATCTGGAAGGGCCGGATGAGGGTCTCGGTCAAGATCTGGCCGAAGGAGGCTTGGAACATCTCTTGCTCGGTCGTGTAGCTGGTGTCGCCGGTTTCTTCGCGCAGGCGCGCGGCACGCTTGCGGAGGAGCACGGGCGCGAACGTTTCGGGGATAGTCATGATGAAACACGCGACGACGCCGGCGAAGATCATGTTGACCCAGAGTATCCAGCGCCAGCCGACGGTTTCGCCGACGAAACCACCGACGATGGGGCCGAGCACCGGTCCGCCGTACGGGGCGGCGGCGAAGAGGGCGATTGCGAAGCCGCGCTCGTTGTTGTCCCAGACGTCGGAGATCGTGCCGCCGGCGAGGGTGAGGGGGGCCGAAGCGAAGATGCCGCAGAAGAATCGGCAGATGAGGAGGGTCTGGATGTTTTTGGCGAGGGCGCAGGGGATGTTGAAGATAACGTAGATGATCGTCGGGATGATCCATAGCGGTCGTCTGCCGTAGAGCTCGGAAAGCGGAGACCACGCCAAGGGGCCAATGCTGAGATAGGGGCGAACGTCAGCGATTACGCCGCAAGGGGTCGACTATAGCGAAGACTTACCCGAATCCGACGACCATGAGGGTTACCGAGAGCGCGACGACGACTTCGCCGACGTGAAATTCTTCTTCGATATCGTGGAAGTCGCCAGTGACGACTGCGGAGGCGAACGCGACCGAGACGACGGACATGGCAGCGACGGCGGTGATGTACCACCGGTACGCATCGCTGAAGTTACGCGGATCTTCGGGATCGTCCTCCTTCCATGTGACGAACTTCATGTCCTTGAGCTTCATCGCCTTCTCCGCGTCCGCGAGGACGGTCGGAGTACGGTATAGCCGGGAGGGCACAGGGTGAAGCGCCTCCTTACCGGGGATGTAACCCTGGGCGGTGGACATACGGTACTCGTCGGTCATACCGCCGACCTCGACGTTGGTCGTGGCGGCGGGGAAGGACATATCGGGTCGAGTGAGGTCATGGGAGAAGGTCGAACGCTGCGAGGAACGGGAGAAGGAACGGGTGAGGTTCTCGCCCGTGTGCGAGAGCGACTTGTGGAGGGAGAGGGAGAGGGCGCGGTGAGGATTGGGCGCGGGCGTGCGCTGCCGCGAGAGGGCGGCATTGTGCTCGCGGTCGTGCGCCGGCTCTTGGAAGTGGACGGGGTGGGCAGCGTCGGCGTCGGCGTCGTGGCCGTGGGCGAGGGTGGTCGTCTCCGACAGATCTGACGGGGACACTGCGAATATCAGTACTCGATGTCGGTGCGATGCGTTAGATGGGAAATACTCACTGTGAGGAGAGTTTTGTCCGGACATTATGACCGGAAGGTAGGGGGTGGGGGGTTGGTTGGGAGAATATATGCTGGAAGGCAAGGGGGCCCTGGGCCTTTATAGTTTGCCAGCAGGACATTCCGGTCGGCGTCGACGGAGAAAGTACGTCGGGAGATGGGGCAGCTCGGCACTGGGCGGTTGAGACAGGAGGCCATTGGCGCTGCAGCCCAGGTCGGCGTCGGCGGCGGCGCCCAAGTTCTGCCACAAGCCCTTCGGCTCATCTCTGCCCCGGCATCCCGGCAAAACCCGGGACTGCCCGCGCCGGGCTGTGGCGGTGCACACCCGGGAGCTTTCCAGAGCCAATCCGGCGAGTCTCACCGAGCGTCGCACCAATCCGCGCGCGGTCCACCATCGTGGATTGGCATCTTGAGAAATTATGGAAATCGATTGGGCGTGGGTCGCTACTAGGTCCTTACTAGCCCTACCTACTCTTACAGCTCCAGGTCCATCTTCTCCGGCCATCGCGTCTCCCACCAGTCCGTCAAGGCCTCTCGAGCCTCCGCCAGGTGCTCTCGGTCCGAAGGCATGATGTCGTCGTTGATGCACAAGAACACCGGGTCGCCCTTCTCGCCCTCGTCCAGCGCGCGCAGGTTGTTCCGCGCATACGCCGCGTTCAGTACCTTGAGAAACTCCGTCGGCGTGTCGCTCACCGCGTACGAGTAGCGCTGCAGTAACCGCAGAACGAACGCGCGCGGGTCCGCCGGCAGCGCGAACGTTCGAAATTCCGAGAGCGCGAGCGGCAGCGCGACGCGCTCTGCCTCTCGCGTCCGTTCGCCGTCTGACTCCGGGGCTCCCTCACTCGAAAGCGGAAGCGGAGGGGGCAAGAACGCGGACACGCCAGACGTGCCGGAGCGCCCCATGAGCGCCGATATCACTGCGCGATCATAAACCAAGACCCAAGATCAGCATAATCACGAGCTTGTGCAGCAGAACGGGAGAGGCAGCAGGAAGAGACGGGTGTTTACCGCAATCGCCGCCCGGCGTGAGGAGCAGGCGCTCGAATACCGCTACCGCGGGCTCGTCCCCTTCGCCCAGGCTCTGCTTTCGGTCAAGGGTGCACGCCGGCCACTTCGTCGGGTGATCTCCGACAAGATCGACGAACCCGCCGACGGTCCTGATTCGCGGGTCCTTCTTGAGCAGCCTGAGATAGTGGTACGGATAACCGTCGGCGGACACTGTGTAGCAACTTTGCGTCAACGCGCGCTGTCGTGCATGTAGGCGACACAGCCGGGCGATGTCTCTTGACGTACCCCAGGAGTAGTTCGTACGGAGCAGCGGCGGGAGCCCGCTCTGGCGCAGGTTGTCGCCCACATCCGCTCGGGAGCGCCGCACCGGAATGGGGACGTCCACCGTGTGGCTCGCGTGCGAGGACGTTCCGCTACCTCCCCCAAGCTCGGCCCACATCTCCGCCTTCTGCGCCGCCGTCAACACGCTATCGCCCCCGCCGCCCCATTTCGCGATCACCCAGCTCCACAGCATGGCCTACGACGCGGCCAAAAAAATGTATGAGTATGGCAGACCCCATACGATCAGAAGGGGTTTATGAAAAAGAAAAACACGCGCACCTCGCGATGGCGCTCGACGACGAAGTGGATGGCGAGCCAGAGCGTGTGGCTTTCCGGCCGATGCGGGTCCGCGCCCCTGGTGCGCGCGTGCGCCGTCAGCTGCCACACCTCCGGGAACGCGAGCTTGGCCTCGTGCAGCAGCGGGAGCGGGACGCTACGCACGTCGTGCGCGATGTACGGCCGGCCTCTCACCTCGCGCCCGAGGTCTTTGGCGTTGGGGCGGGAGGGGTCGCGGATGCCGAAGCGGGCGGAGAGCGCGAGGCCGGCGACGCGCATGCTCGTCATTTCGCCCGGTTCGCGGCCGATGCCGGGACGGATGAGCAGCTCGGGGTGGAGCCGGAGGACGGGGCCGTAGAGCGGGGTGTGGAAGGAAGAGGGCGTGAGCGGGTGCAAGAGGAAGATGTCGTCCATGAGGAAGACGCTGCGATAGGCGGGTTATGGGCATTCCTTTCGGGAGTGGGATGAGGGGGCGACGAACGTGTTGTCGGAGACCTCTGATGGTGATAGGTTTGCGAGCTGGCTTTCGACGGCCATGCTGGAAGAGTAACATCAGCTGATGCAGCTGAGAGCAGAAAGGGTGTAGGCGACCTGTTGAAGGTGGGCAGGACGGACGCTTGCCATTGCTCAAACGCAGCTTGACTGGCCGCCGCTCTGAGCGAAGGACGGAAGATGTCGGCATCTGCATAGCACCATTAACGTTGTCCGCCTATACATCAATAATTCGGGTACGCGCCGTGATGCAACAACAAATCAGGCGTGCTCTCGTTGGTCCGTAACCATTGAGGAATTTGGCCCATCCGCTGTCCGGGAGGCACCTCCAAGCCCGAAGGGAGACCCTCGGCATAGCTGTTAGAGATGAGGTGCCGTTGTGCTTCCTTCCAGTTCTCGGTATTCTTCAGGACCGAGCGAAGGGAATATCGAAGCTCGTCGTTCTCGCGAAAACGCTTCTTGTCAAGCCAGGGGACGTGACGGACACGAGCTGCACGGTGCGCAGGATCTCTAATAGAGGTGCAAGTCAGACGTCAAGTAGGAGGGTATCCACGTAAGTATTCGACTCACGAGCCGTTCACCCACGTCCACACAAAGTCGATCCGTGGTTCGGCTAGCCGCACGCTCGAGCAGGCGCCGCCCCATACACCCTTGCCTATCCATTCCTCAAGGCATTCGAGCGGAAGGGCCTCGTAACCGCCCATCCTCCGCGGGTCAAGTCCTAACTCATTCCGGTCGTACGATTTGGGGGTGAATACATGGTACCGCGGTGTATACGACTCATCCTCCTCTTCAATCACGAGGTCCTCTTTGGTCGTGGGCGTCCAATCATGTCTGCGCTTTGGAAAGATCACAAAACTGAGAGCCCACATTGCGCCGACGAGTAAGATGCGAGAGAGTATGCGCAGGTGAGCCCGACTGAAGAACGGTCGGACGGCGGCCCATCGCCATGGCCGGTCCATGGCGAAGCGACTGCGAAGCGGGTGTTCTCATTAGAAGACGTGACGCGCACGCGTGATGTCGCGCGTTGCAATCGTGACACGATCACGCTGTCGCGACAAAGGCGCGCGATCGCCGGATTGCGGCCCCTTTACTTACACCAACCGTGACTCCTACCAGCCATGCCTGAGCTATCCGCCTAGTGAGCAGCGCACGTATCTCTTGGAATGTGCGCGGCGCTGACGAAACGATTATGTACTAGCGAAATAGAACGCCAGGCAAACATCGCCCGCAACAAAGCGCTGCTCGAGCAGCTCGAGCTCGACGAAGCAGCAGCCGCACTCGGCGCGCAGAAGAAGCGATCTGCGCCCACGGCCAAGCCCGTGCAGCCCGCGAAGAAAAAAGTGAAGCGCGAGTCGGACGAGATTCCCGAACCGAGGCGGCAGAGCAGTCGATTGAAGCGCTCGGTCGTCGACCCCGATGAGACACCAGCGAAGAGGCGGAAGCGCGAGGTGATGTCGTCTCCTCAACTGAAGGAGTAGACATTGCTCACGGCGGAACTGTAGCAAGAGGAGGAGGCATTGCGGAAGAAACTGGAAGAAGAGCGTCTCGCCGCGGAGGAGGCCGCTCGCGAGGCGGCGAAGCCGAGACACCACGATATGAACCTCCGTCTCCTCATGGGTGAAGAGACGATTACCACCGACATGGAACTTGCCGCGCTTGAGGATACGTTGAAGGTTATCACACTGGCTCCGCATCCCCGTCGAACCGCGGACCAGGATGCCTTCGTATTTGCGGATGACAAGGAAGAGAAGCGTGCAAAGCGAGAGACAGAAGAGTTAAAGAAGAAGCTCGGGTCTTTGAAGGTTGTCTCGCGAGCAAAGGTCACCAAGGATCGCGTGTACAGCGCTGCATACCATCCCGAGCCTACTAAAGACCTCGTTTTCTTCGGTGGTAAGCATCACGCAAATGTGACATGGCCCTTGCTGATGTTTGCGCCGCATATATGCACCCACAGATAAGCATGGCCAACTCGGCATTTGGGACGCTCGTGCACCGCCCTTCGAGACCGTCGGCGACGACGACGACGAACGTCCGCCCGAACAACGCGAAAACGGCTGCTACTGGCGCTTACAGTGTCACTGGCCCGCCACCTCTAAGTCGTCCATCTCCTCCATCAAGTTTTCCCCGACCGACGGCCACAGCGTCTACACCTCCGCGTACGATAACACCGTCCGGCACATGTCCTTCACCACCGGGCTCTCGCGCGAGGTTTTCGCGACCGACGACCGGCAGCAGCTCTTGAGTTCGCTCGAGCTGTCACCCGCCGGCAACGAGATGTGGGTGTCTGACGGCCTCGGCGGCGTGACGCACCTCGACCTGCGCCAGGATACGCGCAAGGGTAAGCATCGCTGGTTCCAGCTGAGCGACCAGAAAATCGGCTGCGTGAGCCTCAACCCCGTCGACCCACGCTTCATGGTCACAGCCAGCAACAGCCGGATACTAAAGTGCGCAAGCTCACTTATACATGTGAATGATGCTGGATTAACGGCATGCTGAACAGAATATGGGATGTCCGCAAGCTTGCAGGAATCGCCGTCGCTTCTTTAGATGACCAAGGTAGCTCATTGCCTACGCCTCCACCCACTTCTCCGACGAGAGGATCCTCTCCCGCTCATCCCATTACAGACTCAACAGGTACGGAATTGCAGCTTTCGGTGTACTCTCAATCACCCGAGCTGGGCATTGCAGAAACCCAGGAATTTGACTTGGAGGCCATTGGTGAATATATTGCCTCGAAGAGCGGCAAGGGTACCCTCAAAGGCGAGTGGACACACCACAAGAGCGTCAGCTCGGCATACTGGGACCCCGCCGGGAGACGGATCGTGAGCACAAGCTACGACGATACACTCAGACGTGCGTGTTGCCGTTTACTAGCGTCGGCTCACGGTGCAGTCTCATAACGGTCTTTTTACAGTGTGGGATATCAGTCCCAGTAAGCTCGACGCGCACGGCCCTTTGTCATCGTCTCGTCCATTCACGCAGGTTCAGCATAACTGTCAGACGGTGCGTATGCTAAGCGTGTCATCCGATTCAATATACCTAACCAATTTCCAGGGTCGATGGGTATCTGTCTTCAAAGCCCAATGGAGCCCCAATCCCGACGTATATCCACATTTCAGTGTAAGCCCGCTGATCCTGAAAATCTTGGGCCGTGTATTCACGATCGTCCGGTGTAGATCGGGAACATGAACCAGTCCCTGGATATATATTCCTGCAAGGGAGACCTTGTAGCGAGGTTATCCGATAGCACCAGGTCAGTCGTGCCCTTTCGACGATTGCGACGTTGCCTCATCACGTCTCGTTTTCTTAGAATCACCGCCGTACAGGCCGTGACAGCCTTGCATCCGAATGTCCTTGAACGCGCCGTCAGCGGCAACGCCAGCGGGCGCTGTGTCCTATGGGCTCCCGAGAATCTATTGTAACGCCTAGCATTAATTTATACTTCGATTTATATGTGTATATTGATATCACTGTCTATGGAACGTCTCTCTCTTTATCGTCAGGCACCTGACGGTTTGATAATTTACAGAACTTCCTCATGATGAATTGCGATACAGCGGGGACCTTCAATTCAAAGCCGGAGAATAGTCGTGGCGCCGTCAGTTACCTTACACTTCAGTGATCCGGCAATTTCACCAAATTGCGTCCCTTTGGATGTTTGTACGACATCGTTGCTGGTATGAAGCTTCTCCAACTTCCTTCCAAATGCTCGCGACATGAACCGTCGAAAGTCGTCATCACCAATGAGTGGTGTTGCATTCTTCAAGTGTAAGGTCGTACGGAGGCGGTCGGTCAAAACTGTTGTGCTTATTTTTCATGATGTCTGAAAGCTCGAGGACTTTGCGCCACCAGAGTGGGACGAAACGAACGGAAGTCCATTGATGACTGTGCATTGAAGGAAGTACTTCACGTGGCCCGCGGGCTTGAAGAGACGCGGCAAATGGGGTGGCGATGTTCTCGCCTTTTGGACGATGATATTCTGGCGGTTAATAGGTCGACGAATGTTCTAAACGTGCGCGAGCAAGGACGCAAGACTGGCTAGCCTACTCCGTTTTCGTTTTCCGAGACTATACCCACTGTATATACGCGCGGATCGCACTAGGAGACCGTACGCCATGGCACAGGCACCACCCGCAATTACCGTCCCGGAGGGCTACACCTTACACACGGAGAACACGGCACACATCCTATTACCCTCCTCAGAAGAGGTCTTCCTAAATCCAGTGCAAGAGTTCAATCGCGATCTGAGCGTGGCCTGCATCCGCGTATGGAGCGAAGATCTAAATGCAGTGAAGAAAAACAAATGGCTCGTGGCCGAAGAGCGGCGGGCAAATAAATCTGCAGATGGCGGACCGCACAAGAAGCGGACGAGAGGTGAGCCTTGAACAAATCTCCGGGCGCGAATGTGCTGACAAGTGCTAGTAGAGGATGGCGCAAAGGAATCCGCGGCGGAGGAAGTGGTTCAAACCGCGAACGGCGCCGAAAACCTTCCCGTTCCTACCTCCGAGTCTTCCCATGCACCAGTCAAGGAGGTGCGTATCCATCTCGTGTGATCATGCTACGGTAATCTTAATGCAAGGTCTTCAGTACCATTCTCACAAGGTCGTGATCTTGGAAGCGCTGTCCGCGACAGGTCTGAGGTCTATTCGATACGCGAAGGAGATACCGCTCGTGAAGTGCGTCAGCCTCCCTGGCTTCCATCGCAGCAACCCAGATGACCGAATCCAGATACGTGATAGCTAACGACCTATCGCCCTCCGCGGTAGAGGCGATCAAGAGGAATGTTGCTATGAATGGATTGCAGGAGCTACCGACCGCTTCCGGCGACTCTGCAGGAACACCATCGTTGCCACCACAGTCTGCAACAATCCAGGTGAACGAAGGCGACGCTTGGTAGGTACCGCTCTGCCTACATCAGGGATGAGAGATGAACCACACTCTGTAGCGCTTTGATGTACAACCATCGCACACCTCGAAGTCGCGTCGATGTTGTTGATCTCGACCCTTATGGCACTGCAGCACCCTTCATTGATGCAGCTGTACAAAGCGTCAACGACGGCGGTGCGTAATGAGCCGTCTCGCCCTCAGCCGAAGATTGAACGCGCAACGGACCTTAGGGTTGCTGTGTGTCACATGCACGGATCTGCAGGTATTGGCTACTACGAACTATCCCGAGAAATGGTGGGTGTTGCCGGTTCGTTGTAGTGTTCTGCAGCGCATAGACTGATTTGAAGTCAAGCTATGCCAACTACGGAGGCATTCCGGTGAAATCGGAATGGTGTCATGAAGCCGTACGTCGAATTCACCACTCTATTGAACATCGTCTCATCCTTGCCAGGCGCTACGTTTGGTGCTTCATAGCATATCCACTGCTGCTGCTCGTTACGGGCGCTACATCAAACCTCTCCTGTCCCTCTCAATCGACTTCTACGTTCGTCTTTTCCTGCGGGTTGAGTCATCTCCGAGCGAGACGAAAAAGGCCGCGAGGTGAGTGCATTTTGATTTGACCCTCTATTTGCCTGATTTTGTTCCGTTAGCAAGACGTCCATCTTTTATGTCTGCAGCGGATGCCAGTCATGGCATGAACAACCGCTTGGAAGGATGGTCGAACGGCCTCCACAACCTCCGCTGTTCAAGGTTCAACCTGGCCCTACTGTTGAGCCAAAGTGCCCCGAGTGCGGTTTCGTCATGCATGTAAGTTCACTCCCATGTCCTTTGCTTCGGCTATTCCTGAGAGTTGCAGCTTGCTGGCCCGATGTGGTCAGGACCCTTGCACGACACCGAGTTTGTGACCAAAGTACTGGCGCATGCCGAAGAAAACGCCGCGAGTTATGGTACCGCTACCCGGATGAAGGGGATGTTAACCGTTGCAAAAGAGGCGAGCTCTGTTTCCCGAAACATCCAGGGTTTCATCTGCATGCTCAAACGCCATCATAGGAGCTGGAAACGCCGTTCTATTTCACTCCTACGAAGATAGCCAGTCTATTTCGTTGCATCTGCCCGTCGCTGGACGAGGTCGCGTGCGTGTCGTCTCCATTGACTGAGTCTCGTAGGCGTCGCTGAACGCCACTACAGATCTGCGCTGCTGCATGGCGGACACAAAATATCTCGATCGCACGCGTGTCCAGGTTCTCTAAAGACAACTGCTAGCCGGACGGATATTCACGATATCTTCCGCTCCTGGGTGAAAACCCATCCCGTACGCATGGACAAGGTGTCGGATACGTCTCCCACCCACGCGCTACTGCAAAAGGAGCCTAGGTACGTTGCTAAAAGCACTGTCGCCCCAATGCCCTCACAATTGTTTGCAGCTCCGAGGCGAACTTCACTCGTCATCCTGACAGTGTAACGCGATCGTATAAAGTCAATCTCGTCCGTTACCAGGAAAACCCGACGTCGCACTGGGGACCCAAGAAGGCCGCGGCCGGTGGAGGCGTCAAGCGCAAAAGGGAGAAGGATGAAGGCGCATGACACCGTTAGCTAACAACATACCAACAGAAGTAATATAAAGTACATGAAAGCGGATGATTAACCTGCGTTGGTCTACAAGCGTGATGTGTGCGTGTGCGAATAGCGAATGACGAAAGGATCATGAAAAGGAGGCAATTACGACTCGGAAGCAGCGGCTGCCTTCGCACTGGCGCTTTTCTTCTCCGACTTGCTGGGTTTGCCGACGATCCAGGGGTGGACTAGCAATTCACCCGCGGAAGGACGCTTTTCGTAGTCGAGGTCGAAGGTACGATCCAAGAACGATTCGGCATCGGCCGATATGTCTGGGGGATTCGGAGGACGTGCTGATGATCCACCAATCTTTGGAAGAAAAACAAAAGCTGGTGAGGCCGCATTTCACATTGCACAGAGTGGCAGACGTACCTTGAAGATGGCTTGCATCTGTGTCAGCTGCGCCCATGGATGCTCGCCAGTAAACATCTCCACTACTAAACATCCAACGCTCCAAATGTCAGCCTTGAGCGTGTATGCTGTCTGTTTGACGACTTCAGGAGCCATCCAGAACACCGAGCCTTGCAGCGAAGGACGATGAGCCCGGTTACCACCCATAAGGCCTAGGAAAACAATGAATAATGGCATCTGCATAGCCAGATGACGTCACCTACTCTCTTTCGAGGCCTTTTTGGAGATACCGAAATCGGATATCTTAATGCTGCCCTTGTTATCGACGAGAATGTTGGCACCCTTGATGTCGCGATGTATGATATCCTTGTCGTGCAGGTACTTGAGGCCTTGCAGGATCTGGCGGACGAAGTTGCGGACGAGAGGCTCCTCGAAGGCGCCGTAGTTTCGTAACAACGCCGTGATGGAACCACCCGGTACATATTCCAAGAAAATATTCAGGTATTCGTCGTCGGTAGAGGACGCTGGGACGGATGAGCTTCTTGAACATGTGCGAAAGGTCAATGATATCGCTTACATAAATATTGGACAATGTTCTCGTGTTGCAGGTTCTTGAGTAACGCAATCTCCCGCTCCAGAGCTGTTAGCATGCTCTTCTTGCGTTCGTCGTTGGGCGTGTTGCCCTTCGGTAGCTCGACTTGTTTGACGGCCATGAGAAGTCCATTCGATGCGCCCATACCAAGGTATACTTTGCCGAACGATCCTGCACCGATGAGCGCACCCTTGATCCACTTGATCTCTTCTGAGATATGCAGTGTTTGATTCAGAGCAACAACGAGGAAAGGAGCGGGACCCACCCTCTTCGCCGGCTTCCTCTTCTTGTACACTTTCGTTGTCGACGGTTTCATCGTCGTCCTCTTCGGGGACGAGTTCCGTATCCTCTGTGATGAGATCTTCGTCGGAGTCCTTCGGTACGTCGGCTTCCTCGGCGTCGACACGCGTCCAGTCGTCAGATTCCATCGTGCTGAACGCGACGCTGTCTCGCCGGCTCTCGACTTCCGCCGTGATCTGATCAACGGTCATGAGACTTGCAGTATCTGACCGGTCGCGCTTGCTGCGCAACTCCGTCATGTAACTCATTCGTCGAGACGCGCGCGTCGAGGACCGCGTTGACATCGAATCGCGCGCCACACCTTCAAGAGACTGCGACAGCGACTCCGTCGGGAGGTTGACTGGTGGTAATATATGCGGCGACTCCTCCTCGGTCGTATGCTCGTCGCCTTCGACCGTCATGTCGATCGATTGCCCGTCCTCCGTCGAGAGCGACACACGCGGCGGCGGATCGGGGACGTGCAGCTCGCCGTTGGGCGCGAACGAGATCCTCGAGTCCGTGCTCGCGCGCGGTTGCGAGCCCTGCGTGCTCGTGCTGAAACGGCTCGAAGGGGGCCGGTTCCACGGCGCGTTCGGGCCGCCGAGCAGGCTGTTGCGCGCCATGCTGTTGCGCGCGGTGCGCTCGAGCACCTTGCGGGACGTCGCGGGGAAGTACTCGTGCAGGTGCGTCGTGATGAGTTCGCTCGGCGGGCGCTGGCCGAAGAAGTTGCGCAGCTTGGACGGCGTCTGGCGGAAGGTCGCGCTCAGCGGGCTCTTCGTTGGCGGCGCGGGGGGCGCGGGGGACTGCGTCGGCGACGTGGGCGGCTCGAGGGCTTTCTCCGGGTCGCGCACGCCGAGGCCGCTGAGGATGCTGATAGAGCTTGCACGTTTCATGTTCGCACTGGTCGAGCCCGACGGGGCGAGGTATTGCGGGTCGGGGCTCGTCGATCCGAAACGCGGGCTGGTCGGGCTGTTGCGCTGGCCGGAAGGTTCGCCGAAGATGTTCTGCAGAGGTTTGGAGCGCTTCGCTTGGCCCGCGCGGCGGAGAGAGAGCCCGTGTCGGGTAGGGTCATCGGGTTGGGCATGGCACACGGCCACGATGTCAGCTTCAGTCATTGGAGTCGCTGGGAGCTGCCGTTAGCATATACCATATCGCGAGGGCCAAATCATCACTGACTAGCATTCGAGCTGTAGTACACGCCCCAGCCGTCGAGCGTGAGCCCGCCCTCCGCCGTGCTGACGTAGTCCATAATGCTCCCATCCGGATCGATCTTGGGCAGCTTGCCAAACTTCTTGAGCGCCTTTTCGAGCACCTCCACGCCGCCGGTGCAGTCCGTGACGTTGATCGTCGTCTGCTGCGCGCCGGCCTCGATGTTGTTCTGGATCGTGCCCATGTCGAGCGAGAACTTGACGAGCCGGCGGCGAAGGTCGTCGAGCGAGGGCGTGGCGGCGTGCGAGGAGCCGGCGCCCTTGGACGCGAAGGGGCCGCGGCCGACGGAGTACGAGGGCGTCGTGGATGCCGGCGTGCTCGGCCCCTGCGACAAGAACGACTCGGCGATGGGCGAGAGGTTATGCGCCGCGTGGGCGGCGGCAGGGGGGGCGAGCTGATACGGGTGCGAGTTCGAGCTCGTGGAGGGCCGCTGAGGGAGGGACGGCTTTGCGGCGGTGGCGCCCGTGGCGGAGGAGGCCGAGTTGTTGCGAGCGTGGGAGGCGAGGAGGGAGGCAGAGCGCGAGGAGCCGCGCGGAGGGTGGTTGGTGGTCGTGTTGGCATTGGCACTGGTGGTGCCGTTGGCATTGGCGAGGGGGGAGACGGGGCGCGCAGGGCGACCGGAGCGTGGGTCAGAGGGAAGACCGTATGAACCCGTCCAGCTGGAGCCAGGCTGGGACGGCGCGGTGTTGGGCGGGAGGGGTAGAGGCTGGTGAACGTACGGCGCGGGCTCAACCTGGGAGGGCGTTGGCGTGCTGCGACCAGAGGGAACGTTGAGGCCGCGAGGTGGCGCGCGCACAGGAGGAGGCATAGGCGGCTGGCCGCGCGGGGCCGGGGGCAACGGCGGGATCGTGCGCACGGAGCTCGCGGTGTGTGGAGTCGCCGCGGCGGCGGCGGAGGTGGTGGAGGTTTGCGGCGTTTGCGTTTGGGCGGCGGTGAGAGGCGTGGAGGTGTTGGGCTGGTGTGCGCGGGCGGAGCGCGCCGAGTCGGGCGCGGAATCGCGGACGAGGGCTGGAAGGCCTTGTCGGTCGAGGGGATTGAGCCGGAGGGGCGCAGGGCGCGCGCCGTCGAGGCGCCGTGAGCCGAGGCGGCCGGAGGGAGATATTTGCTGCTGCTGGTCATTGGTCCCGGGCTTGTGCGTTCCGTCGCCATTAACGCCGTTCGTGGTGACATTGACTCGGGGACGGTTGACGCTGGTGGGTGTCGGGATGCTGCGCTGAGAGCAGCGCTGGCGGAGGACCTTGACGGCGTTCATGATCCGCAATCTATCTCCGATGCTGGGAATGCCCATCTCCTTCAGGGTGGCCTGATCGAGCTCGAGTAGGACGTCGCCGCGGATGTCGTGCTCCCGAAAGGCGTCGGCATGGTGGCCGCACCGGTTTTCGGACAGCCAGCGGGCGGTGTCGGCGTCGGACCAGGTGCGAAGGTAGTCGACGTAGGAGACGCCAGGGGGCGGGTCGCCGAGACCGTTCACGACGATGACTGAGCCACGAACGGAGCTGCGCCGTGGTTGCGCTGGGGTTTGAGAGTAGATGGAGGTGGTCGGGGAGGTCGGGGAGGGCGCGGAGGAGCTGGGCTGGGAGACGAGACCGTTGAGGACGAGGGAGGTCATGATTCGGATGGGATGACGGCTGTTGACCAGGAGTGAGGGTGTGCGCGAAGAAGTGATCGCAGGCTCAAGCTTCAAGAGGCAAAAGTCGAAGGCGTTAGTCGTATCTGACCGTAGCGCCCGGCTATGTCTGGATCACCGTACAGCACGTAGAGCGCGACGAGGAGAGTTGTCAACACAATGAAAAGCAGGCTCGAGGGTTATGAGACGTACCAGCATTAGTCGCACAAAAGGCTCTCCCAAACGGAATACAACAACGCGCGGTGTGAAAACCCAGACGGAAGAGGTGCCGTTGTATTGTCCGGGATTGGGCCGGACGAAGGAAGAGTTTATAGCGGGCCCGCACTAGCTTTCAGAGAAATATAAGGCGGTCCACTGAGCGGCGCAGAGAAATGCTCGCAAGAGACGGAGAGACGGAAAGAACAGGCCAAATTGTGGTCGCTCACCGTCGGCTCGCTAACGCATGAGCCACCGATCAGATTCGTGTTGGCGCTTCACGTGCCGATCTTGTTCGCGTTCCTTGCTCCCAGCTCTCATGTTCGCGCTATAGTTGCTACAAGAACCCTTGGAATAAACACGGAACGAGGCAGACAGGCGTCCATTTGTAGCGTGTCCAAGCAGCGGCGGCGACACCGACTCAAACGCAAGCTTATTGCTTCCACGACCAGAGCAGCACGCGCAAAGCTGTATGCAGATTGCTGCATCGCGACATGATGGTGGCGAGCCGTCCCGCCGCATCCAATCTCTGTTCGATGATGGTAACAAACGGAAAGACATGATGAGCGCCGAGTCGAGACGCATGATGCATCTATCGCTCGCTGTCCCAGTACTTATCAGCGCGGTTCGGTAGAGACGACGAGATCTGTCAAGGCTCTCGATGAGTTACTATTCGTGACGATTCCCCGCTGATCCAGTGCCAGTATACAAACTGAGAGCCTGGGATCTGCAGCTGCGGCGGTGGATATTATCGGCGACTGCGACCCCATGGGCGAGCACGGCTTCGTCTGTTCACTGCGAACGAAGCGGGAAAGCGCCGCGCACGGCAACGGGCATAAATCGCCACCACGAAACCTTCGCGCCTTCGTCGTCGGTTCGCTGCCAGCCCCGTTCCCCTGCGGGCCCGGCAAAGGTGAGTATAGTCGGGCGCTGACAGCGCGCCCGCTTGAGAGAAATACACTCGGGTGAACGAAACGGGCCGGAATAAGAGCCTGGGACACTGGCGGTGGGTGCAGGCCTGCCAATCAGAGCGGTGCCTGGGAATTCCCACGCCGACCTGGACGCGGCGTCAAAAGGCTTGACCCGTCCTCGCTGAAACCCTGTTCGCTCCTCCGGCCAAGTCGCCGCCCTCCACGCCCGTTCCCTTTTCCTCCTTATAATATCCCCACCCCCCGACGAGGTTCCGCTTTTTGTTCTCCACCGCCATGGCGTCCCGGTGCGCACTGCGCCGCCTAGTCGCCGCCGCCGCCCTCGCCTTCCTCTCATTCGCCCCCACCCTCACGACCGCATCGCCCTACAACGAACTCCTGGTGGACTTCAACCTCAACACGAACAAGGACGCGACCAGCGTGCTCGACTACTCGACCGACCGTCGGAGCAACTACACCAAGTCGCCCGACAACTGGCGCTCGATCCCGTTCTACACCATCCTCCCGGACAAGTTCGCTGATGGCGACCCGTCGAACAATGACTATTTTGGGACCATGTACGAGGCCGACTGGCGCGAGACCCAGCTTCGATACGGTGGCGATCTCAAGGGGTTGGAAAACAAACTGGACTACCTCGCTGGCATGGGCGTCAAGGGTATCTTCATGTCCGGAACGGTGTTCCTCAACATGCCCTGGCAGGCGGACAGTAAGTGATGGACTGTTCGCTAGCACGGTCTGCCCGTCTGACGGAGCGCGACAGGCTACTCTCCTCTCGATTTCACGGTCCTCGATCCTCATTATGGCACCATCGCCGAATGGCAGGCAACGATCGACGCGATCCACGCCCGTGGGATGTACTTCATGGCGGATTTCACAGTTGGTACCATGGGTGATCTTATTTCGTTCAAGGGGTGAGCACCCTTTTTTTAATGCTGATGACGCGGCATGTATGATTGACCTGAAACATCGCAAGATCCGAGAACACGTCAACCCAGTTTGACATCAACGAGCATGAACAAGTCTGGAAAAAGCCGAGCTTCGCACCCTGGAACTTCACGGAGTACAAGGACTTTAATGTATGACTATATGCGCGCTTCTCAATAACATTAATCTCACACTTCCCCTCCCCGCAGATCAGCAACGTGCGAAACACGTCCTGTGTATTACCGAAGCTTTGGCTTGACGACGCGACTCTCGTTGACCCCGGCGCTACGAATGGCTGTCTCGAATCCGAGTTCGATGCCTACGGTGACATGGAGGCTTTCGGTGTCCATCCCGACTGGCAGCGTCAGCTCTCCAAGTTCGCCTCCGTGCAGGACCGTCTTCGTGAATGGAAACCGGAGGTGATGGCGAAGCTCCAGGTGTTCGCCTGCCTCGCCATCAGCGCGCTCGACCTCGACGCCATCCGTGTCGACAAGTCGACGCAGATGACCGTCGATGGCCTTGCCGACTGGGGCGCCAGCACCCGCAAGTGCGCGGCCGATCTCGGAAAGAAGAACTTCCTTATCACCGGTGAGGTGACGGGTGGTGATACCTTCGGTGCGCTCTACCTCGGTCGTGGGCGCACACCGACGCAGCGCCCCGATTTCTCGACGGCGGCCAACCTCACCGGTTCCGAGGACCAGTATTTCCTTCGCGACTCAGGCTTGAACGGGCTCGACGGGTTTGCGTTCCATTACTCCACCTACCGCTCCCTGACCCGGTTCCTGGGCATGGACGGCAACCTTCAGGTCGCCTTCGACGTCGACTCCAACTTCGTCACTTCATGGAAGGAGATGTTCGTGAACGACGATTTCGTCAACCCCAACACCAACGAAATCGACCCGAAACACATGTTCGGCACCAGCAACTTTGATATTTTCCGCTGGCCCAGCGTCGAGAACGGCACGCAGAAGAACGTCATGGCCTCGTTCATCACGACACTGCTCATGCCCGGTATCCCCCTCCTCTACTATGGCGAAGAACAAAACTTCTACATCTTCGACACCGGAGCGTCCAACTACCTCTACGGCCGGCAGGCGATGATGGGCAACACCGCGTGGCAGCGCCACGGATGCTACGCGCTCGGTTCGGACCAGTACTACAACCTGAACCTGCGCGGCGCCGTGCTCGGCTGCCGCGACGACTGGAACTCGCTCGACCACTTTGACCCGACCTCCTCCACGCGGCGCATGATGGCGCGCATGCTGCAGATTCGCGAGCAGTACGCGGTCGTCCAGGACGGTTTTGGCGTTGATCAGTACGGCAACTGGACATACGAGATCGTGCGCCCGGGCTCCAATGGTACCGCGACCGAGATGGGCCTGTGGTCTGCCGCGCGTTCGGCGATCGACACCCAGAACCTGGGCAACAGCTCCGACAAAGTCTGGCTGTTGTACACGAACGAGAACGACACGCGCTCGTACACGTTCGATTGCGACACCGAAAAGACGCACACGCCATTCCAGTCGGGGACCACCGTCCAGAACCTGTTCGCACCGTACGAGACGTACACGCTCGTCGACTCGACCACTTCGTACTTTAACGACGGGAAGCAGCCCATGTTCGGATGTATTCAGAGCCTTACCATGGAGCCGTTTGGGTTCAAGGCACTTGTCCCCGTCGCCGAGTGGGTCGCGCCCCTGCCCGCGCTTACCAAGTTCACGCCTGGCCACGACGCGCGTCTGCCCTCGAACGGCACCAACTCTGTCGACATCTCGTTCGAGTTCAACACGGTGATGAGCTGCGACAGTGTCACTGCGGCGCTCTCGCTCAACATGTCGTCCTCCGGCCACGGCAACACGCCGACGTTCTCGAAGACGGCCGTCAAGTGCGGCGCCGTCACCAACCCGGACCCGTCCCCCATCGCCGGCGGCGACACCTCGCAGTGGTCCTGGGCGGTCACGCTCCAGAACGTGCCCGACGGCATCCTCACGCTCACCCTCGACAACCCCAAGTCGAGCGGCGGCGTCGCGACGGGCTCAGTCGACACGCTCATGCTCCGCATCGGCGCGGCGAACAACGTCATGGTGTTCCCCAACAGCGACTACAACAACACCGCGTTCACGTACTCGAACGGGCAGTACTTTTTCGAGCATACCGCGTACGGCGCGGACATGTTCCGTTACTCGTGGAACTTCGGCATGAACTGGACGGATTGGGCTTCATGGGAGGACACTACGACCATCGACAAGGAGGTGTTCTCGTCGTCGAGTAACTTCTGGGACGGCGACCACATCATGGTGCAATGTGAGTGTCTTGTGTGTATTCGAAGGGTGTATGCTTATACATTTATTGGCAGACTGGAGTCAGGCCGCCGCGTCCGTCGCGCACGTTGTCCACGCTGACTACAAGTACAAGTACCAGCGTCGCGTCCCGCAGTTCCTCGCCCGCGGTCCGTACAACAGCTGGGGCTTCGATAAGGGTATCTCTGCTCAGATGACCCACGCTGGCGATGGCCGCTGGGAGCTCGAGATCATGGCGTCCTGGCCGACATACGTCCAACTGAACGTCTGGGGCTACGACGAATACTACTACGGTGACACTGATGGCGATGGCGTCATGGACCGACTTCCTCCCAACACCGCCGCTCCCAACTACCTCAACATGTCTGCGCCCCCGCTCCCCCATTTGGCCTGGAACCTGGTGATCAACGACCGGGACCTCAGCTGGTCGCTCGAGCCCCGCGGACAGTCTTATATCGGCGCAATCATCTATGGTCTCCTCGTCTCCATCCCGCTGATCACCGGTACACTCGCCGTCCTCATCTTCATGTGGTCGTTCTACGGCATCAAGTACAACAAGTACGGCTTGAAGCCCGCGAAGGACCACAAGAACTACTTCCCCATTCTCGGATCGCTCGGGAACAAGTCTGCATCGGACTTCAAGGACGGTACCGTGTCGGAAAAGAAGTCGATGTTCTCGCACCACAAGCACCACGGCGAGATCATCGGCTGGCCCGAGGACAAGAACAAGCGGCGCAAGGTCCTGATCGCGACGCTTGAGTACGAGATCATCGACTGGAAGCTCAAGGTCAAGATCGGTGGTCTCGGTGTGATGTCGAGTTTGATGGGCAAGGCGATGACCGACGTTGACCTCATCTGGGTCGTGCCTAAGGTCAAGGACATTGAGTATCCCCAGGGTGATCCTGCGGATCCCATCGAGGTCATCATCTTCGGCGAGCCGTACCTGATCGAGGTTGAGACGCACACGCTTGACAACATCACCTACGTGATCCTCGACAGCCCCGTCTTCCGTGCCCAGACCAAGGCCGACCCCTACCCGGCGCGCATGGACGACCTCAGCTCCGCCATCTTCTACTCGACGTGGAACCAGGCCATTGCGAACACCATCCGGCGCTACCCCGACATCGACATCTACCACATCAACGACTACCACGGCGCCCTCGCTCCGATCTATCTCCTGCCCAAGGTCATGCCCGTCTGCTTGTCGCTCCACAACGCCGAGTTCCAAGGTCTCTGGCCGCTCCGCACGAAGGAGGAGATGAAGGAGGTCTGCTCGGCGTTCAACATCAGCAAGGAGCACTGCACGAAATACGTCCAGTTTGGTAACACGTTCAACTTGCTCCACGCCGCGGCGTCCTTCATCAGTGTGCACCAAAAGAGCGTCGGTGTCGCCGGTGTGTCCGACAAGTACGGCAAGCGCTCTTGGGCCCGGTACCCGGCTTTATGGACCCTCAAGCACGTCGACTCGCTACCAAACCCGGATCCCGCCGATATCGCCGCATTGGACGAGGCCCCGATCGACGTCAAGCACATGAACATTGACCAGGTTGCTGAGGCAGAACGGCCAGAGCACAAGCGACAGGCGCAGGAATGGGCTGGCATCAAGCAGGATCCCAACGCGGATCTCTTCGTGTTTGTCGGTCGTTGGTCCAAGCAGAAGGGTGTTGATCTTATCGCCGATATCATGCCGAGTTTGTGAGTATACCAAACCACTGACTTATCTGCATGCATGCTAACCTGGCGCCACAGGCTCGAGAAAAAGCCTTCCATTCAGCTCATCACCGTTGGACCTGTCATCGATCTCTACGGACGATTCGCAGCGGAGAAGCTGGCCCGGCTCATGGAGATGTACCCCGATCGCGTGTTCTCCAAGCCCGAGTTTACTGCTCTTCCTCCTTACCTGTTCAGTGGTGCAGACTTCGCGCTCATCCCGTCACGTGACGAGCCTTTTGGTCTCGTAGCTGTCGAATTCGGTCGTAAGGGTGCACTCGGTGTCGGCAGTCGTCTCGGTGGTCTCGGTTTGATGCCTGGCTGGGTTAGTCTTCCTCGCCATCTGGCCGTTGGACCATGTCGCTGATACCCCCGTCCTGCAGTGGTTCCCGGTCGAGTCGAGTTCTACAGGACACATGTTGTCGCAATTGGGCAAGACGATCAAGATGGCATTGAAGTCTACGGAAGAGGAGCGAGCCCTTCTTCGTGCACGATCTGCGGTCCAACGATTCCCCGTCATCGAGTGGAGGCAACGGACAGAGGACTTCCACAAGCGCAGTATCACGATTTCTCGTGAGATGGCCGGGGCTAACGCCTGGCGCCCGTCGGACGGCGGCGAACGCGGCCACGCAGCGATCAGCGATCACGACGACTGGAACCCGGAACAGCAGCCGTACCCGACTCAGCCGGATTGGGACAAGTCCAGCATCATGAGCGGCAGCCCGCGGATGAGCGTCACACCCATGACACCTGGGTCGCCCGGTCAATGGAGCGACAACACCACTCCTGGCGAACACCATCTCGCTGCTCCGCCTCGCCTTGGTGACTACGGACGACGCGGCTCGTTCAGTACGGACGTATCCGATCCCGAGGGCGACTACTTTAGCAACAGCCACTCCCGGCAGAGCACCGACTCGAGGCAAGATTACTCCGGATTCTTGGATCGCGCCAACCGCGTCATCGCCAAGGAACAACGACATGCGCCGGATCCGTTCTTGGACGCGCAGCCTACTCGCCCCTTCGGTGCCCATTCGCGTGTATCCTCGGTGGAGTCGATTTCGTCTATCGTTGACGAGAAGTCCAACTCGCCGCTGAACAAGGCAGTGGCATCGGTACGTTTCTCATACCAAACATCGTCGTTCTTGCTGTTCATAGTGGTTTATAGTTCACGGACGCGGATGGTGGCGTTGCGCATGAGTTCGCACAGAAGCTTCACAATCTCTCTGCTGAGAACTCCATCAAGGACCTTTGTATTGAGAAGTTCTTGATGAAGAGCGAGGAGCAGTTCTTCCACGAGGTCAAAAAGGAGAAGCTCGCAAGCAGCGCTGCCAGCTTGAGGTCTAAGCGCGATTCTGTTTGGGGCACGCCGTCCATCTACGAGGGCTCGAGACCAAGCTGTGAGTGACGCCCGTAGAAACACGGACATGTTACTGAACCTCCCATCAGCGCCTAACGCGATGTCATTCGGACCCAGCTCGAACAGTTCCTTCGACGACAGAGGCCACATAACCGGCGATATGGGGCCAGAGGTGGTTCAAATGACTAGGTTACAGCTGTTCCTGGCTCGTGAAATTGGAGGATGGCCGTTATACACCATCATTATCGCCCTAGGCCAGGTTCGTTGGGCATATTTTCATCATTCGGATACCACTGACAGCCGTCTGCAGATGCTCAGTGCGACCAGCTTCCAGATCACCCTCTTGTCGGGTCAGAACTGGGAGACCGATCTCCAGCTCTACGTCCTTGGAGGTGTCTTCTTGGCGGCCTCTGGGGTATGGTACACGCTTTTCAGGCTCAAGCCCTCCGTCTACATCCTCTCGGCGCCATGGCTCTTCTTCGGCATCGCTTTCTTCCTCATTGGGTTACCGTCAGTTGCTGATGTCTTCGTCCCCGCACACGACGCGTTGTCAAGCGCTGCTACGTGGTCCTATGCCGTCGCATCCGCTGCCGCGTTTGCCTTCTTCGGCCTGAACTTCGGTGAGGAGGCGGGAGCTGCCACAGAGGTTTGGATGCTACGGGCTTGCCTCGTCCAGGGTTCACAGCAAATATGGGTTGCTGCTCTCTGGTACTGGGGCGACAAGTTGAACGGGTCTGTCTCTGAGGTCGCCCCGTGGTGGGTAGCCTGTGTCCTGTTCCCATTAGCCGCGATGTCGTTCCTGTTCGCGTACCTCATGCTGTTCGGCCTCCCGGAGTACTACCGCCAAACACCGCCCAAGGTACCCGGATTCTTGAAGACCCTCTTCCGCCGCAAAATTGTCCTGTGGTTCCTGGCGTCAGAAATCCTTCGGGACTACTGGTTGTCCGGACCTTATGGTCGTAACTGGAGCTTCCTCTGGAGCGTCGATATACCGGCCTGGCAGACCCTCCTTCTCGTGATCGGGTTCTTCATCGGCGTTTGGGCTCTCATGCTCGCTATCCTCACATATTTCGCCAAAACCCACACCTGGTTGCTCCCCGTATTTGCGGTTGGTCTCGGAGCGCCCCGGTGGTGTCAGGTATGCACGCCTCTGTTGTAATAGTTGTAAGAGTCCCTGATCTCCTTGTAGATGTTGTGGGGCACGTCGAGCTTGGCGCTCTACATACCATGGGCACGCACAGCTGGTCCTTATCTGGGCATTTCGCTCTGGTTGTGGCTCGGCGTTCTCGATGCGGTGCAGGGTGTCGGACTGGGTATGATTTTGCTTCAGGTTTGTCGCAATGATTTCCGATGTTCGAACTGTGCGCTCACACCGTTATTAGACGCTTTCCCGTCTGCACGTCTGCGCGACTCTCGCGTTTGCTCAGATCATCGGTTCAGTGTGTGTCATGGTTGCTCGCGCAACAGCGCCGAATCGTGTTGGTCCGGAAAGCGTGTTCCCGGATGCTGCCAAATGGGACTTCTCAGAAGGGCTCAAAGGTGCGATTCGTCTTGATTTGACTCCCCCAGACAGTGACTGACTTCCTCGTGCAGACAGCCCAATGGCGTCAGCTGCCTTCTGGGTGGCCCTCGCATGCCAAATAATCATTGTCTTCGGCTACTTCTGGTTCTACCGCAAGGAGCAGCTCTGTAAGTTTCCTTGTCCCGGATACCCTTGCATACACTCGATTAACGCTTCCTTCCAGCACGTCCATAAATTGCTCCATCCGCTCCTTTGGCTATTTAGACCGGGAATCAGGACTGTATCGTATATTCGGGTATTCGCTCGCATGTTGGTTTGCCTTGCATCCATGGACATTACTCTTCGGACTGTGTACTTCTGACCTCGATCGTTTCATCGCACATTCGCTGGATCTCTATTACTACTAGATGGGGCAAGGGGCCCTTCGCATATATACACACACTCAGAGTAGATTCTAGCGTTATTAATATATACAGAACGTATCGCTGTGCGATTTCACGAAGTCAATTTCTGCTCTTTGCCATGAACACCGTTCCGTCGCGTGGTACGCGTGGACCCTGGAAAAACTTGTACGGTAGACGCCTCCTCTCGTCTGGTGCCATTCCACGCCCCGCGATATCACAATTTCCACAACTCGAAGGATGGCTGGACCAGCTCAACGCTGCTCCAAAGACGTTGACTCTTCCTGATGCGTTCCATCAAGAGCACCTAGCGGACCTATATGTGACACTTCCAACGCGGGATGGAACCTATGGTCCTGCCCACCCTTCACCCAAGGCTGGGGACCAGCTGGGATATGGCCACCATCTAGTGTTCTTCCACCCCAAGAATCCACTTTCCAAGCTGCGTGCAGACGGCACGGACGCTGAACTTTGTCCGCCAGAGCCATTCGCTAGGAGAATGTGGGCAGGAGGGCAAATGCTATGGCTGAAGCCGGAATTACTGAGCGTGGGGCAGAAGGCGAAAGCGGCATCCATTCTTACCAGAGAGAACGTCAGCTTGAAGGGCAAGGAGCGGAACCCGATGGTGTTTGTGCAACAGAGAATAGAGGTGGCGACGAGTGGACTGCCTGCCCTGGTGGAGAACAGAACTCATGTGTACCTTCCGACGTTTTCGAGAGAACGACAGGAGCGCAAACGTACGTTGCGATCGTGCGTACATGACCTTGAAATATGACTCATGGATCATCAGCCCGTACAGTAACTGGTCTTCCTAAGCCCCAGTTCATGCTTGGACCATGGATCCCCTGCCCAACGACATTGTTCAGGTTCTCAGCGTTGACTTTCAACGGTCACTATATACACCTTGACCGCGAGTATGCACGGAACGTTGAAGGCTACGATGAGCGATTGGTGCATGGGCCATTGACGGCGCTGATGCTCATAGAAGCCTTCGTTCACCATTACCCCAGGGCGAATTTGCACTCGTTCGAGTATCTTGCACGCAACCCGATCGTGGTCAATCAGTCGATGTGGTTCCACGGTGCTGTTGACAAGGATCGCAAGACGGCGATTGTATGGGCGGAGACGGGCCCATATGGGGTAGTTGGCATGACGGGGGTCATCCACTTCTCTGCATGACGGATTGCCGCAGAGTGTCTCAGCACACAACGCTAGGTATCCTCTTATGTGCTGAAGCGGACCGGTACGGACAGCGAGACAGCGATATACAAATTATGCAATGTGTAGTAGTACTGTGTTCTATCTCCTTGATTGTTCAAGTGTAAGTAGTCCATATGCAGTAGGAAGGATCCGTTCAAGGAGGCGAAACAGCTAATACTCGAACTCTTCGCTTACAAGGGCGATGGAGCCACGCATATCGCCACGCCTTATGCGGCTTGGGTTAATCTGAGAGGATATAGCCTTGCGTAATACAGCATTCAGGGAAGTAGGCCCGCAACCTGCAAGCGTGCTTTATCAGACCGCGAAAGAATGATCACAAGAACGTGAAGTAGCTTACAGGCGACGACGACAGCACCGCGAGACTGCTCGACCTCATCCGATAGGATCCGTTCCAATAACGGCCGACCAGGCCGAGCGTACTCAGAAATAGCATTGATATCTCGCATCTCCCGCGGATCGACGTCCAACCGGAACCCCTCCTCGGTCGTATGTTCTATCAACCCCGCCATCGAGCGCGTCTCCCAATTAGACATTGTAGTCGAAGGTCGCGTTGTACTGAGATGAGATTCGTCCGTGAACGCCATCGACACCGGACGTGAACCACCCCAAGGTAGACGAGGCGGAGGATAGCCTTGGTTAGCCACAAGGGTATCCGAGTCGCTCGGAGACATGACGGACGGACTCCTTGGGCTATTATATCCACTCATGTAGTCTTCTTCAATAGGTGACATCGGCTTGCTCATGTTTCCAAGCAGCTTGTCCGTCGACTGCTGCGCCCGCGCTGACCCACTGAACTCCCCGCGCTTCGACAAATCAGACCTTGAAGCCTGCGCGGAGTGCGCCTTGCGAGAGAGCGTTCGCTTATGTCTCCCAGTCTTCTGTAACTGTCGGCTCAGCCGCGCCTCTCCAGGCAGAGCAGTGTCGTCTTCGCCGTCGAAGTTGGTCAGGTCGAGGACGGTACCGGTCTGGACCATGTCGTCTTGAGAGTCGTCGTAGTTGGTGCCGGAAGGGCCGCCGGTATAGTAGCTCAGGTCAATCTCGCTAAGATCGGACTCGGCATCACTCTCGACTGAGGATACTGAATCGCGTCTTTGGCGCTCGGCCTTCGCATATTGGGGTGTAGGTGGAGCCAGGTGATCGTTCTCGACGGAATGTAGCAGGTAGGAGGTGTCGATACGCGGCCGTGGGGACTTCGGCGGTGATGATAAGTTAGTGACGAATATGTTGATTTGCAGACCGGGTTCAGGGATCAGATCCCTGCAGCGACGCAGGACAGTGGCACACCATTGTATGTGAGCTATCAATATATTCAGCCTATGGTCATTTGCTTACAAGGAGAAGTTTGCTCACAAAACTCGCGGACGAGCCAGACGAATCGCACGCGTCTGGTCATGAAACCTCGCTTGCCCCATCCGCCAGGACGGCCTCCTAACTCCCTTCCGTCACGGCCCGCCATGCATAGGCACAGGTATTCCAACACGGAGAGACCGAAGCTCACGCCTGAGCCACCAGAAACAATAAGCGCAGTCGAATAGTGTCCCCACCGCGCTCTGATCGACGACCCAAAAGGACCATCGACCCACATACGCATAAGCAAACCTCTCGGCGGTAACTGGTCGTCCGGAGGCTGCTTCTCCATGGGATGATGCCTAAAACCGCGGACGGTCAGGCTCATGACCTCGTCCCACAAGTCTCGCGTCCAGCCCGCTTTCGCGCGCACGAGGATGACAAGTTGTCGGCCGCTTGCGGTTGGCGCTTTCAAATCGGATACGGAGGCCACCGTAAAGGGGTGGGAAAGGAAAGAGGAGACAGAGGGTATGCATATGAGGAAGTGCTGGCCCGGTGCCCACGATAGCTGTCGTGGAGGGGTGAAGGTGAGGCGAACGGTGCGTCCGGCCAAGAGCTCAGCTTGGGCATATCCAGGAGGGGGCGAATACTCCGACTGAGAGGAAAGGAAGGCATCGACAGAAGATTCCGAGGGGTAATTGGGATGTGTTGGCGTGAACCTGGCGGAGACGGCAGGCGATATAGGGGAATGCGTATCATGGATTGACCGTACGGGCTCGTTCCGTTTGTCCTGATACACAGGCGGAACCGGTGATGGTAAAGGATAAGCTGCCGATTCCTTCAACCCGCTTGCATGGACATGTGAGGCGCGCTGATATGAGGGCCGAGAGGCAGAACTAGTGCCGAGGAAACCATTATTCCAAAGCCAGAATCCAGCCCTCCATAGTCGTTCGCCGCCCCATATAGCCAAGGCTGCCCAACACCAGTACCAGATCGGAGGATGGTGAAGCGCTGCCATGACGATGGCCATGGGTACGAGGAGGACATGAAGGAACCAGAACGTCTCGTAGTGATCTCGCCGCAACGGAAGGATGGAGAGGAGGACGATGGCAGTGAACAAGCCGAACGCCTTCGTATGTGTGAATTCACCGGTCTGAGGACAAGTCGACCAGCACTCACGATCCACGCGTAAATGAAGCGCTCGAACTGCCATGCATAGAAATACGCTCGCTTGTTCGTGTCCTTGGAGTCCGCGAATGGGGATGTCTTGTGATCGTTCCAGAGCTGTACGCTCCAAGTTGCGACGTGAAGGGCGGAGAGGAACCAGATCAGGCGGCCGCACCAGCGATGCAGCCAAGCAAGCTTGTCAAAGTGGATTTGAATCATAAAGGGTACCGCGAAGAGAGCGAACGGTGGCGCCTTGATCGCAAAAAGGATGCATAGGGGAAGGAATGCAAACGCAATCATGCCCGTCCGACCGCCGACAGTCCACCACGCCTTCGCTATGGTGTACTGGGGAGCAAACCCAACGTAGTCGTTCGGATCATACTTCAGCTTGCGTTTCCCCAGCTCGACAGAGCGTTTGGTCCAGTTCCATGTTGGGGTGTTCGGCTTGATGTAATCTGGACCGACGAAGGACAACAAGAATGCCGCGGCGAAAAGGGCAGTCAGGCAGAGCAGTTGGGCATTGGAGGGCAATAGCATAGGTTGTTTCCTCAATGTCTGTCCCTTCTTCTTCACCGTCCGCCATTTGCCCACCGTCCGCCGCCGTATGGCCCACTTCGACCAATATGCACCAAGGACTCCACCCCGTGACCCGGTCCAGTGCGCGATAGCGAATATGAGGAAGCCAAAGACGATGGCTATCCACAAGAGGTACGAGTAACGCCGACTCGGAACGCTGAGCATATGTATCGCAAGGTAAGCCGTGATCCATTGCAGGCCGTTCACGAACGCGGGTGTCGTCGGGTTGGGGTCGGCGGCTCGAGCGGCGAGCGTTCTCGTTGCGGTTGCGACTACCGTCGCCGTCGGTATGGCCATGACATGCGCAAAGAGAGTCGGGTGAGAGGCTGGTTGCAAGGAGAAATATGAGTTCACATTGACGGTAGAATGGTACAAGCCGCAAGCCTGCGAGAGGTGATCGAGGTCGCGAACGCCGAAGACTAACTCACCTGGCTCTGTCAGCTGTGTAATACTGCTCACGCTAGTTTCAACCCCTCGGATATCCACCACCGCCAACCGACAACGCTGTCGTCGCCGTCCGAGAAGGGGTTCAAGCGCGGCAATTGAGTATTTACACCCGATCAATGGCGGCCAAACGCACAGCAGCTGTCCTGGCCGCCGTCGGCCGCAGCTTCGAGACTCAAATGGGGACGTACCCCTGACTCCAAGCGGCTTCCAATACGCAGCTCAACTGAACTCGGCGTGGTATTCAACCGGGAACAATGCATAACCTGCATACGATAACATGATACATAACAATATTCAATAATCCTCAAGGTTTTGAGCAATCGGACGCAGACTGAACTCGAGCCGCATCACTCAAGGACCTCTCCTGAGCGAACCTGATCAACGACCAGGAGACAAGTGAGTTTTGCGCACGCGAACGGGGACGCTTGATACGCACCTCCTTGCCCGTCTTCTTGATCTTCTCCAACAAGTCGTCGTACGGTATCGTGCCAGTTACGAGGACTTCTTGCTTCTCCAGGCTGACGTCGTACGACGAAATGCCTGCAACCCTCGGCGATTAGGTACCTTGAGTCTGGGAATACCGAGCCACACTCACCCTCGGTCTTCGCAAGGACCCGGTTGACTGCTCCAGAGCATCCACCGCAGGTCATCTATGCATCGAAATGCAGTTAAGCTTCATCTCCAAGGAGCATGTGCAGTCCGAAGCGAACCTTGACGTCGAACTTGTACTTGTGCTCAGCCATTGCGATGTATCAGGGGTTTGGAGCCTGCGAGGGTATCAGATCAGGGTGGCCTTTACTACCCCGTCCAGATCGTAACGCACGGAGGATATGAGAATGACAAAGCCGATCGGGCGAGTAGACCAAGTACTGCTAGTCCTGGCCTTATATCAGATCCCGTAATAGAGCAGTTTCCTCTTCGGGGTTGCTGACTACCTCCGGTCAGCCGTAGTGAGGTACTGCATCAGATGACGCGATAAGTACTCAGTCGCTCCCATGCCCATTGGCGGTACGCCGGATAGCTTACTCCGAGCATTGCTCACTAAGGCGACACGCCACGTCGACCTTCCCCGACATTCGGGACGATGCTCGGAGCAGCAACTTGCAACTCGGTCAGCAGCAGTCATTTCATCCACTGTGGTATTCCGCATTCCAAGATGGGGTATATACGACGGCTCATGCATGAGTTCTGAGTCTTGAAGGCAAGGTTCGGAGACCGGCTCGCATCGCACGCACATAACTTCTACCTCCTTGAACCGCTTTCTCTCATTTCTAGCTCGTCGCCATCGGTGGCAACAGCCTGCCATCCTTCTCCGCGCGGTGATCGTCCGCGTATCCGCGCAACGCCCGTCACAATCCAGCCTGCAGAATGCATTAGAAGACAGGTAGGCCGTTACGGGAGAGCTGCTCACTGAGCATGCGCGGAACTTCCACGTTAGGGTCATTACGGTGGGTTATGTAGTATACAGGGATGCCGGCCAGTACGAATCCTGGTGCAGGCGTAAGCTTCGCACGGCGAATCTGGGCGTGTGATGTCTCACCAGCGACGGCCATAGCTTCTAGTGGTGCTGCGATTATAGGCATGCATAACAGAAACACGCAAACCTACACAAGGCATGTTAACGACTCCAGCTCATCCGATGCATACGCGGACATACAGCGCAGAATGTGAGAGGCGTGATTATCCAAGTCTTGTATGGTCTGGGTGTGTGCTGGTTAGGGTTAATCGCCAGCGATGCTATCTATGAAACTACCTTTCTAGTAGAGGCTCTTGGATCCGTAGTTTCACCAGTCCCAACACCTGGCACATGGTCAACGCTAGGCAGCTCGAGAGTAGGTGACACCCACCGTCAGGAAGTAGAACGCCCAGCTCGCCACCACGGCGAAGTTGATTAACCTCCGGAATCCTCCGCCAATGGCGATGAATGTGATGGTCATCGCTGCCTGAAGCAGCATCGCATTGAGCGGCGTCTGTCTCGTACGATGCAACTTCCCGAACATCGCGGGTAGATATCGTTCCCGACCCGCCGCGTAGATGAGGCGTGCCGACGTGAAGAAAGAGCCTGTATGTTATAAGAAGGTCAGGGGCAAAGATATACAGTAGAACATCGATCGATGACATGCTGACCATTTAAGGCTCCGAAACAAGAAAATGCCACCGTGAAAGCAAATATGCTTCCGCCCAAAGGACCTAAAAGTGCTCGACCAAAATCCAAGGCGACCGTATTGCTCTGGCCCACCACGTTCTGGGGACTACACTCAGGATTGAACCATCGTAGATATTCCAGATGCTTACCTTATCTAAGACTACAAAATATGAAACGTTCGCAAGCAAAAAGAGACAGGTGACAATAGCCATGCTGGAGTGAATCGCGCGGGGAATGTTCTTCTGAGGATTTTTCATCTCGCCGCCGACGTAGTTGGCTTGATCCCATCCATCGAAAGCCCACAACCCGGAGTACAGCGCGAGCGCATAAGAAGACGGCGATGTCGAAGATCCTGTAAACAGCTGAGATGGCTGGCTGAAAGACGTAGAGGCTTTCCCTCTAATCAGCTGAACGATTCCGAGGACCGTTATCGAGACCTGGGCCTTAATCAGACATAGATTGATAGCAGTGGCTGAAACGAACATACCAGTGCCGCAACCTGAGGGTACGTGTGTGAGTACAAGACCACGAGGACCACGAGGAAAGAATCCTTATATCAACTTGCCTTGACAGTGGTGAATACCACTGCAGCCCGAGTCCCAAGGTTCTTGGTCGCGACACATAGAAGCGTCACCAGTAATATTGCACCAATGGCCGTCAACTTGATAGCCCAGTCAGGAATCTCGTCCGGCGCAGCTTCGCTGGACGCAGTGGCGTGCCAGAACAGCCGGTTAAGGTATTCGCCAAATATGAGAGCTATGACGGCGTTGCCACCTGACAGACAACTGTAAGCACACAGTCACTGAAATGATCCTTGAACAGGTAGCTCACCCGGCTTCAGCGCGGATATAGCTGTCCAGGCGAACAGGTAGGAGGTCAGTGGACCATACGCGTAGGCCAAATATGCTTGTGCTCCGCCGTTGACGGGTATCGACGAGCCCAACTCGGCAAAACTGCTTGCTCCAGTCCATCCCAGCAAGCCTGCTGCTAGCCATACCGCGAGGCTAGCACCTACGCTATCCGTGTTGGCAACCACCACACCAGGTGATGAGCTATGTGCATCATCAGCATATACCCGCTGTCTGAAGGCCGTGTTCACGTACAATATCCCAGAGCCGATCTGTGCCGTTCAACCAAGCTGAGAGTATGCGCGGAGTGGATGTGTGGGCGCTCATACCTGTAGCCCAACGATCAACGCAACACCTAACACATGGTTAGAATGCAGCTTTGATAATATCTCGAGGGACTCACCATTCAAGAGACTGATGTTCTTCTCCCCAGTCTCACCGTTCCCATAATCCGGTTCGCTGAGGCTAGCGCTCAGAGGTAGCATGTCTTGCTCAAATGCGAATCCGGACACCGAGTAGGAACGTCCTCGCCCAACTCTCGGCGAAGTTAGCCGGTCGTGCTCTTGTGCATCTAGAGAGCCTTCTGCTAGCTCCAATGCGCCGAGGGAGTCGTCAGAGTCGTGGGATGCATTAGAAAGTGGAGGAGAAGGGGGATAAGCTGCAGCTGGGCTTCGAGGGCCAACATCTGCAGACTGCATGAATTCCGACGACTGCTTTCAATATGGATGTATCGGGTGAAACGCAGAACAGACCATGAGCCAAGAGGGAAAGTCCTGTGTGATGGGGACCAGGACACCTAAAACGGTCTTCACGGTCATGTGAGCGAGATGCGAGGGGAGAGCCTGCCGCTGCCTGCGTCCGCCGTCCGCCGCCCACTCTCAAGGACGGTAGGCTCCCGCCCCGCCTGCCCGAAGCCGATGATACACATACTGTAACTCAACGCATTTGCTGCTCGCTACACCACCAACGATATAGTGCTTGAAGAAAAAGATGCACCGGGCGTCTCATGTTAGACCTGCGATACAAGTACTACCTGCGGTTTCAAGAATTGGTACGCCTGTACATGCTTCCGCGTGATTTTCTCCCCTAACTTCCCGACGTTAATGGTCTTAATTAGGCCGAGCGTATTGGTGCATAAAATAGCACCCTCCGATGCACCGCTTGCATCCATATGAGTAGGGGCGAACGACTCGGCTGGCTTCGGATTCACGAGTGTGAAGTCGCATGCGATCATCCGCTCCGAGAAGACGGTCCCTAGATCCATGGCAAGGTCTGCCAGTGAACGTATCTTCCCTATGGCTAACCTGTGACTCTCGGGACGGTGGATGGCCCCGGAGATCTCCAGAACGTCCGTCATCTTCGTCCATGCCCCCTCTGAGGCGACATCCAGGATCTTTGCTGTATCCTGCTCGGACCGGGCCTGTCGGATGTGCTCGTGCGTGAGGCTGCGCCATCTTCCAGACAGCGCTTGCGGCTCTACAACGGAGGGTCCATTAAAAGGGTATATACGCAGTATCCCAATCAACTCACGAGTGCGATACAACCCTCGATGTATCTGCCCGCAGATATGGTCATATTGATCTTCCGCACCAGCACGCCAAACTCGACTTAGGAAATCCAACATATCGAACAAGATTGCTTGCAGAGCCAATTGTACAACCGTAGGATCCTGCGAGTGGTCGAGGTTGATCAATTTGTGTACCATGTCCGCTCCCAAGTGGCTCGCGACCCGTTCCGCGATTGGATGTGAAGATTGATCAAGCGGCCGGTGTTCGTATCTCCAAGACTCGACCATGCTGTTTGCTGCAGCGTGCACTGCCGCGTTGAGGTCCTTCACCTGCTGAACCACCTCGTCCTCGGACACGGGTGCCGCGGTTGTCAGGAAGGCTTCCGCTGAACGCAACTCTGCCGTTCGAGAACGAAGGAGGGATTCCTTTTGCGAGAGTTCTGCTTCGAGGGCCTGCTGTTTTCTCCGTGCGTGGTCAACCTCCCCTCGTGCTACCTGCAGGTCCTGTTTCGTACGGTCGAGAGCTCTGTTGAGTTGCTCATATGCATACTCCAGCTCCGCGTTCCTTTTACTAGCTGCCGTCAAATCCCGGTGTGCGTCCTCTGCCGTGCGCTGGAACCTGGCGGCGTTCTTCTGACTCGTTTCGAGTGCGTGGTCGGACTGCCGTAATTTCTCCTCGGCTTTTGCAAGCTGATCACGAAGCGTGTGTGTTTCGCTTTGATTCGGGTCGTCCTTAATCTGATAAACTATGTCATCAGCGCATGGCTGCAAACTGCCACATTCAAGTTACCGGAGGCGCAACCCCTTCATCCGCTGGATGTGTGGTCTGAGTGGTCGACTCCTACGTTCGTAAGGCAGGGTTACCCATGATGATAGCTTGTCACATACTCGAGTTCTTCTGACCTGTTCTCTAGGGCGACGCTGAGGTTTCCCCTCGCGCACGCCCTCGCCAGACGGTCTCACCGAGTCAGCCGTCGCCGTTGCTGTCGTCGTCGCGCTAACCGGTGCTGCGTTTCGTTGGACCATGTCTGCGTGTCTCCGCTTGCTCGAACTGTTCTCGCTTGGCGGGCGCTGCATTTCCGATGCAGTCATCTGTGTGGTACTTTATCACAGTCAGTATCTGTCCTACGTGAAAACAGTGGGCCGAGCTAACTATATAGGTGTTGCGCTGGACATCGCTGACGCGGTCGGCTGAGTCCCTCGCAAGTCGCTGACGGGCATAGCAGCCTGTTGGATCCGGGACAAGAAAGAGCGCATCCTATGATATCTACCCGGATCCTCCCACCGTCGCAGCAGCTTGAGCGCCGTACACGGCTCCATGATAGCTTTGATCGGGGATCTGCATTGCCATCATGCTGGTGATGACTTCCACGGTCCCCGTGGGGCTAACGCGGTCAGCTGCGCGTTTGTACGTCCTTCATGGTCTCAGTCTTCCTTATACAGAACGAGCGCTCAATAGCTTCAGTGGCTCATATATAGCGTGGGAGCTTGCCGTAACTGATATCGAGCTCGACTCCCGCAAGGCACGCTAGGTCACCATGGCCAGTCAACCTCCCCCGTATTCCGCCAACCCTCCTCCCGGTTCGTCAAGGCAGGCATACAACGGTCCTCGACGCAAATTGCGTACGTCCACGGACTGTCTGTTGTTCGCGAAACTGAGGCGTAACAGTGATTGCCCTGGATGTCGGGACTACGTTTTCCGGCATCTCTTATAGTATCTTGGAACCGGGGGAGATCCCTCAAGTCCTTTGGGTGACCCGGTGAGTGCGTGTGGTTCCTCAGGTGTACATTCAGGTCATGCTTCGTAGATTCCCTGGACAAGAACACCAAGCCGGGACCTTCAAAATCCCAACTGTCATGTGGTATGACCGCTCTGGGGTCATGAAAGCCGCTGGGGCGGAGGCAGAGCTACCAGATATTGTAGATGAAGCTCTCGACCATGACTGGATCAAGGCAGAGTGGTATGTTTGGCCATTCTGAGGACACTCCTTGATTCCCAACTGTCCCTTAGGTTCAAGATGCACCTGCGACCTCGATCTATGCTGCCCGGTGGCGCCACAAATGCTATCAAACCCCTTCCTGCGCGAACAACCGTGGTTCAGGTGTGCTCGCTCATCGCGATGTAATCTGTCCTCCCTGCACCGATCACATCTCGCACACAGGTGTTCGGCGATTTCTTGAAATACATGCTCAGTTGCGCAAAGACCTTCATCGAGGACTCGCACGGAAACGGGCGGACAATTTGGTCTTCGTGCAAAAATGACATCCAGTTCGTCCTAACGCACCCGAACGGGTACGCACTATCAATGTACCAACGAAGTACATGATAATAAGTCAATTGTTTTGCCAGCTGGGAAGGCGCTCAGCAGAGCAAAATGCGGGAAGCTGCGATTCATGGAGGTCTGATTCCCGATACGATTGCTGGCAGAGATCGCGTGTCCTTCGTTACAGAAGGGGAAGCGAGCCTGCATTCCTGCCTTGCCAATGGCTTGGCAGGCCGCCTCGAAGTGAGCCCCCCCCTCATGTCCAGGATGGTGTATCATTGCGCTGATTTCACCCAGTTAGGGGATGGGATCCTCATTGCCGATGCCGGAGGTGGAGTGCAAACAGTCCCGTCCGTGATACAGTCATTCATTGTGTCGTCGCAGGAGGGACGCTCGATTTTAGCTCGTATAAGATATCCGCGCTTCGTCCCCTGAAGATACAAGAGCTAGTACCGGCAAGTTGTGAGTAGCATGTTGGTGGTAACACGCAACGTCTGAGCCTTGTCTAGGTTCTCTGCAGGGCTCGATCTTTGTAAGCGCTCGTGCGAAGGAGTTCTTTCGAGGTAACTGAGTTTGTCCCGGTCCGTACCTTAGCTAATAAAATTGGCTGGAAGCCAAACTTGCCAATTCGCGCTATGGTACCCCGGACTCCATCGATTACATCACGCGCAAATTCGATGAGACTACGAAGAGACTATTTCGGGACCCGTCCACGTCCCAAGTAGTAGCATTCGGGTCCCCAGTGGACCGTGATCCCAATTTTGGGATTCGTAACGGACAATTGCGATTGACAGGGTGAATACTCCGAGCTTCCTCTCTTCACGCTACTCAATCCAACCTCAACGTCAGAAATGATGTCCTCGACTTCTTCGAGCCCTCCGTGCAGGCTGCAAAGACGACAATATCGCAACACGTCGCAGACTCGCGTGGGGTCATCAAGGTATGCATGAGTATGATGTACCTCGCCCTGCAGTCAGTCACAATTGCGCAGTCCGTGTTCCTTGTTGGTGGGTTTGCAGCGTCGCCGTGGCTTCTGAGATCCCTGCAAGATCATTTTGCGGGTGAGAATATCACGATCAGTCGGCCAGACGGTCACACGTAAGCCAAACATATGTTCTATCCTATACTCGACACTAATCACCTGTCATATCAGCTCGAAAGCGGTTGCGGAAGGAGCAGTGATTTATTATCTCGATCACCTTGTCACATCGAGAGTGGCCCGTTTCACTTATGGCACCTCTGTCTTCAGAGAGTATGACCCCGATCTCCCTGAGCATCTCCGACGCTCGCACTTGGTAGAGACTCATTCACGCACGGGACGGTCAATCCTGGACGATGGGTTCTCCGCGATTCTTCGCAAGGTAAAGTGGTACATCATACTCATCTTGCCGCTGTTAAAATAGATCGCAGAACACTGCGGTCACCGAAACGAAGGAGTTTAGTGGCAGCTTCGTATACCATTGGGGGGTTAACGATAGCATGTCCCACCACAAAGCGAAGATCATGGTTTATAGAGGACGATTAGCAGATCCTCAATGGTTAGACGAGGATCGAGGTATCATACATGAAGTTCATACGGGTTGAGTTATTGACGCTAAGCTGTCTTGCTGTAGGTGGCTTTTCAACTTTGTGCTCAATCAAAGCGGACATGTCAGGCCTGAGGGACTACCTAAGCACGCGCGAAGGCAAGAATGGCCGGGAGTATATATCTGGAGCGTACGAAATCGTGTTTCAATTCGGAGCCGAGATGAAGGCACAGATGTCGTGGATGGAGAACGTGAGTACTTATTGATGTCGAGTCATTATCCTGGACCAACCATTTGCTCTCACTAGGGCATAGAGAAAAGGTCAGCGCGCCATGGTTGACAACACGGAGATCTCTTCTGACTGTTGGCCATGAAATCAGGAGTCCCGCACAGATAATCTACGAGGACTGAACCTTGCTCACTTCTGCCTGGATACATATGTGTGCCGTCAACGGGCATTGTTGTTCTCTTGGCGCCCCCACACTTTCCAAGTCTTGAGTTTCACGAACGATCGTTCATCCGCCAATTTGCGTGTTCACACCAAACGCATTCATTCCACGCGCCCCTTGTACCCACCACTGGACAATGTAAAGAGCTTCCGAGTGCGTTTCTAAGCGCAGCGCCTACGTCCAGCATTGGCGCATTGTCTCTTCCCGAAGTACGTAATTCCAGTCATCGTGGCCCTGGATTGTTGAGCGTGATAAGCAGAATGGATGGCTGTCAAATGAAAGGTTTCCCGCGTACCTGGTTCAGCTCGTGCCGAGAACAGCTCGTGCCGAAAGCGTTGTTCGAATGCACGTCTTCCTATATCCGCCCTCGTAGGTCTCCCATGATCATACTGGAAGAATGCGGGTTGAACAGCCTCAGTAGCTTGCATAGCTAATGCATGGTCTGCTTCGAGCTCGGATCGATATAATACCACAACTCACGAATCGATATCGTGGACTCCGTCGAGCCCTGGTCCGCCCCGTTGTCGTCGCGGACTCGCGCATAATGTCCATCACTAATCCTCTCCCGCATTCCTCTGATTCTCCTCCAGGATCGTCTAGACAACCGTATCACGGCCCCAGCCGCAAATTACGTATGTTTATGGGTATCCCGCTGCGCCGTTGGTGTGCTCAATTCGGTCGCCAGTGATCGCTATGGATGTAGGCACAACGTTCTCTGGGATTTCTTACAGTATCCTTGAGCCGGGGGAGACACCACAAATCCATTGCGTGACTAGGTTAGCCTTTTCGCTTTAATATGACATTGTACAAAGATCTCCTTGGAAGGTTCCCCGGTCAAGAACATCAGGCTGGGTCGTTCAAGATCCCAACTATCATGTGGTATGATCGGTCCGGAGTTGTGCAAGCAGCTGGGGCAGAGGCGGAACTCCCTGAAAACTTGGATAGAGCGGATGACCAGGACTGGGTTAAGGCAGAGTGGTACGAGAGTTTGACATTCATCCTTCATTTCGGACTCAATGGGTGCCGTTTTAAGGTTCAAGATACACCTGCGCCCTCAATCGCTGTCGACCTCCTGTGATATAAATGCCTTTAAACCTCTCCCTCCCCGCAAAACCGTCGTTCAGGTGGGACTGATCGTTCTATATGCTATCGACGGGCTTCACACCTTCCCTAACAGGTGTTTGGAGACTTCCTCAAGTACATGCTTAGCTGCGCTCGTTCCTTCATCGAAGAATCTCATGGCAGCGGGAGGTCGATTTGGGCTTCGTGTCAAAATGACGTACAGTTTGTCCTCACACACCCAAACGGGTACGTGTTCCGTGACGATGTAATTATCTATCAATCTGAAGCTCGCTCAGGTGGGAGGGCTCGCAACAGAGCAAGATGCGAGATGCTGCTGTGCATGGTGGCCTGGTCCCGGACACCCACATTGGGCACGAGCGGATATTCTTCGTAACCGAAGGCGAAGCTAGTCTTCATTCCTGCCTCGCAAATGGGTTGGCTGGGCGCCTCGAGGTAAGTCTTATGAGATGATGATGTATGCTGGAGTAAGTATTGACGTATATCAGACAGGAGACGGGATTCTTATCGCGGATGCAGGAGGTCAAGTGTCCATGCATACACCCGGAGAAACGCATTGACTGAAATTATTCTGAAGGTGGCACCCTGGACTTCAGCTCGTACAGAGTTACGGCACTCAATCCCCTGAAAGTTTGCGAGCTCTTGCCAGCAGCTTGTATGTCATCTTCTGCCGACGACACAGTCCCTGAATACCCTCCTCAGGCTCTCTACAGGGCTCCATATTCGTGAGCGCTCGCGCCCGAGAGTTCTTCCAAGGTGTGTATTGTTGCAAGATAAGTCCCCGAACGAAGTCTGATTCATATGGCGTTGTTCTTGTACTAAGCTAAACTCGCGAACTCCCGATATGGCACACCGGACAACATTGAACACATCACTGAGAAGTTCGATGAGACTACAAAGAAGCTGTTTCGAGATCCCTTCGAGTCTTCAGTCGTGGCGTTTGGGTCGCCCGTTGATCGCGACCCTAAGGTCAATATTCGGAACGGTCAATTACGGCTGGCTGGGTAGTCAATCGTTGCCCTTCATTAACCGGCAAGCTCCTAATTGCAACTACAGGCAGGATGTCTCCAAGTTCTTTGAGCCCTCCATAGAGTCCGCCAAGACGACTATTGAGCAGTACTTATCAGATTCGCATGGTTTGGTCAAGGTGCGCTATGCATTTACCGGATGATTCGAGTCTGTATGCGATCTAATGAAACGGCGTAGTCCGTTTTCCTCGTTGGAGGATTTGCAGCATCTCCGTGGCTTTTGAAATCCCTCCAAGGCCACTTCTCCGGCAATGGAGTCACCATTAGCCGTCCCGATGGACACACGTAAACTTATTTTTTTATTGTGATAGCAAGGAGAGCATTTGACCCTCTTTGTAGTGCGAAGGCTGTTGCAGAAGGGGCCGTATTGTATCACCTTGATCACCTTGTGATATCCAGAGTCGCTCGATTCACATACGGCACCTACGTCCTGAGAGACTATGATTCCAGAGACTCTGGACACGCCAAGCGCTCTAGTTTGATAGTGACGCATCCTATCACGGGACACCAGGTGTTGACAAACGGGTTTTGCCCCATTTTGGACAAGGTGAGTAGTGCTCATGGAAGGCGTATGCATGGTGCTGAGAGTACAACCGGTACTATCAGGGTACATCGGTCACGGAAATCAAGGAGTTCAGCACTGACCTCATCTGCAATTGGGGAGTAAATGACGACATGTCGCACGAAAAGTTGACCATTGCCGTCTACCGAGGAAATCGAAGCAATATTCGGTGGTTGGATGAAGATGAAGGTACGTTGGACCGTAATCTATCAGAAGTTTGAAATTGAACTGATTCAACCCCGGCAGCCCAGTTCTCCTCTTTATGCACCATCGAGGCAGACATGTCGACGTTAAGGGCTCACCTCCAGCGGAAAACAGGGAAAACAGACTACATAACCGCCTCCTGCCAACTTATTCTCCACTTCGGAGCGGAGTTGAAAGCGCAAGTATCTTGGAAAGAGGGCGTGAGCAGCGTTCTTGCTACGGTAAACAGCTGCTGTTGCTGATCGCGGACATCGTTGCTCGCAGGGTAAAGAGAAACGGTGAGTACACCCATGAGTTAGACCGCATGGCGTGTTACAACGACAAACGGCAGGGGACCAGTCAAAATTGTGTACGATCCAGATGCCTGACAAACGCATTGAGGACCACTCGTGGGGGTTTTCCCTTTTTTTTGCGTGGGCGGTGTATGGTCGCGGTATGAACCACGGATAGTCGACGCTGCTTCTAAATTTTGTGTACAGTGTAGCGAAAGGGCGTGGAATTATCGCACGTATGCAGATGTACAGTATATCCTACCGTCCGTATATCGTGGGTAGATGAGTGGATTACCGGGCAAGGTACCTAAATAGGAAGAGCCCTGCACTCCAGTGACCAGGTACATCTGGAAGCAGCATTTCTCTCTGGTACACGTACGGCAGCGTAAATAATACAGTGGGACTATGGATGCAGAGCGATGCCAACGACGATGACAACAAGAAACAGAACATTAGTCGACTACTGAAGTACTTCCGGGACGTGGCGGGGAGAAGGGAGAAAATGGAAAAACCGAGCAATGGAAACATGTGAAGCAACACTGGACAAGATGAAATAGCAGGGGACCATGATATCGCGTGTAAGGAGAATAGCAGGAAGAATAAGCAAAGAAAAAGGAGAACGTTCGGGAGAGGATCAGGGTTGGTACCAGTGTGATAGCGGATCGTCGTCCGGCAACGAGCGACCACACGCCCGATATATGCGCGTTCATGTCAGCTCCAACACGCTGGTCTCGAGTACGCGGAATTGTGAAAGAGAAAAGGTTAGCGCGTTATTGTGGACCATATGGGGAAATTCACTCTGACTATAGGCCATGCATTGTAAAGGAGTCCCGCACAGATAATCTACGAGGACTGAGCCTCGTCGCTTCTGCCGGCACGCATACACGTGGTCGTTAACAGGCATTGATCGTCCCGCCCGACACTTGCTTTCAGAATGTTGTGTTATACGAACGCGCATCCACTGCGCCAATCTAGCGTATTCATCTCAGAGCATTCTTTCCAAGCGCAACTTGTACGCACCACTGAACAATGTAACGCGTTCCTGACCCCGCCTGCCTCCCGCACTACGGCATTGTCATTGCTCAAGGTACGTAATTCAGTCGGTCAGGCCCTGGATTGTTGAGCGTAATAAGCAGAATGGATGGCTGTCAAATGGACGGCTTCCCGCGTTGCAAGCTCAGTGAGCGCCGGGAGCGTGATCATTCCTGTGTCCGTTTCCGTCGGCCTCTCATGGCCACGGTCGTCAAACTCAAAGTACGGGTGTTGGATAGCCTCAATAGCTTGCATCGCTATATGGTCAGCTTTCTCTGATTGATATAGTACCACGACTCACGAGTTGACACCAAGGACCCCGTCGAGCCCTGGTCTGACCCTTTGTCGTCACAAGCTCGCGTACAATGCCCATCACTAATCCTCCGCCGTATTCCTCCAATCCTCCACCAGGATCCTCCAGACAACCGTACACTGGCCCCAGGCGCAAATTACGTAGGTTGATGGGTGTTTCGCTGCACCGTTCATATGCTCACATGGGTTGCCAGTAATTGCTATGGATGTTGGCACGACATTCTCTGGGATTTCTTATAGTATCCTTGAGCCGGGAGAGATTTCGCAGATCCTTTGCGTCACTAGGTCAGCCTACTTGTTATCAACATGAGACCCGTAGAATCAACGGATACCGCTGGAAGATTCCCCGGTCAAGAACATCAGGCTGGGACGTTCAAGATCCCGACTGTCATATGGTATGATCGGTCCGGGGTCGTGCAGGCAGCTGGAGCAGAGGCGGAACTCCCTGCCAACTTGGATAAAGCGGATGACCATAACTGGGTTAAGGCAGAGTGGTACGAGAATATCATGTCGATGCTTCATTTCAAGCTAAATGGTTGTCGTATTGAGGTTCAAGATGCATCTGCGCCCTCAATCACTGGCAACTTCTGGTGACATAAATGCTATCAAACCTCTTCCTCTGCGCAAAACCGTCGTTCAAGTGGGACGGCTTCGTTATATGTGCTACCGATGGATTTCATAGTTTCCCTCACAGGTGTTCGGAGACTTCCTCAAGTACATGCTCAGCTGCGTTCGTTCCTTCATTAAAGATTCTCATGGCAATGGGAGGTCGATCTGGGCTTCATGTCAAAATGACATTCAATATGTTCTCACACATCCAAATGGGTATGTATCCCGCGACGATGTAAATTTATGTCAATCTGAAGCTCGCTCAGGTGGGAGGGCTCACAACAAAGCAAGATGCGAGATTCTGCTGTGCATGGCGGCCTCATCCCGGACACCCACGTTGGACGCGAGCGGATATTCTTCGTAACGGAAGGCGAAGCTAGTCTTCATTCCTGCCTCGCAAATGGGTTGGCTGGTCGCCTGGAGGTAAGTCTTAGTGAGATGTGAGATAACGAAGTATGCTGGTGTATTGACATATATCAGACGGGAGACGGGATCCTTATCGCGGATGCAGGAGGTCAAGTGTCCACGTTTACACCTGAAGGAACGAGTCGACTGAGATTAGTCTGTAGGTGGCACCCTGGATTTCAGCTCGTACCAAGTCACGTCCCTCAATCCCCTGGAAGTTCGTGAACTCGTGCCAGCAGCTTGTGAGCTTTCTTCTACCGATGACACAGTCCCTAAATGACCTCCTCAGGCTCTCTGCAAGGCTCCGTATTTGTGAGCACTCGCGCCCGGAAATTCTTCCAAGGTGTGCATTGTTGTCAGGTAGCTCTTGAACGGAATCTGATTTCTTTTTGCCTTGTTCTCATTCTAAGCTAAACTTGCGAACTCCCGATATGGCACACCGGATTCCATTGATTACATCACTCGGAGATTCGATGAGACTACAAAGAGGCTATTTCGAGATCCGTCCGAGTCTCAAGTCGTGGCGTTTGGATCGCCAGTTGATCGCGACCCTAACTTCGATATCCGGAACGGTCAATTACGGCTGGTTGGGTAGTCAATCGTTGTCCTTCATTAACCGGCAAGCTCCTGATTGCAACTACAGGCAGGATGTCTCCAAGTTCTTTGAGCCCTCCATAGAGGCCGCCAAGACGACTATTGAGCAGCACTTATCAGATTCGCATGGTTTGGTCAAGGTGCGCTATGCATTTACCGGATGATTCGAGTCTAGACGCGATGCGATGAAACGACACAGTCCGTTTTCCTTGTCGGAGGATTTGCAGCATCTCCGTGGCTTTTGAAATCCCTTCAAGACCACTTCTCCGGCGATGAAGTCACCATTAGCCGCCCTGATGGTCACACGTAAGCTCAATGTTAACTGTGATATCAGGGGATTGGTAACTGGAGAATTCGACTCTTCTTCTAGTGCGAAGGCTGTTGCTGAAGGGGCCGTATTATATCACCTCGATCACCTTGTGGCGTCCAGAGTCGCCCGGTTCACATATGGCACCTACGTCTTCAGAGATTATAATTTTGAAAACCCTGAGCACGCTAAGCGCTCCGGTTCCGTAGTGACGCACCGTCTCACGGGAACAAAGATTTTGAAAAAAGGGTTTCGCGCTATTTTGGACAAGGTGAGTAGTGCTCATGGAAGGCGCATGTGTGATATTGAGAGTACAACCGGTGCTGTCAGGGCACGTCGGTCACGGAAACCAAAGAGTTCAGCACTGCCCTCACTTGTAATTGGGGAGTGAATGACGATATGTCCGATGAAAAAGTGACCATCGTGGTCTACCGAGGAAATCGAAGCAATATTCTGTGGTTGGATGAAGACGAAGGTACGCTGTCCCGCAAGTTATCACGGGTTCGGAATCGAACTGATTTAACCCGCCAGCCCGGTTCTCCTCTTTATGCGCCATCGAGGCAGACATGTCAGCATTGAGGGCGCACCTCCAGCGGAAAACTGGGAAAACGGGGCGCGACTACATAACCGCTTCCTGCCAAATTATACTCCACTTTGGAGCAGAGCTGAAAGCGCAAGTATCTTGGAAAGAGAATGTGAGCGATGTTCGTGATACAGCAAGGAAAGCCGCTGTTGCTAACCGCGGACATCCCTGCTCACAGGGTGTAGAGAAACGGTGAGCGCATCCATGATTTAGACCGCATCGCATGTTACGACGATAAGCGGCAGGGGACCGGTGCAAATTGTTTATGATCCAGATGCCTAACAAATGCATGGAAGATCACTCGTGGTGATTTCCGCGAGGGGTTCTTTCCTTGGGCGGTGATTGACGCTAACTTTAAATGGTGTTGTTCAAAGGAAGGGGCTTCGGCCTAATGCACATATGCAACTGTATCTCATACCGTCCGTATGTAGTGGGTATATCTGAAGGCAAGATAAGATCTCTCTCGTATACACGTACGGGCAGCGTAAATAATACAGTGGGACTATGGATGCAGAGCGATGCCAACGACGATGACAACAAGAAACAGAACATTAGTCAACTACTGAAGTACTTCCGGGACGTGGCGGGGAGGAGGAAACAAAAATGGAAAAACCGAGCAGTGGAAACATGGGAAGCAACAGTGGACGAGATGAACTACTAGCAGACCGTGATATCGCGTGCGACGAGAATAGGGGAACAATAATCAAAGGAAAAGGGAGAACGTCCGGGAAAGGTTCCGCATTGATACCAGTGTGATAGCGGAGCGTCGTCCGGCAACGAGCGACCACACGCCCGATATATGCGCGTTCATGTCAGCTCCAACACGCTGGTCTCGAGTACGCGGAATTGTGATTGGTCCTTGGACAGCTCCGACCAGTTGACGGCCTCGCGCCAGTTGAACTGGTTCGCCTCCTTCTCGCCCGCGCCGGCGAAGTCGCCCATTTCCTCCTCGGAGACCCCGCGCCAGATCAGGAAGAGCCGCGTGAATACGCAGGATTCGGCCGTGACGGAGATGTCGATTGCCGCCGCTATCTTTCGCGGTTGAAGGAAGCGGTAGGCGATGTTCTTGTGTTGAGCGAAAGTGGAGATGTTGTTGCTGAGGGGGAAAGAGATCCACAGGTTAATCATGGGTCAGTCTGGGATTGCGGGCGGGTGCGACGTACTGGATGAAGTTGGTCCGAGCATGCATCGACATGCCGAGCTGATCCAATACGCCGGTGAGATGCGGCACGAAGTCGGAAAACGACATTGCGAAGCTATTCCTGGGCGCGACGAACTCCTGTGGTTCGAGCATACCCGGATCGGGTCTAGAAAGAAGCGAGCGAAACGTCAACGTCTTTATGCGAGACAGCGCGGAGGTGAGACATACATGGCTTCGTAGTATATTGATGTCGCGGTCGTGACAGATTCGAAGTGTTCCATGGCGCCGCCGGGGTGCACGCGCAGGAAGTACTTGATCTTGTTCTCCGCTTCCTGTACGGGTTCGGCGGGCGGCCAGGTGAAGCCGATCTTCCACATGCTAGAGAAGCTGAGGAAGACGTCGCAGTACTGCTGCGCGGGCGGGAGGATGCTCAGGTGGCATTTCGCGGTGGCGGGTTTGGCGGCGGCGGCGAGCTTGGTGATGACGCGGGTGTCCATCATGAAGTCGGGCGAGAACAGTTGCGAGTCCTCCTGGCCCTCTTGGTTGAGGCGCGTGCCGGAGAAGTCCATTTTGTGCGTGTCGCCATCGTGAACGATCTCAAGCTTGCCCCAGAACAGACCATCGACCATCGTGCCGTCCTCCATGCGTGCCATGTCGAGCTCGTCGGAGGACACGGTAGTGTCGAGCGCCACGGTTTGGCCGGGGAAGAGTTCCAGGGCGAAAGTGGCAGGCATCTCTAGTACTGGTGGCGGGCTGCGAAAGATTCGGGTTAGAATTCGGGACGGGCCCTGGTATGAGAACTCGCTTACGGAGGTGGGCTGATAGGGAACGATCACTCAGAAAGAAAACATGGTGCATACGAGAGCATGTACTCACGGAGGTTCATCAGGCGGAGGCGGGGCATCGCTCACTATTTCGACGCGTAAACCCTGAACACCCATGGTTGCGATCGCGTACGAGTCCTCTCCGGTGAGCTAGGCGAGAAATGTCAGGGATATGACACCTCCAATCGTCGCGAGGGCCACTCACATAAACATAAGGCCCTGATATGAATCGCTAAGACGGGATTAGGATACTCGGTGGCGGAGGGTGAATCTGATCGACCTACCGCGGCTTGTAATGAAGCATATTCAACCGGTACTCGTAGTGTGAAGACGGCATCCGGTGGTGGTTTTGTCCAGTCTCGTGCTACGGCATCGAGTTCCTGGAAGTTGGTTATGGAACGACCGACTGGCGAGAAAGGGGTAGCCGACGTACCGCAAACGATAGCGGTAACTGGTAGATCAGGCATGAGCTCGACTTCGATTTTAATGCGAGACGATGAGCACCACTCACTAGCCGCACTGTCTCCATCTCGCCATAGCAGAGCGTGAGCAATCGCTGTCGGGCCAGTGCCATCTGTGCCGCCTGCTGCCTCATCTCCATCTCCTTCTGGCGGTCCGGAGGCGGCTGCTTGCCACCTCCACCCTTTCCCGAGAATCTGTTCCAAAAGCCACCGCCCCCACCCTGAGAGGGCAAGCTCCCGCTCGTTGATCTGTGGCGGCATGAATCAGATCTCTGGATGGGCGAAACGCGGCTCTCCAAGCACTCACGCCGGCGATAGCAGCATGGCGATGGACTGAGGAGGAGAGGTATCAAGCGTGTAATATGTCTTGGAGCGAGAGTAGCGTCCGAGTCAACGAGAAGATATATTCGATTTTTCAGATGCAGGTGTGTTTCGAGAACACGCGATGGACCGTCGAGAACACGAGGCAGATCAAGGACTTCCTGCGGAGCTGTCAGCTATCGCACAGCCGATCTGGCCAACTTATTGTGCGCTGGCTGCTCTGACGGGGAATGATCGCTTGATATCGGACCAGCATTAGCCAGCCAGCCCTTTGCCCATCCGTCTAACCTCCCGAAGTTTCGTGCGATCGGGACGTCCTTCCGCATCCGAGGCGCCCGTGTCCCGTGACATGTCCCACGGTCATTCGCGTCCGTGGTTTTCCGGCCCCAGGCGTCACTGGTGGCCGCGGGAGTGAGCGCTGTACCCTAGTCTGCCCCCGATGCTTCGTCTCGCTCGCACTCGCTTACCGACCGCCGCTCCCTCCTCCTCCAGGAGGACATTTGTGTCCTCCGTCTTGCTGGACAGGACCTACGAAAATGCTACTGTCGCCGACCTGAAAAAGCTGCTCAAACAGCGCGGTTTACCTGCGTTCGTACCGCCTCCGGTCTTTCAACGCGCCTCGCTCACCGGAAATGCAGGACAGGCAACAAGGCGACGTTGATCACGCGTATTCAGGAGCATGAGAAGCGCAGTGCCCTCGCCGCCATTGCGCCTACGCCTACGGAATCGATGGACAGCCCCACCGCGGTCAGACAGCAAGTCCGCCATGCGACCACGGTTCCCGGTCTTCCTGGCTCAGGAGACGTTACTGCCCACGCGAAGCAGTACCTCGAAGTCAGACTACCGGACTTTGTAGACGAGCCAGAACCACAGCCCCAGATCGTGCGTCCCGAGCTCATGCTTTTCCACTCAGTCAGGCTGAACGATTCGCGTGACAATAGCCCTACGGACCGGACTTCTGGAGCTCACAAGCGCCGGCACACTCGCAGCCCAAGGACGCAGCGCCTCCCAAGCTCCTCGTCGTGGCCAGTGACAACGAGGCCCCCGCGCACAGCGTGCACCAGTCGTTGACCGCCCACTCTTTACCGGAAGAACCCTCGACGTCCGGCTCGCCCGCCAAACCCTCCAGATCGGGGCCAAGCAGTATCTGGACAGACATCGCAGACGACCTGGGCATCCCAACGTCCACCTCCGTCGCGAACATGGAGAGTGCGTTCTTCGGTACTACGGACAGGTCGTCCGAGGTGAAGCCGCAGTCACGACCTCTGCAACCCGAGGAGAAGACGGGGGTGTGGCTGTTGCTGGGTCTCTTCGCTGGAGGCTGGGTCGCCGGCGGTCTTGTCAACTCCCAAAAGAAGGAGAAGAAGAACGTGAAGGAGGCCGTGGCTGAGGCGAAGGAGAACGCCAAGGAAGCGCTCCATTGATGTAGGTTACTGGTCTCATAGATGTCGCAATTTTACATTACCCCGAACATTCAGTTGAATGTATGATATGCGCGCCACTTCGCAGATCCCCGATGCAATGCCCCTAAATGCTCTACCATCTCAACTTGATGTACTGACGATCATTGCATCTTCCTGAACAAATCGCTGCGCAGCTTCGGACCGTGGAGTGATCACGCATTTGAAAGGCGCTGGGTAGCTATAGATTTTCTGAATAAACAGTCTGATGGTCAACGTGGACTGTGACTTACGACACCAGTCCGCTCAGCATGTTCGGAACCAGGTAGACGGGCTGTCCATTGTCATCGAGCGGCGGCGCAATATTGTATGCGGCGAGAACAGAAGCGACTGTAATGAACAGTGCTTGCGAGCTCATCCACCGTCCGGGGCATATTCTCTGACACAACGTGCGTCGTGAGCATAGTTGATGTGGTGGGTTAGAAAGTCAATGGGAACCCACCCGACCAAAACCAAAGGCTGCCAAAGCAGGGTCTAAAACGTCGGGATCGATCTGTCCATCCTTCATGAAACGGTCGGGGTTGAATGACTCTGGCTTTGGATAATGACTGGGATCCTGTAGGATTGCCCTGTCAAACACATTTAGTGTGCTCACGCCTACCACATGCGCGAGACCGTATACAGACCATATATTGCCGATGACAATGCTGCCCTTCGGTATGAAATAACCATTGTATTCGTCGTCCTCCGAGGCTGCATGAGGAAGCCCTATGACGCAAGTGTGAGAAAGCCATTATACACTGCCATACTGCCGACATACCAAGAGGTACAATTGGCTGCCATCGAAGCAGCTCCTTGCATACGGCAGTAACATAGGGAAGCTTGTCCTGGTCATCGAAATCTGATGGCATGGTTATTTTCATCCTACAACTATGCTGCATTTGACTTACCGGGAAGCCTCTCATTACCGACGACATTATCAAGCTCCTCCTGGGCCCGTTTCTGTATGTCAGGGTGGTTCGCCATGACGAGGAACAGTGTTTGCAACGAGGATACTGTCTTTGCATATACAGTTGCGTCAGTGGTTCCATCGAATAACTGCAAGTTCGAAGATGCTCACTGTATCCGCCCCAGCTAGACAAGACAATGATTTGGTTAGTTAGGCCACGAGCCCAGCCCAGCCATGATCCAGGCCCACCGAGGTATGCCCCGGCAGCGATACTCGATACAATGTCCTCTTTTTCGGAGTCTGTAGCTGTGGTATCCCATGCATTTGAGAATTTGTCTAGCAGTGTGCTGACAAAGGAAGGGGATGCAGTTCCACTCTTCTGTAAAAATAAGCTAGCACCGCATGTTGCAATGGCTGAGATCGCCCAAGAGCCTTACCATCGCGTCTTTTGCATGATTAAACGGGACGTTCTTGAAGTCTTGGCCTATCAATTTCCATTTTGCCGCATCTTGCTTGAATCTTGCGCCGGGAAACCACGAGGGGATGTATTTGACTGTTATTGATGTGTTGAATCAGTGATGTCCAGGCCATGTCTGATGAATTGTTTTACGCCACGGGAACGTGTTAACGAAGTACACGGTAGGATCACCACCAAGAACAACACTAAAAATCAAGCGATTATCAGAATGAAATAGCACGAGGATCGAGGGTTCGTATGCATGCTCACGTCGATACTGCAGCTTCTCCTAGTTCTATGTAGGGGTCATTGTCTTCGGCAATCTTAATTCCGTACGCGACGTCCATGATGATAGCTCCGAGTTCGCTGTATGTTCGATGATTTATTTATGTGCCCAATGCGCCGGAAACAACACCCACTGTCTGACATGGTGATAGAACCGCTCAGGACTGACCAAAAGTCGCTTCAAGAGTTTGCGCGCTTCTCGGACTTGTATTGGTTGATAGCTAGCGGATTCTCTGGAGTTCAGCACTTGATGAAAGGCTCTTCTTTGAGTTCGCCATTCCGCTCCGTAGCCCATGAATCCGATGAGCCATCCCCAGCCCATCCTGTACAAATGGGTATCAGGACATAGCACACTTCATCGCCGAGCATTGGGCGTACAACTCCTTGAGCATTGGCAGATCGGGCCGATCCGAGTATACAGAGGAGCGTTTCTCACAAAGGTCGGTACAGGCCTTGAGCGAACCCAGGACCACAATGTGCTGTCCGAATGCTTTTACAGAAATAACATCGCCTATATGGTGACGATCGTTAGTGATTAGTAGCAATACAAACGAAGCATAACCATAAACCATAGATTTTGTGCCAATCACTGAATGTTAGCCATTGGTGATTGGACGGTATCTGGAATGCATGTTTTATCCATGGTATAGGCGCAGGAGGCCCAGGTGGGAAGGGAAGGTGACCGGGTCGCAGACGTAGTAGTCTACGGACACCAAAACACACCAAACCAAGTGCACACAGCCAAACGCCAAATGACATATTCGAGATAGCGGCGGGGTTCCGGGATGAGCGTCTTGGGGCGACTCACTCCCGTACTATAAGCTGTCGCAGACCTGCCATCTGGTAGGTCATCGGATGTTCTATGAATTCCCGAACTATAGTCTGCCGGCTCGGAGTGGCGCAGGCCGTTGACACTAGTAAGGTCCGAGCCAATGATACAGTTTTCGTACGATTTCGGGACAGGTACCAAATATCCCCATTAGTCTTGATGTTCGGCGTGAATACGCGAATTGAGATTGCTTTTGAAGGGTGACGTACGGGGCATGAACGAATGCCGTCGTCTGGTGTTCTTTGAGCAGCTTTTAGACGTGTGGAGAGAAAAACGGAAGCATATGGCTTGAATACGGTGGCGAACACACTCACACGGTAGTCTTCGGATGTGAATCCGCCCACCTCGCGAGCCTTTATATCAAGCTTAGGCTTCATGTCACCTTCTCATCTCCTCTTGTTCAAGTCTACTCTGCATCACTTCCAGGTTCTCAATTATTCCGCATTGGGAGACGGCTCGGGAGTCCGAAGGTTTACACCGTTTCGCTAACCACGGCTTCCTGAACAAGTCGCCGGGCAGCTTGAGATCGTGGGGTTATGACACACTCAAACGGCGCCGGGTAGCTGTTGTTCCTGTGAATTGAAATGCAGTAATGTGTAGCGCGTGGATATAACTCACGACACCATGCCAGTCAGCATGTTTGGGTTCAACTGGACGGGACGTCCATTGTCATCAAGCGGTTGCGCAATATTGTATACCGAGAGGACAGAAGCGACCGTGATAAAGAGCGCCTGAGAGGCCAACCACCGTCCGGGGCATATCCTCTGCGGTAATGAACAACGTCGTCAGATGTTGAGTCAGATAGGATCAATAAGTAGCATACCCGTCCAAAGCCGAAGGCGGACAGCGCTGGGTCCGTGATTTCGGGGTTAAGTTCACCATCCTTGATGAAACGATCTGGATAGAACAGTTCGGGTTTTGGATATAACTCGGGGTCGCGTAGGATCCCCCTTATCGAGGTTATGAACATGCGGCAGTCCAGCACGCCTAAACCATGGATACTAACCAGATGTTACAAATAACGACGCTGCCTTTCGGAATGTAATAGCCGTTATAGTCATCGTCTTCCGAAGCTGCGTGTGGAATGCCTGGTTATGAGTTATAATCAGTAAGCTAACATATCTTGACCGTTCCATCGAGGCATACCGTAAGGTACAATCGCCTGCCACCGTATTAGCTCCTTGCAAATCGCCGTGATGTACGGAAGCTTCTCCTGGTCGTGGAACTCTATGACCGCAATGTGGGTCAGCGGGCATTATTGATATGGTTAGGTTTGCTGCGTTCCATTTACCGGGGAGTCTTTCGGAACTGACGACGCTGTCCAGCTCTTGCTGAGCACGCTTCTGCATGTCTGGATCGTTCGCCATGACAAGAAATAGCGTCTGCAATCCTGATACCGTCTCCAAGTCATAGATCAGTGAGATGGAGGTGCTATGGGATCATGGAACCCACTGTATCCGATCCAGCTGAGTGAACAAACGGCTCGATGAGTCGTAGATTCCAAGGGCCCTCACTAATAGCGCACCTAGGTATGCCCCAGCAGCTATGCTTGATACAACACTTTCCGTTTGAGATTCTGTGGCTGCGATATCCCAAGTATTGGAGAATTTGTCCAGCAGCGTGCTTACAAATGAAGTAGATGCCGTTCCTCGTTTCTATAGTAAGGTGGAAGTTAGTTTTTCAAACATGAATGGAGTAGCTCAAGAGCGTACCATGGCTTCCTTTGTATAGTTGAAGGGATTGTTCTTGAACGCCTGGCCTAGCAACTTCCACTCTGCCGCTTGTTGCTTGAACCTGGCGCCGGGGAACCATGACGGGATGTATTTGACTGGAGATTGTTAGTAACGTTCACGAATTTGACTAAATGAATGAACAAACGCCATGGGAACGAGTTCACGAAGTAAATGGTGGGATCTCCACCAACGACAACTCTAAAGTAGGAAATGATCAGAGAAAGCGGCTCATACATCTTCATTCACATACGTATTTATCGCAGCCTCTCCCGTTCGAAGGTATCGGTCATTATTTTCAGCGATCTTGATTCCGTACGCAAGGTCCATGATGACGGCGCCAAGTTCACTACAAAATTGCATTATGAGCAGGTGTCTGCAAGGCGCCAGACTAGCACCGACTGTCGGACGAGGGTATAGAATTCTTCAGGGCAGACTAGCAGTCGCTTCAGAAGCTTTCGCACTTCTCGAATCTGGGTAGGTTGGTAGCTGGCCGACTCTCGAGCATTCAAGACCTGGTGAAAGCCTCTTCTCTGCATCCTCCATTCCGGCCCGTACCCGAGGAATCCAATGAGCCAATCCCAGCCCATCCTGCCCCAATGAGCGTAAGAACGTGGCTTGAATTACATTGTGACTGCACGACACGCACAAGTCCCGCAGCATCGGGACGTCGGGACGATCCGAATATACGGAAGAACGTCTTTCGCACAAATCGATACAAGCCTTGAGCGATCCCAGAACAACGATATGTTGCCCGAAGGCCTCTACGGAGACCACGTCACCTACCATGCTACCAGTTAATCATATGTGAATAGGCGATCACGAGTAGGCGTACCGTAAGTTTCGGTCCACTCGCGGAAGGTCACCCATTGATGACTGGTCGGCATCTGGAATGCGTGTTTGATCCATGGGATAGAAGCCAGGGGCCCAGGCGGAACTGGTAAACGGCGTGGGTTCTTCTGCCGCTGGCGTAGCACTTGGTGGATTCCCAGGGAAAGAAACCCAAGGGCAAGCAGAACAGCGAACGACATGCTTCACCTGAGCGAAATCAGGAACGAAGAAGTGAATTGTTGGGCTCGGCTCATTTGGCGTCCAGTTAGTCCATTTTATAGCGGGTGGAGAAGCAGCCGAGGTGCACTCTGCTCACAAACATCGCAGGGTGGAAAAGGTTATTAAACAATAGTGAGGCAATTGCGTCCCGTCCCTGCAACCGGGGCAGATCTGAGTCGCCGTTGGCAATCCCCGCAGTAGACAATCGCGTGTTAAGGTATGCTTATCTTCCATGCGGGGATATTCGTAGTACTGCATAGGGCCACATGTGATGATTGTTGCTACATCTTGTCGTCTGAGCTTCGGTTACGGGGAGTCGTGAGTTGCCGTATCAGCGATGAGCTCCAGGATTAACGTACGAGAAACTGAACTTTGTGCCTTTCCGTACGGCGCGGGCCGCTGTAGCACATGCGGCAGAGTCTCTGAAAGTAGACGCACCAAGGATTGATGGTGAACACAATGCGCATTCACACGGGGGTCTTCTGATGTGAAAGCCGCTAACATCGCACACATAGAAGTACATTCTGTATCCAGTTAGAGACCGCAACATCACGTTGTTTAACCAAAGGCTAGTCGTCCAAGCAGGCATGCACCTATTTGGTCATTGATTCGTGCATCAGCTTGGCATGAAATAGGTATACAGTTAGCGTTTACCTTTACTTCTTCCGCGCGAGGACGACCAAGGTCTGATAGGGATACTCAAAGACGCCGGCATTCTCGTCAATCCATACCTTCTCATCTCCCTTACGAACGATCTCTGAAGCGGCGGCCTTGACTTTATTCTTCTCCTATAACGATCATCAGTACTTGTCCGTATTGCATAGGAATAAAGTTTGTACTCACGTCATCGGGGAGGATCGCGATGTATGACTTGGAGCATACGCGGTCAACCACGCTGTCCTCCGTGCTTGTGATAGCATACGACCTGATGATCAACATGTCAGGCGCTCCAGCCGTTTGGATCAGAACAAGATGATGGACACGTACCAGGTCTGTTCGATAGGTTTCTCGAAGGACTGGACGTAGTTGGGAGTATCGAAAGCGGCGCGCCAGAGGCCGAGGCGGAACTGCGGGGCGCCGTTCTCATGCTGCTCATACGTGTCCCTCAGCTGTGCTACCCAACGAGCCTTCTCCCTGTCTTCCAGGTTCCATACGAAGAACACTGCACCTCCCGGCTTCAAAATCCTGGCGAACTCAGCAGAGGCGGCGTTGAAGTCCGGGCACCAGTGGAAGGCCTGGGCAATGATGACTGCGTCCGCCCACCCATCTTCGACAGAGGTTGTGTCAAAAGTTCCGTCGTGGCAAGAGACCCGGGGGTCGTGCACGGTCTTGTTGAACTGGTCGCGCATACCGGAGCTTGGCTCGAATGCGCGCAGGGCGCCGAGGGCCGAAGTCCATGCCGGGTGAGCGAGGAGAGCGCGAGTGAATATGCCTGTGCCGCTGCCAAGCCTGTATGCATCGTATGTTAGAAGCGAGCATTGACAGTGAGGTAGAGACACGTGCTCTACGAGGTGCAGAGAACCAGGCGAGGAGATCTGGTCGCGAATGTATTGCAAAACTTGTGGCTGGTATGAAGGACGCGCCCTGGCAAGGTCTCAGCCTCGGTTTACGCTAACGGACCCAAAATCCACAACAGACCGATCATAGAGTTCGTTGGTTCCTTCGCCGAATCCGGTCGCTGCAACACGATGTACAGTAGTACTAGACATGGCTTGTTTGGATCACCATATGAGTGACACGCGCTGGGCTTTATAGCAGCGGCCAGCCTGAGCAAAAGCTGAAGAATACAATGACATACAATGGTAAAGTCGACCACTTGGAGTAGATAAGATCCATATCGCACGACTCAAAGCACGAACGCGATCGCGAGAGTCGTGCAGGAATGGACGCAACTGAACGCCACATGTACAGCCACCGGCAGCGAGATCTAAGAATAGCGGCGTGAGTCGTGCACGTCGCAACGCGTCAGTCTACCGCGTCCGTACACCGATCACGATGACGGAAGAAGTGCACGAAATACGCGTTGGTGAAAAAGGGAAACTCTCCACGTTGTCCTTCACCTCGACGGAACTGAGCATTGCTCGTGCCGGTACGTGCATGCAACGCGTTTGGCAGCGGCAGTCGCAGTGATATCCCGCCATGCAGGCAAGAAACCGACGATCATACCCGTTCGGCAGGTGCTTTGGGCGGAATCGGATACTGCATCCCCGAAAGTCATTCACATTTCTGTCCTCGGGCGTAAGAAGAAGAGCCCAAAGAACCCGCTTTCTCTTATCCATCTCTCTGGTGAAATTCAGAGTGGTGAAGAGACCAAGGCGAAAGAATGGGCGGACGCCCTGATGCATCTTGCGTACGAGGCATTGGGAATCAAGCGGAAGAGGAGCCTAAGGGTCCTTGTCAATCCGCATGGCGGCAAGGTGTGCCCGGTTCCTCCGCCGTTGCCATATCACACGTTGACACTTCGGCAGGGTAAAGCAGTGGCCATATATAACAAAAAGGTAGCGCCAATATTCGCTGCTGCACAGTCTACTGTAGACTTGACGCGTATGCTCCCATATCATCCTCATGCAACGTTTTGCTAACATATATATCGTAGACACCACCCACGCAAAACACGCGGTGTCCCTTGCTCAGTCACTTCCGCTCGATACCTTCGACGCGCTCGTGGCCGTCTCAGGTGATGGCCTTCTTCATGAATGTATCAACGGTCTCGCGACGCATTCCGTATCCCCTGCGCGTGCCTTGAAGATACCCTTGGCGCCCATTCCGACAGGGAGCGGGAACGGGACGAGTTTGAACTTACTCGGCATCGACGTAGGCTCTGACCTCCCCTTGACACGATGGTGTATGCTGAAACTCAAAATCGTAGCAAGGTTTCGATGTCTGCGCTGCTGCCCTCAATGTGCTCAAAGGGCGACCCATGCCTATGGACCTTTTCTCCATAACGCAGGACGGGAAACGCTCGTTCAGCTACATGACGCAGTGCGTTGGACTTATGGCCGAGCTTGACCTCGGCACCGAGAATCTCCGCTGGATGGGCGATACACGATTCATCGTTGGGTTTCTTCGTGGGTGTAAGTCGCATTTCGTACAGCGCATCCTTTATGGTCACCGACATGCATCCGAACAGTATTATCCATGAAGCCCACTCCGGTGACGCTGTCCATGAAAGTAGTGGTCCAGGATAAAAACGAAATGGTGTCGGCATTGCAGTCTGCGCGAGCTCATCCAACCACGTATGGCGACGCGTCGGCGCCTGCTGCGATTGGGAGTGACGATGCTCCCGCGCGGGATGCCAACGAGGTTCTCCCACCTCTCCAATATACCACTGACGAGGAGGGTTGGACCACGTTCGACAAGCCCCTGCTGTTCGTCTATGCTGGTCAAGCGCCCTACGTTGGCCGGTGAACCATGTTAAGCGTCGACGAATCGGTACTGAGAACTAACAGCTATCTGTGATAGGGATTTGATGCAATTCCCGGTGGCTCTTCCCAACGACGGCCTGATCGATATAGCTGCGCAGGAGCTGGTACATCTCCTCTGTGCAACTTTGCTACTCTACCTAACAAGTTACCCTTGCTGCTAGACAAATCGCAGTGACATGCTCAGCGCCATGGATGGGGCAGAGATGGGCGAGACATTCTGGTTAAAATCAGTAAGTCTTTGAATCCGCTCCTTGCCGGCAATCGGTTCACGCATCGTCCCTGCAGCAACACTATTTCAAGGCGCACGCGTACCGCATAAGCCCTACTCCCGGCTCAAAGGGCTACGTGTCGATCGATGGGGAGGCATACGAATGGAAACCGTTTGCAGTCGAGGTGCATCCCAGCCTTGCCACCTTCTTGAGTCCCGATGGACGATTTGCTGCCGAGTTCACGAAATCCGATACAAGTAAGAAGTAACTGGAGTTCGGGATCCTGTTTGTCTTTATCTGGGTAATAAAGCACTGTACATTATACATTCGGTCGAATCGACCCAGAGTTTACATTTGGATGCGGAATCAGGTTTGGTTACCGTTCATGGCGAGCGTTGCACCCAAGTTTGAGGAACTATATCTTTCATGGGTTCATTTGTTTAGCGCGTTGTGAGACGAGAGGTCGTCGATGTACACGGCCTCAGAAACCTTCTGAGGCCCACCGAGTATATATGTAGTGGCGGTGTTGTCAAATCAACAAGACACGCTCAACGCGTGCGTGGGAACTACAGCCGTAACATCCGACACGTGACACACGACAACTCGAATCCAAACTCCGCCTCCCTCGTTTGCATAAATACCGCGACGCGCTTCGCGCCTTGGACGATATCGCTTGCCTTATCCCCACCACGACAACACCCTACCGCTCCTCACCCGTGTCACATTGTGAGTCAGGCTGGACTGACAAAGTCTGGATGCTTGGCTGATTGTCGCGTTCTCGTTTCGTCGTACAGAAACTCTTCGCAATGGCCCCTAAGCCCGCTTCCACCGCCTCTAAGGCTCCGGCCTCCACCGCCTCCAAGGCGCCTGCGAAGACGACATCCGACAAGGCTGCGAAGAAGACCGCATCCAAGAAGACTGCGGCGCCGGCTGAGGGTGGTGAAAAGAAGAAGCGCTCAAAGACTCGCAAGGAGACGTACAGCTCCTACATCTACAAGGGTGAGGCATACCTTCAATCGAATCTGGCCCATTCAACTTACTGAACGATGTTCGATAGTGTTGAAGCAGGTACACCCAGACACTGGTATCTCGAACAAGGCTATGGCCATTCTCAACTCATTCGTCAACGATATCTTCGAGCGTATCGCGACTGAGGCCTCCAGTATGTCGCGGATTTCACAGTGTCATTCAGAACAAGGATTTGACCCTCTACTTGCAGAACTTGCCGCATACTCGAAGAAGTCGACCATCTCATCACGAGAGATTCAGACCAGCGTGCGCCTTATTCTGCCCGGTGAACTCGCCAAGCACGCCATCTCAGAGGGGACGAAGTCGGTGACCAAGTTCTCGTCTGCGGCTGCGAAATAGATGGGAGACGGGTGTTCGTGGATTGTCTATTCCTTTTCGTTGCTCGTGTGTATCATCTGTATCCTACGCATTCACTATATCTATGGTCGGCATGAAACATCTCAGTTGTAACTGAATAATCAACGACCTGTTGGCCGCATTGTTTTCGAGTTTGAACAAAGAAAGTCCGTAGGAGCAAATGGATTGAACGCTCAGCAGTGACGAGATCGTATGGGTACCATGCACATCCGTAAGTATTACCGAGGAATCCCGACGGTCAAAGTATGCACGATAGATGGTTGATCAAGCGACACCAGGGGATGACAAGAACTTAAAAACCTGGACATAGTATGAATGAGCACAGAAGTAGACCGCCAACGACCTGTACAACTCACCGTACTTCATACCCGCTTCTTTCCTATTTCTTCGCCCCTGTGCAATCTTCTCCTCGAGCGTCTCGCGGTTCTGGTACGCCTCTGTGAGCAGCGTAGTGAGTTGATGCCGCGACCTCGCCCTCCCTCCAAGCTTCGCCCCCTGTACATTCATCCTCGGCGCCTCCGGTCCACTTCCCGCACCGTGCGTTAGCTGCTTGCGCTCCTCCAGCTCTTTGACCTGGACCTTCGCCTTCTCCATCTCGGCCACCGGATCCACCTCGCCGCTGATTCCAACCCTGTCCAAGTCCTCGAACCCTTTCTCCAGTTTGCCCTTTTCGAGGTTTCGGATATACTTCTCGTAGTCCTTCTGCCATTTCTTGTAGAAAGATTGGTAGTAGGCCGTATCATATTGGGCCCAGCCACCCGATGGCAGCTGATAGTAGCCAGGGTACGGATCGGAAGGTGTAGGTTCTGGTGGAGTGAAATCGTCGAGGGCGGGTGCAGCGGACCTTGTAGGGATGATAGATGGTTTGGAGGGTACGGCAACGGGAACCGAGGGTTTGTTTGCAGAGGACGAGGATGTAGAACCTGCCATCACATTAACGAGGAAGGAAATGATCACAAGAAGGAGGCCTACCGAGAGAGAAGAAATCTACCGCTGGAGCCGATGAAATTGGCTTTGGTGCGGGTGTGGATTTGGGGGCGGGGTCTTCCAACGATACGTTGGCCTTGCCCTTGCGAAGAGATGATGGCAACATGAATGTCGACGGTGTCGGTGCGTGGTCTTCTCCAGGAACGGGTACCGCACTATCTTCTGCGTCCACTGCCTCCTCCTCGATCGGAACAGAGGCAACAGCGCTCGACCGCGACGTATTGAACACTAAACCAGGGCCTTGCCCGCCTCCAAGGACACGCTCGGGTTTGGGCAGAATCGGTGCCTTCTGCTTCGGCGCAGGCAGCATGGAAAGCAAGCTTGACCTCCCTGCGCCATTCTCTAATCGAGCCTTCTTGGCGGGAGGAGGTTGGTCGTCGTTCGCCTCTGCTTCATCATCGGAGGTCTTGGAAAGAGAAGGTAGTCCTATAGCTATCTTCTTGGTTTTCTTCGTCGGTTTCGATGAAGTGCCAGCAGATGGGGGAGGTAACGCTAGACCCAGACCGCCTGTGGGCTTCTGGGAAGAGGGAGGTTGCTTGGAGGCAGATGCAATTGGGAGTTTCGGGGTGCAAACAGATTCGTCGCCACTTTCATTGTCGCTACCGTAGTCCTCAACGCCGAGCATGTTGGTTCAGGCTCCACGCCAGAGACGATGAGAGTACGCGCGCAAGGTGGCCAGGCCAGGAGTACATAATAGGCCAGGCGCCGCCAGTGAGATCTTGAGAAGTCGCGGTCACGCTCTCTGAAGTTGTTCCCGCGCGCGTTCTCTCCGTTGTTCTACTCCTTAGGCCACTACTTCAGATTCAATCACAGCCCTTGGATATCTTCCATATGGCGACCTTCTCCCCATCGCCAGGTCCGCGCAGAAACTATGTCGTACCCCCTACTCGTTTACGACATTCACGGCTCGCCACTCCACGGGCGGCGGCAGATCCAGATGACTCTATGGAGGATGCTATATCTGTTGCTTCGGCTTCCGTAGCAGGGATGGACGTTGACGAAATCGCCTCGATTGGGGGTACTGCTAGCCCGTCACGATCCACCCTTGGAGGACCCAGGTTGAAAGCGGAGACTGTGTACGCGAAGAGCGAGGAGCTCAAAGTCGTGTTCTACGCGCACTTGCCAATCGAGGTCAAGCAAGTGCTGAGAAACGCCGGTATAGTCGCTTGGACGTTGCCAGAGCAATTACAGTTGACTAAACGCCACTACACAGATTTCTTACGGGATGCATACACAGGTGGCATTGACGTCGCCACTGGGTTTGCGCTCATCGCTTCGGCTCAGACGTGTTTTGCGTGGCAACACAATCAAGTGCGTTCTCCATCTGAACGCGTCACACACTGGCATGCAACTTCACTCATCATGACCACAGGCCCTGGCAGGCGCGCCTACTTGTTACATCTTCCCATGCCCGCTTGACCCGACTCAGACATGTGCCCCACTGCATGCCTTCATCCCGTACTCCACCTCTCGCGAGCCGGGACTTATTCTTATCTCGGTGAACGGTGAAGTAAGGTGCTGGGATAGCGTCGGAATCGGTCTGGCGGGTGGCGAGTACTATTCAACCATTGTGCTGGGCTTGGATGCTGGAGAAGAAGTGACAGTATTGACAAGGGCCGAGGTACGTCCACCTAGTCCCACTTTCTCGATGAAGAAGAATGTGATTGTCTCCCGGCGCAGCCTCAAACATATGTAGCCGCCACCTCACTTGGCCGCATCTTCCACCTCAACCTTACATCCTCCGGGGGACGTTCGACCCTTTCTGCACACCCCTTTTCCCGTCCTTCATCTGGCATTCTCTCTCGCTTGTTGTTCTCGTCCTCTTCCCCCCTCACTGAACCAGGAACTATAAACGCAATCTGCATAGGGGAACGGTCCGCGGCGGGCAAAGATGTGTGGGCGCTGATTGACACTCGACTGCAGAAGTGGAACATGAGTGACGAAGGGTGGGAAGAACTACTGACCGATGAAGAGCTCGCCGATATCATTAGGCCCGCACTGAGGGACACGCTGGGTAGTGCAGCGGCGGTTGGCGACGATGCCCGTATGGACCTCGAGCTACTGGACCTCGCCATTGAACGAACAGGTCAACTGGTGATCTTGGTTTCGTTCGCCGGCGTAGAGGACAGTTACGTGGTGGGGCAGGGAAGCTCCCCGAGGAGAATATATGCGATCGTACGAGTAGCGTATAGAGCGGGAGAGGCGAAGGTGCAAAAAATAGGCGCCGTGCCGTACCATAGCGTGAGTATTTACCTCGCCTTCCCCACCGCGCCGATCTGAATGGCAAATTATCGTGCTAGACATCTAGTTCTGGTGCACCCATGCATCCTCGAATGCAGGTCCCTCCTGGAGGATCACCTATCAGCATTCAGTTTGGTGACGCCGTAGCTTTCGTTGCACGAGGTATGAATGGTACTTACGGACGCCGCTGGTCCTTGCTGACACCTCGCTTACACTCCAGATTCGGAGTACCAAGACCGGTTGTCGCTCAAATCCTTCTCCGATCGCACGCTTGGTCTGGCGATAGGAGAGGATGAAGGAAGCTCGTTGGTGCTGACGGCTGGCGTGATGATGAAAGCTACGCTTGACATGGAGCGTGTCAACGACTTCGATTCTGAGTACGTGTCTGCACATTTCCATACATGGCGCGCATCGGTTGTCGGGAGAGCAATGCAGCTTATTTACTGACAGGACGGGGAAAGCGCGATTGATCAAGAGTATCATGACACAGGGTATTCTGTACGGCGCGAATCCTCAAGTGAGCTGATGTTTCTGCAGCGTCTTCCTGAGAACCCAAACTGATGCCCGCGTATCACAGAATCCTCTTCACTTCAGCCTACCGCCGGAAGTGGACGAAGAAAGTCTGATGTCTGCTGCTGAACAACTCAGCCAACAAGTGCTTGAGTCAGGTTTGTCAATCGACTATCATCCATGGATGAAGGTGAAAGCTTATCATATGATAGACATCGAAATTGTCAGGTCCGGACATGATTTGATCGCGCAAATGGAGCATCGAGCGAGCAGGCTTGTGTATTTGTGCGAGTTTATCAACGTGAACGGCGTATTGCCAAAGGCAGGTTGTTTGACCAATTTTGTACTTAAAAGGCTGACGAGATACTGTTGAGTTTAGATGTCTCAAAGAAGTAGACAAAGGCTGTGCACGGACAGCGAGAAGTTGTTCGCCGCGAAAAGTCTGTGGGAGCAACACAACGAGCTCGTAGCGTGAGGCCTTGCATTATTCGCCGCTTCATCGTTAATGTTGGAATGACAGGTCTGGGCACCGGAACACCGTCCTGGAGGAGGCAATATACTCGTATATGGCTGACGTCGGTGAGGGTCACCATGAGGACTTGATGCGCGCGTTTTTCCGCTTGAAAGTTGCAGACCTGGGCAAAATCCTGCCCAAGGTGCTGGAGAGTGTTCAGAAGTCTGCCTATAATATGAACAGGGCCACGGTGACCGTGCTGCCAGAAGCCAATCATATCCTTTGTGTACGAATCAGCATCTTGGCTGACATTCATCATCACCGGAACTGATCACATTTGATATATGCAGGTGATCCTGCAAACGGGGTGGGAATACCGAAGAGACAAAGAGCAGGCGTATGGAGTTGAAAAACCTATGATCAATCCCTGGACGAGCACCGCGGCAATCGTTGAGGTTGTGAGGGAGCTGTTTGACATCACGACACAGGTTGTGGAGTCCCCGGCGTCCGCCGCAGACATCAGTCAGGTCCGAGCGGTACCGTTGTCACAGTTGCCCAGGCTTGCAAAAGTCCTATTCCAATGTTTAGATGAACGCATACAGTGGCTTAGGAGGTGATCTGATCGCTTGGATTGCCTTACCTTCATTGCTAACGATGTCTTCCAGTCCGATAGCCGCAGAGGACCCCGCCGCGAAGCGTGACTGTCAACTTCTCGAGGAAAGCTTCAAACAGCTCCGTCCCCATGTATTGGAGACCCTTCGGCGGAATGAGCACGCGGACACGGCTTTCGCGCTGGCGGAGGAATATCAAGACTTCCGCAACCTGGCCGCACTGTGTCACAAGGATACTGTGTATCCGCCGCATCAGAACCCGCACGCCTTGCGAATTCAAGAATACGTGCAACGTTTCCAAGAGGCATTCACAAAAGAACTCTTCCAGTGGTACATCGAGCATGGCAAGTTTTCTGCAAATGATAACATCGTTGTGTCAGGTCTAATACCCACGATGCGAACTATAGGAGAACTCCGTGCGATGTTCGCACAAGAAGAACAGTACGGCCAACATATTGACAGATTCTTCGAGGAGCACCCTCACCGCTCTATAGCCTGGATTCATGATCTGGGCACACGCAACTATGCTCCCGCGTCGCTCGCACTTCTAGCAGAGGCGCAGAGCGCGACAGATCTGGAGTCGAAAGAGCTTCTTTTGAGCATTGGCAAACTCTCTCATCTCGCGCAGTTGCACGAAGCCGAAGGGTCTATCGACGAGCCGACATTGAATGGTAAGTGAGCGCTCGTGCGGTATGTACACACTAATCATGTCGTAACAGCATTCCACGATCAACTCGACCTCGTCAGTGTCCATGAGGTTTTGTTGCGCGACTTGAAAACAGCTTTGGTGGGCTTGCGAGGAAAGCAGTCTCTTGAAGCGCAAGTGCAAGCAATTGCATCCAAACACGCATCCAAACTGTCGGAAAAAAAGGCGCTGTTGCAGGTACGGGCGGTCTTCGCGCCATTCTGGACAGCAGTTGACATGCCCTCAAGGTGTTCAAGCAACTCGTGCGGCAATTACTGCAAGGACGGGTATTGTCCATCGAGGATATCGTGGACGTTTTGACCTTGAAGGACAATACGGACTCTGTGGATGATTATGCCACTGCACTGCATCTTCTCGCTCGGGAACACACTCTGCCTGCGGGAAGAAGATTGATGGCATTCAGGAGTACATGGCGACGTATCTTCAACCACGACGAGTGAGCCGTCTTGTGCCTTCTGTCACGCAATACTAATACGAGTCGCCTGATAGCTGGACCTACATCAGACAGACCGTCGGCGTGAGTGACTCCGAAATCAGCGAACGTCTACAAAATACCGCGCTCTGCGCTGCACTACGTGCTACGCTCGCCAAACCGTATCATCCCCCCGGATATATCTTACAACCCGGCGAAGCCCTCCCTGTCCCAACGATGGCTGAGCTCGAATCGCGGTGGCCTGGGACGGCACCTGAACAACTCGAGGAGATCCAGAAGGATTACACGTTGGAAAGCGATGACCTCGGGGAACTGGAGCTCGATGACGTGTACGAGCGAGCACGAGAGCTGGCGGCGGCAAGTCTCGACTTGTGATTGGTAGCATGTGTAGCAGACTGGGGTATGCCAGGGCAATGGCACCGGCCCTGTATTTCGCTGGAGCGTCATCGTCACGACAAAACGTTCGCGATCCGCATCCTCAGTTTCTGGTAGTGCAATCGTGCTGCTAACTGGATCTCCGATATGTTCTTCGCGCGATATTGTTTACTGTACTCTTCCTGTCTGTGCTTTTCTTGTTGAATCCACTTGGCGTAAAAGTCGGAGAGAGCGCGTTCGCGGTCAGCAGCTAAGGTATCAGCGGGCAGACTGGACAAAACTGCCGCTTTTCCCGCCTCGAACCTCGTGTTACTCTGCAAATGCAATGAGGTGACCACAAAGGTTCAGGATTGCCTGCACGCACGTCTGTCCAGAACCGGTGGTTGAAGTTGTCTAATTGCTGTCGTTCAGCCTTGTATTGGTACTCCATCTCTTCGCGTTCCTCGGCCGCTTCATCTGGTTTGAACTCGGAGAGGGAGTAAGGATGCGTGACCGCTTGGCTCGACCGGGACGGCAGGTCATCGTCATATATCACTGGCCGTAGATTTGACACCGGGTCGGGAGGCCCAACGAAGTTGCGAGCTAGCACAGTCGCATGCAGCAGGCGTCTGGCGCTGTAGCTAAGTAAGGCTCGATTCGAGCAGCGGCGAGTGACGGTCGCAGGAAGCATGGTGCGGCACGGGCACAGCCATCTCTCAGGGAGTAAATACATAGAGCATATATACCAGGTGAGCGCCTTCGAATGACTGTAAGGATACAAGATCTTTCATGCTGTGATACCAATTGCTGTAGTCATATTCACGATGCGTTCCGGCGACGCCTAAGGTTACTACTATTTGCCATTGGATGTGGGGTTGAGGATACAGACGCGCCCCATCAGGTAAACTTCGCATACACGACACGTGCATGGACTCCGTACGTTTTAGCTGCAAGCCCGGGTTAGGCACAGCGGATCTGGAGAGCTGAAGTGCGCCTGACATAGTAGTATCCAAGCAGCCTGTCAAGACTCCAACGAATAGAATCGCCTGTGGTCCGGTGCAATTCGGTATTCAGGGCGTGAGCGGTTTGGAGGCATGCTTCGGACTTGCAACGGGACGACGAGAGGTCCCGGGGATCGATCAAATCGCGGGCATGGAAGAATGGAGGCTTGCATCCACAGGAGATCCAAGTCAAATGTTCACGTCTCTTTCACATTGTCGAGCAAAGCTTGAGCAACAACAGAATGTATATCGGCGCAGCGTTCCTGACACGCTTTCATACACTGTGGAAACGAATAGGTGAGTGTTATGCCGCACAATGAGATCACCGAGCACACTCACGTCGATGGCGCGAGCGGGAATCATTTTCCCGCTTTGCCACACATTGGTGACGATGCCGAGTGCCGGCAAGCACGCAAGAACGAGGATCCCGCTTGCTAAACGACTTTCCGCATCGGTTGGGTCAAGCCAGAGCTCCTTTCCGACATCCGCCTAGAATTCAACACGCCCAAATCAGCACAACACGGTGTCTGTCACTAGCGGCATGAACTTGCCGCGGAACAAGACATGACCATGCCCAGCATTTCTATTCGGGCTTGAGCCAACGCCGTGCTGGCAGCGACTGTACCGGACGCCACACATCCCTCAATACCATCATTTTCAATGATCGTGATGAAGATGTCGATGGTGGACTTCGGAAACAATTCTAGTCGTACGGCGGCGTTCAGTGATCGCTGAATCAACATTGCTATAGGCCGGTCTTCTGCATCCTGACAGACGGAGTGAACATCACATCCTACATTGCCAAAAAACCCGGGACTGACGCGATTAGGTACTCTCCTCCTGGTGCAGGAGAAGGGGGCAAATTTTACTTCAACGTTAAGTTTGCCCTTTTCGCTATACGAAGTGCTCTTCGATTGTCGAGGCCCATAACTGATAGAAAATGAATGCTCGCTCGAAGCTTGCGATCGTAGAGCTCCTTACACAGCACAAACAAGCTTGGTTCTCTCCGTCTCTATATATGCCGATCCGTTGGCTTGACTGATCAGCCCTGCCTTCAGAACTGCGCATGATAATGACGCTGAAAGAGATGAAGATTTCGAGGCGAGCGTACATATAGGTCGAATATCACTCGCGCCCCGCCCATTTCGTGGTTCACCTGGATTCCATCTTTTGGATGAATCGGAGGTGGCTTGTCTTTCCACGAAGTCAGGATGAAAGCTTTCTTCTGGCCCATTGATACGCCTCCTGTCCGTGTTAAGGGCCATATCAGTGCAAGGACTCCTGTCGTATTTCGGTCACAAGCAGCGTAGTATATAAAACGGGCGAAAACAGTAGGGAATCATGTAGGTTTCATTGAACGCCGCAAATCAAAGTCACGTGTGAGTCAATGAAAGCGCGACGTGCTGCGACGATCATGAGCGTAGCAGTACGCGAGCGTGACAACATACACTTGACTCAGTATTCGACCATCTCTTCAGGTGCCAGTACCTACTGCAAGGAATCTTACCACACGCCAAACACACATGCCAAGAAAGACGTCGAAAGGGGCCAGCTCCGGGCAAAAACGTCAGGGGACCTTAGACGGATTTCTGCAAAGCTCCCCAGGGCCTTCGCCTGCTAAATCGTCTCCAAAAACAACTCATCAACGTGCTGCCCAGAGTAGCCCGTTGAACACGAGACCTCTTAAGCCGACTAAACGGAGAAAACTGGACGCGCCGGAAGAGGAGTCGTCATCCAGCGACCTTGAGGCCGTCCGCTTCGAGCCTCAGGTTGTCGATCTGCGCCATGACTCGGATGATAGCACCGACGATGGGGCTCGGAATCAGGTGCATAGCTCGCCGGTCAAGAAGCGCGTGCGGCGCGCACTGACATCAGAGAGCGAGGACGACGAGTTGGACATAATCGGGTCCAAACAGTCTACTTCCAAGAAGCAAGTGAGCAGTGAGGCGGCTAAAGGCGTAGCGCTCGCTAACGGGACGTGCCATTCAGTCAAATGATAGATCTAAGGGTGTGTTTGATTCCTCAGGTGAAGATTCCCCGGCACAGACCCGGCGAGGAACTCTCGTAAGAGGTGCCAGGCCACCATCTCCCGAAGAGGAGGATCTCATGGCGGAGCTTGATGAGGATAGTGCGTTGGAGATCCGGCCGCTGAAACTCGCGACATACTGATGTTGGAGAGCATAGAGATCATCGAACCGCGCTTCCGTACTCGCAACAAGAAGTCGGCCTTCCAGAAAACCCTTGAGAGACTGAAACGTTGGGGCGCTCTCGTTGTGCCTTCTTTCGAACTAACGACTTGTTGCAGGACGAAAACTTGGCCAGTCATCACGGTCTTCCTCTGATGATGACGAAAACGACGATGACAACGACGAGAGCGGAGGATTCGTCCGACCATTCAAAGGTGCAAAACCGCATCAGGAGGGCCAATCCAGTGAAGACGAGTCTGAAGGCGGAGATGAAGAGGAGGAGGAGGAAGATACGGGATTTGTTGTCGAAGATGATCCGAACCAAGCAGCTACGGCATTGCCCGTCATGTTCAGCATGGATACTCATCAGGACCTCTCGCATCACTTCAAGATCATATGTCAGCTCTTCGTGCACCTTGCCGTGCAGCCCCCAAAGAAGCGCAAGGACTTCATGGAGGCTGTCAATACATCCGAAGGTACGATACTAGTCCGATCCGGGAGGGGCAATGTGTCGCGTTTTCAAACTCGCATTCTCGCAGAATACCAGTATTTCCTCGTGCCCCTGCAAATAGCCAGACGTAAGCTATCCGGAATGAAGGACTCCCTAGTCGCTTCGTCCGTGTGGCGCTCCGACTTTAAGAAACCGCTGGAAAGGTACTCCGAGATCAGCATAGTACCGTTAGAGTTCGCGGTTCCTCATTGCGACGCTTGTCGTCTGGGAGCGCGGATTTCTACTCTATGCTGCAGAATACACGGTGTCGCCTACAACAAGCAAACCTACGAAGTAAGTGTCCCCTGACACGAGTCTCTCGGCATTGACATTCGGATATCAGCCACTAGGACCCAGTGCATCAGGTTCGGAATCGGATGACAGCGACGACAGCGATATCGAAGAGGTTCCAGACGAGAACGTCGTCCGTGCAGAGTTCAATCTAGGGCGCTTCTGTGCTCGTAGAACACGAGTGTTCCATCAGTTCAACCACTGGGAGGTGAGTGAAAGTGCTTCAAATCCCATCGTCCGCCGTACCAAAGGCTATCTGTGTAGTTCGCACTTTACAAGGCCCTGGAGGCGGAGATCATCACCGCGAAAGACGGCCGCGATCGCAACGGATTCGTCACTGTGGCCTTCGCTGGTGGCCTCAAGCCTCCAGACGACCTGTCGGATGCCGACGCGATCATGGACTGGCTCGACCAGCGGCACATCATCAGCATGGAATGGCAGAAACTCAAGCAAATGATGGACAGCGCGCGCAACCTGGAGATCGCTGCTAAGAAAGGGGATGATATGGATTGAATCGTTGATTTGGCACGCGTGCCCCGAGTACTACTGTCCGCTACCTTCGAGTATTATGCCCCAACGTACTTCTCGGGAGATCTGAGATTTGAGACGTCCGGACATTGCCGACAACTTGCATGACGCTTTGCACTGCCACATACCAGTGGGCTGTCCTCCAGCTTACCCGACGGCCTCTCATGAAACTCTCGTTCTCGCTGGGTGCCAAGAAGGCACAGCAGCCCGTCGGCGAAAAGCCTGCCATCAAGGCGCCCTCCGCGTTCGCCGCGGCCGACGACGACACCCTCGACGCGGCGCCGACGGCCTCGGACAAGGGCGGCGGCGCCTCGGCGAACAAGCAGTTGCTGGCGCGGAATGTGGTGGTGTCGCAGGCGATGAAGCGGCGGATGGAGGCGGAGAAGAAGGTGGACGAGACGGTGTTCGAGTACGACGAGGTGTGGGATAAGATGCAGGAGGCGAAGGCGAGGCAGAAGTTGGCGAAGGAGGAGGACGCGAAGGTTCGGAAGGTACGTTTCCGGCGTTGTCCGTACGATCGGTGCTCGTTGGAGGCTCTGACGAACGATGCTTGTAGCCGAAATATATCGGAGGGCTTCTGGCGACGGCGCAAACGCGAAAGCTGGATCACCTACGGGCGGAGGAGAAGATGATCCAGCGGGAGCGCGAGCTGGAGGGGGACGAGTTCAAGGAGAAGGAGCAGTTCGTGACGCAGGCGTACAAGGATCAGATGGCCGAGGTGAGGCGAGCGGAAGAGGAAGAGAAGAAACGGGAAGGTAAACGTTTCTCTTTCGCGTGTGTGGGGGACGGTATGCTAAAAAAATAATGCGACTATCGCAGAGCTGGAGAGGAAGAAGCGGGGAGGCGCCCCGGGCGGACTCGCGCACCTGTACGCGCAACTGTTGAACGAGTCCGAGCAGCAGCATCAGGAGACGGTCGCGGCGACCATGCAACCGGAGATCAAGGAGCCGCCGCGGCGGTCCGGAATCATCGGGCCCGCGGCGCCCAACCTGACGATCGTCAAGCCCCCCGAACTGACGGCGCCGTCCGACGTCGAGCTGGCGCGGATCGCGCGGGGGCAGGGGAAGAGCGTGGAGCTGAACGACGACAACCAGATCGTGGACAAGCGCGAGCTGCTGTCGGCCGGGCTGAACCTCGCGGCGCCGAACACGCGCAAGCTCGGGTTGGTCACGAAGAACAAGAAGGGGGGTGGCGGGGAGGGAGGAGGGGGAGGGGAGGTGCAGGCGCATCGGGCGGTGGGCGCGGCGGCGTCGAAGCGGGAGATCGACGAGCGGAGGCGGAGGGAGATCGTGAAGCAGATGGAGGAGGAGAAGTACCGGGCGAGAGAGGAGAGGGAGAAGGAGGAGGCGGAGAGGCAGGCGAGGATCGTGGCGAAACGGAATACGGAGGAGGACGTGATGAGCGCGAAGGAACGGTATTTGGCGCGGAAGAGGCGGAAGTTGGAGGAGCAGCAGGCGGCGGAGGCGGCGGCGGCCACGGCGACGGAGGCAGCTGCTGTCTCATGAGACTTCGGAGGATGTGCTAGTACTGCCTCGTGTTATTGCAACCTGTACGACTATTGTATGCTATAATATGGGTCTATAAAGGTCTACGTTGCTATTGCAGTGTCCGATGGCGTCAGTGTCGTCAGACTCGTGTCTATTAACCGTGAGGGGGGACCAAGGAAGATGACCGGTAAAGGAATACGGGACGTCAATGCCGCCAGGGGCCGTGTGGGTGCGGATCGTCTGCAAACTGCGCCAGGCGGTCTGCGCTCATATGAGAGACCACGGTGTTGAACGTTTGCAAGACGGCGCGGGCGGTCGGTCGGTAGTCCGGGTTATCGTTGAGCATCGGTCGCACGAGATGGACCAGTTCGGGGATGCCGTACCCAGTCAGCTATGACGCGGAGATAATCAGGGGTCAGAAGCGGGGATTTTAGGAGAGATCTCTCTCATGACGATATGGGTAATTTACCTTGCAGGCCCTGAGAATGAGGACGGCGAGCGCCCACACGTCGATCTTGTACGGATCACACCACTCGCCTCGCTCGAGCTCTGGGGGAATCTCGGTTCCTTTGAGGTGGCGCACGCGGGGCGGGCCTGCGCGTGCGTCGAATCGCCGGCTGTTCTCGTAGTCGATGAAGGCGTAGTGGTGTTCGTAGTCGGTGAGGATGTTGCGCAGCGAGATGTCGAGGTGGGCTATATGTCGCGCGTGTAAGAATACAATGTGCTATGTCGCGAAGGGGGGATCGTGTCAGGCTTGGCAGACACGCTTTGACGATGTAGGCGCACCTCTATGCACTGACGGATCGCGTCGAGATATTCTCCGAGGCTACACGGCGTCTCCGGGATCAATTCGGAAGACCACTCCTCCATGACGATGAGACCGACAGAATCGGCGGGTATCTCGATCAAGTCGCGAATGGCTAGGCATCCGGTGAGGGAGACGTGATACGCAACGGATCACAGGAACATACGAATACAGTGGTTCAAAGGGTCTTTCGAGTGCGGCGGGGAGGTGATGTACTTGACGATGTCGAATTCGCGGCTGCGCAGGTGTACGGCCTTGACGACGATCCTCGCGCCGTCTCGTACCGCGCGTCCCCGGAACAGAGACTCTGGCTGGAGACGTTGAACATGCCGTCTGCCAACAGGAGAGACCGCTGGATCCACTCACAAGCCCGGCATCCCGACACAGCGCGTTATCTTTGCCTATGCACGCTCGTTGATAGCCCGGAACGCTATGCAACGACGCGTCCGGATCGGATGCGCTGCAGTGCTGCTCGTAGTAATCTTTCACGTCTCGGCACGTGTCGAGCAGAAAACCGCGGCGCTCTAGGGTTCTTCGGTAGGTGTCCCAGCAGGGGCATATGCGGAGGTTGTACGCCTCGTCGTCGTCGTCGTCATCATCATCATCATCATCTTCCCCAGACGGCACGTCCGGGTAGTCATCATCCTCGTCCTCGTCGCTGGAGTAGTCGTAAGGGTCCGCGTCGCGCATGGCGGGCGGAGTCGATTCCAGGTGGAGGCTGTCCGCGAGCTCGGCCAGCCTTTCATTCATTTGGACGAAAGCGCGACGCGGAACGGGTTACTATAACGGACGGGTGGAGGAGGGAACGGCGAGGATAAAAGCGGCTCGGAGGTCGGGCGAGATATACTTAACCCGCAAGGGAGAGGAGGGGGGAGGACCGGAGAAGTGGGCGCGAATATGATGGTTAGTTGCATGCTGGATGGGTTCTGCCGGGAGGGGTGGCACGTATCGAGGAGGGGGGGCCCGACGGTCGTGATGGTGTTCGGCCCATAGAGGGAAGGAGGGGAATGGATAGCCTAATCGAGCGATTTCGAGCGCTGATAGCACCGGGAACCGGTCTGGGAGACCCGAGGGCCAGAGGACCAGGGCTGCCAAACGGGGAGCCCGCGTTCTCATCGCCTCTGCCCCGAAGAGGGAGACGCGTGCTCATGTCAGGAGTAGGGAGACCAGCAGTGGCTCGTTGACATTTCCCAGATGACGAGGCGCGGACGGCACAGACATAGCTGCATCACAGCCGCTGCACCCTGCACGGACGCCGCCGGTGCCATTCAGAGATCACCAGAGGCATGCGCGGAAGGCGACCGACGACGATGCGCCCCAGTGGCGCGGCCATCCGCCAAACATTACGCGCTTCCTTGTTTGCTCGACGCCGGGTGCGGTAAGCAACGCACGCACGTGTCGGCGCGCCCTTGCCTCTGCACACTTCCTCCACACTCGTCCATCGCCGCCCACTGTATGGAAGAAGGCACGAAGACGAAGAAGACGGTGTTCATCGGAGGCATCGGCGACGACGTGGACGAGTCCGTCCTCCTCGACACCTTCTCGAGCTTTGGTCCGTCTCCACCCCCCGGAACCCATTCTGTCTCTCGATTCATCCGGCGCTAACCTCACTGCCAGGCGACGTGATCGAAGTGCAGATACCACCCGCCCAGGTGAACCAGCACCAACCGTCAGGTATGCATACCCGCCGATGCACGCTCCATGCCCCCCCGCCTGACTGTCCGGGTGCGCTCTCGCAGAGGGGAAACATCGGGGGTTCGCGTTCGTGACCTACACCTCTGCCGAGGATGCCCAGGACGCGATCGATAACATGGACCTCAACGAGCTCCGAGGACGCGTCCTCAAGGTTAGCTTGGCGCGCCCAATGAAGACCCCCGCCCAACTCGGCGGCAACCGAGCGGGTGAGCCACCCGGGCCCCCAATCTATTTGCATCAAAATGACCGACGCGGTTGCATGCGTTTTCTTTTTTTTTCTCTTCTCTGTTCTTTCTCTGTTCTTAGTGTGGGAGTCCGAGGAATGGATCAAGCAATATGCAAAACCGTTGTCGCAGAGCGGAGGTGAGAACCGACCGCCGATATGCGGAATGAATCGAAAGGATGGCGCGCGAAAGCTGACCCTTCTTCGTTCAGGCGTGCAGGCCCGGGGCAAGAGCGGCACGCCACAGCCGTCCGGTGAAGGCGACGAGGACGCGACCATGGACGAGTGATGCCTTCATCGGGTATCGCCATTAGCCGCGGCATTACTACTTTCGGTCTCTGCGCTCTCAGCCCGGTGCGGTACTTTTACCCTCGTCGGCGAACACATTTGATGCGAGGTAGCTCTTTTCGAGGTCCCAAGTCGCACGAAGTCACGCAAGCCCTTGCGCAACGCCCGCCTGCGCAGACCATGTTGCTGGAAAAAAATCACGAGCTTCTTCGTTCGCTCGGCTGTCCCTGCCTTCTCAATTGAACGCGGTCGAAGATCTCTCGCACGAACCTTAAGCAGCAAGCCAGCTCGCGGCGGCCACTCCCGCGCGTATGTTACCGCAGATGGTAGGGAAGTCACCACCGGAGCTCGTCATATGGGAACGTAGAATACATGGGTAAAGGGGAAAAGGTGTTGACTGGTCACTGGTGTTGACTGCTGGGTGAAAATGCACGACGGTTCAGAGGAAGGAAGACGTCTCCTTGGTCATGTCGCCGTCGTCGAACTGGGCACGCGCCCGCTTGATGTCTTCCTGCATGAACAAGAGTTCCTCCATCCGGGCGAGTTTCTTCGCGTCCGCGGGCCGCGACAGGGCGCGGCGCAGGTCCTCGACCGACAGCCGCGTCTTGCGCGTGGGACCCGCCGCCGTCTGGCACTGGGATTCGGGTCAGCCGCTCGCGCGTACGCGGGAGAGGGGGTAGGGGAACGAAGGGTGGTGTAGGAGGAGGAACACGCACGACGTCGATGATGTACTCGATCAGGATCTCTTCCATGACGTTCACGGTGTCGTTCGCAGGGTTGCGGTCGTCGCCGAACCCGTACATGAGGCTTCGGACTGACGAATCCCCAAGGGGGGAGGGGGAGGGGGGTTAGCAGTTCAGTCTTTGTGTCCGTGTTTCGTCTCGAGTGCACGGGCGTGGGGGTGGTGGGTTTGGTGGTTAACTCACGTTCTTTGGCGAAGAGCCCTTTGTGGCTCGGTTTGCTCCTGCCCCCTGCGCGGCCGGCGTGGGTGCTCGCGGACACGGATCCGTCGCGGACGTACGAGCTAGCGTTGTAGGTGGGGTACGTCCGCGGCGGCACGGGCGCGGGGGCGTACGAGGAAGACGCGCTGGCGATGGTCGGTGTGCTCGGAACGGCGGCTCGGGGCGCGGGCGTGCTCGGAGTGGAGGTGGCTGCGGAAGTGGACGCTGCACCTGCGGTTGATGCCGCTGTTGCTGCTGCTGTTGTTGTCGCCCCTTGTTGGGGGAAGTAGCTGTAGGAGGCGGGCCAGGGCGCGCTGCCGTAGCTCTGGACGCCGGTGGAGGGGAACGCGCCGGGCGTGTTTGGGGGATATGTCCCGTAGGAGTATGATCCTGACGCTCCGGGCGCTCCAGCTGGAGCAAACGGGTATTGGGACATTGTTTTTCGTTCTGGAGGAGATCTCCGTTGTGACGGTCGGCAGCAGTAAGGTAGACCTCATGCGCGTCCGACCCCATAGCACGCGACACGCGTGACATTAGACGTAATACGAGCGAAAAGTTGATTGTCTCCCGGTCTGAGTAACTTTCGTTCGAGATGCAACTGGGGTTCTACGATGATGTACTGTGCCGAAGTTTGACTGCTGCTTTCGAAACGCAAGAATAAGATCCTCGGGAGGAGAGATGAAAACAAGACCGAGGCATGTGATGGACTGCCCTCAGTGCCAAGCCGTGCAACTTGGAGGTTTCTCCTTTCCGCCGCCGTCACAAAACTGTATTGAATATCTGGCATCCATTGAGCTCTGTGGCACGTCGGGGATCACGACTTGACGTTATGCCCTACAAGAAGGGCCGTTTGCACAAGTGTAACCTCGGCCAGTACGCACAACCTTGTCGCCGCCACGTTGGAGCTATCAGCACGGAGGAGAATAGAAAGTGTATGTCGCCAGCAGTATATCCATCTTACCGTACTCAGTATGATGTCTACTAGTTTCCATGCCTCCAGTTACCCAATTGTCTTGCAGCGGCAGCGCGCCTCAATGAGGTTCAGGGATTGGTCACACTGTGTCACAGTCATGCCTCACACTCTCGCGCACCTTCTCTCCTTTCGCAGTTCGCACTCTCATCAGTAATTGTCAACGGTCCTATCTATGTACAGGAGACATCTATAAAATGCCGGTAACACTTTCGGTGAGAGCTAGTCTAATTGAGAGTTATTTGAATTTTTGCACCTATTACGTCTAATGTCACGCGTGTCGCGTGCTATGGGGTCGGACGCGCATGAGGTCTACCTTAGAAAAGGGAGGTCCGAGGGACACGGCGGGACACCGCCACCGCTGCGGAAGCTCGGCGTTCACTCCGGCGTCGTTTCGCTGGGAGATCTCCCAAGAGATCGAACGTTCCTTACTCCAGCACCGTGGCTGTTGTACCTAGACAGGAGTCTCTTTCCCCTTGACTCACTGCGGTTCACGATGGTGTTGTTCGAGGTCAAGGACTTGGCGGTCAAACGCGACAAGGGCACGGCTATATTCTCCAACGTCAATTTCGATCTGAACCCCGGAGACGTCGTTGTCCTCCAAGGCAAGTCAGGAGCGGGGAAGTCTACTCTGCTGAAGGCTCTCGCCAACTTGAACATCTTCGACGGCCGGATCCTCCTCAGAGGAAGGTCATCACCAGTACCGTTTTTATCGGCGATGAGAATGAGATGAATTGACCACATGTGCACGTTCAGGACACCGGTCCAACACGGCAAGCTATACGTACGATAATGCTCAGGCTTGGCCTCTCACCCGGGCTTGGATTTCATGTAGGAGTTCCCGCCTATCGCACGCGCGTCCAGTACGTGCCGCAGCGGCCCTCGATGCTCCCTGGGACGCCGCGCGATTTCGTGAATACCATTTCCTCGTTTGGTGCGCGGTCTCCGAAGCGAGGCGGCACGTCTGCTGCGGGGATGTTCTAGCACGCCTACGATGTAGGCAAAGCCTGGGGTATCGAGAAGGAGCTGTGGGATCGCTCGTGGACCGAGCTCAGCGGCGGCGAGTCGCAGCGGATCGTGCTGGCTGTGGCCGTCGGACTGGACGCCGCCGAGGTCCTCCTGCTCGATGGTGAGCGCTTTTGGCGTTCGAGTATCTTGTTTTCCGGTTCTCCTGCTAAACGTGACGTCGGTTCTGGATCTCACGGTGCCACTCGATTCGTAGAGCCTACGTCTGCCCTCGACGCGGCGAGCTGCGCAGCGGTGGAGACGTACCTGTTGGACGAGGTCCGCAGCGCGGAGTCTAGGCTCCAGGCGTTGATATGGGTTACACATTCGGAAGAGCAGGGGGTGCGGGTGGGCACTCGCTTCATCCATATAACGCCGGACGGCGTGAGGGAGGAGTCGCCGTTGTCGCAGCCATAGGCTGATCACAGCCGGGCTGGGTGCTAAACGGACCAGTATATCGGCCAAGTTATGGCCTGGACGAAGATGACACAAAGGTAGACGCTCTGCAATATGACTGAGAGGTACCCTTTCGTCACGTAAATACCTATCACGTTCCTACGGCCATGTTTATCCGACTCGACTCGAAAGAAAAGAATGCATTTCAAGTGAAGTAAATGGAGCAGAATGCACTGGCCAAGTCGTCGACGGCTTGACTCCTGTGTACGAGATCCTCAGCTTCTGCAATTCAGGCCCATAAAATTAGATACTCTCGATGGTGCAGCATAAAGGAATAAAAAACGCGCGGCGCGTGCTCTGGGGAAATAGCAATAAGCGCCTCCGAGCGACGACGATATCAGAGTTTCGAGCGTGAACTTCAGCATCTTCTCAGAAAGTTGCTAGTCTACATCAATGGCGTCGGCCGCTGCTTCACCAACATCCACGACTCGATGGACCCCATGGGAGGTGCAATTCAATATTTATTGCGCATGACGTCATTAAGAATGTCGCAGACAATGTTGAAATCGTCGGCGTGAGGGATGTGGTCTGGAGCAAGCATTTTGACAATAATGCAGCCTTGGTAGGTCCTTGGAGATGGTGGTGCTCTGCAGGTGGTAGAGCCAGTCCCTGCTGCATGACCTAACGACAAATACGAGAAATGGCCGACGGACACAGGGTTCCCACGCCCTACACTGCGTCGCGCCACGTCGCGACTCCATTACGAGCGCTCCCCGGCAAGGACGCGGACTCATTCGACTCTTCCCATCTTTTGCTCTGCTGTCTGGTGCAAGGATGGAAGCGGCGGACTCGTTGTTTGGGCCCGGAGACTCGTCCTCTGACCCCTTCGGGTCGATCCTGGGCAGTCCGGAGCTCGCGGGAAACGCTGGCGAGCAAGCCCATACCGGCGCACCTGGAGAGGCCCCCACGCAATATGACGGTGCAGATCCGTTTGCGACCTACGGCGACAGCAGCGGCTACGATTCTCAGACATGGTCTGGCGCCGCGCAGGCCGATTCTGGGTACGCTCCTCAACCCTCTGCCGTCGCAACCTCTGCTGGTCAAGGTCAACATGGCCAAGGTGCCTACGATGAGTATGCCCAATGGAACTCCTACAGTCAGACTGGAACCGACACTGGATGTGGGTAGTCCTCTATCATCTTAGTTTCGTGTCCCTGAAGCTCGAACAGCATCCAATGGATATAATACGGCCGCATACAATGCTTCTTACTTTCCAGGTAATGACGAGTCCTCTGCACCCGACCGGTTACAGCAGTGATTCTGAGGATCGCATTATCCAGACCAACAATCCACCGATGCATCACAAACAACGTCAACATCATCGTACGACCCATATGCGCCTCCGACGACTCAGCCCACGACCTCCATAACAAGTCCTTACGGCAACGGAACGACCTCCACGTCATCCCAAAGTAATACGTACTCAACATACGGCGCATATACTCCGCAATCGTACTCGCAAACGTCGGCCGCCCCACCAACTCCTTATAGCCCATATCAACCGACGTCGTCCTACGCGTCTCCTTCGTACGAAAAACAAGTGAATCGTCCGCAGCAGCAGTCGTCGTACTCCTCCTACGGCACACCGGCGTACGGCTCGCAAATCGCCTCGCCTGCTATCCCTCCGCCTGCTCCTGCCCCGGCGCGCAGCGAGGCCTCCGCTGCCGCGTATAGGCCCAAGCATCCGAACGCATACGATCCTCCCGTCCCGGTGTTGCGCTCCAGCAAGAAGACAGCTCACACACCGGCGGTTCCTCCACCCGGCCTTCCCTACTCGTCATATGGATATCCCTCTCCTGCGCCTGCGACGGCCACGCCCCCACCGCCACCCCCTCTGGCTCGCTACACATCTCCTGCGCAGACCAGCCAGGCTCCGCTACCACCACCTCCGGCTCGCTATGCATCTCCGGCGCAGGCTCATCAGCCTCCGCCACCTCCCCCCGCGCGTTACGCGTCTCCAGCACAGTCGTCGCACCCGGCCCCGACTGGCTACGGCTCCCCTGCGCAATCTGCACACCCGCCGCCGCCCCGATCTCGGTCTCGCCAGTCTCAGTTCTCCCCGGCACCTCCCAACCCACCCGCATCGTCGCAGTACCCACAGTACTCCCATCCACCTGCGAACGGGCACTCATATGACGCCGTATACCCGACGTTTCCCCCTCCACCGCCGTCAGCAGCTGCGACGGACGGCCTTGGGTTATCGCACGCTGATCCCCACGCAACTAGCGCCACGCAAAGTTTCGATCCGGAGGCGTTTGAAGTCGGAAGTGCGGCTGCCGACAGTCCTGAGACTGAGACGAATCCTCGTGTATATTCCGCCGTGAACGGTGATCATGGTCCAACGGCGGCTCCTGACTACAGCGCTCTTACGTCGGCGTATGCTGCAGACGCAACTACCGCTCCCCATGCAAACGGCGACGTAGCGCGCTCAAAAGAGGCGACTGCGGATGCTGCAGAAGGACCTGTTCCATACGGTGTTTCGCCGTATGAGCATGGTGTAGATCCGGAGGGACAGGACCCGGAAGCGTTTGGAGTAGACGAACATGATCCTGAAGCCGTCGGTATCGCCGATTCCGAAACAGTCAAGCACCTTCACCACGCAGCTTCGCCGACGAAACCGGTTGCTCCTCCTTCGGCCAGCGGTGCAATCAGGCAATCTCCACCGTCCTCTGCGTACGCACCAAACGGGGTTTCGGCGTTTAGAGCGTCTCCGGGACCGGTAGAAAGGACGCAGTCGCCTGCGCGCAGCGTGCCCTCCAGGACGGCATCGCCGTACGATCCGCCGTTCCCTCCTGCACGCTCTGCATACGATCCGCCCAAATCGGAGAAGCCGATATCGCCATCTACTGTATCGTCAGTTGCTTCGCCGCGTGGTAGCCTCGATGCTCCTCGCCGCCCTGGCTCCAGAGTTGGATCCCCTGCGTTTGCGGCGCCAGCGACTACGGCTTCGGCGTACGACCCGTACAAGCCTGGCCCTGCAAGCACACAGGATGCCTATGATCCCGGACGGTATGGCGTGCAGAGGACAGCATCACCCAGCTCGGTGTCCACGAAGTCACAAGTAACCAATCCATACGCTCCCCCGTCCTCTTCTTCGGCGTTTTCGCTAGGTAGGGACCGAGCGATGTCCGGCGGGTCCGTGTCGTCGATGACTACGAGCAATTCCTTCAGCGCGTACGCTCCCAACCCGCAGCCCAAACGACAGGCAAGCGAAGCGTCGGATTACGGAGATTATCAACAGAGATACGGTTACTCTGACCCTGACAAGACGGCGACGTATGATAACCATGTGCAAGAGATCACTCTGGCGGCGCCACCGGTGTATGGCGCGTATGCACCGTCGCCGACGCTCCTGGGTGCCAACGATCCGCTTGGCCGCACTTCTGCACGTGCCCCGGTTATCAGCTTCGGTGCCGGGGGCAGGTTCGTTACGTGCCTGCACGGTTCAGGAACTCTCAACACCGGCTTCGACGTTGCGTTGGCTACTCGTCAATCGACTGACGTTCGTATCCAGAAGCTGCATGACGTAATCCCGCAGTCAGCATTGGACACCACCGAAGTGGTCTTCCCGGGTCCGTTGTTTAACGATCCGGGGACGCCGACCACTAGTCTAGTCGGTACAGGGGCTGCCGCGAAAACCAAAGCCAAGAAGGCCAAGGTGCTCCAGTATCTCGAGGATAGGGCAAACGAGCTTGATCGGGGCCTAGGCTACCTCAGTACAGATTCTATAGAGCACAGTCATGCGGAGGGCAAGCTAGCATTGGTGCGGCTGCTCAAGGTCATGGTCGAGAACGATGGAAAGCTAACCGGAAGGTACGTATCTGATGATGGCGGTAATCTATGTCGTCTCACACCTGCTTAGTGCTGCTATCGACACCGCGGTGCGTGCCGCTCTCGTCCCACGGCTCGCCAACAGCACGGGCGACGCTGCGGACTCTCGTAAGTGTCGCCTACTTCCTCTTGAATTGCGAGACCGACCTCGTTGTAGTGCATACCCCTGCTCTGGGATACGCAGGAATACCGTCGTTGCACTCGAATGAGGCACCCTTGGCGACATACCAAGTCAGAGCATCATCCTTGGATAAAATCCAGGACTTCCTCATTCGTGGGGAGAGGAAGAAGGCGTGTCACTATGCCGCCGACGAGAAGCTCTGGGCACACGCGATGGTCATTGCGAGCAGTGTCGATAAAGACACCTGGAAAGAGGTAGTTAACGACTTCGTCCGGTCGGAGCTTGGTGTTCGGGAAGAGAAATCGAATGGCAGAGAAGCACTCAGGGTAGCTTACAGTCTCTTTGCCGGCCAAGGTGCCGCTGCTGGTGAGAATCGCGTGGGGACCCTTGGTCACAATGTGCTAACCTTTGGCAGTCGAGGAACTACTGCCCCCGAAACTCTTGACGAGGACGTTGGGTCAAACTTTGACTGCTGGCCCACTGCAAGTGCCGCCGATTGCTCATGGGACCCCCATCTCGCCGAACTTCCCTCACCCGGAGAAGACGGCTCGCGTGCCTGCGGAATCGTTGGCGAAGTGGCCGGAGACTGCTGCGATGTTAGCATCAAGTCCCATGACCCCCGACTCTGCGGCTGCTTTGGTTGCTCTCGGGGACTATCTCATGTCTAACGACTGGATAGAGGCGGCCCATGCATGGTAGGCAGTAGATGTTGAATTCCTTCAATCAACCTGACGCCAGTGCCTACAGCTACCTTTTGTCGTCGCAGGCGCACCTCATCGGAGGCAGCAGAGCTCCTTCGGCTCGGATCGTCCTGGTTGGCTCGCAAAGCCCACATCTTCGACTGAACTTTCACAAGGACTCTGACCCTGTCATTTTCTCAGAAATCGCCGAGTTCGCCGCATCGCTCACGCCGGCGCCGAAGGGACAGGAACCGTTCCCGGGATGGGCGCACTTGCAGCCTTACAAGCTGGTTCGGGCTTATCATTTGGCCGAGCTGGGCCATACACAGGCTGCGAACAGATACTGCGAAGCGATTCGCAACTCGCTTACTCGGCCGTCTCCTTATCTAAACATGGCGTTCGCGGATGAGCTCAAGGCTCTTCATGACAGGCTTACCGCTGTGCCGCAGTTGGATAAGGCAGGTTCGTGGATCGGAGGCAAGATGGCGAAACCCAGCTTGGATAGCATAGGCAACTGGCTGGAAGGCCGGTTCACGAAGTTTATCGCTGGTGAGGGCGAGAATTCTCCACCACCCACCGACGATGTAGCGGTCCCCGGTCAGACATCCTCAGGCCCCTTCGCACATTACAGTGCCATCTCCTCGGCGGCGCCATCGACATCCCCTTCACCCCAGCCGTCGTTCACAGCTTATAACGGCATGCCTCCCCCGCCGCGGTCGGGCTCGGCTATGTCATCGCGGCAGTCAACGGTGCCGCAGGTGCAGATCGACCGCGCATCGTCAGCGATGGATCACTATCGCCGGAAGGGTTCTCCAGCGCCCATCAATCGCGTATACTCTGCCAATGCCGCGACAACCACGTTCGCGCAGGCGGAGGCGGCCGGCAACGGGTATGCTCCCGGCCGCTCCTCCCTGGACGAGTCGAAGGACAATGGAGGGTGGTGGAACAGCTCGTTCACGGCAGACTCTGCTGCTCCTACGCCTACTGCCACCACCTTCGGTGCGAGTCCGGAAAACGCGTCGGATGAAGGCTTCATTTCACTCATGGACGTACCTGCGAGCCCCATGCCCATATCGTCCCCTGGTGCGACGCGGACCAATTACCCACCGGAAGACCCGGATGACGACGATCTTGGCCTGGGCAACGCATCGAGCAAGCGCAAGAAGAATTCGACTGATGACGCGGACGCGGACGGTACCACCCCGACCGCGACCCAAAAGAAGGCGGAACCGCCCAAGCCGAAAGCCGAAGAAAAGAAAGCCGGTAAGGGTTACCGGATAACTGCTGGGTGACGACGATACTGATGAGCTCATTAGAACCGACGGCCACGTCCAACGGCTGGCTCAGCCGGTGGTGGAAGAAGAGCGATGGTCCTGCACCTGTGAAGGCCAACATGGGAGAAGACAACTCGTTCTACTTTGACAAGGAGCTTGGCAAGTGGGTCAACAAGAAGGCGGGCGGCGCGGAGGCTGCGAAGCCGGCCGCGCCTCCCCCGCCGCCATCCCGCGCTCAGACGGCGTCCCCGAGCAAGACGGCCTCGGTCATGCCGCACACGGGCACGGTCGCAGGCGAGCCGCCGGTGCGCGCGACGTCGTCGTTCGACCTGACGTCGCCGCCGCGGAAGCCGCCGCCGCCGAGGGCGCGCTCGAATTTGGTTCCGACGGAGAACCTGCCGGACTCCGCGCCACCGTCGCCGGCGCCTGGGGCTGGCTTGAACGTGCCTCCTCCACCTTCGAGACCAAGTTCGAGGGCTCAGGCAGGAGGGAAGAAGAACCTGCGGAGTCGCTATGTGGATGTCTTCCAGGCGCAGCCTGGTGGCGGCGCCGCGTAAATGCGGGTGGTATATACGAACAGTCCGACGTAGACCTGTAGCAATATTTTCTCTTTATAGCCCATACTTAACGTATCCTGCATACTATCCGTAGCATCTCGCATGTTTTTTCTTCGTTTGATAAATCGGATTTCCTTTTTCGCAGCGCAACCAGAGCTCCTTGAATTCTGCAGAGGATACACGTTTATTATTTAAAGGAGCAGCTTGAATGGGTATCCCCTATTCTTGACGCGGAATAGAGAGATGAGGATGGAGAACATCACGAAGATGACCGCCGTCCAGAGGTACACCTGAGCCCTCTGACGCGAAGGCGAGGTTTGGTAGGGGGTGACAATAGTGAGCATGAGGAAGGCCATCGCCAGGACGCCATCTGCGCCAAGCCCACGATGAGCCTCCCATTGACACGAACACAACACAATCCAAAGCTTACACATCAAGGACACCACTTGCGTCTCCTGGCCATACTGGTTCTGGTACCCCGGCGCGATCCACTGGCCGTTTCCGCCCGAGTACGGCGAACCGCGGATTTTGGTGAACATGAAACCGGAGGTCATAGTGAGCGTAGTGAGGACGGTGCCGATGGCCCACACCCAACGATTGTTGAAGATGGGGTAGACGAAGCGGACGGTGAGTGCGAAGAAGAGGAGGAAGGCGAGGGTCGAGCCCCAGCGGGCCCAGTCGAAGGGAGCCTTGTAGGGTATCGGAACGGGCGTTGTGCGGGAGAGTTGCTCGGCAAGAGGTTCGGCGTCGAAGCCGCTGTGGGATGTGCATGTGGTCAGCGCCAGGTCAGTGAGAAGGAGGTATGGGGCGACGTACTAGGAGAAGTCTAATTTGGCAGGAGCGGTCTTGCCGTTGGCCGGGCGCCGGGGACCTTCGGTAGGCGGGTACAAATGAACGACAGGTGCGGATTGCATGCCAAGCTGCGAAAGCGTTCAGCAGATTATTCATAGTGCTAGCTGAGTGCACAAACCTTTTGGAAGACAGAAGGGCCATCATCAAAGTCGAGAGTAGCAAAGAAGTGGTTGTCCCGATCGGCAGGCGAGACAGTCTTCCACGCCTTCGCGACGGCGTTCCAGGACGGATTAAACTCCCTGGGTATAATCGTAAGAGGAGGAGCCTCTGCACGGTGCGGAATGCGAACCTGCAGGGGTTGCATCGCCGCCTCGGGTCGAGCGCGGTGAACTGCACGGAGGCAGACCAGTCGCGCTTGGAACCGGTAATGAGGTCGAACGTCTTCTCGTTCAGTTTGATGACGCCATTGGGCGACGAGTTGGCAAGCTTGGCAAGCTCTTCGCGAGGCGTCAACGCGTGTATGAAGGGCAGCAGGAGCAGCGCAGAGAGCGTCCGTAGCAGCATCATTGGACGGAGTGGATGAGCTGGATGGCCTTGCCAGGATGTCACCGACGCGACGTGGCTCGCCTCGCTATGAGCACAGCCACGGCATTGGATATTATTAGCTGTCCGTACCACCCCCGCCCACCTCCGCTGCGGCTGGTCATCGCAGCGTGCATCTCGAGGTGATAATGTCCCATCAGTTGCTCCTGCGGCTGTTCTTGTCTCCATCGTTCTTCTCGCTTCATGTTGCGCTGCGATACCTGCGCCATTACTCCGACAACATCGGCATCACGTACTACCTGACAAGAAGACTGAGAGAGTATGACACGAACGAACTGAGGGAAGTATGGGGTGAGTTAGATCCTTTTGTGCTACGCGAGCGGCGTCTGATACTACGCATCTTATTGTGTACGTAGGATTAATATGGTGAAGAATGTTCGTCCTCCGTAAGAACTTAGGCTTGACGTGTTCTCAACCCAGTCACCTCCTAGTCACTAGGCCATCGAAGTCAAGGGCGTTGGAGTGTTTCGTGAAAGAAATATGCGAGAGATCGACGCACATATCTATGCTAGTCCGTTCTTCTTCTGTCGAATTTTTGTATGACCTCTCGGAGTTCACGATGCACGCAGACATTATGGTTCATGCAAGCGACCCTCAATGACCTCGCCGTTGATAGGCATAACACCCCCTCCTTCTTCATCTGTCAACGCACACTGCACCAATGCCATGAGCTCATATTCGGCGACATCCCTCCACCCGTACCATCGCCCTACCAAACCCTCAGCCTGACCTTTCGTACCAAGTCCTTGTTCGCTCGCAAGAAGGTGAAGGCAAACGTCGAGCCTGCGCTCGTCGGACTCGGGATGGTGCTAGCGGGGGCCCCGGGTATGCCTAGCGTAACGGAAATTATGGGTGAAGTCGCGATTGAGCAAGGGCGGCTCGATGAGGAAGGGACAGAGATGAGAGGATTTGATACGGGCGAGGATGACGTCGCGACCGGGAACGCTGAATCTGTCTTACCGAAAGACAATCCGGATGAAGGCGATTCTGGAGAGAACTCGGACGGCGAAGCACTCACCCCCGTCATCACGCCGGTCACCGAGTACGCCGACTCGTCCACGAATGCCGCAGTGGATCGAACGCTTTCGTTGGACGGACACGCGGTGACCGCTGCTCGCCGTATGAAGCGTACCATCACGCCGTCCGCCGCCCAAACCTCGCCCGCCTTACCCCTCCACTTGATGAACATACGTCGGTCGCGCATGTCGGAAGATCCGCTTGGACAATACGAACAACCTGCCACGGTGTTCACGCATACACCTTCCCAATCTTCCCCATCAGTTTCGCTTTTGAAGCCGAACAGGGGACCTGCTGCCGATTCCATCTTGTCGAAGTACGGTGCACAGACGCAGATTCATCTGCTGAGGAGCTACTACTGTCGCTCAGAGGTAATATGCTGCGGTGTCATCTCATTGGTCCCAACCAGACGCTGACGGACGACGCTTTCCCTTACCAGGTACAGTTCTTGCTGACGCTGGAAAGTATCTCGAACCGCCTGCTCGTCATCCCACGGCCAGCGCGAGTCAGTGCCCTGCGAGCTGAACTTACAGCACTGAATCACAAACTCCCTGCGGAGGTAATCCACTCGGCGTCTGATCAACCTTGTGACAGTGCTTATGTATATTGATGCAGGTATGCATGCCAATGTGGTGTTCATCCTCAGACGTCCCCGGACCCCCACCAGCCAGAATACCACAACCGCACCATCGCATCGTGCGCATCCCTCCCGGAGAATCGGTAGTTCTGAACAGCGCCGAGCGTGCGCCGTACGTGCTCATTCTTGAAATTCTGAACGACGACCTCGACTTCGATCCCGCGAAGCGTAGCAACAAGGAAATCCTGAAAAAGATCGTCGAGAAGGAAAATGAGCGTAAGGGCGCCTCGCACGATCTCGTCGCCTTTGCGAGGCGAGATAGCGTCAAGGGCAAGGATGTCCCGCAGCTTCCAGCAGACGGAGATGCCGACGCTGCGAACCCTGAAGCTGATGTCGACGGCGCCAAGTCCGAGTTCGCTCTGGGCGAAGAGGAGATGGGAAAGGAGATGGAAGGCCCGCCTCCCGTCATCTCTGCAATTTCCCCGACGCCGACCACAGCTCGCTTTCCGGAAGGCGGAGAAGAGGAGGAGGAGGAGATTGACCTGGTAGAGCAGCTATATGGCGCTGGTCACTCGCTCCGTTCAAAGCCGGTGGACCTCTCTGACTCGGTCGTCTTGCCTGCGGCGCCGAAGAATAGGGATCTCGACATGGCCGCGTGGTCCTCGTCGAACCCCGTCACGCCAGCTGTGGCCATACAAGGGTCTTCCGCCTTCGCGCGAGCTCAGACCGTGCCGAACACGGTGGACAACGGGCTGAGTATGGACGAGTACGCGCAGAGGATGAGGACGGCGGCAGTGATGCTTGCGCAGCTGAATGCCAGCATGATGCGGGAACCCGTAACAACCGCGCCTGTTCCCGGGGCACCACACGCATCCGACGCCGCTCGAGGATGGTCCAGCTGGATCCCTGGTGGGACCACTGCCGAAGCGAGCGCTGCGAAGGGCCCTGTTCATCCGACGCTGGCGAACGCGGGCCCCCGCGCCGACCCGGCCGCACCCCAGATGCGCATGAAGCTGCAGCCAGCCGAGGCGACCGCCATCCGTGAGCGAATCATGAAGGAGATGCTCGCGCTGGAGGAGGAGCGCATGGCGCGCATGCGCGAGCGGGAGAACCGAACCGGTTTTGTGCCGGTACGAGATATTGCGAGCGGAAGCGGGGCGGCAAAGAGTGCGGAAGACGAAGGCATCATTAGGCGGGAGCTAGACAAGGCGGACCCGAGTGCTGCGGTGTTTAGCGAGAGCTGGACGACGAAGAAGGTGCTTGTTCTCGATCTCTGGGTTTGGGAGAGATCGTTGATCAGATTCGATGCAGAGTCGAATACGGCAGGCATCACCCTATGGGCACCTTGCCTCTTGGGACTGCGTGTCAGTGATCGTCAAGACGGGGGGTGACCTGAGGCAGGAACAGTTCGCGGTGCAGCTCATTCAAGAGTTCGGCAAGATATGGCGGGATGAGAACTGCCCATGCTGGGTCCGACAGTGTGTCCCAGTGCTTAACTAACATCTTGCAATCGACCATTGAGCGGAATGGGCTCCAGTTTCCAGATCTTGATCACGGGCGCCACCTCCGCCATCGTTGAGACCATCACAGACGCGGTATCGATACACTCAATCAAGAAGGCGGAATACGCGCGACGATTAGCGGAGGGTGGACTGGGGCACGTTACATTGCTAGATCACTTCAAGAACGTAAGGGACCCGGACTCCGAGGGCTGCCGACTTCCATCCCAATGAGAGATGCTGACAAGGTGTTCACAGACCTACGGCGACCCTGGGTCCGCCAAGTTTGCCCGGGCGCAGCGCAACTTCGCCAAGTCCCTAGCCGGGTACTCGGTCGTCACATACCTGCTCCAGATCAAGGACCGGCACAACGGAAACATTCTCCTCGACCGGGACGGGCACCTGATCCACATCGATTTTGGCTTCATGCTCTCCAACTCGCCGGGAAACATCGGGTTTGAGGCTGCACCGTTCAAGCTGCCGCTCGAGTACGTCGACGTGCTCGGCGGCGTGGACGGCGACGGGTTCAAAGAATTCAGGCGCCTGTTCCGGGAGGGCTTCGAGGCCGCGCGAAAACACTGCGACAGGATCGTCAGTGAGTAGTCTTGTCGCGGACCCCGCGCCTGCTGCAGCGTGCTCACGCCGTCGTCGGATGTTTCAGCCATGGTTGAACTCATGCAGAAAGATTCGAACTTCCCTTGCTTCGCCGCCCTGGGGGAACAGACTGCGGTTCAATTGCGGGATCGCTTTATGCCTACGATGACACATACGCTTGTGGGGGAACACATAGACCGGCTCATCGACACGTCTCTCGGATCTCACTGGACACGCCTGTACGACTCGGTGAGGCTGAACCCCACTTCTTTCGCGGCAAACATCAAGGCTGACAATCATGCAGTACCAATACTATTCGCAGTCTATTTTATAACTCGTTCACACTCGGACCTTCACGCATCTTCGCTTTCTTTCCAGCGCCACCACATTTGTGTATCTATGACATTACAAATCCGTGTATAGTTCTGATACGACCATCTCCATGGTAGATGAACATGAGCAATGAAAACAAAATGCATTACGTGCTGCGCACGGGATAGATAAATACAATCGGTGTATGTGTGCAGAGCCCAGCACCCAGATTAGAACAGTTTGTCGTATCTATTCAAGCACGAGTACCACTCATAATCTATGAAAGGTTAGCACCTCACAATTGAGGATATACAAGGCCAATGCCCTTACCGAAGTTCTGCGCGGGGTCACACCAGCACTTGCCCTTCTTGTGCGCTTCGCCCTGGGGACAATGCTGGAAGGGTTCGTGCCGGTATCCGATATCGTTGAAGAAGTGGATCTGGTCCTTGCGCGCGAAGAGCGCGGCGCCAATGCTGTGCACGGGGGCGTCGCCCCATCGCTCGTAGTAGAAGCCGCCCTTCTCGTCGAGGAAGTCAAAGTACTTGGTGTATGCCTCCGAGCGCCAAAGGTCGAGCGAGCCGATCTCGAAGTTGGACCAGAAGTGGCAGCGGTTGTAGGTCTCGCCGCCGTCATCGGAGAGGAAGGCCATCGCGTTGTCAGGCGAGACAAGGTCAGGGTTCGCGTTGATGAACTCTGTGATAGCGGGTGAGTGTGTCGGCCTGCCAATGAGCGTCGATGTAAAGTAGCTATGACGCACCCTTGGTGGCGGACCATAATGTTGGGATGGTAGCCTCGTACTCGTAAAGAGAGACAGTGAAGCCTGATCAGAGCATGAATGCGAAGAACAAGAAGATTGTGGAGAAGTTGCTTACCGTAGACCTTGTCGCCGTCTTGCATTACGAGGAATGGATCGTAGTCGAGATCGCAGAAGAACTTGACATCGGGCCTAGTGCACAGTCAGCCAGGATCACGCGCATGCGTTCATTTTCCCATACTCGATGCGCCAGTAGTACTTGTAGTCCTTCAGCAGTTCGTGGCGGTAGAAAAACTAGCAAGTCGTCTTCATCAGCACTTCATGCTGTTGCACAAAGGGATCGGAACCTACGCCGGAGTTGAATCGGCACATATTACGGTAAGGGACGCTTCCTGTCGGAGAAATGGCGCCCGTGAGGAAACACTTCGGATGCGGAGTCGCAGGGCGACTGACCTCCGTAGATCACGTTGTTCTTGACCATGTCCTCCCTGGCGGCCCTAGCCCGGTCCTCATCGATCCAGCTCGGCTGGACCCATTGGTCCTTGGGAATGAGGCCAAATTTGACGTCCGCATCCGTGAGTTCAGATACACGACTGTGGAGAAGGCGGGTAAATATGGACATTCGATGCGAAGTAGCACGAGAAAGAGTGTGGAAATAGAGAGCAGAAGTGCGCCGTACTTCTTGAACTCGTCGCTGAAGGGCTCGTCGTTGAGGAAGACGTAGGGGTAGTTGAACTTCTTATTGAAGCGGTCCTCCATTTGCTTCATGCTCGGCACGACGCCGTTCAGGTCGCTATTGCGCGCGAGAAGGACAAAGACGGCGTTGGCTTTGCGCTCCGGCGGCTTGGGCTTGTCACCGGCGTGGTAGTACTCATCGGGTACAGGTGTCTTGTACGGCGGGCTGGGCGCCTGGGCACCGATACCGAGCTTGTCCGTTATGTGAGATATAGATGTCACTTGCCCATAACCCTCATGCGATATGCTGAGGATCCAGTGCAGACTGATCTGTGGGGAGGGGTTAGCTTGCGGCATGAGGGGTAGAGGCGTTTATGCGCACTATGAAGGTCAAGACGACCAACACATAACGCATAGGCGTCATCATCTTGGGCGACGCAGTCGGACCCCTCTCCTCGCTGCTCTCTGCAGTGACGAAAGAAAGAAAGAAGAATTGAACACGACGTGGAGGAGAAAGAGTTGTGAGGAGCAATCACCAAAGCTGTGGTCCAGCGTACAGTGATCGTTCCCAGCGCCCGGTCGGGGTGTTTGGCTGTGTTTGTGCTGCGGTGGCTGCCCCGCCCTCCCGAATTTTTGTGCGCGCGTTCCGTCACCGCTCGCTCGCCACTGCTCCTAACGTTCCCGTCCTAATGGCCACGTCTGCGTTCCCCGGCTACCCCGCGCCCGCGTCCCCTGCCCCGGCGCCGTCAGGTCCCTCGACGCATGTGCCGAGTTACTTGACACCCGTCGCGCCGCTGGTGCACGCGTACAACCGGTTCGCTCACTGGCGTACTGCGCTCGACCTCCCCAGCCCTGGAACGGCCGAGAATCTACAGAAGGAAGTCAAGAGTACGTCCTGCTGTTTGCCAATGCATACCCCCCAGGACTGACTATCAAGCTACGCAGACACTCACTTGACGAACTTCTTCTTTGATGGCGCCCGTGCCGACCTCACCAAGAGCTTGTCAATGAACCCCGCCTTCCAATGTACACATTCGTTCGCAATGGGCTCGCAAACAGCACCGCCGTCGTACAACTTCGGTACCGTGTTTGCTAGCAATGACGTACGTCACCTCTGCCATCCGCAGCGAAGTTGTTCCTGAGACAGGTCTCCCAGATTTTCCTGCAAGGCGGTGTTGACAATGAGGGCAACGTTAACGCACGGTTTAACAAGGGATGGTCAGACAGCAGCATTACGAAGGTGCAGGGCCAGGTCAGTCCACGCCTCCCGTTCCTCGCCTATCGCCGATGCTCATGAAATCCATCCAGTTGTCCTTCACCGAAGGCCACAGCATGCTTCAACTGGAGCAAGACTACCAAGGGAAGGACTTCAGCGCGAATGTCAAGGCGCTCAACCCCTCCCCGGCAGACCTCACCGGAATCTACGTCGGCAACTACCTCCAGTCCGTCTCGAAAAACATCGCCGTCGGCTTCGAGTCCGTTCTACAGCGCCCGGCTCCGGGTATGGTCGAGCTCACGACGTCCTACCTCGGCAAGTACACGTCCGCGGACCGGAGCTGGATTGCGACCGCGCAGGTGCAGCCGCCTGGCGTGATCCAGGCAACGTACTGGCAGAAGCTGAGCGAGAAGCTCGACGTCGCGGCGGACCTCCAGGTTGTGGCCGCCCCGACACGGCGTGACGCGGTCGCCACGCTTGGCGCCAAGTGGGACTTGCGCGCGAGCACGTTCCGTGCGCAGCTCGATTCGACGGGCAAGGTCTCCGCACTGCTCGAGCAGCGGTTCTCGCCCGCGCTGGCTATCCTGTTCGCGGGTGAGATAGATCACTTCAAGGTATGACACTCGCAATACGCGTACTCCAGTCATCCAGCTGACGACGCCTTACAGAACGCGAGCAAGTTCGGTGTCGGTGTGATGGTCGAGTCGTCGTCGTTGACACCAGAGGAGATGGGCATGCCTCCACAACCCGGTTACCCATACACGCCCCCGCCGTACTGATGCATACATACATTATAGCCGCTTAATACATACAATGCTCTCGCACTTCGCTGTCTAGAATTCATCATGGTTGAAATCCCTGCTCTATCAACCGTCCTCTGTATCCATCAAGCTGGGATCGATTGGTATCGCCTCCGTTTCTGTCATACTAACGTCTTCGGTGACGTCCTGCATGCCGCTCGCGACCCCTTGCTCTGATTCCGCCGCCGCGCCGCCTACGTGTCCTTCGCTTTCATCTTTCTCCTTGCCCTTCTCGCTTCCCGCATTCTTTCTCTTCCTCTTCCTGCGTCTGCGAGGCGCCTCCTCGGGCTCTGCTATTCCGATTGCCTGGTCCACCAGGTTGAAGTCCGCCTCCGTCCACTCCTGCTGCACCTCGTACTCCCGCATCTTGCCCTTGCCTCTTCCCTTTCCGCTGCCCACAGCGTCATCTCGTTTATCATGTGGTGCAGCATCCGCCGAGGACGAAGAAGCGGCTTTAGGCACGAGCTCAACCTGCCGAAAGCGGACGCGCTTCTCGGTGTTCGCGACGTGCGTGAGCGCGCGTGCAGGTTGACCGTCTTCCTCTGTGAGATAGACCGCCGTCAAGCGCCGGGAAAACGATGAGGCGGTCGCGACCTATCCCCTACCTTCCCCATCCTTGAAGATAAGCTCTGTCCCGAGCAGTTCGCGATGCTCCCCCTTGAAAACGGTCCCGCTCAATTGCAGAAATGGAGTAGGCGTGTCCAGTCCCTACACGTCATCCACCCTACATCGGTCAGTGCCGTTCCTGCGATCGAGACGACACTCACTATGAGACGGTACGTCGAACTGCTCGGGACGAGCGTCGGTTCGACCGTGCCTAGGTCGAGCGTCACGTACTCCACCTCTTCCTCGCCGCTCTCGTACTCCTCATCTGGTCCAAAGGATTCGACATGTCGATAGCCGGGGATTAGGGTCTTCCGAGGAGCGGAGTCGTCGTCCATGGGAGGTGCAGATGAAAAGAGGATTAATGCTGTCACATGACCGTTTCACGCGTCGCGTCGCGTTTCAGACCGTCGTTGTTCCCTCCTTTGTCGCAAGGCTTTCGCGAGGCTCGAACTTGTTGACATGGGTGTACGGACAGGCATCGAAGGAACCGAACGTGATACCGCTCTCGCAGCATTGGCGAGGCTCTTGCGACTGCCGTGCTAGCATTTGAATGTCCTCTGGCCTTCAGGAAACTGCCGTGAATGCTCTTCTCCTGGATACCGAGCTTTAGCTAGCGACTTGACAGCTGCGAGCTCACTGTCATCTCGTGATTTGATGCGCAAAGGCTACCTCAACTTCGCTACTTCAACTTCTCCGACGAATGGTCTCTGCAAAATGGGTGTGTGTTGGAGCCGACCATATCCGGATGCAAATTTGAACACCCACTTACTCCGCCCTGATTTCTCGGCGCTACGCAATACCATCCATGCAAAATCCGGTGTCCGTGACGGTCGAAGCATCTGGCAATTATAAATATCGAAATGTCAGCTCCATGTCGCAAGCGCGCCGTTCGACCGGTGGCGGACGTTCTCGGAGGCAAACAGACTCTATCGCAGCAGTGATTTCGGATGCCCTATCTCAGCTCGAGATCCGGCTGGCAATCGATCGCCTACGAACTTTGAAAATATGTACGGGCAGCAATTTTGCGCGAACCCAGCTCTCTCTGCGATCTCAGATCCCCGGGGAAAGACCCTTGCCGTCATCGCCCAATGGGTTTCGCGCTCCGGCGAGGCACGGAAGGACTGAGCGAGTCCATAGTCGGTCAACCGGTCACCGTTTGGCGAATATTGCATTTCGTTGATATCCTCATATCATGGCCATTGCTGACCGACGTGCGGACGCGTTTCAGCCTCCATCTTCTTCGTCTTCGCGCTTCGGCGGCGGGTCTAGCTTCTTTCTAGCTAGCGTCCTCGGTGCGAGTTCACATGTCCAGCGCTGCGGAACTCGCGAGTGCACGGCTGGCCCCAGCGCTTGGCCCCCTGATCATCTCGTCGCCGGGCTGCGGGTGCCCGGATTCAGGCGGTGCTCCCGGAAATCAGGTTGCGATGACCCTGACCCTCCAAAAAGTGATCGATGCAAAGAGGATCGGCACGGTAACGACGTTATCTTGCACTGGTCTTGGGCGTCCACGATATAACAGGACACGCACGCTGCGATATGTCGTAATCCCGAAGGACTGCAGGGTGTTATATACGATGGAAAGCACATTAAAAAGGGTCGAACACAGAGAGCACGAGTGACTAAACGAGAGTGTATGATTACTAGTTGTGTGGGTGTGAGCAAACAACTGGGGTCCCGAGGAGGGCGGTGTGCGAGGGACAAAAAGAGACGGGTGAAGGAAGAGATCACGGAAACGCGAGAGGTTGCGACTAATCCGACAGCACTAGTGATTATACTCCTTTACTAAAAAAATCGACGGTCATGTTGATGATGATGGAAATGGACGTAATGCAGAGGGAAGGAGAGAGAGAGGAAGTCCCGTGTAGTGTACGTTTGATTGCAGTTGCGAGGCAGAGGCGAGAATGGAGGAGCTTGAAGACAAGACGGCGAGCCAGAGAACCAAGCGTAGGAAGAACACGAGAAGGGCGAATGTTGGATTATGTGATAGATCGGATTATAACGGATTGTTGATGATGCCGGGTTGAGAATTCAGGGCTGAGACGCGAGCTGGGCCTTGGCGCACTTGTCGAGCAGACGCTCGATGGCGATGAGGTGCTTGGTATACGCATTGTTGTATCGGCGCATGGTCAGGAGCTGGGGCCGGATACGGCTGATGAGCGTCTCCTGTTGGTCGGGCTCCGCGGTCGACACCGCACGCTGCAGGACATAGTCTACGCGATTTTCAGGAGGCTAGCAGGACAAAGACGCAGACGGCACGCACTGGCATACTGGTCCTTCATCATGGTCACGATCGGCGAGGAGCCGTCCGCGCCCTGAGCGAGGATCTCGTCGATCAGCGCCCGACGACTGTCCGGCTCGGCGGTGACGAGCGCCTTCTCGCAAACGTTCGACGCGAACTTGTGTCGGGCCATGGGCAACATCTGGCCTCTGAGCTTCTGCACGACTTCCGCACGGTCCTGCGGCGCACCGTGCTCAAGCACGAACTGGATCACGTAGTTCTACAACATACGCGTCCAAGGTCAGTTCGAGTCGACGCGCGGGAAAGCCTGAGCGCGCGTGCGTGACTCACCCCGAACTGGTCCTGCATGAGCTGGATCGTGCACTCGTGCAGCTCCGCAAGCAGGCCACGCGTCTGCTCCGGCGAGAGGTATTCGAGGCAGCGCTGCAGCACGCGGCAGCCGTACGGATGAGACGCGAGCTCGAAGACGTGCGATTGGAAGCCGTTCACGAAGGTCAGCAGCGACGGGTTCACGCGCTCGATGATCTTTTGGATGACCTGAAAAGGGTAGAATTAAGTGTGAGACATGCGTAAATCATAAGACTCAGGATGCACGAACATGATTGCCGTTCGCATCCTTGACGCATCGGATTACATGCGGCTCTAGCTCGCGAACGAACTTGGCCTGATGGCTCTCAGGCAGATACTCGAGGGCCTGATGGGAAAGCGAGTTAACCAACGATATTCCACTCCCAAGACACAGAAGCAGAGACCGTCCCGCACCTTCTGCACCACCCGACACCCATACATCTGCAAGCTAAGCGCCAACACATGGTCGCTCAAGCACTCGGCGATCGCGACGCGCTGCGCGGGCGAACAGTGCTCGAGCAGCTTCTGCACCACATAGTTCCCAAACACGTCCTGCGTCAGCTGCAGCGCATGCCCCCCCGGCACGATCTCCGCAAACACCGCCTCGCGCTCCTCCGCGCTCGCGCCCTCGAGCTTCTGCTGGATGAACCGCGAGCCGTGCTGGTCCCCGCCAAACTCGGCGACGTGTCCCGCGATGTCCGCCAGCTCCCACTTGCGCGCCTTGTTCGCGCGGAACTCCTCGAGCAGCGCGCTCCGCTGCGCCCCGCCGTCCTCGCGCCGCATCGCGCCACGCGGCATCGCGTAACCCTGGGGCTGTTGCGGCGGTTGCTGGAGTACGCCTTGCTGGGAGCCGCGCCGCGCGTGCCCGTAGGCCGGGCCCATCATCGGGACTTGTGCGTGCATCCCGACCGCGGCGCCGTAGTCGAGCGCCGGGGCGTAGGCTTGGTGCGGGTGCGGCGACGGCGTCGAGCGCAGCGGACTGTAGATCATGTTCTGGTGGTGCATCTGCGCCGCGTTCTGCTGCAGGTTGTATTGCAGCTCGCGCTTCTTGTCCGAGAGCGTCGCGGGTGCCGCGGCTGCGGGCATCTGAGGCGTCAACATCGGCGACGCGGCCGGGTTCCACATCAGGGGCGTGGACGGGTAGTAGAACTGCGAGCTTGCGGCGCGCGCCGAGTAGTCGTAGAACTGGATGCGAGATTGAACCGTGAGCAGGGGAGGAGGATGATCACGTCGAGAAGGACCAACGACTTACGGGAGTGGTCGCGGCGGCGACGCCCGCCGCTCCGTACACCGCCGCCTCGGGCGCAGGCGCAGGCGCGTATCCGTACGCACCGAAGTCGAGCTGGCCGCCGTGGTTGGAGTAGTACGGCGGGTACGCCTGCTGCTGCTGTTGATGAGGCACGGAAGCCACCTGCGGCCTTGGCATCGACCCGGACATCGACCCGCTCTCGTACTCGTCCGCGACCGCCATCCCGCGCAACGCTGTCGACAGCTCGTCTGCAACATTATCGCCGTTGCCTGCGTTTCCGTTGTCGTACCCGCTCGAGTACCCGTTTGCGGAGTTGAACCCTAATCATGGTTATCGCGAAATGCAATCAGCAATCATACGAATCAGCGGATCAAAAACAAACGAAACGAGGCGTCGATCCAAAGGCTATCAATGTGGAAGAAGAGACAGAGCTCGGAGCCAAGCTCCGCGCTTCGCGGACGTAAAAATAAAGACGAGGCGAGAGATTAGGCTAACCTAGTTGCTTGTCATACCGTTGAGGGGACAGCTGTGCGGATTTGGACCCCCGCTCGCGGTCAGCCGCGGAGAGGCCCGGGTGGCCAGCCGAGACGTGTCGATTCCGTCCATACAGGACGTCCTAAAACGTACCTATCAGCTACACGGAAGCATGGCAAGGTGAACGAGGGCTTACGAGGTCCTTCTTGGTGGAACCGTCGTCCCAGGAGCCGCTAGATGCACGCGACTGCTGCTGCTGACCCTGGGAGGACTGCGGCCAGTAGACCTCGTCCCTGGCGGGGGCGAGGTCCGTCGCCGAGGACACCGACGCGTTGCGTTTCGGGGCCGGACCACCCCAGACCTATGTGGACGTATGGCACGGAGCCAGGCTCAAAAGATAGCGGATGGGTGAGCGAGCACACTGACCTGCCACCCGGCATTGTAACTCTTCAGGCCGCCGGAAGGGTGGTTGAGAGACGCGAACACGTCGCCGGTGTTCGACCCGGCCATCTTCCTATGCGACTGAAGGTCGAAGAGAGGAAAGAGAGAGAGATATGAACGTCAGGAGAGGGAGACCGACATGACACGACACGCGAAAGCCACAGCTCGGATGGTTTAGCGAGGGAAGTGTCTACTCACGTGTTGACCCGGCGGGGAAGAGCTGTCGGACGAGCCGGAAACTTTGCGCGACGCGGTCGAAGTAGTATTAGTTGTCGGCATAACTATGGGACGAGGGTTGCAGTGCTCTCCAAAATCGCTAGGGTGCAGGCGTCGGTGTCCGGAGAAGAGTTAGCGAGGGCGGGAGGGCGGGCAGAGAGAGGAGTGGGGAAATTAGCGTTTGAGCAGAAATGAAGGGGGAGTGCTCACCGACGGAGAGACGGAGAAAGGTGGAAATTAGAATTAGGTGGGTAGATAAAAGAAGGCGCGGGGGGACCCAAGAGGCGCTGGTATGTGGTACTATCGGCGCTGCACGGAGGAAACGTGTCAGGACTCGGGACTATGGGGTGCGGCACGAAGGGGGCGAAGCTGGGGAACGCGGTCACGCCCCGACGCTTGCATAGACGAGCGAAGGTGCACGAGGAGGCGAGCAGGCGGTGACTCACGAACAGGGGGATAGCAGACGACCACTGTACACAAGCCCGAGTTGCTCGCGCAGAGAACGAAGGTGGGCGCCGAGCAAGGGTTTGGGTCGGTGAAGCGACCGGGCCGGAGGGAGACAAGCACCTTGCTGGCGGCGACGCGTAAAATACAGGGCAAAAAATAATATGGAAGGAGCGGAGGGGCGCGGCGATGGATTGCACGGGCCAGGCGAGGGAGCGCACTAGCCGAGCGCGTAAAGACGCCGCGACGCACCGCACCGCTTCCACTTCCCGTCGGAACTTTCACCAAGCTTCTCGCTCCCAATCAGGCAACTGCCCCGGTCTTCGCGCATCACCTCCGCCCACGGCTTCTTCTCCAATACGCCGATCCACTCCGCCGGTCCCTCCTCCTCTCCGGCCTTTCCTGGTCGGGCATCCGACATATACATCCGCAGCTTCCGACGAGACGAGGAACCCGTAGCAGGGCGCTTGGCTCACAAAATAAACGCTGCCCTTCCACAAACGGCCGATATCGCGTCATCACGAGAACTTCTTCCGGTTCTGGTCACCGCCCCGTGTGATTACGTACACGACCTCGACCTCGCGCCTGTCACCGCCCGAAGCCCCCCGCCGGCCAATCAGCGCCCGCCTCCGCGTTACGGGTTCCATCTCCGTCATATGCAAATAAAATTAGCATGAGAATTCGAGTGTACGTCCGAATTGCGTCCAAAGCGAGGGAGGAAAATTACAGAGAGAGGAGCAGCTGGTATGCGACGAGGAGATTTATGTATGTTATGTTGTGGTTATATGCACGCGCCCACGTTATATGCGCCCGGAAGACGGAAAAAGACGAGCCACGCCGTCTTCTCCCTCACCGCGAATTGAAGAACCACGATGCCCGCTTCTGCCCAGATCTGCGCGTCCAACATTTACGTCAGTCACGGTCATCAACGTTGGTAAGAAAAACTTCCGCGCAAACCGCCGCGGTCACGCACCCTTCTTCGCTTTGCAGCCGTGCGAGCGGGTTCGCCGACGACGATCCACCGCCGCCGGAGATCGGCGTCGGCCCCGCCGTCGCCGCCGCGCTCCTCCCGCCGCCCCTCAACGGCTTCGCGATCCTGCTCCCAAAGCTGAGCGTCGACCCCGCCGCCGCCTTTTGCGCTGCAAGACGACATGCTCATCAACACCACTCGCCAAGACGATGATATGGATATCACTCACCGCGCGCCTGGTCTAGCCGCTCCTTGACCGCCTGCAGCTGCGCCTCGAATTTCTGATTCTGCACCGCCAGCCGCCGGTCAGCGTCCTGCAACAGCGCCTCCAGGTTCTGGATCCGCTCGTTCCTCGCCAGCAGTTTACGCTCCGCGATGCCCGCCTCCTTCTTCAGCGCCGTGTTCTGGTCCACGAGCTGCTTCTGCACCACCGTCAGCTGCTCCAGGTTCCGCTCCAGGAACGCCATCTTCTTCTGCTGCGCCTTGCTGTTGCTGTTCCGGATCACGTTGTTGTACTGCTCCCGGATCTCGTCCAGCTGGATCTCGAGCTCGACCACCTGCAAACAAGTCTTCAATGACGCCCCCCTCTCTGACATCACATCGAATCAATACGCACCTTCTCGCAACGGTTCTGCAAGTCGCGCATGAGCGACTTTTTCACGCCGTCAAACTCGGCCAGCTGCACGCTGATCGCCTTCCGCGTCCGTTCGAGGTCCTGCGCGCTCTCCGCCAGGTTCTTGCCGCCTTCGACACCAGCAGTGGTGACCGCGAACGCACGCTGTAGTGTAGAACGAGCGTTATAAAAAGCCCTCGCAAATGGAATCCCACGAATCACAAACCTTCAGCTCTTCGTTCAACGACTTGAGGCTCTCGATATTCGCATGCGCGCTCCGCAGCTCATTCGCCTTAAGCTCGAGCTGCTGCTTCAGATCGTGCACCTCGCTAAAGTGCGCCTCGCGCTTGGCCGCGTACTGCGCTTCGAGCTTGTTCTGCCCAAAAAGAAAACAAAAAAGCACCACGTGTAAGCGCCGATACTCCGCGCCAACGAGACGAGATACACCGTACCTTGAGCTCCGCCATCGACTCGCCCACGTCCACGTTGCTCGTCTCCTCGTCGTTGATCGTCTTCTCCAGCAGCTCCTCGTATTCGGCCTCGAGCGCACCCACCCGCTCCTCGAGCTCGTCCCTTCGGCGCATGATCATCTCGTTCTCCTCCTGGCTCAACCGCAGCCGGTCCACCGTCTCCCGGAGCAGGTTCTGGCTCTCGCCAAGCTGTCGCCGCACCGCCGTGATGTCCTCTGCCGTCAGGCTCGCCACCGCCTCGTCTGAGTCGATCAGGTCCAGCTTGGCCAGTAAGCTCCGCAGCTGCTCGTCCTTCTCCGAGAACGCGCCCTGCTACAAACTCAGGCATCAGCCCGACGCACCGAGCACGGGAGGACCAGGCAGGGCTCACCGTATCGAACTTGGCCATCATCATCGCCATCTTCTCCTGCTTCCGCTTCTCCTTGTCCTCCACGCTCGCGTCCTTCTGGCTGCTCTTCAGCTCCGCCATCGTCTTGCGCACCTCCTCCAGCTCGCCCTTCGAATCCTGCAACTGTTCCTTCAGGATATCGATCGTGATCGCGCCCTCCTTCGCGTCGTAGCTCAGCCGCTCGACCTGCAACCGCAGCTCGTTCACCTGCCCAGACATCGCCTTGTTCTCCGCCGACAGCGTCCCTTCCTGCTCCTTCAAGAACTTGAGCTCCTCCCTGAGCTCCCCGGCCAACTTCTCCGCCGCCGCCAGCGCGCTCTCCTTCTCCGCCAGCGCGTCGCTCAGCTCGTTCTCCCGCCTCAAAAACTCCTCCCGCTCGTCCTTGTCCAGGCCGACGACCGTCGGCGTCTGCGGCCGCGAGCCGAGCTCGCCCTTGATGCTCTCCAGCGCCGGAATCGCCGGCGTCATGCTCCGCGCGCTCGACGGCGTCGGCGACGCCGCTGGCTTCTGCGCCGCCGCGCCCGACGCGGGCGCCTTACCCTGCTGCGCCCAGTTGGCCTCGTCCACGGTCCCGCCCGAGCGCCAGATGGCGACCTCCGCCTCGAGCGCCTCGACGTACTTCTGGTAGCTCGAATTGGCCGCCTGCGCCTTGGAGAGCAGTAGCTTGAGCTCCTGCGGAGAGAGCTCGGCGTTCACCCGCGCCGTGTTCTTGATCGACTTGGCGCGGATGCCGAAGCGCAGCGTCGAGAGCGTCTCCTGGTCGTTGTACGAGCACGGCGAGCAGTTGATGATCAGCGTCGTGCGCGAGTTGCCGCCGAGCGACTCTTGCAGGATACGGGTCAGCTTCGAGTCGCGGTAGGGGATGTGCTTGGACTGTGGAGGGGAGGAAGCTCCGTTAAAGACGCAGCTGGGGACAAGGGTAGAGAACGTGCCTTCGAGTCCGTGAGCGCGTTGATAACCATGCCGAGCGCGGAGAGCGACTTGTTGATCTTCTTCGCCTCCTCGAGCGTCTGGCCCGACGCGCCCGTCTTGCCGACCTTCTCCGAGCCGGCCAAGTCGACGAGGTACAGGTTGCCCGTCTTCTGCGCACCCGTTTCCGTATTCCGTTGGATGATGGTGATGAGGAAGATCGAGTGCGAGCGCGAACTCTCGGCGTTCATGTCTACAAAAGGCATTAACTACCTTCTCAGAAGGGGAGACGGTGGAACCCACTGGTTGCGGAGACGATGCGGGCTTGACCGCCCTGTCGCATGATCTCGTACACCTCCCGCGCACTGCTCACATAGTAATCGGACAGATTCTTCACGTACACGCCCTTCGACTTTTCCTCGTGCACCTGCAGGTTATCGTTCTGGGCTGCACAGAGCTTAGCGCATACACTCTGGGTGTAGATCAGGACATCACGAGGGCGACTCACGCGCGAGGAGATCACGAATGCGTTCTAAGTAGATCTCCATGTAGGACACCTTGACGAGATATTCCAGGCTAGGGTCCGATTCCACGATGGACTGGAAGATCTGCTCAGTTATTCGCGGGATTATACCCTTCAGATCTTCTGAGTCGAGATCGGCGCCCTATTGACATGTTCAGTGCGCAATCAGCGAAGTTGAACTAGGAACGTGCCATCATCGTGAAAGTCTTCCCGCTACCGGTTTGGCCATACGCGAATACTGTACCGTTGTATCCATCAAGCACATCTGCATCCTGACGTTAGCGCTCCGAAGGAACACGGTGGGTTGTACCCGATGGGAATGCATGGGGATGATAAGGATGATCTCACCCTTGACGATGCTACGGAACACAATAAACAGGTAAATCATGAAAGAAATCGGTCGTGGACGTACTCCTTCACTCCGTACTCAAATATCTCCTCCTGCCTCGTCCCCATCGGGAACACCCTGTCAAAGGTGAACCCACCCGCTTCTGCGCCAGTCGCGGTCTTCATCTTCACCGTCTGCAAGTTCTCGTCAAAGTCGACGACGATGCTGCTGCCCTCCCGCATCTCCAGGGAATTTGGAGGCCGAAATCTGTCGCATTGAGACGAATAACGCGCTCAGACAGGCACGATGAACCGGCAGCAGCCACGGGGTTACGCACCGGCAGATAACCTTGATGTTGGTCGAAGCCATGGCTATCGGACGCCAACGGAAGGTAGTATATTGTCGTGTAAGGCTCTAATGCGCCTCGAGTCGCGTCTGCAGACGCCGTAAGTCGGATTCTAGTCGTGAGCCGAAGGAGCGAGGTCGTGAAGGGGTATTGCGCGAGAGAGAGAGTCGTGGCTGGTCTATTTGCTCACGTCGCGATCGCGACTCGGCTTACGCGCGCGCAACGAGGCGCCGCGGGCCACTGCGGACGGCACGAGCTTGTGCTGAATTGATATCCTCGTCCCCTACAACTGTTGATTGTATAGATATGTACATCATAATAGCAGGATGTCTACAGGTACAGTATAATAAGGATAGATGGTGAGTATGGATACCAGGGATGTGTCTATCGCACACGTCTGCTCCGCGCAGGAACGTTCGAGGACCGTTCCCTCAAGGTTCCCATCTTGGGTAAGCCCGATTTGGATAGCTTTCCAACAATCTTCTTCAATGGTACCACTGGAGGTGCTATAGTTGATGCCGAAGACACAGAGGACACCGAGGATGCCAAAGCAGGAGACATGTCCTCGTTAAGCAGTGATGACGGCGCCTCTTCTGCCAGGACCTCCTGCCTTGGTGGCGAACTGGGCATCTCTTCGAGAGGAGGCGATATTGGCGTGGTTTCCACCCGCACGGCTATAGGAGTGTCCTCGTCGAGCAGGGAGAAAGGCGCCTCATCAGCGACATCGACGTCCTCTTCGTCGTCAGGGAGCGGCAAATGCTCGGCGGTGAAGGTTTCGTCTCCAACCGAAGAGCTGCCGTTCTGGCGCCAGTCGCGCAACAGAGCGTCCCGAGGCTTCGCCAGCTCCCACCGATCGACGTATTTCCAACTGCGCTTTGAGGGTGTAGCTCCTGTTGGCCTGTCTTCTCTTGTCCCTTGTTCGACGATGGCCTGCGTAGCCTGCCTCGCCGACGAGACGTACGAAGTTGCGCTTGAGTGGAATGACTCCGTCATGTTGTAGAGCGTATTGCCCTGAGGTCCGTAATCAATATTGGCGAATCCATACGCAGGAATAACGTAGTATTCACCTCGGAGATGACCTTGCCCATCGCCGCCCCGATGTTCTTGGATGTGGACGTCATCCCTTGCTGAAGTGTGCGATACCCGGACTGCGCGTCGGCTGCTATCTGGTTTGTAGCATCCAACCGTGCGCGCTTTGCTCGGTTGAACCGGTCATGGGCTGTATGGGGCGTTCAATACACCGTGAAATTGCACAGTGACTAGCGTACCTCCAGCACAAGCAGTGTTCAAAGCTTGCGTACTTCGTTGGATATCGGTTGAATAGCTCGCAACAGAGGCCGACACTTGATCCCGAATTGCAGCAGCTCCGTCTTTGACCGCGCTGTGCGATGCGACCAGCGACTGCGTTGCCGAGGTGAGAATAGCAAGAGACGATGGTTAATAGGAATACCGACTTTGAGTACGCCGTCTCGAGTCCTCTTGCCTTCTCCGGAGCGTTTCTCCAGTGACTCGGACCATGTCTTCCCCCTCTCCGTCATCTGGGCGATCCCTTTCGAATGTGCTTGGGTGAATTCCGACATGTTTTGCTCTGCCACGTCGTTGCTGTCATGGATGACCTTGAAGGTCTCGCGCAAGCTACGATCCCGCTCGGCGGTAAACTCTCCCAAAAGGCCCGAGACGCGTTGCAGCAAATCATCCCGTGCCCGTTCAGCATCGACCTTCTGCGTGTCAAGCAGCTGCACCAGGAGAGCGTTTTGCTCTCGTAACCGTAGTACTTCCGCGTTGACGACGGTATCTGTCATGTTCTTAGCAGCCAAGGCCGATTTGCGCTCGTCCTCAATGAACTGCTGCGCCTCCCGTATGATGGTGTCAATCAAGGACGCAGTAGACTTAAGCGCCCTCTCCGCCTAACAATCATAGAGGCGATCAGAAGTCGACGCGGAACTCTGGAGGGGAACTCGCACTTACGGCGACATGTGCAGCAGAATCGGCGATTTCGACGTCGCTGCACATAGCTTCGCATTTCTTGCGCAAGCCGTCTGCCCATGAGCCGAAGCCTGTCTTCAAGCCTTCCACCGTGTCGTCCACCGTGGTTTGTATGGTCCTGACAGCTTCGCCCACGACCTGATCCTTCGCTTGAACGACGCCAAGAAGTTCTTGAACTTTCCTCAGCTGCTCGTTTATCTTATCGCAGTGCTGATTAAGGACTTGCTGCTCTTTGTGCTGATACTGTTCGGCTTCCGTGCGCAACTGCAAAGCATGATGGGTCGATGTCTTGAAGAATTCTTCAAGCTTGCTTGAAAGGCCTGACAAATCCCCAGCGAGGATCCTGCCGTGACTCAGGACGACCTTCGCATTGGCTCCCAGCACCCCCGACTTGCGGTCTACAGAGAAACATGAACTTCAACACGGTTGCAAGAACAACAGACCGACCAAGTTTGTCAAAGAGCGCGGCGAGATCCCTCAAGCTCTCGTGAGCCACGTCCCGGAGCCCGGTCGCAACACCATCCAAGCTTGTCTCGCTGGTCTGGTAAGCTTTCCGCACAACCACCTCTTCCTCGAGCGCGCCCTTTACTTTTCGCAACTCCCGCCCCCTGACTTCCAACTCCTTCTCCCGCCCTTCCAGGGTCTCTTGCGTCTTCTTCAATTCTCCTTCCCGCTTCATGAGCAAAGACATGCTCTGCTCGAACTCTTCGCGCACGCTCCTGAGCTGACTTTCCACCATTTCGACCTGTCGCCGCGCCTCCTCCATCTCCGTCTTCGCCAGCTCCTGCTCCGCGCTCATCTGCGTCCACGTCTCCTCGCTGAAGAATATGCCATTCTTCTCACGAGCGGCTAGAACGTCCGCCTTCAGCCTCTCGATCTCCGCGACGTACTCCTTCAGCAGCGCGTTCCGTGTCATCCGCTGGTTGACCTCCGGCTTGTTGCGTATCGACTTGGCGCGCATGGCATAATCGAGGGTTGATAGCGTTTCTTCCATGTTGGAGCGTGCAGGAGATACAGTTGCCACGATGCAGGTCTTTGTCCGACCACCTAGCGAATCCTGCAGTAATCGTGTGAGCTTCGACTCCCGATATGGTACGTAGGATGCGCGGTCGACGAGCGCATTGATGACCCGTCCGAGCGTGAGCAAGCTTTGATTAATCATGCCGGCCTCGCGCGCCCGCTTGTTCTCCGCTCCTGACCGCCCAATGTTCTCCGACCCAGCCAGGTCGACCAAGTTCATCTTGCCGACGCGCAGAAGGTCGTCGCCGAGCGATGAGGTCTCTTTGGTATGTACTGTGATGGAGAAAACCGAATGAGAGCGACTTGAATGGTCGTTGAACTTTGTCGCCGCGATCTGTCTGCGTTGACTGCCCTTCGTGAGGACAGCCATCGCGTCTTTCGCGTCCTTCACGTTCACCTCTTGAAGGCCCTGGATGAACACGCCCTTCTTCGACGCGTCTTCGAAGATCTTCAGACCGCCGTCCTGTAGATCCTTTGATGACGTGCCCCGACCCATTGGCTGGGTAGATCCAGCAGGCGCGGAGAGTTCAGGCGCGAGCAGATCCCGTAGCTCCTCGTTGTATAATTCGATAAGAGAGACTTTGACGCTGTAGTCCACCACCGTTGCCTCCAATTGATGGAACAGGCGAAAGAGCACGCGTGGAATCATCCCAGCTTGGGGCGACGGGTTGCCCAAAGGCGTCGGAGAAAGGTCGCCTTGCATCGTATACCTTTATAGGGATAAGCAAGATGAGGAAATTATAGAGATCCTGCTCACGTCTTTCCAGTCCCCGTCTGACCATATGCAAATAGCGTGCAGTTGTACCCCTGCAGCACCTCCTCCAGCATCGGTGCCACGACGTCTTGATAGACCATGGCCTGATCTGCTTCAGGGCCGTATACCAAGTCAAAAGGGTATGTTCGAGTAGGGGGTAGTGTGACCAATCCTAAGCTTGAGACCGGAGCGGCCGTTTCGATAGAAAGCTCCTGACTACGGGCTCCCTGCGAGCTGACGATAATAGGCGAGTTTTCCTGCACTTCGCGGTCTGATCGGCGACGGCAACGGATGACCACCTTGATATTAGTTTCTCCATGTTCATCCGCCTTCAGATTGGTGCCTCGTCTCTTGGGAGATGTCGGGATGGTTGAGGGTGCGAGTGAATCCTGAGGCTGGAAGGTATCTTCAACAGGTGTCGGCACTGAACGTTGAGATGGACCGGGTTTAGACATAGCAGATTGGGATCGCGCAGGCTGAGGTGCCCCGCCGCCATTAGTTGTTCGACTTCGCGCCGATGGAGCGCGACGAGTAGCCATAACGGCTATCTCGAGAAAATAGACAGGATATGTGTGCTCCAGACCGATTCGGAAAGCTCGTGTCGCGTCAACCAACTCGGAACGGTCACGTGATCGAGCTCAGACGGCAGGTCCGGGCCGGAACTTTACGACATATATCATTGCGGCGCGAGCTGCGTAGTAGCCTGTACCACCGAAAGTTGCTTCGCTGGCTACCTAGTATGTAGGTCTGAAAAGCAAAAAATATTATGCTCCCAGTGAGGATCGAACTCACGACCATTGCATAATCATGCAATACACAATGTATCCACATAAGTACAAAGCGCTACCACTGCGCCATGGGAGCCTCAGTGGGCTTTCAGCCTATGCGTAAATAGCCGGTAAATTGGGACCACAGTGTTTCGCCACCGACCTCAACTCTTTCGCGTCGCCACTTTCGGCGATCGCAACTCTTCTGCTTGCCCATTGGACCTATGACTGGTCCCAGCCCTCCCAACCTCGATGTTAATGGCAGGCGGCCCGACATTGACTCAACACTTTTGTCTCCTGTATTCGAAAACTCGCACAGATATGCATCCCGGAACTCAAGAGATGTACCACTGACCCGACCATCCATCTCAGATGACGCCCTCAGCGATGGCGAAGTCAGCCCCGTCTCGCCCAGATTACCCTCCTTCTCCATCCCACGACCGTCTCACAAACCTCGTGCAGAACTGCAGAAACTCCTCGCTCACTCTCTGGAGCAGCTGCGTCGCCGGCCGAAACCGCCTTCCGTATTCGATCAGTTCAAGCAGGGTTCGGCGAACGCGGATGACATAGGGACTGGTTCTGTGGCAGAGACTCTCCGGGGAGCCGTTAAATTCAAATCCGCAAGGGCGAATGGGGAAGGGCGAGCGACAGGTCAGGACGAAAGTGACGATGAAGATGACGGAGCTGTGTTTTCTACGAACAGAACTTGTGAGCTGCTTTCACAGATGCAGGAGGTACTCGCAGTTGCGACCGAAGTCTTTGATAGCGAGTATGTTCACCTCATCAACACTGTTATTGAAGCTGAGGATGATGAACTCGCACTAGACGAATAGGAGCTAATGACGGCGTTCGCAACTCGCTAAATCGTATCTCCCCCTTTCGCTTGCGACGATTTAGTGCGCAGAATACGCGGAACCGTTCTCGCTCACCTTCTCCGAATCCCAACACTGCCGTGCAGTCTTCTGACTTGACACTCGAAATATTGGACGTATTGAGTTCGATCATCTCCGAAGATTGTCGATATCAGATATCTTCGCCTAGACCGTTCCGACCTCCAAATGCTCTGCAGGCCATGTCCCTCGAGGTGGCCAGATATATGACTCGCGTTAATGCCCGCAGTCCCGAGATCTTGGCACAAATTTGCTATGCCGTGCTCCCAGCATTCTCCACCTTTCGAAAGCAAATGTGGCCACGGCTGCTGTTATTCTTTGAGGAGCTTCTTCGCCTCATGCTGGACATACTTGAGAACGAGCGCTGGGTGGAGAAAAGCACCTCCGCGCTTGAGAAGTCAGAACTAGGTATATTCTGATCTTCGATTAGAATTGTGTGCGCTTTATCTGACTGGCTGGTCAGATGACCAAGAGGAGGATAATGACCCTGCGCCTGTTGCCATCACGGTGCAGGAAGCAGACGACGACACCGAGAATCCTTTCCTAGTGCATAACACACTCTCATGGGCTCCATGGACGCCTACAGGGAAAGAAAACCCGACTCTTGTCTCGGCTACTTCTCCCTTGCAGTCGTTGTCCGTATACCACATCTCGTCCGTGGTGTCCAACGTACTGGCAACGGCCCTCGAGCATCTGGAGTTTACCTCGCCGGACGATCATACAACTGCTCAGAGCTTCTATTCGCTTTTCGAAACGATGATGCAGGCGAAAGTTGACATCTACTTGGATCTGCTCAGCGTCGTTGCCTATCACTCGGAGAAAGCAAGATTTGGGTCTTTGTCACTGTTGTCTCGCTACTGGCCGAAGTCGCTGGGTCATACATTCGTCAGTAGACCGCTGAGTGTTCATGCGAATGCAAATCCGCCCTATCACACCCTTCATGGTCACACCCATCAGTTCCTCCCCTGGCGTTTCCCTCCACAGACATCTCCTTCGCCGTCCGAGTGTTTGACGCCACTGCATTGTTTAGTCTGGAAATGTAGAAGACCCATAGAAGGCTTTGGATTGTTCTGCCCGTTCTGCTTCTGCGCTGTTCATCTCGACTGTTACGACTATCCTGATGGTTACTCGGAAGCACACTACAGGTCCACTACCGATGGCACCGGCAAACTCGTTATCCAGAGATTCTGCGACGTTGTTCCAGCGCGCAACGACAAAGCAATTGATCAGATACACGTCGACCACCATCATTTCCGTCTCACAAGCCTTTTCTCTCTGACACTGTGTTTTCATTGTCGGGAACCACTCTGGGGCTGTGCCGCTCAAGCATACCGATGCGTGACCTGCAACCATTTTGCACATCGTTCTTGCCTGACGGAGATCATGTTCCGTGGAATATCACTGCCGCGGTGTCGTTCGCAGCCCCTTGACGCTTCGCACATCACCATCGAGTACGACGTGCTCAGACATTCCTTCGTTAGAAGCCATAAGGGGCTCTTGCTTACTAAAGCCGACCTGGAACAACGTACATTCGAGGAAATCTCCGTGCTCCATGCCGTGCTATGGCTTGAGATGCACATACTCGATCATGGCACTGCTCAGAGCTCTGTCGCCGTCTGCCGCCATGGGACTCGTTTGGATAAACTAGACGAGTTTGAGCTTCACTATTGCGTGAGGCTATACGAGGCCTACCTCGGAACCAGCCGCCTTCAGATCTCGTCTGCCGTGACCGATTATATGGAAGAGAACGGCGTCAACACGACAGATTTCTCGATGTACTTTGACTGGCCGCTCATTACGTACATCACCACAGTGATCAAGACGCCCTTCGATCGGGCCCATCTTCCAGGCGGCACTCCCCCTGGATTGCTTAGCGTCAATCCTGATCAACTTATGGACGAAGTCGAGTCGGACTCCTCATCGCAACCCGCTGAGATGACCAATCTGGCCCATCTGCGCGATGCATTGGGGCATGTTATCGGCCTACAGTCGGAAGCTGCCGCTCGACACTTCCTCGATCATCTACACAATCTGGGCCTTATAACACGAACAGATGGCAACCCACTACTCTTTGACGAGGACGCGCGGCCGTTCGAAGTGCAATGCTCCTTTCCTCTTCCTCTTGGCCTGGATTTATCGTCCGAAGTCGAGACTCTATTTGGTGCTGTCGAGGCTTGTCTTTCCGACCTGGACATCAGCATGAATGAGGCTGGCTTTCTGCTGTTGTTGCGCCGGCTGTGGCCTAATGGGATGGCTACCGATTACGCTCTGCGAAGGCTTGCCCGAGCTGTGGTTGCCTGGGTGGTTGCAGAAGTACGTTGACGCTCCCTGTTACTTGACGCTGCCCTTATTTCTTTTCAACAGGAGACCCGCGTAGCCAGGATCATCAAGGAATACGTGTCGATGACCGCCACCGTACCCGGTATGCGATCTGGTCCGGTATCTCAACAAATATGGCCAGCATGGTCCGAGCTACGTGTCCTGACCACCGGCGCCAGACCCAGCGGTAACGACTATTCGAAGTACCGCCTGGAGTTACGGAGAAAGTACGCCATTCCCTGGATGCTGGCTCTGTACAACAAAGACCCGGCGGTTTACTGCCACACTATACGAGAGCTCTGCGACGAGCTAGCAGAGGAAAGCATGGGAGTGCTACCTTCAACGGTACGGGACCGGGAACATAGAGCGGTCAGCGTCCTCAGACAGTCCTCCTGCAATGTCCTCCCTGATCCGTTACAGCAGTCACTTGTCGCTACAAGGACTGACCTAAGCCTACGGCATGTCATCAAAATGACACAGAGTGGACTCTTGTTCAATCCTCTTGAAGATGTCCTCTCCGACTGGCTTCACTCACGCCCGGAAGCAGCCCTTGCCGGAGACCAACAAGTGCGTGGACGTGATTGTGGTGTGTCTTTTCAACTCAACAGATCTATTAGCCTATAGCGTCCCTGTCTCGACTGGTCAATCGGGAGACCGAAATTAGTCACAGGCGAAGTATGACCATGATGCTCTCAGGCGATACGCTCCTGCTTGCCTCATTCAATCCTTGGGAGCTCTTGAAGAAAACAGCGCTACAAGATGCAGATGGTTTCCTGCGCTCTGTAGCATGGCTGCATCTCTTTGCCCGGTCAGGTGTTGATATTCCTTCCGGAACTTTCTTGGACATCGTGGACATCGGTGGGCAGCACCTTGGCTTGACAATGACTTACGCAATGTCCCTCGTGCAAAGTGCACTATTGTCCGCATGGATGAAGTCGCGTGGTCGTCCGGAACTGCAGAAACTCGTTTCCGTCTTACACACGCGCTTCTACGATGAGATTTCCGGCGCCCTTCGCGCTGGACCTATTCCATCCGAGCTGTGGGTACTGAGCCGTGCTTGATCTGGGTGCTGGCGCTGAATAATAATAGGATATCATTCATCAAGCATTCCGTAGCAGTTTGCTTGCTTGTCTATGGTTGCGAACGCAATAACGTTAAAACCCGAGGTCTGGTTCGAGAAGAGGAGATAAAGCATCTACCTTCTCGGTGAGTCATGAATACTTCTTCAACTTGGTGGAAAACCACAATCATAATGGCGCAGTCGAAATGTGGGGAATCGGGTTTCAACGATCGCGGAAGCCATCGACGTCGATTCCGAATTCATTGATGCTTTAAAGCGATATGCGGATTTCGGCATCGACGAGATAACTTGTATTGTTGCGCAGTTTCTGGACGTTGTTCTATGTGATACCAAGGTTGCCGAAGAGGTACGCGTGGGGGACTTCGTGAGCGTTGAGAGTCCCGTGCTCTGCCAATGGTGAGTTCAAATCATCTTCAACTCCCTTTATTCATACATGGCACTAGCATGTGGAAGTTTTATGCTGTGCAACATCACGAAATATCCGCAATCCGAATGCGGCTTCTACTCCGCATTCTGGTCGCTGATCCAGCCCCATTCCATTTAATGTTGCAAGATATCTACGGAAGCGGGTCTCCTTGGGAACTACGCATACAAGCTTCGACCCGTCTCTTCAAGATCATTATGGACCTACCGAATCCCGCATTTTCTTTGGAAGATAGGAAGTGGCGTTCGAGCATCTCAGACATCTTTTACTATTTCTTCTCCGCCATCTGGTCCGATGAAGCTGTAGGTACGGCTCCTCATCGATCATGTTGCGAATGCTCACGGACTGGTGAAGGAGGAGATACGCACCGCTGTAGATTCTTGGTCCCAGTCACTCCTCCCAGCGCATTTCGAAGCTATCTCACGTTGCTGGGATGAGACGATGGAGGACGCCCCCGTGGAGGAGCGTATTAGACTTACTTCTTTCCTCATCCAGCTCAGATCCCATTTCCCCCGTTGGCAAGGTAAGAAAATACCGAAGCACGTTTCTCGCTGATCAATAATCATGAGTACAGTCCTTTCATGGGACGTCGTGGCCCGCTGCTTACCTGGTGACATGGACGGCATGGAAAATTCAGAGGTATCACTGAGGCTTGCTGTTCCGTCGTACTCACTAAGCTAATTATACTTCGACTCAGAATAACGCGGGAGTTTCCTCTGATCTGGAAGACAGAGACTCCACGGTGTGCTCCGTAAGATGGACGTATCCCTCTTTCTACGCCTCTTAATCGACATTATCCAGGTTTCTACCGTAGTGTTAGCTCTAGGGATGGTGGCCAATCTGGTTCCCGTTGACATCAATGTCCTCAAAAGGATCAAGAATTGCCTCGCGGCAGTCCTGGGTTTCCGTAAACCTCCCCCCGTATACGGGGAGCTGCAAGTCATACCCGCGTCTAGTTATCCGTGCATAGGGGAGCTGGTGAAAGTCCTTGACGCCTTTTACCCCTTCGATGTGACGCCTTCAGATATGGGCCGAAGCGGCGTGGACGAAGAATCACCTTCGAAACTTCTCGCTGGATCCATTTTCATTGACCTCGTCCTCGCTATATTTCTGGAGCTCAGAGATCTCGACAGTCTTCCATTGACTGTCATAAAGCAACTTCTGGAATGCTTGCTAATCATCATATATAAGCATGACTTCGACAGCAAATCGCTGATCAATTTGCGTTCTGTGTTAAACCGCGCTGCGAAACGAGTTCTGGGGCTCGTCGTGTCCGACACCAGCTATCAAATCCGTCAACTCGCGCTGACGGTATGCACCGAATTCATCAAACGGTTCCCTCTACCTCGATACTATGGTCTCATATGGTGAGTTGGCCTTCCAAATGATATTGTATTCCTGCTTTAACGGTATCGACTCTACAGCGATATGATAGAAACCGCAGCTCAAGTCATGACGTCTCTGAGCCTCAGCAACGACGACATACTGGCGGCTCACGCAAGGTCGTTCCTCGAGAAGGCGCTAAGCAGGTTAGTGTCCGGTCACCGGTAATATGTCGTGAAACTCATCTTTTTGCTGTAGCTTCGCATCCTCTGGCCTGTTTTCTATTTTGTGTGAAGTAAGTTTGTCGATATCGCTTCGAAGAACATCGATATGCATGCATTCATATCGCACATAGCGCCCCCTCGATCAGGCCTTCTTCCAGGTGATACATAATATAACCGAGTCTCATTCCAAGTCCGCTGGTGTTTTGGGAGGATCTTTGAGAGACATGCTGTTGTTGGATACCCTTCGTCAAGCCCAAGCTCCGGAGCGGGACGTCCACAGGGTGCAAACCATCATGAACAACCTGAACACATTTGTGGAGGTTGTACACCATAGCGATTATACCGAGGACCACATGCGATGTAAGTGTCGCAAATCGGCGCAGTTTGTTCGGAGCTTTTCACCCATAGCTTTTGACAGTTATTGCCTCGGCCCTGCATGCCATAGCTCGTCGTGCATCTGAAGGGAATGCTCAGATGTTCAATCCCAATTCGACCATCAACATGGCTGCCACTTTGATCCAGTACAATAAAGTACACAGCAGAGTGCGTGAGATCGATTGAGTGCCAGTCGCATGGTTACCCTGACAAGTATATAGGTCTTGCTTCAAGCAGTTGACACCGTCCTTCGAGCAGTGTCTCTGCGCTGTAACCTGGATACAGCCAGCTTGAGGCACATACTCCAAGTCACTGATACACTTTATCGAAAGGCGAACCGGACGAATCCACCGACTGGCCAGAACCAGGTTGCTCAGACTATCCTTGAGCTGCTCTCGGATGGTCTCCGCAACAAAGCCCGAGTGAATTCCTCCTCACTGTCATCGATGATGGAGGTAAGTGGATGTTCAGTATGTGTTCTCCACATAATCTAATCCTCTGTATTGAGGCCATCTCTGACTATGCAGACATGCTGCCCACGGCAATATCTAGCTTGAGAGCAGATTGCTTCTTCTATCTCGCCAGTTATACATCGCCCGCCCTTCACTCCCCAGCAGACTTCGACACATCTACGTCTGTGGCGAATTGGTTGCTCAAATCGGCCGAATACAATCCAGACGGCCTGACGAGAATGCTCAGTGAGAATTCTGCGGAGGTACGAAACTGCAAGCCGATATCCCAGGTATTCTCGAGTCTAAGCTTGCTTTAGCGTCACACATCCCCTCTGAGTCTCCGGGCATGGAACATCTTGGTACTCGCGGCGTTGAACTCTGCTTCCGACGATTCGCCGGCTCTCCTACTCGGTCACTTCACGAACTTCTCTGCTGCATACCACGTCGCGTTAAGGCCATTCGTCCAGTTCTCCTCGACAGGAAGTAAACGGGAATTGACTCCGGCTGACATAAACCATGCGTACGCTGGTATCAGGCTATGGATACTCCTGGCTCGCAGAGTCTTCAACAAACGTGGTTTGGTTGGCGCTCTTCCATCAATATTTCAGGGCGTGGGTGAAGACGGGGTGGCAAAAATGATATGGAATGAATTATGGCCGCCGTTCTGCACAGTGATAGCGAGTTTCGACGAAGATGCCGAAGATGGGATGATCTCGGTGAGTACAGTGCGTCATAGGGTTCTCACAAATTCATATATGGTTGTGTGGTACAGCCGGCGACGACCTCAGCATGGTCAACTGTCGCCGAACTCTTCTTGTTCCTGCACCAAATCCGTTCCGTGCTCGCGTTGGATTCCTCAGCACAAGCCACTTTGCTGAATCGATTACGGTCCCTCGGACGAGGGGAAGTTGCGAACAACAAGGTACGCCACCGAGTAACCCCTTCTCTACCGCTGTCCACATTGACACCTGGGAATGTAGCTGGGCCGTGCCCTCAGCAGTATCTCCGAGCCGCCGCCTGAGATCACCCTCGACGTCGCAATCGGCCAGATTGGGCGAGACGTCGCTGCCGTCGAAAAGCTGCATGCCGCAGAATCGCAGCGCAAAGAGCCCGCGAAGCCGCAGGAGCGCAGGAAAGATGTCAGGATAGCTAGTTGACCTTCGGGAGCGGGCAATCCGTAATGGCATTGTTCGTAATAGCATTGTCTGTGATTCCCAGGCAATTACAGGCGTCGGGAAGGCCGCGGAGGGACTTGTTCTTTTGCCACTCGTTGATCGTGATCCAGCACGGCGAAACCCAGTCCTATGCCCACGATCGAAAGACCAATGACAAGGATGAATGCGGGTACGCGTACAGCCCACTCCCTGGCTGGAAAGAAATCGTGGACAGGGCTGGTATCACCGAAGAAAGGCTACGATGGTCGCGTTAGATGGATTCATGGGTGGTACAACCGCCCTTACCAAGATGATGGTCCAGCAGGTGTAATACAGGAAGAGTCCGGAAAGCAGCAGGATCAGAAGTCTGCCCAACGTCCTGTCCTTCATTAGCGCGTTGTTGTCAATCTGACTGAGGGAAACAGATGGCAGAGCAAATACACTCGAGGATGAACTAACAGATGATGTGTGCGCGAGATGAAGGGCGAAACAGCTGCATACGTTTCCTGGTGGCAGGCTTCCTCGCTTTCCTGCAACGGCAGCTCAGGCTTCCTCGCTTTCCTGCAACGACACCGAGCTCACACCGCGTACTTCCAACGCTGCTGCAGTCGGCGCTAGGTCGCGAGGCCCTTGCCACCGAGCGCTGGTCGGTCGGCTGCTATCTGGAACCCGACACACCATGGATGTGCATGCTTTCGCGTCGTTGGCACAGGTCCGCATCTTGTTACTTCCCGTCGGGCCCATCAACCGCCCTACCTTTGAGAAATGGGTATCCGAAATACGGATGTTCGAGCAGATTCGGCTAGGCGACATACCGGCTGATAACAAGGGCGAACGAGGTATTGCTCCATCTATTGCGTGCATCCCAAGAGTGAACCCTCAACAGCTAGATTCATGCCGAATCCTCTCTCGAGAGGACATTTACATCTTTCGTTCCCAACGCACCCGCCCCCAACGACACACTCTCCCCTATCGCTTTTCCGACCCTCGAACTTCCCGTTGGGAGTGATTGGAATCGCATCTTGCTCCCAGAATGATTCACTGTCGTCCATACTAGCCCAATTCAACGCGTCCGTTAGCGAGCTATTTCCATCATCATCCCCATTTCCGCTGGCAAGCAACTGCTTCGTCTTCGAGGAAGGGGACGGGAATACGAATCTCAACGTCGGGAATGAACTACCTGGTCTCGTTGTGATACCCAGCATGATGGGTAACAAGAAGCTGTACGTCGGCACCCTACTTGCCGACCTCTGTTCTAACATTCTCGGGGAGTTCTCGACCATAGTAAGTGCCCTACAACAACTCGCGCATTGCGATGTAAATAACACGGTCATAGGCTGGAACGCTGGAGAGTCCTCAAGGGAATGAATACCTCAACTCTTCCCTCTTTCCGAGTATGCCTCGACCATCGGATCTGCCGGCTCCATTGGATTTGGACGATAACCGACGTGATTCTCTCCCGCCTCTCCCTTCCAGGAGCAGCCAGCCCGATTTGAGTGGGCCTGCATCTCTTCTGAGGGGCAAATCACCAACTCCGATAGTAACGAAGCGGCAATCATCTCTTGGTCCTGGCATCGCCAGTCCCGCTGGTAATTCATTCCGCCAATCGTCATTAGGCGTCCCCACTGCCAAGAAGCGTCAGAGTGGCATAGGCGCTGCCTCGTCCCATGGTCGTCTTTTCAAGCTACTTGGAGATCTTTTCCTGCTTGCGGGGCGGACTGAAGATTCTTCAGTATGGTAAGAGGACGTTCAAATAGTAAACAGTATGCAGCTTATATTCACCCAAGGTATACAGAAGCTGCAGCCTTGTGTAAGCTGCCGCAAGATAGTGCATGGCATGCTTCCGCTCTTGAGGGCATGGCCGTCGTCGCTGTCGTAGACGCATGGTCAGATGGGCATGGACTCGTTCGTCATTTCACCTCCATTGATGACAGTCCATCCGTGCCGACGGTGTCTGCCTAGAATGCCTCCTTTAGCACATCAAGGGAACCGTGGTCTGATATCCAGGACAAGTTGACCCAGGCAATCAGTCTTTACGCAAGAGGGCCTCCTTCTGATAATGGCGACGATTACATGCTTCATTCGTACCTCTATACTCAAGCCATCCTACGCCAGTCATCCCTTTTGTTTGCTGTTTGGTCGGCCAAAGGTTGGGGACCTCTTGCGTTCACGACCATGCTTCAACCAGGACCGAAACCCGTGATCCCTCCGACGTTAGCCACTCCCGAAGGTGTCTCATATGTCGGTGTGGAGCGTTTAAGCCGGATCACTGGCGTTACTCGATCCCAAATTGCAAATATTCTGGCGCAAGCTCATGGACCTTGGCTCTTACATCTCGGAGCACTCGAAAGACTAGCAACCCTAGAAGCAATGGCTGGTCTCTACTCCTGCTTGGGCTACAAGCGCAAGGAAGCCTATATTATGCGCGAACTCCTTGGCTGTATTATGGATCTCCTCGTTTGCGGGCGAAACGAGATAGTGCAGGGATCACACTCTCGGGTTACAAGTGCCGGATTGGGTATCGAGGGTGCGAACATTCCCGGTGGATCTGTCGCCACGCGAGAAAACGAGCGCAATGATGGTAATCAAAGCTTGATCCGGCTTGTGAGGCACATCTGTCGAGTGCACGGCGTCAACCTGGAAGCCGTCAGTCTTTCTGAGGAGAAGGTGCAAGAAGGAGATGAAGATTCTTCACAGAAGCCTGACGGCAGCATCGATGACGACGTTCAAGACCCCTTCGGCTGGCCCGAACTGCAAGTTGGTGTCGTTCGCGAAGCGATCGCTGTGGCGGAAGCGCTTCCCGGTAAGATACCCTGAAGTCCACATGCATGTCTGCTAAAGCGTCGGTAGATTACCCATCCGTCGCCCAGTTTGCACTTTCAGCTCTCAAAACGTTGCACACAGCACTTACGACGGCCGACCAAGCACATCTGTATGGAACTGCTACCCGGGCACTTGCCACCGCACGCCGACGGGGTGATCGCCGGCGACCCGACTACTGGGGCATGCCGCCTGTGACAAGTATTGAGATTTCACCGTAAGTTATCTAGCATCCATGCCGCATGGGTGTGCTGACGCAAGCGACGGAAGGCTGCCTTTCGTGCGCGTTCCTATCGAAAGGCCCATGTCACTGCTTGCGACAAGAAATTCAAGCACCGTCGCTTCCAAACTCCCCGAGACCTTCCTCTATAACCCCAGAAAATCGATGGTTGGCCAAGTGAGTGGTGTGTCCAATTCACGACATTCATTAGCTTAGCTTCCACCTCTCAAGGGCCAGGCTGTTGTCGTCGAGAATGAAGACCTGGAGTTTGTCCTGACGTTGCGGAATCCTTTCGCTGTCGACTTGGAGATCCAAAGCTTATCACTAAGGTTACTTCCTATTGTTGACCATGTCCTCTCCATGATGCTCAATGAGTCGTAGCACGACAGGTGTACCGTTCGAGGCGAAGCCTGTGCCAGTAGTGATCTCCCCCAACTCGTATCACTCGGTCACCATAGTCGGCAAGGCTAAAGGTTCTGGAGTCTTGGCCGTCAAAGGGTACTTCGTCCAAGCGCCAGGAGGCGTGACTCGCGAGTTTCGATTGCAGCTGTCCACAGAGGAGGAAGAGACGCGACAATCCCGCCGGCGAAGTGCGATCATGAACGAAATCGGCAGAGCGAAGTATGGCGGGCTCGAATCTCGACCCTGGGAAGCAAACCGAAAGCGCTTGAGCAGGCTCGGTGCCTCGTCCAGCTCACAGACACCACGGTTTCTGGAGTGCAAGGTGGTCCCCGAACAGCCTTTGCTTCGCATACGGAGAACTTCCTTAACACATGGTGCCCTCATGCTGTACAGTGGAGAACGGTTGGTCTCGTGGTCCTCGCGCACAAGTCCCCCTCTGACATGCTGCCAGTTCCGTCATGCGTATCACCCTCGAGAACGTAGCTTCGCTTCCCGTGGACTACTTGAAGATAGAGTTTGATGACTCTACTATTGGGCCTGCGCAACAAACTTTAGCTGATGGGGAGCTTTCCGTCTTCGACACGTACGAAACGGAGTTCGCCCTCATTCATCGCCCCACTTTCTCGTGGGACGAGAAGGGTGCAGTGAAGAGCCTCGCTCCAGGCCAGAAGACGACGGTCACTGTGACCTGCTTCGGCAAGGTGGGCTGGTAAGTAGTACACCATTTTGCTGTGATACACCTGATCCAATCGTACCCTGGATTTGCAGCACCAGCGGCACGATCCAAGTCTCGTACGCCTACGTTCACCGTCAGCAGGAGTCCCTGCAGCAGCCTTCGAATGTGTTCCAAACGCGACAACTCTCGTATCCCATCCTGGTCACTGTGTACAACATGCTGGAATGTCACGGTATGGACATATTGCCGTACACGCGTTATCCGACTGTGCGAGAAGGAAAGCTAAGGTCAACGGACCAACCGGGTGACGCACTTGCGGAAGTGCCTGAGGAGCTGGGTTGGTGCATGTTCGCGGTTGACGTTCGGAATACGTACGGCCTTCCGTTCGAGGTATCGTTCGAGCGTACGCAAGAAGGTCCACATATCCATGGGTTGTGATTGATGAGACTTGCTGAATGTTCTATCATAGGTATACCTGAACGAGTGGTGAACATGCTGGTAGCCCCTGGATCGACCTCAAGGTAAATTTGTTGGATGTGGCTCGCTCGATGATCTGAACCTGGCTCGACAGGATTTTCTTGCCACTCAAGAAGATTCTGCTTCCCGAAGAGCACACTTCGCGATCGATACCTACGCTGTCTGATCGGCAGTTCGTCGTTGACAAGTCTGGCTTGTCTTCGAATCAGGAGAAGACTCAGCGAGAACTGTTCTGGTACCGAGAAGAGGTGTTGAAGTGCGTCAAGGCTCGGTGGCGTGAGGCAAGTGTATTAGTTTGATGCCCAGACACTCTGTTGATGCTGATCCCTTAGGCTGGAGGGAGTCGCTCTGGAGAGCTTTCCTTACGTCAACAGCGCATGACTCTCCCTATGCTCCAGTCTCTGCGTATAGAGACGGCTCGTGTCCAGCTAGCATTGACGCCGATGGATGATGGCGAGCCTGACAGTATACAGCGCATGGGTCTCAAGTACACATCTCCTGTCAACGAATTCGTACTCTTGATAGTCACTGTGACCAACTCTTCTCGTGAGTTCTTCGATACGGCCCCTTCTGTTATATGCTAATCCCACTTTGTTACAGTCAAGCCGCTCGTACTTGCCTTAGACTTGGCGATGGACCCCATCGAGCACGTCTTGTTTGAGGATGCACTGTCCGACATCCCAGTTGGAGAGCTGGATGTTGGCGAATCGAAAGATGTGGGTATTGCTGTTTGCTTCACGTCTTCCGGGAGATTCGAAATAGGCGCAGAGGTCAGGACGGTGGATATAGGTTTACATCGTGGAGAAGCAAGGGTTGGAGTGGGGAGGCTGAGCGTATTAGTATCAGATGATTAGCCTATCTTTCCTTGCAATTAAATTATAGTTCATCCACGACTCGTCTTGATGTCTGTGATGGTCAGCTCAAGCAGAGTACGACACGACGAGTACTCCACGTTTACTGCTGTTTGCAAAAGTGATGGCGCGTCGTGCTCCAACGCAACTTTTGTCGCGTTTGGGCACGTCCGCAGGATATCGACGATATCTCGACAACGAGGGCGAATTTCAACATGATTCATACATGAAAGTCGTAGCCCTTGACATTCTGCAGATGCAAGGCTAGAAATCTCGCAGAAATGACGGATAGCGTGATCTCTCTCGGTGCAAAGGATACCATATGAGTATATCGACCGTTTGACGAGCAATCATGGAGCTTGGACTTCAGGAATAAGTTTGTATGATGTAGGAATTAGTCACCGAAGTGCATGTGTGGTTATATTCCGAGTTCGTGAACCTGTGTATACGACGAAGAGTTTGCGGCAGTGCACGCGACCAGCTCGCAAGCTTGTCCTCTTCCATATCCAATAGTTGTCGTTATCAGTCATACCTGCTCTCAAGCCCGACTTCAACGATGGCAAATGCACAGAAACAAGCTCGGGCCAAGCAGAAGAAAGAAAGGAACACCGCTGCCCGAAATGCCACCACCGAGGGACAGACCAAGGTCCCTACTAGGTCGTCATCACGTCGCCGGGCAGCAGTTACACCTAGCGACCTGGCGGACTTGCCAATAGAACAGAACAAACCCAGGCCCAAGCCTCGGCCGGTATCGAAAAAGCGAAAACAGTCTGACGAAGCCGATGAGCTCGACGAGCCCCCCTCTCAGCTGTCTCGCGGTGTTGATCCTTCGAGTTCCCTTAGCTCCATTCTCGTCAGTGAATCTCCCGACAGATTCATAGCAGTTGAAAGCCTTCTAGGCCTCTCTCGAAGTTCCGTTGAGCTAGGAACTGTTGGGTCGAAGTCGGCACCTCACACTGTCAGCCCGACGCCGCACATCAGTGACTCTGAGACTCTTGATTCCGAAGAACTCGAGCACACAGGGAGACTTGAAGGGCCTGCAGGAGACGACTCAGATGATCTCAGCAATGCGGATGAGAGCGAGGACGGTGATGGTACGACCATCAATATATGCGCATATATCCTTGCGGCTGATCCCATAAAGCTCTCCCCATGATCCCTTTTGCGATACCATACAAAGCGGGTGCATTAGAGACTGTCAGAATTCGCTCTGGGTCATCGTGGGCCTCAGTCCATCGCGCCATAGCCGAAGTTCTCATTCAGGAGCCCCGCGATATCGACATCGGGTATAAAATCTCCACTGAGCCTCAGAACCGAAAACCTCGCCGTCTCTCTAGTGCGCAAGGGCTCGCTGAGCTGTTTGCACATCTCAAGGAGGTGATGAATCAGGCAAAAAAATCGAAGAGCAAAAAGTCGCCAAAGGAAGTTGAAGTCATCATCACAGATCTCAGTGAGCCTGCGGTTGCGAAGGGAAGAGCCAAAAAAGACAAAGTACGGCACAATAATTACCTGTTCCAGTCGCTGACAGATGTCCTAGTCGAATAAGACCTCGAAACGCAACCGGAAGGATAGTGACGACGAGAATAGTGACGACGAGAATAGTGACGACGAGCAAGTCTCTGTTCCTAGGAAGCAGGCAGAGCATTTTGCCCGCCTTGAGGAACTTCATAGCTGTGATGCGCACGTCGGCAAGACATGTCTCGTCAAGCCGACTGGCCAGCATCATGCTCTCACACACGAGGAGCTCAGTATCTGGTCGTTTCTGCTTGTTCGTACCCTTTACTATTCCGAGTGAGCTCAGGTACTAAACTACTGAAGCTTGCTGGGAAGCATACATCGTATGACAAACCTCCGGAAAAGCTGAGGCTTTTCGACGATCAACCCCGAGCACGGGGCCCAATGCCAAAGGATAACACATTGCATACAGCTGCTCCATCGGGTTGGCCGATTTGGCCAGGCTTCTCGCCCTTCCCCGTCTACAACCCGCCGATGACTGGTCCTGCGGCGGCTGTTCCTCCAGCAATGCATGGCTCTTCTCTGGCATCTCGCTCGATGGAACCAGGCTCCTTTCCACTTATATCTGAGTGGCTTGCTTCGCTGGACACTGGCTCTCGCGGGGATGGCAACGACTTTCAGCAGTACTCAGAGCATTTTGCGAGTGCGGGTTACCGGCGCATCAACCAGTTTGCGGATCTGGAGAAGTCTGAGCTACGTGACATGTTCCCAATGATACCGATTGGCATTTCACGCCTGCTTCTTAGCTACGCACAGACTGATGTTGAAGCTTGCCGCACTCATGCATGAGACTGATATATTGTAACTTCTTGGTGCTCGCACTTGTACAATATCATAATATAATCCTGCGAGCACAATATGGGCTGTACTAAATGTAACCGCAATGTCGATACCACCCGTGTGCATCAGATGCGGAAACCGAGTGAACAGCTTCATGTAGGCGGACATACACCTCCGTATCGTCATCATCTGTCGTTGCTGGAATGATCAGTGCCCCGATTCGTCGAATACGAGCCTTGATGGCTGAAAATGCCAACTCGATGGGGTTGAGGTCTGGCGAATACGGCGGTAGGAACTCATATCGCATGCCTCTGGTAGATTATGGTTAGTGTAATCCGGGAGAGTGCCCGATCACCCACCGTTCTTCAATCATTTCGAGTACAAGGTCAGACTTGTGAATCCTGCAGTTGTCCATGACAACTACGGAGTTCACACCGGGATATGGGTTCATGTGATCGAGTAAATTGCTGATGAATTGGGCAAAACGTTCGGCGTCGTAAGAACCTTCGACTATATGCGTGTAGACTATCCCGTCTAGTGACAGTGCTGGAAGGATTGAGTATCTGCGGCTTGGATTCACAAAAGGCTGATCATTGGCATGCAGAGATACGTGCCTTTTTCCTCGGCAAAAGAATGTCTTACGTACAGCCCGCCGCCCTCTGAAAGCCCAAGCCTTCCCCCGGTAGGCGGCGAGTCTTGCCCATGCACTCTCATCAACAAATACGAGCTGCTGAGGAGTATAACTGATCCCGATGTTCATCTTATAGTGAGCTCGCTTCTCCGCACTCCGTTCGAGTGCAATACGTGTGACCTTCCGACAGCGGCATCAGTGAGAATTTGCCATGCAGAACACAGCGGGCGCAGCGTACTTTCTTCATACTCATACCAGCATTCTTCAGGGACCTCCAAATAGTTGATTTCGACACCAATTTGCCACAGGAATCTTCGATTTCTTTATGGAGATCCTCGAGGTACGTGCTGCAGTTCTTCGCCAGTATACCGTGCATATACTAGTCAGAAACTGTCACGGGTAATGCCTCAAAGTAACTTGTTTGACTCAACAGCAAGTTCTTCCTCCCCAATGTGCCGGCCCCTTCCTATCAACCTCCGCGAACTCTTCGGTGCGTCCACAGACCCGGTTTCCATGGTTTGGCTGACTACACGTGAAATTGTTCGAATACTAGCTCCAGTCCAAATTGAGATGTCGCTCCTGCTGAAGAACGGAAGCATGCGGATAATAGTAGCACGAAGGTCGTTGGAGAGTGCTTTGCCGTGCATGGTGGAACATTGAGCATGGTCAAGGAGGCGCGGCACGCGCACTC